GACGCGACGGAAGTGACACGAGATCATACAAGCTCTACGAGGCTGTACGAGATCGGACGAGGCTGCCGACTGGAACGGCCCCCGCTGTATTAACATCCGACATGATTGGAGGATCCCCGTGATCCGCCCATGAATCTTGTCAAGTGAGGCCACTTCCAGTCTTGTCACGTGACACCACTTCCAATTTTACCCGTGACGACTTCATCGAGCGACAACTTTTGACCCCCGACTCGGACGAGCTCGAGGGTCGGGGGAAATGAAGCGCGCCGCTCCTGCGACTATGGACCGGAAAAAGCACGGGACGCGACGCCCTGTCGGGCCATGAAAAGGGTGTTCCGAAAAAGCAACGGTGTTTCATGCGCTGAAGGGTGTTCCGCGCGGGAAGAGGGCCAATCCGGAGGCCACGCGGAGGGTGTTCCGTCGAGAAACGTTTAGTAGTAGTAGTAGTAGTAGGCATGCCAGTGCACTTTGGAGGTCTCTTTGTGAGAATCGTGTGGAAAGAAAGGGTTGGCTTAGGCGTCACGGTCCTTTCGACCTTGGTATTGCGAGGTACATGACCGAGAGCGAGGATGTCCAAGCTTGCAGGAATGAGGCAGATTGGTGCCGGAAGATTGTGGAATGATCCGAGTAGACAGGATCACTGACCAGCGATGGAAATTGATTGTTGGTATACAGCGTGGTGATGGTTGCGGTGGTGTGGTGGAATGAATATTTTTTGCTGAGTATGAAATCTCCTCTAACGCTGCAAGACGGCAGCCACAACCACCATGGTTTCCCAATGTTACTTCAATCCTCTGCTATCTTGCTTTAATCTGCTCCTGCTTCAATATATGGCAACTGTTAACACATGGTGCAATCTGGTTTGACTGGCTTAGGCCAGTCGATTACAGGACAAAAGCGAAGTTGTCTTAGCAGAGCTGATCCGCGTGTTCAACTCACTCACCTATCAGTCCAACGCTGGACTTGCTACATTAGACCAAGAGTCTTGATAATGGCTGAGGAGTGAGCAACCGGCCGTCTTCTCCGCATGACCACTAGGACGACTTTAGAATCTCGACAGCGAATATCGATATTGGGGATATCTCCGGCGTTTTATTTGCTACACCATCCGCCATTTTGGATTCGGAGAGACAATATCACCGGGCAGAGCGCGAGAGGAGACGGTAAGAGGAGGGTGTATCAAACACCGTTTCCGACTCGGATCATGTTACTCAAATACATTCTCATGATCAAGCCAATGTAGCAATAAGAACCACTACCGCGACTCCACCGATTAACCATAACAGTAACAGTGACTCTGACATTTCGGACTCTGACCACAGATCTAGCAATAGCAACTCCGCCCACGACGTCAATTGCACCCATCCGGATCAGACTGGGACCACCACTCCGATACATACAGAGTATGAAGAGAATCAGGAGGAAGCAGATCTTTTACAGGATGCACTAGAGCTGGTCTTGTAGACCGAAAATCAGTACTGTGTGACATGGCGGGTGTTCAACTCTGTCATTTTCTTTGCTGACGATGAGGAGCGTGGCCGAGTAGTCACGGATAAAGAGCGTACTGCCGAGATGGAAGTCTTCTTCCACATATTCATCTTCCGCTCGGTCGGTTTTGAAAAATGTAAGAGCGGCCCAGTCCAGTTGAAGAGAATAAACGATTACGAGAGGCCGTGAACTTTTCTTATGTTATTGCGGGATTGGTTTGGGACATTCGAGTACTGGTGGTTGAGATTCTTCTCCCGCGGTGGAGCAGCATGAGCAGCCTGATACGCTGCCGCGACTTGAGCGATTTCAGTGGGAACACCTATGAGTGAAATGATCAATCTGTTTCGCATACGGCAAGTACATCGCATTGAATACTAGTAACGCCGGCAGTGTGATATGGCCTCGTGCCAAATTTACCATGTTCTTCCATAGACTTGCCATTCCACTCAACGTGTTTTGTGCTATGCTTGGTTGATGATGCGCTGGTGTAGCCCAGCACCAGCGAGTAGCCCTTGGAGGCCAGATTCTGCGTGATAGCGGCTCCAATCCCTTGTGATGGTTAGTCGTCAGTCTCAAGAGCCATTACGGATAACCAACCCTGTTGTTGATTGTAGAACTATACCTCTCGTAGCTCCTGTAACAATCCCGAGTTTCCCACTTAACACCCGGCTCGCCATATTGACTGTCGGTGAGTACGGGGTCTTTGGCCGCGTGTGAGAAGCAGCTTCTTTCCTCTGGTCAAACACTCGTCTCCCTCATCAAACGTCGTGAAGTGAGAAAAACAGGCGATTTAGCGGTTGGGCCTCGAGACGTAGGAGCCGAGTCTTCTTGAGTGCCGAAGCCTGGGCCGTCGTGCCGAAGTAATGCGCATAGACTCTACCCGGCCCGGGTTAGGTCTCGGATATTCCATTCGTCCGGCAACCACTCCTTGTTCGCGAGGGGAACGTGAGAGCTCTTACAGTACTCTGATCCCAATCTTCCCCGTCGCTTTTCCTCTCTTCAGCACAAGTTCTTTTGCCAATAATACAAAGTCTCTCACACACACGGATTGTGACAAGGGTTTTCCATATCCGTTCTTAAACATCATCGAATCCACAACCACCCGCCGCCCTTTTCGAGATGGACGACCGGGAGCCCCAGGACGTTCCAACCATTGATGTTCCCATCGCGCCGGTGTACCCGGTCCTTACGGATAAAGTGGCGATCGTGACGGGTGCTGCCATGGGAATGGGCAAGGCTACGGCAGTGGTAAGTAAGCATTGATTCTCTTTGATAAAGAACTGTTATGTACGAGACGCATGTGAAACCAGATCTTTGCCGAGGCCGGCGCGAGTGTCGTGCTGGCCGATGTCAACGAGGTCTTGGGTCAGAAAGCGGCAGATGAGATCAATCAGAGGGGCGGCAAGGCCTATTTCATCAAGACGGACGTTTCGAATTCCGAGTCGGTCGAGAAGGCCGTCGCCGCGGCGGTGTCGCAATTTGGCAAGCTCGACGTGGCCATCAACAACGCCGCGTTGACTCCCGACAAGACACCCACGGCGGAGTTCGACGAAGCCTACTTTGATCGAGTGATTGCCGTGAATCTCAAGGGCCCGGCGCTATGCATGAAATGGGAAATACAGCAGATGGTCAAGCAAGGCCATGGAGGCTCGATCATCAACATTGCCTCGATCAATGCCTTCAAGCCGCAGTACAATATGCTGGCCTACACCGCCGCTAAGCATGCGGTGGTCGGCCTGACCAAGACGGCCGCCCTGGAGTATGGAGCAGAGGGGATCAGGGTCAACACCATTGCTCCCGGAGCTGTTCTGACCGAGATGTCGGCGGCCGCCTTGAAATCCATCGGCACCAGTCACGAGGCGTTCGCCGACGTAAGCTACCTCAAACGGTGGGCGGCTCCCCACGAGGTCGCTCAAGGATCATTGTGGTTGGCCTCAGATGCAGCTTCGTATGTGACTGGTATCACGCTTCCTGTGTGCGGTGGATATTCTACGAAATGAAAGGAACTAGTCAAGTTGCCAAACGAAGCCTGTCTTCTTGCCATGTCGCCCTATGTATAACTCTATGCCCCCGAACCGGCAACCCTGTTCAATTTGCAGCAAGGCCGAACTCGGCTTTGGTGCCGACCCAGCCCCAAGCCCGCACCCGTGACAATGGCAACTTCCCTTTGCACCGACATGGCCAATTGATTCTTTGCCCGCAGGTGTATTTTACCTAGCATGGACCTAGAACCCTTTCATCCAACGTTCACGGCCTCACTGATCTCATCTCTACTGGAGAAACCGGCCAGCTTCTGGATGCTCATGCGGAGCGGGGAAGGAATGAAACGAGGCTCTGTCACAGAGAGAGCTGGTCATGTTTGAATCTACCTCCTGAACTCCTCCGTTGAGTCCGAAGCTGATCCGTCCTAAGTGACCGTCCACTCTCGTCGAACAACAATATACCAGGTACTAACGAAACATCTGCACCTTTTTGGTCAGACATTCATGGGCCCTTCTCGACGCTGGGAGGGAATAGCTAGCTTTCAGTCTCATCGCCGTAGACATCCATCTATAGCAATCACCAAGACAAGAGTCGCTCCGAATCGAACTTCTAACAAGCTGGAAATTGACGTCTGCAGTGACATCCTGCTCAGTCATATTGGCTCAAGAAGTCCAAAGCGCCTGTCAGCTCCCTTTTAATGACCTCCTCATGCTGCTTGCTCCGAGGCGTCACCTTCACCTCGTACTCCAAGGGACGCACCAAATTCGACGAAGTATATGCGTTCACGTCAATTGGTCTACCGGGTAGTTCCTCGAATTCAAAGGCCCAGAGGAGCTTAGCTGTAACGCGCCACATACTCCTCTCGGCCAGATGAATGCCGGGACACATACGGCGGCCTGCTCCATAACCGTAGTGGTGTAAAGTCAAGTTAGTAATTTTCCAGGTAAGTCGCGGTTATTGTGCAACCACGAGGTAGAGGGGAACTTATCTCGGCCCTGCCAATCTGGCCCAACAGCGTACTCATTGGCAAGCTTGGTATAACCCTTAAATCGATCCGGATTGAAGCGGTCGTGATCCGGATATTCATCATCGTTTTGATGGATAGCCCAAGCACCTAGCCAGACTGTAGTATCCTTAGGGAAGAACATACCCTCGTACCAGTCATCTACAAGCAAGTCAGCCACTAAGTAAACCCCGTAAGACTTTGCCTGCACCGTGCGCGTACCTTTCTCGAGTCGGTGTGGGATCCCCAAGTCGGAACTAGCGTCCAGGATTAGTAACTTGTAGTAGCAGTACTGCATTGATAGCGATTCAAGCGTGACTTACGTCGGGCGCCATCTCAGCGCCTCCTTGATAATGCAGTTGATATAGGGAAGCCGCTCAAAGTCAGAGAATAAAGGCGTCCTCTCAGTCCCGCAGACCTCATCCAATTCCTTCCTCGCCTTCATTTGGACCTCGGGGAATTTTGTCACCGCGAGGATAATGGTCAGAAGCATATTGGCCGTCGCTACTCTTCAGTCAACTCAGGACGTCCTCGACTTCTGGAAACCCAGGGAAACTTACTATCTGCTCCAGCTTCGAGCATCTCACCGCCCAAGTTGTTGAACGAGTACTGTGACATAGGCCAGCCGCCTTTCTCGTATTCGGACAGCTTCTGGTCCATCATCGAGTCGCGGATATCGCCTCTCGCTCGTCGTTCGTCAACTTGTTGCCGCGCTTGGGACCACGTGGTATCCATAAGACTTCGTACGCGGTAGGCTCGCCGTTTCCAGGCCCCGGGAAGATACCATAGCCACGGTAACTGTTCTACAGGGGGGTTCGCGCCAGGTTCAATTGCATCGAGCCACTAAGAGGGAGATTTTAGCTTCCATGGCCTAGAAATCATCCACAAACTTGCACCTAACTTACCTGGTCCACAAAGTCGTAGAAGTTCTTATAGAAAAAAGAGTTGAAATCCTTAGCGCGGAAGCCCCAAACAAGGATTGCTGCCACCGAGGAGGCATACAGTCTTGCGTGGTCGAACGAGCGGCTCGGGTGCTGGAGAAGGTTGTTCATGAATAAGATCGACCTAGAAGAAGGATGGTCGGTTAGGCAGGCTGGTTTGACTTGTATATCGGACAGAGGGCTCATCCTACTCTGCCTCCTGAACTCGGAAATGTTTTGTATCCAAGTTCTGAGGATTGAGGTTCCTCGTAATGACAGAACGCTTCTCCCTCCATTCAGGAGTTGCTTGTTCAAAGGTCATATGGCAGCCCCGGCTCATAAATAACGGCACCGAAAGGTGCGGTCTCCCAGAGTAAACACTGCCTTTCTTATCTAGCAGCTGATATATAGCCCGACGGTCGGCCAGTACAATCATATTGGAATCGAACACCTTCAAAGAATAGATGTTTCCATATTCTTTGGCCCATTCGCGGAACCTAGATATATCCAGTCAGCTTTCGCGGAATCTCGTTTCGTGCCTGCAAAGAATCAGGACAGGACAGGACAGACTTCTTTCCTAATCCTGTGAGCGGAATTTGGTGGGCATTCCCCAGGATTGGCACCGTGGGTGGTCCAGGAGGAAGTCTGGGGTCTCGGCGACCGATCCGCAACAGTTTCCACGTGCCCAGTGCTAAGAGCACTGCGATCAGGATAAGGGCGTTGCCATACATTTTTGTCGTTCAATTCAATCGCACCTGAGCTTGGGGGACAACAGGTAGTGATGCGATACGGAGCTCGGCCAATGTTTTTGGAGCGAAAGTTCACCTCCCGGGCTCATATACCATAGTGTCGGGGTCCCCACGCCTGGCACCGACCGTCCAGGACCGCGTCTTATCAGTTACCCCACGGAGCCAGATCATGCCCCATGCCAATGAGATTGCAAGGTTGGCTTAGGTGCGGGGGATATGTACCAAAATTCGTCCGGACCGGTCGCTGGGGAACCTCGGGCTACGAGTACTGGTGGTACCTCCGAAGTGAGCGCGGAATGATGCAATACGGTCGCCCAGATTTGCAGACAAGAACGGGAAAAGGGCCCAGGGCCCAAGGGTTCTTGTCGATTTGGTTCTGTTTGACACTTGACACTATCGAATCTCAGGGCCAACACCGTTGACTCTCAGTGTCCCTTAACACAGATCAAGAGGTTTGACTGGCGGGATTGAGCCCGTACATGCTTCGCCTGTGGCAGCTGCAGTTTTGCCGCTGTCGCATAGAACCATCTGACCATAGATACACGAGGAGATGTTTGAGGTCAAAAACACTTGGACATTGGCGACTTCCGCGGGGTCTTGCAGTCGGTTGTAGTAATACTCGGTGGCCTTATATTCGCCCTGCTCGGCTTTCTGAGAGTTGGACAAGATGCCGCTTTTGGTGAAACCAGGGGCGACGCCGTTGACCCCGATGTTGCTGGACAAGAGATGGACGGACGCGCCGCTGATCAGGCCATGGAGTGCCGTTTTGGCGACCGCTACCCACCGATTAAGCATCAGTCCAAGCTCTAGTCATTCTTCGCTCCGCCCCCGTGGCAGTGGTCGCCACTTACCGTAAGGCAGATCGGAGTATGATCCAAGAAAGCTAGCACACGACCGAGTGACAACAAACGCTCCCGCAGGCTGTGGTTTGTCGGCTGATGTGACCATCATGGCTTGACTGCCGTATTTGATGCCAATGAATGCCCCACGCCTCATGACATTGACCTGACGGTCATAATGGAGGAGCTCGGTATCGTTGAGGCTTCTGCCAACACAAGGTCGTTCAGCAATAGCAGCAGCAGCAGCAGCAGCAGGAGGAGGAGGAGGAGGGAGTTTCTTGGACTGGGAAACTAAGACGAGCAGACCTGTAGTTTGCGAAACCGGTATTCGCAATGTAGAAGTCGAAACGGCCATGCTTCTTTGTGATCTCCTTGACCACGGCCAACGTCTGTTCCTCTGAGGAGACGTCCAGCTTTCGTCCCTCGATGACCGAGGTGTATCCAGCCTTGTTGCATTTCTTCTCGCAGCGACGGGATGGCGTCAATATTCAAGTCGCACGCATAGATGGCCTTGGCCCCGGCCGCGGCGAACTTCCTGACGCATTCGCGGCCAATACCGTACGCTGTGTGTCGCGGTTTTGATAGGCAACCACGTGACTAGCGCGTGGTTGCACCTGGCACTTGACTGACCTCGCCGCTCGGTGGGCATATCCCACACCTCACGGCCTCTCAGCTCCTTACGAGTTGAGTGTTCTACAATTTACTCTTTTATGTGCATCTCTTGCTCGATCCGTGAGACTGTGCCTGCACCAGTTATCAAGCCAACCTGGCTGAGGAGTAGCCTAGGGCTTGGAAAGCTAGAGTGACTATTCATAGCTGGGTAGTGATAGTAATTGAGCGGCTACAGATGCACGCGAATGGGCTGGGGCTCTGGGTCTAGAGATCTTATCAATGCTACGGCCGTCTCGAGGGGGAGGGAACGACGGTCTCATCAACCCTTTCCAGAGTCGGACCCAATTTCTCGGAGCAACTTCTTCAAGCATAGCTAGGCACGTCCGAAGAAGCGATATGAAGAGCTGGGCCGTTTGGACCGTGGGATGGACGCAACTTTGACCGGGAACACCCACCCCGTTCGCGGTCATCCACGCACATACTGGATTCGGGAGTGTGGTAGATCTATTGTGCTATCCTCTGCGGGCTCTTTGAAAAGAAAAGCTCACGATCCATGATAAAAGAGTCTAATTCCATCAATCATACAGGATAAGTCCTGGCGAACACATCTGTCCCCTACTAGGGATTGAGGGCAAAAGTGTAGCATGATCAGATATACATTCGACGCGCGCGCGGCTCCAGCTTCTATGAAACTTTCTATATCATACTGGGTCTGACCAGGCGATGTGCTACCCTCAAGAAGTGGGACAGGCTGGCTAGGCGCCCCCGAACACCTTTTTCGTGTCAGTACCCTGTGCCCAGATCTTCTTCATCCACATGTGCGCGATCCTCCATCCCTGGGCAGTGCGTTGGAATTCAAAACGGTACGGGCCACCAAAGGCGTAATGGATTTCTGGTTTCGCTGTCTCGGGAGTGGCGCAGAACCAGAGGTATGCGGTGCCGGTCGCCTTGTCTGAGCCGTCCACCTTGAATTCCATGTTGGTCATGGTGTGCTGAAGACCCTCGAACTGTGCCTCTACACTGGCCGCCTTGAGGATGGCCTCTTTGCCCACGATGTCGCCCCAGGATTCAAATGTCATGATGGGGCCGTCCTCGATGTAGGTGTCCGCGTACCCTTTCCAGTCTTTGGAATCGGCCGTGGTGCAGTACGCGTTCAGCAACGTTTGCAGCTCATTCTTGTCTTCCAGGATCTGGAGACGTTTCTGGAGTTGTTCGATGATCTTCGCCTGGTCGGCCATTTGTCAACTTGTTGTTCTTTTTGCTCGACGCTGGCTTTCTCCGGATGACTTGTTGGTACTGTGTGAAGTGTCTCTAGAGCCAAGATGGATAGGGAGACGGTCGGACAGCATGCCACGGCGTACTAGGTATCTTTGTTTGGGTTCTCTCTGCCAGTCCTGTTAGAGTTGGACTGCGAGGTGTCAATGATCTGGCGATCTATCGCACGGCATCTCGACAGTGAATGCGAAGCTTCCCCGTGGGCGGAAAAAAGAATGGGCCACGTCCATCTCCGCATTCGTCTCCCGCATTTATCTCGCGCGTCCCGCAATATGTAGACCTTTGTTCTCACGAGTAGATGCCGAAATTGATCCGTTCGGACTCCAGCACCAATTTCAATTCTGGGGACCGAACAGCTACCTTCACCGTAAGCATAGAATTCTTTCTGCTCTGTGTCTTACCCTTCGACTCATCAAACTCAATTTCGAAATGGAAGGCAAGGTATTCGCCCTAACTGGTGCTGGCTCAGGCATTGACAGAGCTACCGCGGTCCGACTTGCGGAACTGGGGGCAAGGGCATTGCCATCTGCGACCTGGATGAGGCTGGCTTGGAGGCGACACTGGCATCATGCATGTTCTCATCTCTTCTCGGAAGCGTTTTCTGCATGGCTGACGGCCCAAAAGGTAGCAAATACAGTGCAACTATCACCATGACCAAAGTCGACGTCAGTAATGCCGAACAGGTGAATTCGTGGATCAAAGACACCGTATCGGTGTTCGGCAGGCTTGACGGTGCTGCAAATGTAACTGGAATTGCTGGCGGGGATGGAAGCATCACCGAAACCATCGTGAGCGAGAAAACCCCCAGCTCCCCGAGGTGCGTGACCTTTTACGACTACTACTACTGACTCGTCGGCGACCAGGACCAACTCGCTTGGGAGAAGATGATTGCCATCAACCTGACGGGAGTCATGATCTGTATGAGGGCCCAGCTCCCACACTTGACTGTACCAGGTGGCTCCATCGTCAACGTCTCCAGCACGTCGGGGCTCAGAGGGCTTCCCAACAATGCCGCCTACGCTTCGAGTAAATTTGGAGTCATTGGCCTGACCGAGTCAAGCGCAGCAGAGTATGGAAAGAAAGGTATCAGAGTGAACGCCGTCTTGCCTGGCCCAATCGACACCAAGATTTTCCGCGAGGGCGAGGCGAAGGGCTTGTTCAATGCGGACGTAGTCAGCGCCGGCACACTAATGGGTCGAATGGGCCAAGCAGAAGAAGTGGCCAAGGTCCTGGTGTTCCTACTAAGCGATGATGCATCATATGTCACTGGAGGTGAGAGGTCCAACTTCCCTATTTTCTCCGATACTGAATATGACTCCAGCGCACTGGACGGTGGATGGAGGGTATGCGGCGTGTGGCTTCTACCGGGCTGGATGAATGATATTATCCAACTCTGGCGATACAACCGGGGTCTTCCGGCCAGTGGTTTAGTATGACTAGATTTCGATGGCCAGGGTGGACGCTGCATACTTGGGTACTGGAGGATCTGTGCCAGGGGATCACAAAGATGGCATAGCAGTAGTCGTTAAGTCCATCCATACACGCCTTGAATGTCGGTTTCTTGTCAAAGTTTGCGTAGTGGGCTATCAGGATGAGGCTGTATGTCTAGAAGAACTGACAGGAGTGGGCCGTGCTGTTATTATTGACTGCAGAAGGGGGGTACACTGTCACGGTTGACTGGAGGAGGGGGTGGTCAAACTTAGGCATTGACCTAGGCAATCCCAGCCTTGCCCCTTAGCCGGGAGGGTAGACACGCCTAGAATAGTCGAGGCTCCCATTGGATAGAGAACATAGAACATCCCTCCTTTAACAGGGGGAAGTTGTGAATGAATAGAATGAGCTTGGAGCGAACACCGGCAGGAAGAGGTACCGAAGTAGAAAGCAGCATTGCAGGAGCAGGTCTAGTCCGGCAAGTCACAAGACCAAGTCAGGAGGGACATCGGTATCATCTTCACCTGGTTGTTATATGGATATCTTAACAACGCTCTGGTGTTCATTGCGTGGCCCAGACGGCGGTCATATAGAGAGGTGAGGGAAAGAAGCGGGAAGCATTGTCGTCGGGGTCTGAATTCATCCTAGTTTCAAGGAGATGATCGACCAGCCGGTCCATGTTGAGCCATATGGCCATCTCAACATTTCCTCTAGGATATCATGGCCATTCTCATCTGTTTGTTGGGGGTTTGAAGCAGATATGATCTGACTGGCGCGCACTAGTGCCAGAGCTTGACCACCGGCTCTGGAGGCTTTAACGAGGGCGTCCATATCTGAAAGCTTGTAATTAGATTGGTCTAAAGTCTTTCTTTCTATCTGTCGAATCAGGCCAGGTCCTCTTAACAATTTTGACTACATATAGGCTTAAATTTCTAAAAACAAAACTCTCAATCCGTATAACTTCTTGTTTCGTTGCGTGGTTTGCCAAGAGAGGTAAACCTATTCCGCTGCCTCCCTCGTTGCTAGGTAGTCTTTGCCGTGCATGTACGGAGTCCGCTATCCGGAGTCCGCTCGAGCTTCTCCATTCCTTGCTAAATTGAGCGTTTGGCCGTGACGCGCTTATGTAACCCCATTTAGTCGCCATCCCGTCACGCCCAACAGCAACTCTATATAACTCCTGGATCTCTCGTCTTTGACTCATTATTTACTCGTCCCTCACTCATCCACGTCTGGTCATGGCTCGATCAGTCGAAGCTGCTCTAGTTGCTCTAGAAGAGGCTACTAACTTTACTGTACGCACTCCGTGGGACGAGCCATGGAGTGCACTGGCTAGCATACAGGAGCAAGATCGCGACACCTACGTAAACTGGCTGCAATCGATGCCAGCTCTCTCCCCTCAAACATGGAGCGCCATTCGCTGGAATTGGATTGCTTTTCTCTCAGCTACCAGTACCGAACCAAGCATCGATCTAGCTCCAAACCGGAAAACAGTTCAGTTCATCAGAGCCTCTCCCCAGCAGCAGAATCAGCAACGCTTTGACAATGACCGAAGGCTGCGTTGCGCTATTCAGGTTTCCATTTGGCGGCTTTTCGACGAGCTCGAAGGTCTCACTGAGAGATGGCCTTGTCAGGCACGCTTGGTTCTCAATCGTCTACCCATCTCGACCTCGACTCGACCTTTCCAGACCTTAGCGGCAAAGTTCAATTTCGCCCGACGCCGCCGATTCAATGCCGTCTGGACGGCCCTGCTGTGCTTCCTGGTACATACTGCTGATGACAACGGTGCTTTGGAAGAGATGGGATTACATTTGAGTGATGACACATGGGACGACATCCTGGATATCAAGTCAGCCCATCTCTACCCCCGGTATCCGGAGATGATACAGGACGCGTTGTAGTTTATGTGTCAAGATGGTTATCGATCCGCGCCCAACTCCTTCCACCAACCCCCTTCTCTGGTGGCTGATAGTCCTGGTGCAGTCTGCCATGGGCCCTCTCCAGCAATACGACTGTATCAGCAGAGGACAGTTCCAAGAGAACATCCTCCCTATGGATATTGATGTTCGAACCCGCGTCGAGGCGGTGCAGCTTTACGCAAAAGTCTTGATCTTAAACCGCGCCTTTCGCAAGTGGGGGCCACCCAACCGAGACTGGATCCTCGAGGTAGGCAATGATTTGAATATGGTGGACACCATGTGGCTGAATGAGGACACTGATCAGCGACCACCGGAGGAGCGTGATTCAAGGACTTGCGATTCAAAAGCCTGGCTAGAGATGCTTGACCGGCTAGAGGTCTACTCCGTGAAGTACCTAGGGGGGGAAGATGAGACGGTGCTTGCGAAAGCTTTGAAACTACTTCAATCGGTCTTGCCTGTCAAGCTCGTTTCTCTATCAGTTACTTACTCTGCTTACTTGATCCTACCTACTTTGTGCGGCTTGTTCTACATTGCTTTATATATGCTAACGTCTAGTGTGGCTACTTATGTGGAAAGTGGAGACGGCTTAGACCGGCCTGATTGGTTCTGGTGTTTCTAGCACATACTGTAATTAATCCTTAGTTTTGATCAACGCCCTTTGACACCAACGAGTAATTGGCTATAATGGCGCCATTCAGCACGAGATTTACAGCTATATAGCATATATTGCTTTGCTCCGCTTCGCTTACAGTAGTTAGATGGTTAACAAGCTCCAGCAGGACCATCTCCATACGAACACGAAGCCTCCTGTCTGCTTCGCGTTGAGACGCTCAATCGCGATGGCCATAGATCTAGATCGAACTGCCTTACTGCTGATTGACATACAAAAGGCCTTTGATGATACGCTATATTGGGGGCCCAGGTACGTGAACGGCTGTAACCATATCAGCCTTTATCGTTGACCTTACTCTTCTCATTAGATCAAACCCACAATTTGAGACCAATATCACCAACCTTCTAGAGAAATTCCGCGCGGCCCGTCAAATCTCCGCCTCCGGCAAAAAGCCCCTCATCATACACGTCCACCATATTTCGGAGAATCCAGAATCACCACTCCGTCCAGGCGCTCCCGGTGTAGCATTCCAAGACTATGCCCTTCCAGACAAATCGTCATTTGAAGTCGTCATCTCCAAGACAGTCAACTCGGCCTTCATCGGTACGCCACTGGAGGCGATCTTGCGCGAGCATAAGATACGCCGCCTCTATGTTGCGGGCTTGACAACAGACCATTGCGTCTCGACTAGTGTGAGAATGGCTGGCAATCTCAAGGTGACTGATGTTTTCGATGCGGATGGGAAAACACAAGAGGAAGGTGATGGGACTTTCCTTGTCGAAGATGCTACGGCTGCTCATGCGAAAGGTGGATTTGATGCTGAGCTGGTTCACGCTGTTCATGCCGAGAGCTTGAAAGAGTTTGCTACAGTGGTGAAGACAAGCGAGGTGATTGAATCTCTGGAGTCGATTTACCCAACTATCTAGACTTTGTCAGGAGACTTGAGTAGGCGCCAATGTTTGACATCCCCAGCTGTAGATTGTTGTTTGTTTTGGTAGCCTCTTCAAATGTTCAGTTAAGTCGACACTAGACTCAGACTGTGGGTCTTTGTGTCAAAGGTTGAAATGTTCTATATTCGCTCTCAAAGTGGTATAGGGGATTTCCACACTATATAGGTGTGGCCGAGTGCCTATACCAGCCTTCTGGTTGAAGCACAAGGCTGGGAATGCCTAAGTTAGTGCCTAAGTTTGACCCTTTGCCGCCTTTCTTGTCTTGATATCCTCCGCTTTGATTGATTTCCGCTCGGCGAGCAATGCGACGAATAAAGTCACCCCTGCTAATGCAATGCTCCAAATCCAAGCCTTTTTGAGCCCGTAAAGATAAGCTTCGACCACTGTAGACAAGTCATTTGGATTGGGAAATGCTCGACGTAGGCCCGAGGCACCAGCAGCCAATACTTTCGCCGGCGAGATGGCTGGGTTGGTGGAAGGAAGATGTGAAATAAGTTCGTTGGTCATGATACTTTGCGCTCCAGAAACTCCAATGGTGCCACCGACAAACTGGTAGACTGGACACCTCGTCAACAACTGGAATAAGCTCAAAGCTTGTTCGGTAGACTTACATAAGCTGACGGCAATTGCGACCGCCAGATCCTTGCGTTCAGATATGCTTTGGGCTACAATGGCCGGGACCTGGATGGTCAGACCCATTCCAATTCCAGCGACGATTTGATAGCCAATGTAATGTGACGCCGGAGAGTGAACTCCAAGGGTATAGATTAGACCGGCGCCGACTGTGATGAAAACAGACCCCAGCAGAAGGAAAGGTTGGTAGTACCCAACTCTGCCCAGGAGAGTCGAAGACACGAGACTGGATATTGCTGGTAGAATCAGCAACAGAAAGATCGTGGCCGGTTGTGAGTGACATACAAATTGACAGAACTGATGGCAGGGTGCGGACGCCGCTTGTCGACGGGGATACACCCTGCACTGCCTGGAAATATATGGGAAGGTTGTAGACCCGTGCGAAGCCAGCAGCGTTGGATCTAGTTTGAGGGTTATCAATGGACACAAAGTAATGGACTTTGACAAGGCAAACTCTTACAAAAAGCTAAAGACGGCACAGACGGCAATGCTTCTGCGTGTCATGATGGACCCAGGAATCATAGCTTTGTCACCTTGTTTCCACTCGATGAGAGCAAAGACGATCAGAAGTAGGCCAAACCCGACGAGTAAGCCGATGGGGATACTGGAGCTCCACGGTTTTGTGATGCCACCGTCTTGCAAGGCCAAACAGAAGCATATCAACGACCCCAAGAGGACGGCAACTCCGGGAAAGTCGAACAGAAGCGCCAGTTGCTTCGGCTTCGCCCTTGCAATTCTCGAATGAGCAGGAGTCGTGAAGCAGAGCAGAATGATCAGCATGGTGGCACCACCGATGGGGAGGTTGATCCAGAAGCACCATCGCCACGTCACATCCTGGGTGAACACACCGCCGAGCACGGGACCGAGCACTGAAGAGCAGCTCCAGACGGTGCCAAAGATACCCATGACGGCCGGGAGGCGGTTTGGAGGTGTGATGAAAGCGCAGATGACATAGCAGCCACCAGTGATGCCTGCACCGCCGGCACCCTGGATGGCTCGACCGACAATGACGGTGGTACTGTTCTGCGCCAGGGCGACAACCAAACTTCCCACCTCAAAGATAACGATGCAGACCAGAAAAACAATCTTGAGTGGAAAGTACTTGTAGGCCTTGCCCCAGAAGGCCTGGAAGGCCGCCAGGCACATGAAGAAGGATGATCCATACCATCCAACTTGGTCGACGCTGTGGAATTTGACGGTGATGGTGGGAATGGCGGTGGCGATGATATTCTAAGTGTCACCCTGTGGTCAGAATCTTCCAGGCCGTAGTCGAGGTCAAGGCGGTGCAGACGGACGTACCATATCCAAGGCGACGAGGAATTGGGCCAAGAGCAAGGCAACCAGGATGACCGCCTGGAGCAGGACACTGGGATAGGTGATCTGAAATGCTGGAGGCGCCGTGGCCGGTTTGGGGGTTGCAGGCGTATGGGTGACAGGGTCTCTGGCTGCGCTGTCGCTGGGGGCAGGTGACTCTGTCTTGAGTTCGGTAGAGGCCATGACCGCGTAAGACTCGGTCTGGGAAAGAAGGGTACTGTAGGCTTGCCGATCGGAAATGTGGGCGGTAGAAAAGAGATGTGATTGAGGTCGAACTGGTTGCTGGTCTCGCCCGCTACGATTGAAGCAGCTCCCACCGCAGTCCACACGTGCATTAATGGCATACACCAATACGAGGACGAAGTCGAGTCGCTCTCCTCTCCTACTACCATCGGTGCCTTTCACTCGGCGACTTCTGACCGGGCAGTTCTTGCGCACGTATGCCCGGCCTCTCTTGTCAGGGCCATTGATCACTGGCTCAACCACAAGCCCCGATTGTGCCTGTTCTCGCCGTCATTGGCTGTACATACTAGTCTCCTACGGGAGCCACTTCTCCGGCTTACGGGTTGATCAGCAAGGGTGAGAGGTGTGAAACACATTCTGGTTCTCTGATAGGGGAGAGTCTCGGCTGTGGTTCAAACTCCGAGACCGCCTGCAGATCCCGACGGCACAGGGAAAAAGCTTGATCATGTGGTACTACTCGTAGGCAGTAGGTACTGTATTACATGCAGTAGCTTAGGTTGCCCAACCTCTTCCCGCCCGTGACATCGATTTGATGTTACCATAGCAGGACGTGCCACACCTCCTTTGGGAGCTCACACCGCCGTATCCTCCTTAGCAGTGGTCGGCTCGGGTTCGGGGCGTCCAAGCCGGCTCATCATCGTCTTCCACTGTTGGCCTTTGGCAGGGAAAAGCATTCCTGTTCGGTCGGCCGTATTGCTAGCATCACCGGTGGACCTACTGGTGGAAATCCTGCAAGATCCTGTAAAGATGGGGAAGACAAGCTGATCAGTGTTTCATCAAGGAAGCAACAGACATCGGGGCGACCCACCCATTGCAAATGGCCGCATGTTGAGATAGATGGTTTCCCAGTGTCGTGCAGGGACGTCGTATACCTCGTGCATGATTCCCACATGGTACCCGCTCGCACTGGCCTGTCGCTGATATTCCTGCACCAACTTGGGATGCATGCTGCTGATGGCAAAGTGGTGCAGTGCTTCGGGTGTCTCCCAATACAACAGCCAGATGATGGTGTTGTTTGCGGAATCCTCCGAAGATACCAGGGCGGGAGTGTGACCGAGAACTGTGGTCGCGTCAGGCTAGAGTAGAGCAGTCGCTTTGCGAGGCACGGAGGCACACTTACAGCCCCATACTTTCGGGTCTTCTTCCAGCTGTTGGTACAGCTGCTGCATGCCTTGCATGATATCCAAGAGACCCGGTGCGAGGAGCCCGGCGGGACTATGGCAAACGGAGCATCAGCAATCCATCGTCTACCGGGCTCACGCTCCAGCAGCACGCGTACTGGTGTACTCTGGCCCCAAGCACCATTACAGTCACTTGCTTAGCCGACGGGCTCTCTGCCTCCACACCCTCCTGCGACAGCATCTTGGTTGTCCATCTCCCGGATCGCACCCCATCCAAGGCACTATTGTGAATGATACCTGCCGTGGCGGCTAGGCTGTGCCCGATGCGAACTGAAATGAGCACCAGCGGGAGAAGCATGGCCAGGCGGAGCGGAACCAACTGGACCAGGAAACATTGACAGAGCGCCGCTCCAGCGAGCCACGTAGACAGCGAGAAGCCATCTCGTATCGAAGCTGACACCGACTCCCGCATTGGTAACCGAAGATGGATAGGCGTGATGCTGAAGCCTGAAGGAAGGAGGTTTGCGTAACACTGCACCGAACTTGATGCGTGACTGCACTGGCTGCTTCCCACCCTGTCTCTTATATCGGCTCCGAGGTTCAGCAACAGGGTTGAACAGGGTAGAGGATTTGCAGTGTTGCATGACACTTTGCATCGGTTGGTGAGCCACGTCAGGCCCTCGGGTCCTTTGTAGCATAGCTGATTGGCCTGCCGGCTGCTTTGGACTCTATCGAGGCTGACATGGGACATAGTGTCACATAGACTCACATGACCATAAAACGACGTTCTGGTAGACTTCGGGGATTGTGGAGATGATCGATGATCGTGTTTCGACCATTGATCCTTGAACACTGGCGTGCAAAATGTTTTCAATTCAGAGCAGTCGTCCTGATCCACCCAACCCGGGCAATCACCGATCAAGAGTCCTCAACACCAAGCAACCGATTGGAAATCGCACAGATTCTCATGAGGCATACTGTCAATGCGCCCGGGAGGCTGCGGAAATCTGGTCGCTGATCCAGCATCTCCCCGAAGTCAGTCTCGATATTGTCATGGCTGCAAGCGATCAAGCTCTTGAAGTCTGGGGCAAATCTCAAGCTTGTCAGGCATGTCCCAGAAGCTTCTACGAGACCCTATCCAAGGTCTATGCGAAGCTGGTGGACTGGTTCGAGTCGGCCGTGGCCACGTATACCACACCCTCGGCGCCATCGTCCATCTCGGGAGACAAAGTCGCCAGAACTGACACTGCCGAGTCAGTGGCGGATGACCTAGCCACAACCACATCCGAGCGAGATCAGCGACAGCGATTGCCACAGAGTAGAGGTATCCGAGCATCTCCGGCCCGGGCAGTGTGCCTACCTTCGCCCATGTCGCTTGGGGAATATGAGTTCGATGAGGAGCAAAGCCGACATCTGGCCTTTGACCTGATCGGTAAAAAGCTGAAGGAGCTGGCCGCTGTACTGCACCAGATGCAGCAGATGCAGCTTGAAAGTCACAGTGATACGCATGATGTAGGACACGGCCTGAATGCCACGTTTGCTCGGACCTTGAGGTTGCTGAGCAGCCAAAATACCGCTTTGGCGAATAACTAGACCTTGGGAAACCGTATAAGAAGAGTCCAAATTCCGAGACTATGTGTAAACTCCCTTTCGATAAAGGCAAAGTAGAAAGGTGTCTACTGTGTACCAGACATTAAATTCTCGTGAACAGTCTGGGCCCATGTTCGGGTCATTTCGGTTCTGTCGACTCACTCGTGACTTATGGTGCTCACATCCCAGATATATTTTGACAGGGGACTGCATTTCCCACCACCTCGAAATCGAAGCAAACTCACAATTGTTCGCCCAAAGGGCCATGGCGAGAAACGATAACAGCCACGGCGAACGGAAGCCCACATTCCAGCCTACCATTCTTCCAGATCACCAGCCTCCATTTTGTCTCCCGGTCCCCGGAGCCCGGCCGACTCCAGGAGAGACGCCCCCTTTCCGCAATGCACGAGCTCTCCAAGATTTGCGATGCATTCCCGAGAACGGCATCAACACAGTCATAGACCTCGTCAGGAGGGCGTCACGCAAGTTCGGACCGCTCCCGGCAGTGGGAGTACGAGGGAGGATTCAGACTCACGTCGGACCCGGTCCAGGTCAGTCTGGTGGCGGCACAAAACAAACGTGCCTTCCAGAACTGTCGGGATACGAGTATACATCCTATCGCGACTATGACAAGCGTGTCACCGACATCGGTGCCGGTCTGGTCAAGCTGGGTCTCCGTCCACGCGGGGACAAAATCTGTATCTGGGCACAGACGAGGTAGGATGCTCCGGTCAGGATAGCAGCCGGTCTTCTTTATTAACACCCCTCGCAGCGTACACTGGCTAGCTCTGTTTCACGGGGCTGCGTCTCAGTCAATTGCGACGGTGACGGCCTACAGTAGCCTAGGATTGTCCGGGCTTCAGCATGCTCTGGTTGCCACCAAGACAGCCGCCCTCTTCGTCGATGAAGACTCCGTGTCTCGACTGGGAGACGTACTTCGGACCACCGTGGATGTGCGTGTGGTCGTGTACAGTGGCGACCCGGATTCCTGTTCAGCTGAAATCGGAAGGTTAAGGACAACTGCGGCACACATTGTCTTTGTCCATCTGGACGAGGTATCCTCCATTGGCCGCCAAAGCCCGTGTGCGGCTCAACTGCCCAATGCCGAGGATCTCTGTGCCATCTTCTTCACTTCTGGGTCCACGGGAGATCCAAAGGGGGTGCCCATCAAGCACAAAAATGTCGTTGCAGCAGGTACGCAAGTGCAAAACCCGCCCCGATATGCTCCCTCTGCTGTCGACTGACACGGTTTGCCTAGTGGCTGGCTTCGACATCGTCCTTGGCCGCCATTTCGACAACACCGACCGGTATTTGGCATACCTGCCCCTGGCCCACGTACTGGAATTTGCGTTTGAGCACTGCTGCTTGTTCTGGGGGGTCTGCTTGGGTTACGGGAGCCCGCGGACTTTATTTGACTCTGCTGTGTACGCATGCAAGGGCGACCTTCGAGAGCTACGCCCCACGTATATGATCGGCGTGCCAGCGATCTGGGAGACTGCCCGCAAGGCAATTCTTGCCCTGGTTCGAACATTCAGCCCCGGCAAGCAAGCAATTTTCTGGGAAACCCTGGAAGCAAAGAAAGCTGCCATCGGCAGCGGCGCCACCTTCTCACGTCAACAAGATGACACTGTTTTCTTCCAAGCTCGGGAACCGCTTGGCGGCAGCCTTCGGTTCATGCTCACTGGAGGTGGCCCGATCGCTGAGCCGACTCAGGAATTTCTTTCTTTCGTCGTAGCACCCTTGATAAACGGTTTTGGCTTGACCGAGACCATGGCGTAAGTGTCCACCACATTTCTTGCCCTAACTGGATCAACCTGGACCCTTCTCTGATCCTTTACGGCTGACTCCTCTAGTGTTGGAGGGATCATGGATCCATGCCAGTGGCATACGGGCTCTCTCGGCAGCATACCGGGTTGCGTAGAGATCAAACTCGTCGACCACGAAGAAGCCGGCTACACCACCGCCACTGAGCCACCCGAAGGAGAGATATGGATCCGAGGAGCGAGCGTGGCCGAGGGCTACTGGCAGAACGAAGAGGAGACGGAGAAATCATTCACACGCGACGGCTGGTTCAAGACCGGCGACATCGGCCGCATTGACGATCGCGGGGCGATTTCCATCATTGACAGGAAGAAGAACCTCGTCAAGACCCTCAAGGGAGAATATATCGCCGTCGAAAAGGCAAGTGCGCGGCAGCCTTTCCTCCGAGTCACGCTGACCTCCCACCCGGTAGCTCGAGTCCATCTACCGAGCCAGTCCGGTGGTCTCCAACATCTGCATTTCCGCCGACAGCACCAGGGCCAAACCCATTGCCATCATCATTCCCGTGCAGAGCGTCTTGCAAAATCTAGCGGCTTCTCCTCTTGACATGACCGATCCAGCCCGTGTTGCAGAGACCCAGCAGCTTGTCTTGCTTCGGCTGCTAGAGCATGCGCATCAGCACAATCTGCCCAGCATCGAGACGATAGAAGCCGTGGTGATATCGCCACTCCATGAATGGACACCTATGAATGTGAGTGACCTCAGACGCGGGCAAAGGAACACAGTCGGTGTGCTGACATGAAGTTCCACAGGGAATGACGACTGTCGTGGGGAAATTGAACCGGAAAGCTATCTTAAAAAGGCATGAAGAACATATCAGATTGTTGTATGTGGATGAGACGGAGCACGTATAATCCTTACAGTAGTGCCCCCATAGGTAGTATCCGTGCTTGTAGAATACCTCATTCAGCTCGTGTTATCTTGGTTCTCATGCTCGGTTTCCATCCTAACAACAAGTGATGGTAGTTTCCGAAATATCTCACAGACAGCCTCGACAGACCCTCTGCTACTCCTCCATCATGGCAATCAAATCCGTCGGAACCAGTGCACTCTTCTTTGCCAGCTTGACAGCCAACTGCGCCAGTGGAACTGGGGAAAGCACCTCAAACACAGACACGTCACATTTCAGCTCCTTAAACACCCAATTCCGCACCTCGATGGCCTTCAAAGAGTCCACGCCGAGCGCGTACAGTGGCTTGTCACCGTCGATATCTTCCGGCATGGCCGTCATGGCTGCAGCGAGATGCGTGCGCAGTGCAGTCTCGACAAGAGCTACCGCCTCTGTGCCGCTGCTAGCCTTTTGAAGCTGTGACTCCAGGCTTTGGGTTGGACCACCGGCATTCGAGTCCGAACGACTGCCAGAGGCCCTGCAGATGCGATGGTCAAACTTACGCTCCTTAGACCACGGGTTCAGGCTTTCCGAGCCGCGCGGAACCGAGCCGTTCAGGCCGACGAGGAGTTGGGCTGGTAGAGGTTGAATCGGAGTCGGAGACTCAGTGTGTGCTTTGGCCATCCTTGCCTCGCGCATCACAGCCTCGATCATGATCTGCATTTCCCGGTCTGTCACAAGTGCCGATGTCCAATGGCTGTACCGCTTGAGATAGTCCTCGATGGTGGCGTCGGCGTCGAAGTGGCTCGCATCAGTGACGAGACCCACGTCGAGTGTCGTGGCCGCGAGGCCCTGTGCGCGACGGTAGTGCGCCAAAGCATCCTCATACGTATTACCGGCCGCATAGTTGGCCTGCGCGGCGTTGCCTATAATCCCAGACATGGACGAGAGCATGATGAAGAAGTCGAGCTCTTTAGGCAGACAGTCATGCAGATTCCAGCTGCCTTTGATCTTCGGCTGCGTCGCCCCCATCCATTTGTCGAAAGTCATGTTCTCAAAGATACTGTCCTGTTCCTGAAATTAGCAGCCAAATACAACCGGGGTGGAGGGAACTCACCTTGAGAACCATGGCGCACTGGATCAAGCCTCTGATAGACCAGAGCTTCTCCCGGCCTAGTTTGGCGACGTTCATGACTTGCTCGCGATCAACAACGTCGCAGCTCACCGTGTCAACTCGACACCCGCGTTGTATCAGTTGGTGAACGGCATTCTCTTGACGTGTATTGGTCATTCCGGACCGGGACAGCAGGACCAAATGTCGAGCTCCGTGAGTCACCATATTTTCAGCAATTGTGAGCCCCAACGCTCCAAGACCTCCTGCGATGATGTAAGTTGCCGTGGGTTCCAATGACAGCGACAAGGGTCGGCGAGGAGTCACAGATATCATGGCATTTTTGTCAAAGTGGATGGTGGCACTAGAGCCCGGCGTGTCCCTCAACGTGCTCCACGCGTTTTCCAGCTTGTCAACGGAGAAGACGGGTGCAGGAATTTGCAACCGGATGACCGAACAAATGAGTGGAAGGGTGGCCTTGAAGAGACTCGCCAGGTTTGCCTCTCCCACTCGCCCCAAATCCACCCATGAGAAGCTAGCATTTTTATCGAACGCGTGTGAGCTGATATCAGTCAGTTCAAGCTTCACGCTCAAGTCGATGAAATGACCCGACTCGGCGACACAGCGACTCGCCTGGCGACGAGACGGTCCAGTCTGGTCATTGATGACAACGTGAAAGCCTTGTCCGCCAGTTGCTTTCATCAAGGAGCGCACCAAGTCTCTAGCTGAGGTGTCGAAGATACGTGTTTCAGAGACTTGATACTGGCGCATTAGTATGTCTCGTTCTGCTCTGGATGTCACTGCAACAAACACTTTGCAAGAATTGTGTCTTGCGATCTGAATAATGGCGATTCGGAGCGCTTGGTTTCCAACACTGACAAGAACACTCTGGCCAGCTGCCACACGGGCGATGTTATGCAGGGAATGGTACGCACCCATGGCCGAACTCAATAGGCGAGGCACCTCCCGGGACGTGAGGCCCTCTGGAAGTTTGCACACCAAGCATTGGTGTTGACGTACATGTGTCCTGAATGCACCACTGCGAGGACTGAGGAAAATGGCCTCGTCACCGACCAGAAGGCCAACAACATCTGCTCCAGTACGGGCGACAACACCGGTCCCAACACGGCCTCTTGCTGTATGCTGTGCGGTGTCATTCGGGACGCCCAGCTCTGACGAGTCGATGGAAAAGTACTTGATCTCAATCTCTATCTCATCGTCCGCAATTGGGGCCAAGGCAATCGGGTCGTCTTCCCAGTGCAATTGGCTGGTAGAATTTGTCGAGTCAAGGCTGACGAGTTTCAAGGGTCTTCCTTGCTGTTCTGATGCTGGAGCTAGAACAGGGGTGGGTCGTTCTGCATGGGCATTGACTTCTCCATCCAAGGTCTTGTTCCCGAAGATCCTAGGAACAAAAAGCGACCCGTTCCGCTCGGTAAACTCGGTCTCGGCACCTTCACGGACAGAAAAGTCCGGGTGCAGGGTCGCGGCGAAGACACCCCATACAAGCGCCGATGTAGATGCTTTTTCAAGGTCGATGGATGGCGAGAGGTCCAGGTGAGGAATAGCGATCTGGGGAATTTCCGTCCTGATCGTCCGAAGCAGACCGGTTGTCGGGGCAAACTGCACCGATGGTCTGCCTCGGTCGAGGATGCCACCCCTGGTCAGCCAGAGGACGTACGCCTGGGAAAGGGCCAGCTGTCGGAATTGATCAAATTGAGCTTCCGCCCAGTTCAGGACAAGTGGCTCTTCGATGTCCAGAAGCGAAATCCACTTCTGTCCGGCTTGGTCACCTATTTCACCAAGAGCCTTGGTGACCAGAGTGATGCCCTGGGCTGCAAAGGTGGCGCTCAAGAGCTGCCGGAACCGAATAAGCCGTGTAGATGCATTCGCTGGCTCAAGAATATAAACCACTTCGTTCTCTCGAGGAGCCTCGCGAGAAGAGGTGCTGCTAACCAGCACACAACCGGCGTTGTCACTCAATTTTAATAGAGTCTTGTTCAAGCCGTATCCTTCCAGACTACGTTCCAAAGTAGTGGCATCGGCATCGTCACAAAGGAGCATCAGCTTGGCACCAGCTGCGAGCTGTGAGATCCCTTGTTCAAGGTGATCTCGCTGGACGGGGTCGGTGGTATCATGGACAAAAATGACCAGGTTGCTGTGTTCTCCCGTTTCAAGCCATGAAGTGATTTGTACAGCCATCACGTTCGCATCCTTGAGTTTGGGATGGCTTTCCAGATACCTATGGACCTCAGGAGTTGCCGCTGCGATGGAGACTTGTGCCAGTCGCCTTTCAACTCCTGCTATTGGGGCAAATGCGGACAGGAGGTCGACGAGCAAATCCGCAGACCGAACAGTCTCGGCGACAGCAACAACCTTGAGATCAGCGCGTTTGAAGCATGCCAAATCCAGCCACGCTGCTGCTTTTGCGACGATGGAAGCCATGGCAGGGCCTTGATAGGTTTTGAAATCTCTTTCGACCAGTGCATTGGACCTCGCCAGGTTTAGAAGGTCGATGTCTTCCATCCAGTGTAGTTCGGAGATCCGCTTTGGCAGCATGGTCGTCTGTGGCCCGTCACTGCTGACTTTGGTGGCCGCCGAGGAGGAAACTTTGCGTACAATCAAGTTGTTCAGCGTGACCTTTGGCCCTGACCAGGACTTGTCCGACACAATCAGATCCCCAGAGGAGTCTCTCTCGTCGATCTTTCGGGCAGTTGCGTAGCCCACGAACTCCTCGCCAGCACGCACTGGCTGAGAAAGCGCGACGAACATATTCTCAATGCTGACCGGGACAGCAGCGTCGCTCATGGGATTTCCTTCGAAAAGTGCCACAAATATGAGATGGAATATGGCATCTAAAGTCGCGGGATGAATCACGTGGGGATACTCGTGGCCGGATGGCATGGATAATTTGGTGTCTGGAATTGCGACGATGCCATGACCAATCCGCCTACTTTCTATCGCAGCGGCGATGTTTAGATTGGCAAAAGCTGGACCATAGCCCATACCGACGTCTGCCAGTTGCGTGTAGAAAGATTTTGGGTCAATCGTGACGTTCGCCGCTGCTTTGATCGATTCGAACTTAGCTCTCTCATGCTGCCACTCGGAATCATCGCCTCTTCCGCCTGCTTGTTCCTCGTCAGGGACCAGCGAGAGCAGGCCGAAGGCGTGCCTCTTCCATGTTGCGTCGCTGTCGCGAGAGTAAATCGTCCAGTGGAACCATGAATCCAATGTCTCGTGAGGCCTCAGGCTCACGTTTGTTTCCACCGCTTCGTCAGAATCTGGCACCACCAAGCCGCGTTCGAAACGGACGTCATGGAACTCAATTCCAAGTACCATATGCTGCCGTGCCGCAGCTATCTGCAAGACAGCCTCGAGAGCCATGATCAGCATACCTGCCGCAGGATACAAGATAGTGCCTGTGATGGCATGGTCTTTCATCCACGGGTTCTCTGACAGCCGCAAGAAATTCTTCCACTGCGGTTCGTGTGGATTTTGGTTCTCAGTCGGAATGCCCAGAAGGTCTGTCCGAGGCTGAGTGATCAACCTGATGGCCGCCGAACTACTGGATTCATGCCAGAAGCCCCTGTTGTGCTGCCACGGGTAGGGCGGTAGGTGGCCGAGAGTACTCAATGCTTTGCTGTGGGCTGGATCCATATTGTTCACGCTGAGGACATCAATAGGATGGCCGAGCGCCCAAAGTAACCCTGCCGCTTCTGTAGCTGATTTGTCGGCTGGTTCCCCTCGACGTAGCACGGAAGTGTATGGAATCAGAGCACTTGCTTTCTTGCTTCCAGCTGCCGAAACACATTGTTGGAAAGGGCCCTTGAGAGCCTCGTGAGGTCCGATCTCAACTGCGGCGCACCAATTGACCGGTTTCTTTTTCTTTCCCTTGGAGCCAAGATATGAAAACGCAAGAAGATTGTCCATGGCTTCGGAAAATCGCACGGCGGAGACCATGTTCGTAACCCAGTAGCTAGCATTCACCCGGTTGGGTGTGTCCAACTGTTTGGTGGTGACAGAAGAGAACATCGGGACTCGGAAAGCGCTCGTAGGCTCGATGGCATTGAGCGACTCCAGGAAGTCTTGAGCAACCGCCTGCATATGAGGTGAATGGTATGCAACCTCGACCCGGAGTTTGCGGGCAAATTTCCCGTCTAACTTAATTCGTTCTTCCAGGTACGAGATGGCTTGAACATCGCCTGAGAGGGTCACACTCGACGGACTGTTCATGCAGCCGATAACGACAGAGTCTTCGGCAACTTCTTGGAGGTACCGCTGTGCCTCTTGCACAGTCAGCCCAGCAGCCAACATTGCTCCTCGTTTCTCTTTCAAACGCGATTGAATTTGGCCACAATAGTACCCTCGCATGTAGGATATCCTCACCGCGTCTTTGTGGCAAATGCCACCGGCAGCGTAGGCAGCCCCTATTTCGCCGCTAGAGTGACCGATTGTAGCACGGGGATTAACACCCCAGGACGCGAGTAAATCAACCAGCGCGATCTGGAGAATGGTACAGACTGGCTGGCAATGTTCCGCGAGATTGATTCTTGGGCCCGGGTCGCGGAGAAGATCGGCGGCATTCCAAGAACATCCGAGTTCATCCAGATACGACTGGCTTTTCGCCATGCTTCCGCAAAAGGTTGGGTACTTTAGCAGCTCACGGCCCATCAAGGGCCACTGTGCTCCTTGCCCAGTGAAGACGAATATGATGTTTTCCGGCTGTCCCTGTCGTTTCTGCTTGAGACTTGACAGTTGATTCAGTCCATCAGTGGCGAGTTCGTTCACCGTACGGCTGACGGCAAATGATCGGATGCCAAAGTGGGATCGGCGGTATGCCAATGTATATGCGAGATCATCCAAGTCGATATGAGGTCGTCTTCCATTCGAAGAATCTTCCAAAAGGTACTTGCCCAGGCTTTTCGACAGACGGTCCAGTCCATTTTGATCCTGGGTAGAGAATAGCAGTAATTTGAAGTCTCCCGAGCCATTCTGTTCGAAATCAGCCCCTTTTGAAGAGTATACCTCGCCTGATAATGGGGGATTCTCCCGAGTACAGTGGCGGCCTTCAAGTCCCCGGCTTTTGAGATAGTGGCAGGCGTCGTCGAGAATCACATGCGCGTTTGCGCCTCCGAAGCCGAAGCTGTTGACACTTGCACGGCGAAGACCGTCGGATGGCCAGGGCATGGATTCAAGTGGCAGGGCGAGTTTCCAACTTTCGAGCAGGAGCTTCGAATTCAGACTCTTGAATCCCACTAGACCGGGGATGATCGCATTCTCCAAGCTCAGAACTGTCTTGATCACACCAGCGAGGCCAGCCATGCCTTCAGTATGACCTACATTTGTCTTGACACTGCCGACGTAAAGGGGATCGTCATTGGTACGGTCAATGCCAAAACTGGCACCGATAGCCGAGAGCTCAATGGGATCCTAAAGTCCTTGTCAGCTACCATGATACTTTATGTGGGCATAAGTCCCTACTCCTATCTTTGTCCCTGTTCCATGTGCCTCAAAATAGGTTGTTTGTGCGGTCGATAGTCCGGCAGTGGAATACGTGAAATTGATAAGCCTAGACTGAGCGTCTTTGCTCGGCATGGTAATGCCTGGCGTCTTCCCGTCCTGGTTGGCACCACTGCCTCGAATGACGGCCCGAATAGTGTCACCATCGGCGAGGGCCTTGGACAATGGCTTTATGAGAATGGCGCCGATGGCCTCACCACGTGCATAGCCATTTGCTCTCTCATCGAAGGAGTGACTGATGCCGTCAGGGCTCAACATGTGCATGGATGAGAGCTGAGAAATGAAGTTCGGGTGGAGGATAAGATTGACACCAGCTACCAGAGCCTGGGAAGTCAATTTGTTAATATGCAAGCGCAGGATACATCATCATGATCTCCCTACCTGTTGGGATTCTCGTAGCCTGAGGGATTGACATGCTAGGTGAAGTGCGTATAAACTCGAGGAACACGCCGTGTCAAGCGTCAAGCTCGGACCGGTCAGGTTGAAAAACCAGGACAGACGGTTTGACAACATGGCGCGGCTTGTCCCAGATGCTGCATTCTGTGGCAGGTTGAATATGTCTGACTGGCTAATGCGTTCGTAGTCATTGGTCATGACGCCTGTATAGACCGATGTCATACTGCCCACGAGGTTCTCCAAAGGCACACCGGCTGGAAGATAGTTAGCCGGTTCTACTCTGCAGTGACATTTACTAGCGCCGACCATTTTCAAAGCATTCATATGCTACCTCCAGGATCTGTCGCTGCATTGGATCCATTCCCATTGCCTCTTTCGCAGTGATGGAGAAAAATGGTGCATCGAAAAGCGAGATGTCGTTGTGTAGAAAGAACCCGCTTTTCGGCTGGACCTGTGAACAAGCGATGAGCCCCTCGCTGGTCAAGTTCTTCAGGGACTCTTACCGCTCCTCTGCGATCGTAATCGGGATGCTGCCAGACATTGGTATCAAAGCGTCCTGCAGGGACTTCGCCATGTCCAGAACGCTGATGGACCAGCATGTCCCAGAATTGCGAAGGTGAGGAAACATCGCCTGGAAAACGACATGATATTCCCACAATGGCGATGGGCTCAATACAATCCCCATAATGCTCGTTCTCCGGTAATGCCATGATTGTGCTCTCAGGAACTGGTAGGTTGGTAAAAGACCAGAAGAAGGCACAACCCCAGGTGCAGCGAGCCTGACTGGCTCTAAAACCCGATGTACCAAGTGAATCTCATGCGTTTTGTATGAATCAACTTTCAGAGTTTCCAAGGTTCAGGCTGATTGGTTCCATGAGCATGTCCAAAGTCAGAGTCCAAGGCCGTTGAAGAAGTGGCGACGCCTGACTAAACGGATCAAAATTGGATTCCCTGGGGGATCACACAGTTTCTCTGAGGATTCCTATGGCAAAGTTGGGCGATAATAAAGGGCCCGAAGGGTCATAAAGTTGCCGATCAGGGACAAATGACAGTCCTGGACTCTGCTCTCGCTTCTCCAGCCTTCCACGGCAGATCTGGCCAATGGCTATCAGATTCGGGTCTTTTTAGGCTCTTTTGAGGCATTCGACTCACACGCGATCCTCCGCACTAAGAAGCCTCTTGTGGTTGTATTTCTGAGTTCACTTTGGTTGCATCGACCACGCAGCTGCTGTTGTGAGTATTGACATGAATATATGTCTGACCTGTTCCGATAACTGGGTAGAGTCATGACAGAGCCTGCAATCATGGCCGCCAGCACGGGTGCATCCTTGAATCCCCTTTCGCACCCTTGGACACTCCTCGCCGCACAAATCATCCTGACAAGTCTAACTGTGGGATTCACAAAGCCATCATGTTTCATACGACCTGCGATGCTGCTGCCGATACTTTGCATGACGACTGTCTATATCTCAACGGCGCGAACGCGTGTAGACAATATCTTCCAACTGAGTTGGGGAGGGTCTCAAGCTGTGCTCGCAACATATCAGTACATCGACGTGGCCATCGTGAGTCGCTGGAATTTCGAGCATTCCGGTCCGGAACCTAGAAACAAGTCCGAGAAACAAAGGTCACCATTCGGAGCTGATAACCCCTGGAATCGACTCAAGTTTGGGTTGTACGCGGCGTCCAGCTTCCGCAACTGCGCAACAGTCTTCGAGACACGTGGTATAAAGCCTTTCAACAGGAAGGATCCGTCCTTCATCCCATCAAAAGAGCGGTTCATTGTCTCCGCCACGATGCACCTGATCGCATGCTATCTAACGCTAGATGCTCTGACTTCTTTGGGTGATCCCGACAAGCAAGCGGTGCTGTTTTCGGAATCCAGAATCCCTCTGCTCTCTCGGCTGGACCAGGTCACAATGCAGGAGTTGATTGAGCGTCTGACCTGCTCTTTGGTCTTCTGGATTGTCAATTACTTGGTGTTGTCGACCTCGGTCACGGCTATCAGCCTCATTATGGTGGGAACGGGCTTGTCCTCGGTGGCATGGTGGAAACCACTGTTCAATATTGACAATGGATTTCCTTATACTGTCCGCAGGTTCTGGAGGTGAGTACGATTTCCTGGTGTTCGTCAGACCTTTGGCGCTGACAGAACTCCTCACGACAGCAACTTTTGGCATTTGTCGGTCAGGAACCGCATCTTTGCGCCCAGCGTGTATACTGTACACAATATCTTGAAGCTGCCTCGTGGTTCTGCAAACAGTCGATACATGGTTCTTATTCTCACATTTGCCTACTCTGCAGGCTTCCACGCGTTGGGAGATATTTCATGTGGTATCTCACCTCACAAGACAGGTGCATGGCTTTTCTTTTCTGTTCAAGCCGTGGCAGTGATGGTGGAGGATCTAGTGCAGTGTATGTGGAAGCAGATATTCCCTGAGACGAAAAGCCAAAGGCAGATCGCCCCATGGCAGATCTGGGTCGGCAGACTGTGGGTGTTTCTATTGATGTATTGGTGTACCCCGTTCTACGCGTACCCCGTCACGGCGCACAATGGTGATGGCCTCATAGTGCCTTTCAGTGTCATAAGGCGTATGTCTGTGTGGTAAGCTGAGGACAAGATGAACAAATTGGAGAATATGATGTGGACAGTCAGACTGGTGGCAGAGAGACAGCGTTGGCAGTCAACAACTCCGGGCGGAGTCGGAGTTGCGCATCCAGAGGCGGAATCTAACTCCAGCTCCGGCGATTTCAAGAGTCGGTTCAACACAAGAGACCGCTGAAGTTGTGTACATCCAGTGAGGTGCAGCTTGTTACCAGGTCGTCCTGCTAGATACCTAAATTCATTCAATGTTCAGATGCAGATGTTCCTCCTCTACTAGCGAGTTTGGGCGCCAAGGAGTGTCACCCCGTTTCGGGACGAGGGTGATGCCGCCCTGTGCTCAGCCTTGAGATCGCGTGAGCCGAGTGAGCGGCACCGTCAAGAGCAACCACCGACAGTCATATCAGAGCTGCTCATAGTGTTCGTCGAAGCTTGGCGCCTCATCCTCCCTGTTGTGACGAGAGGTTATCTAGGAGCCACTGGTCGAAACTCCATTGCCAATTCATTCCCTCATCTCCGAATGCAAGGTTGTCGTCAAACCAACTAGGAAATAGGTCAAAATCGCGCACGTTTGAAGGGCTTAGCGAGCCTGTATCTGCCCCAGCCATGACTAGCAAGTCGTTGAATGCAGACCCGTTCGACATCGTAGCTTGCTGCTCCAGCTCGTAGTTCGTAACGATGCCATTGTACAGTGATTCAACAACATCCATATATCGATCCGTGGATCTGGTATATGGGGCCATGGCTCGAAATGTGCGTATTGCCCTTTCCAGGCTCTCTTTCCAGCTATTGACCATATCTTCGTCAAAAGCTTGATCCGATGGAAGCCTTCTGCCTAGAGCAATTGACAATAATGGGACCATACAAGCTTGGAAAAGATACCATGAAGAATGCCAGACAGAGACCCGGTTCTGACTATGAGTCCTGCTGGCCTCGTTGATGATGGCAGAAGCCGCGTCTCTGCAGATCGACACAGCACGCCAGTCCTCTGCGACAAACGTTAACGGCTCCGATGACGCAGTGTTCTCAGCTAAGCGCAACAGGTGAGGGCGAGACATGACCAGTCGTGCAATGTGAAACCGATAGTGCATGTTGACACGACTGTATCTGATGCTTCTCGGGCATGCGGTGCCCAGAACGAAAGTTGGAGGGCGAGATTTGTTCCAAGCCTGAAGTTGAGTCTCAAACGCAATGACTTCTCGGCCATTCAGGCGGGAGAACTGGGACAATCTGTACTCAATCCTGGACGAGATTTTGGCAAATTCTGCGCTGAGTCGGAGTGATGTCCCAGTCCAATCTCTGTCCCCCTGACTCACATGATCGGCGTGTACTAGAAGGTCGTTGGGTAATGCTATATCCATCGTCACAGGATCCCAGCGCGTGACTGTGGGACGGCCAAGAAGTATACCTGCCCAGGTATCAGTGCAGACAAGACTCCACCAGGTTCTCCTTCTGATCTCGGCGCGAGACAACCGGCCCATATTCGTGGCCGACGATGGTAAGTTCTCGAGAGCATGATTCTGTGGCTGTATACCACCAACGGTGTCGCGATGCAGGGCCATTGCAATGGCCATTCGAAATGCTGTACCCATCACCAGGTACGCAGTGTTTGGCGAGTTGATATAATGCAGGTACTGACCTCCCAAGAGAATGAGGGCTTGCAACACCTCTAAATTTCCCGAGCTGAATGTGTTGTATCCAATGACTTGTTGGGTTCGACTGTGGTAGATGACATGGGTTTGATCGTCTCCGGCAGCGATAGAGCCGAGTGCTAGCACCATGTTCAGAAGTGCTAGCCAGGCGTCATCCGTCCTGAACTGGGTCTGAAATAAGCTCCTGAACCATACTTCGTCAATCATGGGTATCATGGCGTGAAAGTGTTCGAAATAAGCATCGACAGCCGCCTGCTCTGCCGATGGCAGGAAAGAACCCGACCTGTCCTTACTTGTTTCCGGCCGTGTGTAGTTTTGCAGTTGGCGCTGAGCAGGATCAAGCTGGCTGCGAAGAAGGGTGCCTCTGAGCTGTAAGTAGCTTTGCCGTGCAGGAGGCCAGACAACAAAGAGCACACGTAGCGCGGCGCCGATGGATGATACGCCGAGGTAGGATCCTGCTCCTTGTTGAACCGCAAGCCCATTGACATCGTCGCCAACTGGCGAGGCATATTCCTGTTCACGCTTGGATTCATCCCATTCGTGATCCAATTCGTCTATCTCTCCCCAGACTGTCGTGGTTCCCGGCGAACTGGTCCTGTTGTCGCCTTCGTCTAGAGGTATAGTGGATGCGTCGTCCTGCTCATTGCTGATGAGTTTCAGCACCTTTTCCCTGGACCACCCGGGAAAATCGTCAAAGTCGATGGACGGTAAAAATTGGGCGAGTAAGGCATTCCTGGTTTGCAAAGCCGTGGACAGCTCCTCAACCACTCTGTGCACACAAAATTGATTCAACTTCATGAGTTCGTGCACTTGGTCAAAAACCTACCTCCAGCTAGGATTCGTCCTACGATTCCTCTGACGGTACCCGCATCGGTCCTCGACCGAATACCGCTGACAATTCTTGCAGGGCACTGTTCCATCACAACGTATCTTACGCTTTGTACATTCAACACAAGCACGGTTGACTCTTCGACGCTCGGCTGGCAGCTGCTGCTGTTCAAGGTGCTCGGGTTGTGTATGAGTTGTGGACATAGACATAATTACTCGTCTCCTATCAGGAACAGATTGACGCAACAGATTGCCATTGGATTTCACGATCCGATGGTAGCCATCTCACGATCTTCCATTGGATAATTTTGAAGTTCAGCGATTGATACAAGACAATTGATTGTAGAAGTTGTTGATGGAGCGGGGGAAAGCTAGCTTCAAAGCTCCGGGGTTACGTTCCTACTACGTAATAGGAGTGGTTTGGTAAGGACTTTTGTTAGCGGTGACTCGGACCACGAGTCCAAGACCGCCATTGCGAGCTCGTGGGTCTTCACCCGCCACCTACCGCTAAGACAAAGCAATGATCTGGCTCTTGCTGGTTTCTATTGACACAGGCTGAAGCTACGTCACTAATAGGAGAAGCATAGACTAATCGGAGAAATTAACTCTCAAAGTTTAGAATTTATTCCAACGTCGCTGGACGAATTCAACTATGACAGCAGACTGTTCACCCAGTGATCAACCCTCCCCATTGCTTCGACACGCTGATCTGAACACGTTCCAAGTAGATCATTGGTTCGCCATGTGCGTGGTAAACACCATCCTTCTTTACGCAGCAACCAGGGTCACTTTGTTTGCTCCCTCGTCTTCTTGGACGACTCTCCTGACCAATTTAGTCCTCGCAGTGCTTGCCTTGCGGGGATTGGGTGCTTCGAAAAGCTCATTTAGTTCTTCCAAAGTTCGACCCTTTGTTTCGACAAAGAACAAATAGATGAAGGTGAATTCGAACAGATCCCAGAAGACGAAGAAAACGTAGAACCAGTATTGTATCTGTCAAGGTTAGTAACGAAAATCTATCCCAAGCACAGGAGATACGTACATTTCTGAGAGCGATCGGAGCCGCAAAGGTGTTGACAAATCCAGCACAACCACTGACGAGCTGGTAGACACCCATACCTTTGGCGCGCATGTCATTCGAGAGGATCTCTCCTGGGTAAATTGGCTGCATCGAGGTAAATCCTAGCGCGAAGACCGACCCGAAGACGTAAATGAACGCGATCGACGCAGACGAAGAAGCTTTGCTCCCTGTCTTCACGTAGCCAGCTGCTGTTCCCGCCGCGATAGAAAGGCAGACAGCCATTCCCAGCGTTACCGAAAGCATCATTTTGCGACGGCCGACCACGTCATGCAACCGAGCGCCGATTATGGCTGGAATCCAACCCCCGATGGCGTAAATAATGTTAAGTAGCAACTGTGTATCCGTGTTGGTAATGCCAACATTCGCGACAAGGTATGGGAGATCTAAAGATGTTAGTCCTTCGTGACTGAAGAGATATGCGGACAAAGATTGCAGTGCTGGTGGGATAGCAGCCGCACCCTTGGAACCACCTACAGTAAGACGCAACACTAGAGAATCGTCAGTCTGTACAAATTGCAGATCAGGTCGGAAAGTGACTTACTTGTTGCCTGAGAACTGACCAAACCAGCTGAAAGCAACGTTGAGCATCATGCGATATCGCCGCGAACGAGAATTCACAAGGACACGGATATCAAAGAAAGTCTTCCAAGACATGATGCCCTCGTTCTGAAGAGCAGTAGCCACCTCGTCCACCTGCAGGTGGACGAGGGGATGATCGAGGTCTCCGTTGGCATGCAAGTCGGCGATAATTGTTCTTGCTTCGTCGAGTCGATCATTTCCAATGAGCCTATGACAGTGAGCCGAAGTGTACCACGGATTATACATCGTGTTCGATGTAGTCCCTCTTACCATCTTGGGGACTCAGGACAGAACCAAATACCCAAGGCAACCATACCCGGGCACAGCATCTGGAGCCAGAGTGCTAGGCGCCATGCAATATTTCCAGTCAAGTGTCGGTTGGAACCATACACAACGCAAGTTGCAATGATCGAGCCCTATGATCAATCAGTACTTGTCGATGGCAGTATTGGACAAAAGATACTAACCAGATAGTAGAGCGTATTATACATGCCGGCCACCGTACCTCGATATTGAGGAGGAGCGAGTTCAATCAAGTATAGTGGCGCGGCGGTGGCTGCGATTGTGGAAAAGAAGGACAGAAGGAATCGGCCTCCGATAAAACCAGCAAGTGTCGGAGCTGTAGCAGTCACTATTGATCCCACACACACGCCAACACATCCGACAAATATCGGCCAGCGTCTGCCCTGCCAATCAGCTGCCCAGGTGAATAACGCCCCGGCCATCTGCCCAACATTGAAAATAGCAAAAACGATACCAGTGCCACTGTTGCCCTCTGGTGGTAGGTTGTAGTAGTCGATATAGCTCGACATCGCGTTTATCGATCCCATCAAAGATCCATCATAACCTATGCCAGATCAGCTTGGATACTTCTGCCACATTGTCTTGAGCTCTTACCGTTCATTGTCGAACATAAATAGATCAAGAGACAGATGCAATACAGGCGAATGTAGCCCTTACCCCTTGGATTGGGCCTGTTTCCTTGAAGAATTGTTTCCAACGTCACATTGTGCGCATGTATCGTCTTTTGTTCGAGCACGTGCTTGTTATCATGCAAGTCAGGAGCATCAACATGCTGTGCTGTTATTTCTTTTGACGACTCCATGGTGTTCGCAATTCAGGATGTGTTTCTGAGAGAAGGACATGAACAGATGCAAGAAAGGTCCCTACGGACTTTTATGTCCATACGGTGCTTCCAACGCTACAACGGGGAAAGGCTCTCTGGGCCACCTGATGTGGCCGACATCAGAAGCTTCACGCCACTGTTTTCTGGAGAAGATTTGCTACCCGCAACAATACTCGTACCCCACGAATTACTCACGCGGAGAGATTGATCCACTCTGTTTTCCAGGCCCTCGACCGGTTTTTCATAATCCCGTGTCTCCACTGGTTCACCCACCTCATGTGATATGGTTTATTGGAGCGTGTGTCTGATGAAACATCAAATCTAAGCGAACCGTTTCCCTCGGAACTTTGTATTGCCGTAATGTACCAAAGGACAGCCAAGTCACTCAGGGGTATCGGAGTCTAGAGCTGGGAATATGTATTTCCTTCGGCTGTCTCCACATCCAAAGACGGGTTTTCATATTCCCTCTCCTTCCGTTATGAGCACGGGCTTCAATTCCTGACATACGCAGTTGGTGTAAATATACAATATACCTGCGAGGGCAATTCTTGTATCTCGAGCTTAGCTGAGCCACAGAGGTCACCTGTCTCTCCTGCCTTGATACACGCCGCCATGGTAGAACATCTTGCCAGAACAGAACTACGCCATGGCTGGACTCTTCGCGAGACAGACAATCTTACCGTCGAGGAAATCCCTGTGAAAGAAGTTCCTACAGTAGTTCATCTCGACCTCATACAGGCGCAAAAGTAAGCCGTTGTGCCAACCTGGATTCCCGGTGGGAGTCTCTGACCCGTGTCACATAGGATTCCCGACCCTTTCATCGGCTTCAATGAGCTCGACGTTGAGTGGGTGGGCGAGCGACCATGGACTTATACGACAAAGTTTCAGCAACCTATAACGAAAGACGGTGCTCGAGTCGACCTCGTCTTCGAAGGACTTGACACTTTCGCTGAGGTGAAAGTCAATGGCGAGACCGTTTTGAAATCTGACAACATGTTCATGTCATATCGCTGTGACATCACCAAGTTGCTGAGATCTGGTGCCGACAATGATTTGCAGATTGACTTTGCCTCTGCGCTGTTGAGGGGAAGAGAGATCGAAAAGCAGCATCCGGAGTACCGCTTTATCTGTCATAATGGAGAAACAGGTAGACTTGGTGTCCGCAAAGCTCAGTACCACTGGGTAAGTACCCAGCCATGATATATATACGCAACTTTGCGAGAACTGAACTGGTCTCAGGGTTGGGACTGGGGCCCTGTCCTAATGACTGCAGGACCTTGGCGGCCCGTCTGGATTGAAACATATCATGGTCGAATTGCAGATGTGTGGTCCGACATCAAACCAAGTAAAGACTTCAAATCAGCTACTGGCAAGGTTTTTGTTCGCGTAGAAGGCCCAGCAAAGTCTGTGGCGCTTCGGATGAATCTTGCCGGAAATACCATCCTTGAACAGACGATTCAAGTGAATGATCATGGCTTAGCGACTGCAACTGTGACGATTGGTGAGTGTTCAAATTTACAACATATGGGTGTGGCGCTTACATGCCTGTTCAGATGATCCTAGTCTTTGGTTTCCCCACGGTTATGGAGATCAACCTTTGTACCAGATCAATGTACGCCTACTCGGTGGTGAAACCGTCCTCGATGAGGTCAACAAGAAGGTTGGAATTCGTGAGGCCGAACTTGTGCAAGAGATCGACGATGCTGGGAAGAGCTTCTACTTGAGGATCAACGGTGTCGATGTCTTCGCCGGAGGTTCTTGTTGGATTCCTGCAGACAACTTCCTCCCTAGGATCACGCATGAGAAATACAGAAATTGGCTACAGTTGATGGTTGAAGGTGGCCAAGTCATGACAAGGTATGAACGACATCGCGAGCTGCTTATAACATCCAATGGTTGACACAGACAGGGTCTGGGGTGGCGGTATCTATGAAGACGATGCATTCTATGATATATGCGACGAGTTGGGGATTTTAGTCTGGCAGGATTTCATGTTCGCCTGCGGCAGCTATCCTACATGGCCAGAACTCCTGGAATCCGTCAAATTAGAAGCCGTTTGCAATCTTCGCCGGCTACGCCATCACCCGTCTATTGTCATATACGCGGGGAACAACGAAGACTACCAAATCCAGGAACAGTACAATCTAGACTACGATCGGTACAACAAAGACACCAAGTCATGGCTACGGTCTACTTTCCCGGCTCGTTATATCTACGAAGAGCTCCTGCCTTCCGTCGTCGGCGAAGAATGTCCCAACGTGCCTTACTGGCCAGCTTCTCCATTTTCTGGAGGAGCAAACAGCGCCGATTTGACCGTTGGTGACGTTCACCAGTGGAATGGTAAGTACAAGTCCAACTGACGCAGTGACCACCATGGAAACTGACCCTTCTAGTCTGGCATGGGAAACAAGAAAAGTATCAAGTTTATGAACAAATCGGTGGTCGCTTTAACAGCGAGTTCGGCTTGGAAGCATTTCCAGTGATGAAGACGATTGAAGGGTTTGTCAAAGACAAATCTGACCTCCATCCCCGATCTGCAGTGATGGATTTCCATAACAAGGCAGACGGACATGAACGCCGCATTGGTCTGTATTTGGCAGAGAACTTCCGCCCTACGAATAGCATGACAGTAAGTCTCTTACCTGACTCTTGAACTCCAAACGCTGATTCGATCATGAAGTCATATGCCTACATCACTCAAGTGTCTCAGAGTGAGGCAATGTACTTTGCCTACAAGCCATGGCGTCGACAATGGGGGGAAAACAGACGCTGCGGTGGTGCGCTTGTGTGGCAATTGAACGATTGCTGGCCATGCACGTCCTGGGCACTTGTTGATTACCATTTGCGCAAAAAGCCAGCCTTCTACACAGTCAGCCGCCTACTTGCTCCAATCGCCGTTGGAGTGCAGCGCCAGCACCATGATTGGAGTGTTTGTCATGCCAGACCAGCCATCACTTTGCAGTGGAAATTATGGATTGTCAGCACAAAGCTCACGCCGGTGGAGGCATCCGTCGAGCTGAGATTCATATCGGTCGAAACCGGGAAGGATATCAAACCGGCCGTGAAGAAAGATTGCACAATTGTGCCCAATGGCACAACAAATGTTGTCGAAGGTGTGGTACACAACCGTGAGGAAGAACCACACATCCTAGCAGCACGTGTATTCGTCAACGGTACCTGCATCGCGCGTGATACCGATTGGCCACAGCCCCTGAAGTATTTGACCTTTGGAGACCGTCGGTTGAAGGTGACACAAAACGAGAACGAGATCCAAATTTCTACCGAAAAGCCTGTCAAGGCATTGGTCTTTGAAGAAGCAGATGGGGTGAAATTGAGTGACAACTGCTTGGATTTGGTTCCCGGCGATGACCAGGTCATCAAGGTCGAAGGTAAAAATCTACAGGGTAAGTTGTCCTGGACGTACCTTGGCTACGAAGAATAGATGTTTGTGAAACGAGATCCAGACAATATAGAACCGACAATAGATGCTTCTCAGGCCATGGTTCAATATAGATTGGTGAAGATCTCCTATTGCTTTTCAGATATATCCTCGTGACAAAGGGTAACTTTCAGGCTTTCGATATGCCTTAGTCTCTGCAGACGCTCCATACCATCGATCACTGCTCCATGCCCACGAGCGTGAAGAACACCCAGAAACGTCATTTAGCAGAACCAAGACGCCTGTGATACACCCCATGATGCTTTGCGCAGAGGCGGAGAGTAAGTTAAAGCAGTTGGATTTAAAAGCGGCATGGTCTCGGTGAGCAGTGGCGCGAGCTCGTTGAGGAGCCAAGAAACTTCCCCAGAATCGCTACTCCGACGTCATCACTAGTAACATGTACAAGTCAGCCTTGCTCGCATGTTTAGACTACTAAGAACTCGCCAACGATCGCCTGCACATCCAATAGAACGTCACACATCAAACCATCAGGTGTCCTTTGACACACCTGAGTAGGACATTAATGTGCGGAAGATATGCGCTCGGCATTGTATGTAGTCTATCCCATACCGGCATCCAGGACTAATCATCGCCAGCGTGCCTCGTTCGTTAGGTATCAGCTGGAGCAACAGGGCATGCCTGTGGATGACGCGCCTGAGGACGACGAAGCACGCCAGACCTATAACTTCCCGCCAGGCGCCTATGGCCTTGTATACCGAGCAGAAGTCCCCGACCACGGCGTTCGAGATGCAGATGAACCTGAGGCCAGCGAAAATGCCACTCAACAAGACAACGAGCCACAAGAACATACCGAGCCTCAATCAAGCCAGCCAGAGGCATACAAGTACGAGATAAAAGTCATGAAATGGGGACTAATCCCGTTCTGGACGAAACGCGCCCCCGACTATTCCTCCACGATGCGCACTATCAACTGTCGAGACGATTCTTTGCTCGAGAATAAAGGGATGTGGAACACTATGAAACAAAGAAAGCGCTGTCTGGTGGTGGCGCAGGGCTTCTACGAATGGTTGAAGAAGGGGCCTGGTGGGAAGGAGAAGGTCCCATACTTTGTGAAGAGGAAGGACGGCCATTTAATGTGCTTCGCCGGGCTCTGGGACTGTGTCAAATATGAAGATTCGGCAGAGAAACTCTACACGTATACAATCATCACCACCGACTCCAACAAGCAGCTGAACTTTCTACACGACCGAATGCCAGTCATCTTGGACCCCGGGACCGAAGAAGTCAAGACGTGGCTCGATCCGACGAGGAACAAATGGTCCAAAGAACTCCAGTGCCTTTTGAAGCCATACAATGGTGAACTGGACTTCTATCCGGTTGATCCTGCCGTCGGAAAAGTGGGCAATAACTCGGACAGCTTTATAGTTCCGGTCGATAGCAAGGAGAACAAGAAAAATATCGCAAACTTCTTCAGTGGCGCCAACAAGAAGAAAACCAAAGCGGAGGAGCCCAAGGTAGAGACTGAACGAGAAGAGACTAGGCCGACTGCCGAACACGATGGGAGTGAGAACAATGCGCCACTACCTGTCCCTCCAAAATCAATGCAAGACACCCATGGATTGAAGCGCCCAGCGGTAGACGTGCTAGACGCACTAGAAGACGGCCCAGCATACAAACAAGCCAAACCCTCGTCACCGCCATCGAAGCCCCCAACTCCTGTCAAGACTGCGGGCGGCAGGAAAGCAAGAAGTGCCACAAGCAACAAAGACATGGTTTTGAAAACCAGCCCATCGAAAAAGGTCGAACCTGGTACACAACGAATCACAAACTTCTTTACCAAGTGAGAAAGAAGACATACGTGGAATGGTCAAATAACCATGGCACTGAATACCTGGCATAACTCTACGGTGTCAAATCCTCACTACAATCAACCTGAATCCACTTTCCTCCAGAATCCTTTCGGATCGCGCGCAAATGCCGTGCTACGGCCTTCGCCGTGCTACAGATCTCCATGTATCGTTCTCGCTCCTTGTTGTACCGATACAGGTGGCGCTCGTTCTCGACGTCCCACGACGTTTGATTCGACTGCGCCGGGGTGGCATCTACTGATGGCATGATTGGCGTCCACCCAACTTCGAGGACGAGCGTTTCCAGTCCCCTCCATCCACCATTCCATTCAGGTCCAAGCCTCTCAGGGGACGAGGATTCCAAGGACGAACCGCTCCATTGTAATGCGGCAAACCAATCCCCACAGCCTGTGAGATCCAACCACTGCAAGCAATACAGTGATCTGCTCAACGTTCGCAGTATGCCGGCAGCCTCCCTCCAGTTGTTATCATACGAAGTGTAGATATCTGAACCACCATAGACCACCGGCCGGGAGCCCGGTGCTTTAATGACTGCTCTTGTGGACGCAGCGATGGGTGTAAAGGTAGGCAGCGGCCAGTACGCTAGTGAAAGAGACGTCAATGTCCGAAGTTCGGTCGCCAGAGAGAGCAAGGAAATCCACGAGGCTGCTCTTGCATTGGTAGGTGAAATGGCCAGGGACAGATGCTTGAGGTTTTTGAAACCAGGCGCAATCTCGGGTCCCGGAGTGAGAGCTATGCTTGTGGCTTCATCGCTGTCATCGTCTACGTCCCAGCTCTCAGGAGGACGAACCGACGGGGAACCAACAGTTGCTGGTCCTGATTCTTCAAATGTTGACAGAGCTCGCCTGCTTACAAGGACTCTTTCCAGTTGTTTCAATGTAGCCCAGGCTCCCAATCCATTGCTGAGATCTAACCGACGGACTGCATCGCGGTCTTCCTCTTCGGTATCGTTGAAGAACAGAACCTTCAGTGGATTGACAGGGACTTCATTGTAGACTGCGATGTAACTCAACAGAGTCTCTTTCAAATTCGTCGGCAAAAATTCCAAATAGTCGTAATCGTGTTCTGCATGCCAGCCCCAATTACTCGCTATCTTCTTCAAAACCAAGTGCTGTAAAGAATCCGGAGGCGGGAAAAGGCCCTCAGGGAGATTGCTGGTTCGGTTCTGAACCCGGCGATTGTTGTCCTCGTCAACCAGAGAGCTCTCCACCCGAGGTGCATGGATGCTGTCTGTGAGCCAGCTTGTCGGTACAGGCGGCCCGGGAATTCGTCGCAGACGGCTTGGTCCGCTTGATCTTGTACCCACCCTCGGGGCTGGAGGTGGCGGGGGAGGGATGTCGAGGACCTCTCTCAAGGACGGGGGGATAGATGTAGCATTCAGTGCGAGAACTGGTCGTGGTTCATTCCTTATCTGAAGTCGACGGGACTCACGAATGAGATCATTGACCGTCCGTTGGGAACTCGCATTGTGGCTCGGAGTGGCGGGGGACTTGGAGAGAGATAGAGTGTGCGGACTGCTTGACTGCGGCTTGGTCAGGAGCGCTCGCTGCTGGTGCTTCTTTGGCATGTATCGAGTAAGGTCTTCGAGCAGAGTTGTAGATGTCGAACACGAACACACACGAGACCAAAATATTAGAGTGCACCGGTGGTGGGAGGCAGTTGGAGTCACATATCACCACGAACAAGCGTTGGATGTTACTTGTGGACAAAGCCCTCGCTGCTTTATGCTGAAAGATGGGAAGGGGAAGGCATTGGTCGTTTCCTGCGAACAAATCTAATACTACAGTGTACAGTATCACCGCCCTTAGGCCGTTGTTCTCGAACCGTCAGCCGGATTCACCCTGGACCTTGTCTTCCCTTCCTGCGCAGCTCTTGTAGATAGATGGGGGGTGTCAATCGCGCCCACTGGCGCCCACTACCCGACGCGGCCAACGTATCGCAACGTGTTCTTCACAAGTTTTAAGATATTCTCTTGTCACAGTTCTTGCTCAGCAGTGGTTTAGCAGCGAGGGTACGGCCCTCCACTTTGACCCTTGTAGAAACCAGGATGCTTTCGCAGAACTGGCTTGCTCCGTAGAAGTCGATATGCAGCGGTCATTTGCCTCCGTCGTCAACGCTACTATGTAGCGGTCACTGAGTTGGAGGACGGGTCGGACGGCTTTAAGAACAAGGGAGAGCCGTGTCGGAGGAGGCGGAGGATGATGATTGAGGATGAAAGTCTGGTCCTTGGAGCCGATCAGAATCCAGGAGGGTTCACCCTTTGGCTAAGGCGTGTCCATTTGGGTAGTTCTGTAGATGCAAGTCAATGAAAAGAGGCGCTGAACCAGTTTGAAAGCAACGTACTGTGGATGCCTTTGCGATATTTCTTCTCTTTGCGATCGAAGATGGTATATTTGTCTTTTGGGAGCATCTCCTCTTCCCTAGGCATCTCTTGATACCATCTCTCCACGGCCTTCGCCGTCATCCCACCGTTATTTTGCAATGCTGTGCTGACGGTATCGACTACCTTGTCGACGAGTCTGAGCCGCTTTCGTTGACGTGCCTTTTGCATCGGGGACAGTCGCCATGGAATTTTCCTGTCAGAACCAATGTTAGGACGGGCCGCGGATCGACTTCTCATCTCGCATTCCGGGGATAACATACCATAACAGACCTCCTGACAGAGGCGCGGTTGGTCTGAACATGTTTCCGACAGATCAAAACAGCTAAGGTCTACCGCATGTGGCTGCGCGGATGGGAAAACCAGGTGTTGCTTGGTTGGTTGTTAGAAGTCCGAGATTTTGGAGTCGGAGCTGCGGCGATGGCAGCTCCGATGGCCGCTTCACAACACTTTTTCCATCGCAATGTTTTTCTGTCTACATTATTGTTGTTAATCCAGACCACCAGCACCCAGTCTGCGGAACTTGTTGTCTCTGGCTCGATGGAAATCAGCAGTCTCAATGCTGGGCCATGACGACCTCTATCCCAATGCAGAGCTTCCCAGCTTCTTCTGGAGGTCTGCTTCCCACCAGACCATCCTCGCAGTCTCGACCCTGTCGCGCCTCTTTCTTTATGGACTCAACAAAACGGAGGTCAATGGTCTGCCACGATTCCTCGACCTGCTAAGGTCGCGCTCCGACTACAAGACACGCAGCAAAGGTCTGTTGACCGTTTCGAACCATATCTCCGTTCTCGACGATCCTCTCATATGGGGCGTTCTCCCACTTTCCTTTGGGGCATTCCATGGCTACATGAACCATAGATGGACCTTCGGAAGTCACGACATCTGCTTCCAGAACACGGCACTGTCACACTTCTTTACACTTGGCCAAGTTCTTCCCACCCATCGAGGGGCGTATTCACCACACGGTGGGCCTTTCCAAGCCACCATGACCGAGGGCGTGAGACTCTTGTCCAAGATCACTACGAGCCAGCCTTCTCTATGCCCTCAGAACAATCCTAGGCTGCTCAAGACATCCCATACACCGAGTTGGCCACGAGACTGTGTCGACCCCTTTTCCGACATCGTGCCCATCCCATCCTACCAGTCACAACCAAACGATGAACGATGGTACCATGCCCCCTCGCGCTACGCATGCAATGCGTACAGCTGGATGCACATTTTCCCAGAGGGCATGATACACCAAGCCAAAGACCAGACGATGCGATATTTCAAGTGGGGCGTGGCCCGGCTGATCCTTGAACCTCCTGAATGTCCAGACGTGGTTCCCATGTTCATCGAGGGTACTGATCAGGTCATGCACGAAAGCCGCCAATTTCCACGGTTTCTTCCACGCATAGGAAAGAAGATCACAGTCACCTTCGGCAAGGAACTAGATGTGGAAGCTGTCTTTGGCGATCTTCGCAAGCGGTGGCGTGAGCTCGCCGATCGCGATGCCCAAGAAAGAGGTCATCCTGCTTGGGATGAGATGATGCTAGGAATCGTCCCTGAAAGCCTTGCCCATCATCCTGAAGCCGTCGAGTTGAGGAAGGAGTGCGCTAGGCGTATCAGAGAAGCGGTGCTCGAAGTCCGCCGTTCACGCGGTCTGCCAGATGAGGATCCCAAGTCTGGGATGGTTGAGACTTGGTTAAGGGAAGGGCCGAAGCGGGAAGGACTCATGGATGATGGGACCTGGGTCAAAGACACGTAGATAGTCGCCCAAAATAAGCAGAGTGAAACTAGGCGGGTCAGATTTGCGGCAACTCCTTAGGCTATACCTAATGCGCTACCGAACACGGAGTAGAGGACAAAGGGAAAACATTGAAAAGAGAAAACTATCATTGTACGTTATTCTACCCAAAAAGGGCATTCCTCAAGCCAATAGGCCACAGGCCCAACCATACCTAGCATGTGGCTCCAGCTTTAACCCGATCCGAAAAGGACGCGCCATCGCTATCAGCCTCATCGACTCCTAACTCAGACATTTTCCAGAACCGAGTGTTTCGGTCTCAACCAGCAAGGGGGGTGAGACGTAGTCAACCAACCCAGTCCACCAGGGGTATCAACAATATCAAGATAAAAGAACCATCCGACCGGCCGTGAGAGAATATCATGATGCCACAGCAACTTGCTGTGAAGCAGTCATGGCGGTAGGATCATCACCAGGACATGTTTCTGCCCATGAACCCCACAGCCCTCGCTTTGCTCTGATCCGCAGAGGCAATCCAATTGCTGTATCCGGTTGTTCGACCTTGATCGCGTCCTTTGTGGCCAGAACCAGGATTTCAAAGAACATTTTGGTGGCGTCTTGCTTACTTGTCCAGCCCTCAGGTACGAGCTGCTGCAGAAGAACTGATTTCTTTGCTGGCGAGGATGGATGTGTACCACCAACATCGCCAAGTTGGTCCCGTAAGATGTGGACAGCATGTTTCGTGCCCAACGAGACCGGCCCACTGTCTGCGGGGTGGACCAGAGGCATCGTCGTATCTTCGAAGGTATCGTCGCCTCCATCATCTCCGCCCAGAAACATATCGTCCTGGGCTTGTCCTCCTTCGCCCGCGAGTGATTGAGCACCGTCATCAGGAAACATTCCAGCCGTGATTCCAATGCTGGGCTCCTCGATCAGGACTCCCTCGTCTTCCAACTCATCACCTGCTCGATCTAGTCGTGGCGATTTTTCACTGTGCTCATCTTCACTGAGTCCTCCGACGCCGCTGTCGCGTTTTCGTTTCAGCTGGCCCGATTTTGTCATTGTTTCGAACGAGAGTAGCCCTTGTAGTTCCGGAGCCCAGTTCATAGATCGACCATCATTCATTGCATTGCGGACGAATTCGCCATTCTTCTGCATACTCAGGAGATTTAGAAGCAGTGGATCGCGAGGGAGGAACGATGGCGGTTTCAAGATCTTGGTGCGATCGTCTGCCTGGGCTCTGATCTGTTTGGTGTGCAGCACAGTGTCAACGTCGCGGACCAGGGGCTTCTGTTTGCGGCTTTTCTGTCGCTGCTGTACGACAACCTCCTCGATTTGTTCTCCTTCGACGTCCTGAAACGTCATATCCAACTCCTGAAGCACTGCCGACCCAGCTTCTGATAGTGGAGATTCAGACTCGCGAGCACGTCCTGCGTCTGCTGCGGCTTCTCGGAGCTGCAAAGTCTCGTCGTCCCCAAATGCAAGGGACTCATTGTCACCTATGGCAGGCATATCAGGCTCTTCCATCCTTGATAGATCTTCGCCCAGGTCGAGATCGAGGTCATCATCCTCAAGCAGCAGACCCTCTTCACCAAAAACTTCCTCCGCTCCGTGCCTAGGAGAAGGTGCATTTCTGCCCACGTTGATGCTCACAGTCGTATCATTCATGTCCATATCGTCACGATCTCCAAAGTCCAGATTCAGGTCGTCGTCGTTGTACAAAGGTTCGTCTCCAGGGAGCAACATCGACTGTGTGCTGCTTTGCTGAGGATTAAGGGAGCTCGTCCAATCCTCGTCCACATCTTGCGTGTCGGCAGCGGTGATAGCCGGTTGTTGGGTCATGGGGTATTCGAAATCCATATTGGAGAACAAGTCGTCGATGGTGAGTAACTCAGGAAGGTTGAGGTCGACGACGGCCGTCGCATGGGCAGGCAGGTCGTGATTATTGGTCGACTTGAACGTCTACAACGTAATTAGCGTGATAGTCTTACACAAATCAAGAGACTCACCATTCTAATTTTGACAAGAGCCTCATTGCAGTCGTCAAGTAGATATCGCGCTTTTCTGCCGTAAATTCGCACCACTCCCAACATGAGTTGGCCACTCAGACGGAGAGCCATGGGCGCATGGCCTTGGTCGACAATAGCGCCGACACTGCTTTGGATGTCCGACTGCAGGATCTGCGATTTCGACAGCTTGCGCTCGACATTCGACGCGAGCCAGACGCGGGCCAGAGGCCCGGTCTTAGCAAGAAGTTGCTCGGAGTAGAACATGGTGAATGGAGAAGACAAGACGCGTCCGGCGATACTGGGGTGTGATCAACCTGGCAAGAGCCCCGATGCAGGTGACGACGAGGCTATTGTGAGAGGGGGAGATCGGTCTGCGACGCGTCGAGTAGAGGTCAGACCCTATCTCGATTATCGCAAGGACAGCGGAGGGATCCAAAATAAGTCGACGACAATGTTGCGCTACCAAAAATACCAAAATGCATGAGACTGCGCGCCAGAGGAGGAAGAATAGGGCGACTGGAATGAAGGTGGTTGGAAGTTGTTGGATGAATGATACAGTTACCAGGTGGGTGGCTGGTGGTGAGGCGTGGTATTATTATTGATGTCCAAGCGCGGGCGCCGGGGCCATAGGCCAACCAGCATCGGATTCAGGCGGTGGTGTAGCCTCCCTTGCCTCTCTAGCCCTAGATGGAGTCCTCGGAACACCTTCCCTTCCCACTGCACTAGCAGGCAAGTCTAAGAGCCACGCTCTACTTAGCTACTACCTGCAGCTGCCAGGGATCGAGAGTCGGCTCTGGCCCTAAGCCTCCAAACGCTCCAACTTGGCCTTAAAGGAGAATATAGGTCCTGAGACGTGGAATAAGATCATACACACTCAAGCACACATTCCATTCATACTTCTATGCTTCCACAGCCACTTTACTGTCACCAATCCACGCTTGCTTCTGCTGGGGACTTCCCTGCAGCCACTGACGAACGCTGAGACCTGTCAACACTGTTTCCAGCATCGTCGCATCGTCGGTCGAGCATGGGACGAGGATTGGAATAGCACCATGCAACCATGTCAACAATACCTGTACCTGCGCTGCCTTTCTACAACAAGGACTCACGAACCTCGCAATCGCGAAGCCCAGCGCCCTATGCGGATACATCCTCCTCAATAACGTCCTCCTATTCCCTCCTCACTCCTGAGCAGACCGCTGAACGGTTACAAGCCTCGCTCACGCATGGACTATTACGGAACGAGGCACACACCAGATTAGCAAGAGAAGGGCCGAATGAGTTACCCCATGAAGAACCAGAGCCCTTATGGTTACGGTTCCTGAAACAATTCAAGGAGCCCCTCATAGTCCTCCTCCTTGTCTCTGCTGCGATCTCGCTTCTCATCGGTAATAGAGATGACGCTGTCAGTATCGCACTCGCCGTTACCATTGTGGTCACGGTTGGCTTTGTTCAAGAATACAGGTCGGAAAAGAGTCTGGAGGCGCTGAATCGTCTCGTGCCTTATCATGCTCACGTCAGGCGAACCGGGCGGCGGTCCAGGACACCTGGGGGTATGCATGAGGTCGAGAATGACGAGGTCGAGCTGGAACCGCTGGCCAATGGTGCCACGCCGGAGGCAAAAACATCTACGACCATTCCTGCCTCTCACTTGGTGGTTGGCGACCTGGTTATCTTCTCAACCGGCGATCGCATTCCTGCCGACGTGAGAATCACACGCTCATCGGAACTAACCATCGACGAGTCCAACCTGACTGGCGAAAACGAACCGGTGGAGAAGAATGCGACGGCTCTCGACAAGGCCCCTCTGAGGTCTGAACAGCATGGCACGCCAGAGCCGTTGAATGCGGCTGGCACGGTGGGTGCGGACGTGCGCCTCAACGAGCAGCACAACATTGCTTTTATGGGCACGCTGGTCCGGTCCGGCCACGGAGAAGGTATTGTCATTGCAACCGGGGGGAATACTGAATTCGGAACCATTTCTCTGTCGCTCCAGGAGATCGAGGCTCCACGGACACCCCTGCAACAATCCATGGATTTGCTAGGAAAGCAACTTAGTTACATGTCATTCGTCGTCATTGGTATTATCATGATAATCGGCCTACTCCAGGGCAGGAAACCGCTGGATCTCTTCACCATTGGAGTGTCCCTGGCTGTTGCTGCGATTCCCGAGGGTCTGCCTATCATTGTCACCGTCACGCTGGCTCTGGGAGTATTGCGTATGGCGAAGCGAGGAGCCATAGTCCGAAAACTTCCAAGCGTGGAAACGCTCGGGTCTGTCAATGTTGTCTGCAGTGACAAGACTGGCACCCTGACCATGAACCACATGACGGTGACGAGAATATGGCATTTTGACGTCCCTCAACCGTTTGCCGTCGACCCAGTGGCAGAGCCCACCCCTGCCACCAAAGCCGTTCTTCGCATCGGAAACATTGCAAACCACGGTCGGTTATCGCACACGACGACGGGAGCCCCAGCAACGGCTGCCTCTGCTGCTGTGCTCTCCTCTACTAGAGATCTGTCGTCCACGACCACCAGAAGCAGATGGCTTGGGCAGCCCACCGACATAGCGATGCTGGATCTGATGGACGCTTTTGGAGAAGACGACATTCGTGAACGGATCGGCCATCGGACCTTGGAGACCCCGTTTAGTTCGGAGCGAAAGTGGATGGGTGTTGTCGTCGGGAATGCCCTGGGCGAAGTGACGAATGGATATGCTGCCAGCTCCGAGACGGCATACCTCAAAGGGTCTGTCGAGCAGGCACTGAGCCGGTCGGACACGTATCTGACAAAGGATGGCCAAGAAGTCATCCTTGATGAGACGCGTCGTCAGCAGGTCCTTGCCGCTGCCCAGGCTATGGCGGAAGAAGGGCTGAGGGTCATTGCTTTTGCGAGTGGCGTCGTCAGGAGCAAGAAAAGACAGACCAGCAGAAGCTCGACGCCTTCTGGCGGAGATAAAAAGCCTGATGCGACGGAGGTTTTCAACGGCTTATGCTTCGCAGGCTTGGTCGGGATGACGGATCCTCCTCGGAAAGACGTGCACAGGTCCATCAGACGGCTGATGGACGGGGGCGTGAAAGTGATCATGATCACGGGTGACGCCGAGACCACTGCGGTGGCGATCGCGAAGAAATTGGGCATGCCCATCAATCCAGCATCATCGGCATCAAGGTCGGTTCTTCGAGGTGACGAGCTCGAACGCATGTCGGAGCAGGAATTGGCGGAAGCTATTGGCAAAACAAGCATATTTGCCCGCACCACCCCCGACCACAAATTGAAAATCATTCGCGCGTTACAGTCGCGAGGAGATGTGGTTGCCATGACAGGAGATGGGGTCAACGATGCTCCAGCGCTCAAGAAGGCTGACATCGGAATCGCCATGGGCATGCTCGGAACCGATGTGGCGAAAGAAGCTGCCGACATGATCTTGACCGACGACGACTTCTCCACCATCCTCAGAGCAATTGAGCAAGGGAAAGGCATCTTCTTCAACATCCAAAACTTCATCACCTTTCAGCTGAGTACGAGTGTGGCTGCACTGACACTGGTGCTGCTAAGTACAATGTTTGGTTTCAAGAATCCCCTCAATGCCATGCAGATTCTTTGGATCAGTAAGTTTATGCTCCTAACCTGCCCTTACACCGTGACTGACGAGGTCCAGACATTCTGATGGACGGGCCACCCGCCCAGTCACTGGGGGTTGAACCGGTCGATCCTCGGGTGATGACACAGCCGCCACGCCCTCGAAACGCGAATGTGCTCACCAAACGTCTCCTCCGGCGTGTCCTCACGTCGGCTGTTATCATCATGTTGGGTACGCTGACGGTATACATTCACGAAATGGTTGAGATTGACGACCCATCCGCCGGTGGCCCTCCTGATGGCACGCCTCTTCGTACTCGGGTGGTGACCAAGCGTGACACGACTATGACTTTTACGACCTTTGTTCTGTTCGACATGTTCAATGCACTCACCTGCCGGTCGGAATCCAAGTCTGTCTTGTTCGGTGAAATCAAGCTCCTGGGGAACAAAATGTTCAACTATGCAGTAGCGGGCAGTCTCGCAGGACAGCTCTGTGTCATTTATCTGCCATTTTTGCAACGCGTCTTTCAGACCGAAGCCTTGGGTCTGGGGGATCTTTTTACACTGTTGTGCATAACAAGCACTGTTTTCTGGGCGGATGAGTTTCGAAAATGGGTCGAGAAGAGGCGGGCTTCCGGCTACATGCCGAGCGTTGGGTATTCGGCCAGTGTATAGACCATTCTTACTACAATCGAGCTGGGGCTTTGTCTGTGCAGCCTTGGAGCTGTCGTCCCGAAGACCCAGTAATATTCAAATGGGTGTATATTAACACGACAGCAGTGGAAGGTCTCTGATATACATGGCGCAGTGGATGCGCTGCTGCTGCCGTAGTCTGTCGTGGCCTTCCTAGCCGTGCAATATATCAATGTTCAACAACTTTGAATGTGTTTGACGGGCGGGGACGCAAGGCTCTGTTATGAATGGTTTGATCATCCAGGATGGCTGACATAGAAGCTGATGGAAGGATGGGTGTCAAGTAGATTAAGAGGTCTGTACAAGGTCTTTGTAGTATCTGTACACCTGGACTATTCCACATGCATATACTCCCGCTCTTATCGAACGATCGGTGACATTAAGAGGGCGGTGACTTTTCCTTGGGTGGTGCTAAGCAGGTCCGCAGCTGTCGCCATATCGCGAGAATCTGAGGATCTGTACGGAGTAGTAGTTCGTGAATGGGGAATATTATATTCTCCAACCCGGGCCCAATCAAATACGTGCTTGATTCATCATCCACCAAAAAGCACATCAACCATCAATCAGCGAACAGCGCCCCATACTCCGTACGACACGACGAGATCGCTTTTCTGCGGCAATCGACACACACACAAATCACCAGCTCTTGCACGCCAAAACAACCACAACCACAGCCACAGCCGGGTACCCACCACAATGCGGCCAGAGGCGCTGCGCGAACCCTACGCAGGGCCCGAGAGTGGTCCTGAGCCGCCTTTCCCGATCAAGCTGTTTGGACCGGTGATCAAAGGCTTTGGACGAGGGAGCAAAGAGGTACGTGGTATTCGTTCCATGGCGGTTCTGCCTCGTTCGTTCGTTCGTTCGTTCGTTCGTTCGTTCGTTCGTTCGTTCGTTCATTCGTTCGTTCGTTTGTTTGTTCTGCCTCGTTCGTTCGGTTGTTCGTTTGCGTGATTGAGCTTCACCTGTGCGTTCCTCCGAGGGTGGCATCCTGAATCCGGCATATCTGGGAGAAGGAGGATCATGGCCTAGGTCTCATAGATGGGAGAGTGGGAATTCCGCCTTACTGCTCGGGCGTGGGCTGGCTGGCTGGCTGCGAGATGGGTTTTGGCGGGAGAACATACAAGGTCGTCTGTCTCGAAAGGTGGACGGACACGAGAAACCCTCGACCTCGTCAAAGACCTAGCGGCTGACCTGACCTGACCTGTCTTTGGACATGAGGAACTGGCTCTTCGACCGAGGTCATGTCAGCCAGTCAGTCAGTCAGTCAGTCAGCCAGCACGGATGAGAGGTATCTTCGACGCTGGCCAGGATCGAGTTCTGCGACCCGTGAACGCTGGTCTCAGTCCCTCAGCCTCAGCCTCAGTCTCAGTCTCCGTCTCCGTCTCCGTCTCCGTCTCTGTCTCTGTCTCTGCCTCCGTCTCTATCTCCGCCTCAGTGTTATGTTCTGTCTCTGTCTCTGTCTCAGTGTTTTGTTCCGAACCCGTCTTTCTTTCCACCGACGAAATCTACAAGGACACCCCGCTAACCTTTGGCTCTGCTTTCCTTTCCACAGCTCGGCATTCCAACCGCCAACATCCCGCCGGAAGGACTAGCCTCGCACCCTGAGCTCGAGTCCGGCGTGTACTACGGGTGGGTGGGACTGTCGCTGTCGCCGTCGCCGGACACGCTGTCGAGCTCGACGGCGGTGTACCCGTCGGTGCTGAGCATCGGCTACAACCCGTTCTACAAGAACACGGTGCGCAGCGTCGAGATCCACATCCTGCACGACTTCAGCCACGACTTCTACGGCGCCGCCCTGAACCTGCTCGTGCTCGGCTTCATCCGGCCCGAATACGACTATGTCTCGCTCGACGCCCTGGTCGACGACATCAAGACCGACTGTGACGTCGCGGCCCGCAGTCTGCGCAGGCCCGCTTACGAAAAGTTCGAGCGGGAGCCCTGGCTGAAAGACTTTGACTGGTTCAAGTCCATTGATACCGCCAAGCTGGAGAGAGAAGTCTTGAACAAGGAATAGGAATGAGTGACATGACCTGACCCTAGGCAGTGGACCGCGGAAGAGCCGTACAACATCAATGGTTGCATTGCTTTCCAATCACTCGGAAAGCTGATTGCAACTTTCCAGCGAGATATTTAGACCATGCGGAATGCAAATAGACAAGACGTGCCAAACTTCCTTCCCGGAATAGATGTCCCATCCTCATCCCCATACTGTCCCAGTGGCGCGTGCCCCAAGATGGTACCCGCCGGCCACTCGAGGAGACTTTCCTACCATCCAATGTAAAGATCTCTCGCGCGAGACCATGCTGGACAACCCGAGAGAACGACGGGAAAAGACCCAACGGAATACAAAGACCTACTAGTCGGCGCAAATTCACAATCGTTTGCTGCTCAGACTCAGAACGCAAGCTAAGACACCACCACTTGAAGTACCCAAAAACTTTTTGCGCGCCTTATATACAAGGCAGGAACTGTGTCAAAGTTAGTATGGGACACTCGTCGGCACTGGCTGCAAAGGGGCACTCACGTTCATCACGATAAGCATAGGAATGTCAAAAACATCCCGCTTGACGGTCCAACAATATGTGCATTCCACTTTGCCATCTGCAGAACCTAGCTTCTGCATCCCTTTCTCGCCGGAAATGCCATCCTTCTTCATCTCGCCCGGCCGGCGAGCGAGAGGATGCTCTGGACGGCGAGGATCCACGCCATTGCTCTGTTTGCCTTCCTCGTGCCGTGCTTCGGCCTCGGCGTGGAGGTTCTGCGTGATCTCGTCGTCCTTGGTCCGGTATTTGAGCAGTTTCCCCCTTCCCATGACACTGCCACGGCTGTCGCCAAATGCGAGTCTGGCGAAGTCTTCATAAAACTGAACGACAGAATCATCGTCAAGTAATTCGGCAAGGAAGACGGGCTGTGCTCGCTTCTCATCGTTCTCTGCATCTTGAGCACTACCTCGGGTGGGTGTGTTGAACCCTGTGGCCCGGGCAGTGGTGGTGCCAGACCCACCCGCAGGCGTCTGGCCAGTCTGCCCTCGATTCACATTGAGGTTCGGCGATCGACCCAGGAGGACGCTTTTCGTCCAGCCGGTGAGAATCTGGAACTCCTTTCCGACAGCGGCCACTTCGCCCGTTCTGCGAGCGACAATGGTCGGGGTTCCTACGCCCTCAATGAATCCTTCGTATTCCCACAGAGTCCTTTGGAAGCACTTTTCCATGAAAATCAGGTCCTCTCTGTTCAGGGTCTTGGTGGTGGCGATGAACGAAGGGCGAATAGAGGCCATTGCTTTTGCAATGGCCAGGGTCTTTGAAGGCTGCGCGGCAAACCGTCTCTGCAAATAAGCGATACAGCGGTGAAACCCAGAAGTGTATGGGTGAGGGCTAGTCACGGTGGTATAGATGGAGGACGGATCCCGTGGCCGCTTGAGAGATTTGACGGGCAATTGAGACTTTGCTTTGAGCTGCGGAGTAGATATCATGGGAGGCTGACGATTTCGATTGTCAACATTGTTTGAAGATGGATTTCCCGTCCCACTGACATCGAGAGAGGTGGGAACTTGAATGGCGGGGCTGGTTAGCATTGGCGAGTCTTCGAACTTGACGGCGTTGTTCGGCGTGTCGTTGGTATCGGGAGAGGTCCAATGCGCCGCACTGGATTCTATCGCAAAAGCGTTGGGTGCCATCAGGCGACCTTGGGCACTGTAAGGATCATTATTGCCGTTGGTCCAGTCCGACATGATCGTATCACCGTAGAACTGCTGCCGCGCCGTGGGGCTCTCGCTGAAGCTTCCCAGAGGCATCCGATACGGCTGTGTGATCGAGCCTCTCTGTGTGGCGGTATCACTGGGCGGAGTCTCCCCAGCATTGGTCGCCATGTGCCCGAGCATGCCAAACTCCAGCGCACCGTAGTGGTTTCCAAAGTTCATGCTCGCGAGGTCGAAATTGAACATGGTGGGATCGTCGAACAAAGCCCCGGGCCAACCACCGTTGGTGAGATTGTTTGCTGCCGCCGTCTGATCATGGCCGACGATGGGGCTATGCAGCGGGACTTGCGATCCGACACCGGTGAAGTTGGTATTCAATGGGGACTGTTGCGTGAAGCTTGTGGAGCTCATGCTTCGCTCTTGTAACATGGGAGGAGGCATATGCGCGGGCGTGTGAAAATTGTTGAATGGTTGTGGCTGCTGAAAGAACGTCTGTTGTGACGAGGTGTCACTGGCCATGGTCGAATTCCGTTCCGGGGCAGGATGGCTGAAAAGACTTCCCCCAACACCCGGCATGAGGGCCTCGTTGGGCGCATCGTGGAGATACTTGGCCTTCTTCCTCACTCCATCCTGGCAGGCATCCTGGAGCCCTCGTTTGATGCATCTCTGGCAGGGCCGCTCATCACCTGTAAGAACGTCAGCGGAGAGGTCACGGTTCGCGGTCGTGCCGGTTGGGACATACCACACGTCAGATGAGCACGTTGACAAGCGTAACAGGCTCTGCGAGCCTTCTTCCTTCTCGGTCGGGATGGGTCCTTTGCATTGGCGGACTGTGACCCGTTGGGTTGCTTGGGTTTGTCGTTCTTGGGATGTGGTTCGGCCATATTATCAAGGACTTGCTCGGTTCCACTGTCGTCGGGGGAGGCCGAACGAGAGTGGCCATCTTCGACATCTGAGGCCGTCATATTGTTATAAGCAGACCATCAATCGCTGCCAGAACATGCAGGCTGCAGACGGCCTCGCACAAACAGCGCCAACAGTGACACCGCACCCAAGAGGTGTCTGGCCTGGCTGAGAACCCTGTCCCAGTGGCTGCTTGCATGCAAATCTCGGATTCGAGACAAGGCCCCTCTCGCGTGCAGAATCACGTCAGACCTTGCGTCAAGCCGGTGGCGCACCCCCTACAGGGGACCAAGTGCTTGGGTCTCTACAAACGATCGAGGAGCCAGTCGAGAGAGGTGTGCTGAAAAACTGGCCAGCGCTGTATGACGGCGGCGCAGGATAGGAGGGCCACCAGAAAGGGCTCGGCTTCTCAAGCCAGCCTGCGCAATGAGGTTGGAGACCGACGCAGTACGACTTGGACAGTGTATGACAGAGGTCGACAATCTTTTCCAGCGATTTTGTTCGAAGCAGTGGGAGGACAAATGTCGCGGTGGACTGGCCGAGTAGAGAGCGATGCAATGCACGCTGGTCGCACCACACCGGGACAAAGGAGGGATGTCTTGTCTTGAGAGCGATGCAGGGGGATCTGCGACTCGAGGGACCCTTGACTTGAAGGATTCAGGAGAGGGTCGAGGGAGCGGTGTCTAGGCGTCGAGCATGGTGAGTCTGTCGTGCCGCTGCTGTGATGGTGGAGGCTCTCAGGATGCGGGCAACAGAAGGGCGACTAAGCCCAGCGTCGGGGTGCGGAGTCGGAAAGAGGAGCGAGGAGATGTCGGAGGGGAGGACCAATGTGGCGCTGTCATGGAAGATGGGATGGCAGGGCACATCAGGCATGCGACTGCGACTGTGAGTGCGAGTGGGCGACAGGTCGAAGGGCGGGAGGATGGCCGAAGAGTCGAGAGGAATACAATAACACTGGGATGTGAATGGAGGGGAGTGTCGAGTGTGAGCAGTATGTCCAGAGTACGGAGTACCTTGGGTACGGCTGCTAGTGAGTCAGGACAGTGAGGGATGGCGACAGACTCGGGGAGGAAGCCTATGGGCCGACGGGGAGCCTGGGGCCAGCCTGCTGTCCTCCCTGGTAGGTGCCCGGGAGGACTTATACCACTTAGGTGCCACCACCTAACAAGCCAGTTGGTGCGGAGGACCCTGCGCGCCCAAGGCTACCAAGACCGCCTAATCTTGTTAGCCTCTACTATATCGTCCAGGCAGCGATGATTTGCTGCCACTTCCATTGATTACTGGCCAAACCACCATTCCATTGCCCCTTAGGTGCCCCTAACATCGCTAGGGCACGAACTAGGCTTGCTTGGCCTCCAACCCCCCACAAACTGGAAAATCCGAACCTGGCAGGAGAGCGAGTGAGCAGCTGCGCGGTGTAATTATTGTTTTTTGCTGTGGCACCGATGTTATAGCGATTTAGTCCTCTGTATCCGTGCACCCTGAGCACTACTAGGGAAGTTGCCAACAGTACAGAGTAGTAATTACATATGTAGGTAGGTCCTTAGGATCCCCATGTCAGGTAGCCAGCCAGGCCCCGGAGTTGAGGTGGAAGCTCCCCTCCCCCCTCGAGGGCGGCGGACCGGATAGCCACTCAGTCCTCGGCCGCCTCGGTCACCCACTACTCCATATAATGACACGGATTTGCGATACATTCTACGTCAACACCGCGGTTCGTTGTTCTTGTTTGCTTGTGGCGGACCCAAACACATCCGCAAACCTACCGAACCCCGGCATCTGGGACGATCCAGTTCCAAGGATACAAGTTTCCTATCCGAGCATTGCACCTCGGCATGATGTCCGCTTCATCCTTCCTGTAAGGCTCTCCGACTGCACCCGAGGAGGTCGGAGCTCTACGGCAAAGGCTTGACATACGTATGTGCTACATGTGTATTACTCCGTACTCTGTTGATCTGTGTTGGAGTAGGGAATTCCTCACATCTCGCAGTAGCCATCATATCGGATAGTATACTCCGTACAGATTGCTATGCCAGCCCAGGGGTTCTGCTTCCTCTTGAGACAAAACCCTGTTCTGGTGGAATTGACTGGCACGTGCTCCCTCAGTATCGTCAACCCATTCACCGCATTCCTGTCTTGTGTCTTGTGCAACGCTTCCCCTTGGACGGGCCGTCTCCCATTCGTCCTCTCCCTCCCGTGGCCAATTGTGATCGAGCCCGGGCCCAAGTCTTGACCGCAAATATGGCGCCACGCCAACTTTCAAAGCTGCACGACATCGAGCACGTAGTGAGGGCCACGCATCCACTTCATTGCCAACGCATCTGCGCGCTCAGGCATCGCCTGGCAAGACATCATGAGCTGTGTGAGAGAGACATATTCATGCCCATCGGCTCTCGCAATTCCTACAGCGTCTCCCAAGAACCGCATCGTGCAGGTACCCGTCTGGACCTGGTATTGGTAACAGACCCCATCGCGTGGCTCTGCATATCGCGGATTCGGGTTGCCTTGAAGTGAACCCACTCCAATTGTCAATCCGTCCGTATGGCAGGAGACTGCAGGAGAAGCTGGTGCCAGAGGGTGGATATGGTCGATCGAGAGATCTCAAACCGTGCCTGCAGATCCGGGAGGCCCAGGCTCTGAAATAAAGGGATAACTGGGCCCGGACTAGTCGGTAGCTGCTCCTTTATCCCGGAAGTTGAGAAAACCTGCTCTTTTGACGAAGCCTTTTGCCATAAATAAAGAAGATATAGGGGAAAGGCGCCAGAGCCAGGGTGAGGAACGCCAAAAAGGTCGTCGCCCAGTGAAAATTGAGTGCATGGTACATCTGGAGCCCGAAAAGGGGGAATGCACCGCCAAAGGAGCTGCGTGCGAAAGAGTTGGCTGACAGGGCACTTGCAGCATACAAGGGGTATGCCTCCACGAGAAATGTGAAGACTCCCGAAAAGGTGAGAATGACGCCGAACCCGAAAAAGGACGTGGCGATGATGGGTACGATCCAGTGGATCTGTGGATAGATTGTCCATGCGAACCAAAACAGTCCAACCACACAGAACCACGGACCGACGATCGAAGGGGGAAGCCGGTACTCCGGCTCAGATTTGCTCTCGCCCGTCGCCTTCTCTCGATTCCGGAGCAAGCGCAGGTAGTTGTGATGCCAGATGGGGTCGCTGGCGATGGCGAGGAGCATGCCGATTGTGAGTCCAACAAATGAGAGGCCAACCTGCCACAAGTTGAACCCGTAAACCGTGGAAAACACGAGATTGAAGGCGCCGAAGAAAAGATATAAGATCCCCAACAGGATGGAGGTCAGCAAACACAGGTTGAAGCACATGGGCTCCATGAACAAGAGCATGAAAGGCCGATAAAGCGACCTTACCACTGTCCAGAAAATGGATCTCTCCATAATCTCAATCGGTGCCTTCCACCGTTCATCCCCGGTCTCTTTCCTTTTCCTGCGTGCTTTGGTCCTCAGCACCACCGGCATGTATGTCTCGGGCACGAAAAAAATGATGGTCACCAACATCACCCCAGACCAGATCAGCAGGACGTAATACGACCATCGCCAGGAAGTGTTATAGTTGATGAAGCCTCCAATAATTGGGCCGACACCTGGCCCGATGAAGGGGGACGCTGTATACACCATCATCGGCGCTTGAAGCTGGTTGCGATTGAACATGTCGCCAACGGTCCCCCCTGCAACAGATAAAAAGGCGCTTCCAGAGAAGCCACCCAGAAAACGGGCTATCAACATGGTCTGAATGTTTTCAGCCCTGGAGCAAAGAATCAGCCAAATGGTAAAGAAGGCATAACCCCCTATATATATAGGTCGACGGCCATAGAACTCGGAGAGCGGCCCAAGGATCATCGGAGACAGGCCCAAGCCAAAAACAAAAAGCGAAAGGCCGAGAGTTGCGACAATGCGAGAATTCCCAAATTCCGCGTCCATCTTCGCTATCAAGGTGTCAGTTACACCCTCGCAACTCAAAACTCTGGGAGTAAGGGCTTGACCCTACCGTATGTGGTAGTGTATAGTGACGATGTGCAAGTCACACATAAGGAGCCAAATGCAAGCGTGATCACGACCAGCCATTTTTTGCCCGTGCCCATATTCTTGGGGTTCATCGGGTCATCTGGTCCATCCCACCCAACTTCAGATGCTTTTGTGGCAGAACCTTGGACATCCACCGCTTGGGGACCATTCTCACCGCCGTCTTGATCTGCCTCGGCTACATATGTGCTGTGACCATCGACATAGGATCGGGTGGAATGGAGACTCACTGCAGCCTCGCTGCGGCGCGACGACACGGGCGTCAGTCTTGTTGGAAATTTCCCTTGCGTTCGCAGGGTTCCTTCCTTCTCCTCTGTTGCCATTCGGGTGTCCGTCATGGCTGAAGAAGGGGTTGAGCCTTGTGAGTCACTCGTGACTTTTTGTACGAATATGGACCTTTGAGAGTGGGGGAATGGTTATGGAGGCCATAAAAGAGTACGGGAGGCTAACGAGAGGCCATAGATGCGAGTATGGTTGCAGTCAACGACGTCTGGACCTGAACCTGACGCCTGGAGCTTCTGGTTGGAAAAGATACAGAGATACAGGAAGGCATGTTCAGACCTAGTGGACGAGGAGAATTGCATCTTCGGCATTTGCACCAGGTGGGCGACCTCAATGTAATCACGGTTTTTCGGCATCTCGTCTGAAGGTAGTTCTGTGGAGATGTACGAAGGCGGATGTACATGCCCAGTGTCCATATCTTTTGCGGGCCGCAGTTCTTCCAATGTTTTGGGCGGATAAGGGGCGGACCTCATCCGACCATGTCATTCTGTTGTACGACATCCCGACACAACCCGCCATCGTACATCTTCACAGGTCAAGATGACTCCATTGTAGCTCGAGCCAGAGGAAGCGTGAGGGATGAGTTAGCTAATAACATGCATGTCGCCCAAACAAGGACGAAGGGCGTAGGTGCTTTGCAGAATACTACTACAAGGTGCTTGGTATTCCACAGAACCTCCGCGGAGAATTGATTTGAAGGCTCCCACAAGAGATTACTCCCATGCAGCAAACGTCTCCAGTCCTCGCACCTTGCAAAAAGATTGATTGAGGCAGGTGGCCCCTCCAAAATGTCATTGTCAGCTACCAGGTATGTATCATATCAATCAAAGATTTGAACATCGGGCATTCTTCCCAGGCCACTACCTTTGCTTTTCGGGGCAGCCTTGACATCTTCCAGCACACCACCCGCACTCCTTTCTCTCACATGCCTACGGAGCAACGCCAACACCTCGCTGTCTCGCCACCGCTGAGGCACCGGTCTGTAAGCAGGTTTGAAAGTGCCAACAGTCTGAGCCCACTCTCCACTTCGAGGAGCTCCTTGCTTCCACGTTGTGGTTTCCTGAGTCTGTGCAGCATTCGTAGCCGAGCTCGATGGAGTTGTTTTGCTAGTCGGGCCATTTTGCACGCCTTCTGCCGACTCAAGTGAGGTCGGTGTATTGGCAGGCGACTGTGTTGCCCAGTAATAAATGTCCCAGTCGTTCTCGTCAAGGAATCGGTCGTACTGCTCGAGTTGAAACCTGTTCATGGAGGGTAGGTTTTCCGCTGCGAAAGTGGAGAGCAGGAGGTCAGACTCTAGTGTTCCTCTCTTCCTGCTTTGGTCTGTGGAGATGAGTTAGCAAGGTTCCTCCCAACGCGACATCTCCTTGCTGCGTTAGATTGCACCAGGGCTTGCACGAACATAATAACCTCGCTCGGATAGTCGGGAGGTCTTCCCCAGTCCGACGAATGGGCTCGACGCGAAACGAGATACCCTCCAGTTCACCAACGCCAAACTCTGACGTGCTTACTTTATTGGGATCTCCTGCTTGTGTTCCTCCTGTCATCTTCTCGGTATTTTCGGGTATCTGGTCCTTGGGAACGTAGTTGGGATCGACCGAGCTGATCAAATCTGGTGGAGGATTGTCTTTTCCCACCGACGGCATGTCATTGTTGGCCGCAGGATTTGTGTTTGTCATATGAGGGTTGTCTGCCTTCTCTTTCTGGGACTTCCTGTAGTCTTCGGCGGTAGAGGGTACTCGCTCAGAGAAGCGACATGGCGACGAGGAAATGAGGCGCCTGGATACCGAGTGGGCGAAGTAACGACCGGGGAGGGATCGGGAAAGAACTCGTGTGGGATTCATCCTGGCAAGGCGTTCGATTATTAGGGTAGATGAGGTATGCTGATAATGACCGAGAGGAGCTCATACTCTAGACGGGCTACAGTTGAAGTGTTGTAGATATTTGCTTGCCGACATTGACATCATCGGGGTTAGTCCCTTGAACGCACCAATCATATTGAACGCCTCTCCAATCGGTCCAGCCTCGATCCTGTAACTTTGGTTTTGTGAGACGAGGACGACTTCTATGCGGCATTCTTAGAGGGCAATACTCATATTGGCATGAGACATGTAGGCTCCGTTCACTGCATCGCCAGGAGACCGAGAGACTGTGGCAGTGGATGGTCACGATCAAATCTGCGCTTCTGGTCTTCAAGACCCGCCGAAGGACTTGGCATCTTGCCAAGAATTCGGGCCAGTTTTCGATGCCACACAGAGCTTTTGGCCGATCGCATCGTTAACCTCGACCGCGGGCTTCAAGTTCTACAAGAAAAATACTCCCAGCATTACTCGCACCGGATCCTCAAGTCACCATGGCTGAACAACTCATTCAACGTGGTACCCTTGAAGGCCACAGCGGCTGGGTCACCAGTCTGGCCACCAGCTTGGAGAAGTCAGTCTTGCAGCGACCCCGAAGCCGCGCATTCTCGCTAACCGCGATCTAGCCCTAACATGCTGCTCTCTGCCTCGAGAGACAAGACACTCATCATCTGGAACTTGACCCGCGATGAGGCCGCCTACGGATATCCCAAGCGCTCCCTTCACGGCCATTCCCACATCGTCTCTGACTGCGTCATTTCCTCCGACGGCGCATACGCACTTTCTTCCTCCTGGGACAAGACTCTGCGGTTGTGGGAGCTCTCCACCGGCAACACCACCCGCACGTTCGTTGGCCACACCAACGACGTCCTCTCTGTTTCCTTCTCCGCCGACAACAGACAGATCGTCTCTGGCTCGCGCGACCGAACCATCAAGCTGTGGAACACACTGGGAGACTGCAAGTTTACCATCACCGACAAAGGTCACACCGACTGGGTGTCGTGCGTTCGGTTCTCCCCGAACCCCCAGAACCCCGTCATCGTGAGCGCTGGCTGGGACAAATTGGTCAAGGTAGGAAGGCCCTTGTTTACCTCCGGTTCCTTGCCCAAGATGCTACGCATTCATAAAAGTATTTGCTACTTCAGAGCCCTCGGGCCATGAGACAAACATTCACCAGCGAACTGAGGCATAGTGTTGGAAAATTTTCTGCTGTTAGCCCCCGGGCACGATTGATGGGAGAGTGACTGACTTTCATCAACCACAACAGGTCTGGGAACTGGCTTCCTGCCGCATTCAAACCGACCACATTGGTCACACCGGCTACATCAACACCGTCACCATCTCTCCCGATGGCTCGCTGTGCGCCTCCGGCGGCAAGGATGGTACAACCATGCTCTGGGACCTCAACGAGTCCAAGCACCTTTACTCCCTCCAGGCTGGTGATGAAATCCACGCCCTTGTCTTCTCTCCCAACCGATATTGGCTCTGTGCGGCCACCACCTCCTCCATCACCATCTTCGACCTCGAAAAGAAGAGCAAAGTTGATGAGCTCAAGCCTGAGTACGTTGAGAAGGGAAAGAAATCGCAGGAACCATACTGTGTCAGTCTGGCATGGAGTGCTGATGGCCAGACATTGTTCTCCGGTTACACCGATAACAAGATCCGTGCGTGGGGAGTCATGTCGCGAGCATAGACGTGTGGTGAAAAGGATGGTTGCCTAGGCAGTTAGTTACGGCGAGAAGGGCCGAGAGAACAGGAGATGTCATGTTGGCAAATGGAGATGCTTGCCACGAACAAAATCTGTTTAAGCCATACCCATCTTGACAAAGATGGCCGGAGCCGGCGCATTTGAGGTGTGCTTTGTGCTACGAAGGTAACACGAGACTAGCACGAGAAATGATCAGTGTTCAAACCAAAACGCATCCTCATTGTTGTGTCTCTACTTCAAGAACGTTCTTTTACCATGTTTCTGGCTCTGATGCGCTCGTCCGGCTTCAGCTTGTCGGCAAACTCGCCTCCAGAATCGGCCGATTCATCCCATTCTTCTTCATCCATGTTCATGATCATGCAGATCTGGCTGCATCTCAGAAACGCTTCTCGGAAAGTGTACTTTTGCCCCCTGACCACCACCTTGATGATTTCGTTGATATCGTGCTCGAGTCTTGCCGCCCCAATCTCGTTGACCCGTCCATGGTATGTCCAAAGGCGCTTCTCCAGCATTTTACTGAGGTACGTGATAACAATGGTCAAAAGCTGGTCGTACGTACGCTCCGTCATGATCCGACCGATGGGCTTCGTCAGCGCATCCCAACCTAGTTGGAAGCGCATACGGACTTCGGCCGAAAAGCCATCGCTCTCGCCGGCGCCATCCATCTCCTGAGCAAGGTCTTGCAGTTGCTCCTTTGTCAGCTGGTAGTCTGTGTCCCGGAAGGCGTCCATGAGGATGGGCCGAAGTCTAGGCTTCATCACATTGTGGAAAACCACATTGACACCATCAGAGATGAGCTCGTTCACTTTGTCGGAGAAGATGGAGGAGAAGGAGCTCAATGAAGCAGCAACTTCATCAGCCTCTCCGGGGAAAAGATTTCGAAGGGGCTGATGGGGAGATCCTGCCGTAAGTTCCAATCGGGCCCGTACGATCTGATCGACGTAGTCCTTGGCAACGTCAAGGTTGTTGATAAGAACCAGAAATGATACGATGGTTGTTTCGGGCGGGAGCTGTCCTTGTAACGCAGCTTTGGGATAGCTCTCGTCGCGCATTTTCCTCTGCTCCATGCCAATGAAGTCGGACCCTAGCACTCTGCCCAGAGTCGGCAAAACGTTAGAGACAACGGCTTTCTGTGAAGTGGCCAGTGACTGTTGTAAGATCTTATTGACGATGTACATGATGTCTTCGATGGCAGAGGTAACATGTGGTGGGTTGGAGTTTAGTGGCTTGTGAGGATTGAGTGAGAGATCGGGAGGCTGCTCGTCTAGCTGGAAGGCTTTCTCCACGGAACGTCGGAAAAAGAACGTCGTCATGGTGTTGAATGGCAAGATGAGCTTATCTTGCACCTTCTTCATTAAGCCCGAATGAAGGAGAAAAGCAGGCACCGACAGAGTATCGTCAGCTGGGGTTCCGTTGCACTTGTCGGTAACAAATCTGGTGTATAATGACCATTTACTGAGCATGATTGTCATCTCATTAAGTAAGGCGTCGACCTGTTTCATGTCGACAGATTCATCCTCGCTTGCTCTGCCTGGCACAGGAGAGTTTGCACGGGGGGTTCCGGACGATGCCCGCTGGGTTGGCATAAAGCTTTGGACAAGGAACGTGAATGCGTAAGACTTGATGTCGGTCAGCTGGCGGTCGATCCTCCTTTCATCGCTCCAGGTGTCCAAGATTATTCCTCCTTGTAGGTCAGCTTCGTTCTGGAGCCGTTCAATCACCCTGGTCATCTTGCCGGGGCCGTAGTGACGTTCGACCAGTCCACCATGCCCTTCAATGATCTGCGCAACATGCTCAAACAGTTTCGTCAGAGCATTAGCGTAAAAGAAACCATCTTTGCTCTGGTTGCCTCCTGTACCCGCATTGAGGTTGGCTCGGGCTCGCGCAGCCACCCCTTGGCAAACGTAACGTCCATACACATCGAGCCCAACGTCGGTCCTGTTGATAAGAGGAAATAGCTTGAAGAAACGAGTAATCCGTGCGCCCTCATTGTCCTTGACCGCCTTGTCGAACTCTCTCACAAAAAGACTGCATAGTGACTCAGAGGCAGTCTCCAAGGTGACAGCAGGCGGATCAGGGACTTCAGCGGTTGGAACGATCCTGGCGGCGAACGAACCGTTGATGACTTCGGTGGGTATCTTTGAGGCTCGGTTAAGGTAGCTCGCCGCAGTTTCCCAGTCTTGTGCGGCCCCCATTGACCCGGAGACACCAAGCACACATGCTTTCAGCTCACCGACTTGTTCAACCACGGTCAAGGTGGCCTTGACCCTTGCTTGCTCTAGATCCAGTAGCTTGACAGAGTTGGAGATACGCTTCGCATTGCTTGCAGCATCCGAGAGCATGCCATTGCTTACCGCCCTGGCTTTGGATGCCTGAGCAGTGACATTTGCACGGAACAGGTCGAGGCGACTCAGCTCATGTTGGAGATCTCTCTGTGCATTGATCAGAGCATCAAGTCGGGAAGTTACGGTGGCTTCTTTCTTGTGAAGCTCAGCCAGAGCTGCTCGAATCTCCGTGACAGATCTGGCATCGTAAACACTGGTGGAATCCTCTTCGGGTTCGAGGTCGGACAAGTGGCCGTTTGTTGTCATGATGGAGAGGACAGTTGGCGAGATTGAAGCAAGAGTTCATCGCCGGCCAAAAGCAACGAGCGTCTTTCCCCGCCAGATGTGAACTTCGGGGAGAAAGAGACGAGGGGACCCAGGCTTTACAGCTTAGAGGAACGTGATGCGTATAGTAACAGGCCCTTGGCCCCGACGGCTGGTGGTGATTTTACTACTCCCTGCCACAGTTACTGCTACACAGTAATTAGGAGTAGTAGGGTTTGATGCGCCCCGAGCCGAATGCCAAGTCTAGTTCTGGCCAGTGGAAATCCAGTTCCGCCACTACAGGATGACGAGGCAACTAGGCGGGGCTGCTGGGAAGAAAGTCTGATGAGAATGATAGAGACCTTCCCATCAACAAGTTGATCCATTGCGGTTGTGAACCCGTGCATTTTCTGTCCAGGCTCGAGCTGCCAGAGAGACCGCAAGCCTGTTCCGCTTCCTCCTCGCAATCATAGGTCGCCGACGAAGAGACCGCCACTCCAACCCCCGCCCCGGGCGTTGGACCTCCAAAATGGGTAATGAATCATCTAGTCCTGTGGACGAGGCCACCCCTCCCGCGAGGCTTCATGGGCGTACCGTTGAGGCTGTTGCTCAGTACATCAAAGAGAAGGAAGTCAAGAATATCGTGGTTATGGTGGGAATCCCTTTTGACAACCCCATGGAAACCCGCACCTGACTGACGTGGGCAGACGGGGGCAGGGATCAGTACATCCGCTGGCATTCCAGACTTCCGATCGCCGGAGACAGGACTGTATGCAAATTTGGCTCGATTGAAATTGCCGTATGCCGAGGCCGTATTCGACATCTCATACTTCCGCAACAATCCTTATCCCTTCTATACCCTTGCTCACGAACTATACCCGGGACGATATCGACCAACCGTGACGCATTCGTTCATCAGCCTGCTCCATAAGAAAGGAAAACTCCTCAAACTCTTCACCCAGAACATAGATTGCCTGGAACGCGAAGCTGGAGTTCCGGCAGACAAGATCGTGGAAGCACATGGGTCTTTCGCCACTCAACGATGCATTGAATGCCATACCGAATATCCCGATGACCTAATGAAGGAGATGATCAATAAGAAAGAAGTCCCACACTGCATAAGGGGAAAGTCTTGTAAGGGGTTGGTCAAGCCTGACATAGTGTTCTTCGGTGAGGCGTTGCCTGAATCGTTCCACCGGAATCGCAGTCTGCCAGCGAGGGCGGATCTTGCGATTATAATGGGAACTAGTCTGACAGTCCAGCCGTTTGCCAGCTTACCGTCGTTGGTGAGAGAAGATACGCCGCGGGTACTGATAAATCTGGAAAGAGTAGGCTCTCTCGGCTCACGCCCAGATGACGTACTGTTACTTGGAGATTGTGATACCGGAGTTCGCAAATTCGCAGATGCTCTAGGCTGGCGTGATGAGCTGGAGGAGCTTTGGGAGAACACCAACCCTGATAAGCGCGAGAGGGACAGGCAGGAAGAGCCCTTGAAGACTCGCCAAGAGAGACTTGATGAGGAGGTCGAGAAGTTGACTAAGGACATCGATGCCTCTTTAAAACTTTCGGGTGAGGCAAATCGAAGGATCAAGGAAGAACTTCACCTGGAACAACAAACTACCTCTGCCGACACCACAAACCTCTCGCATGTCTATCCTCACTTGAGAGCAAACAAATCCGATAAGCCTTGCCTATAGGCTTGTGGTTCCTTTCCCATTCACTTCGCCTCAACGGCCGTCCTAAGTCCGTCGGCGGCTCTTTCGTCAAGCACGGTTCCGACTCGATTAGGATTCACTTAAGAGGGCAATCTGAGAGGTAAGTGAGATCTTTAGTCTCAGTCCTACAATTCATTAACGGAAAACAGCACTCAGAACTCCTTCTCCCTTCCTCTAAGCATTCTCTCAGCTTCATCTACCTAGGCATCGCCCAAGAGCCTGCACAGATCGGCACAGCACCGTCAGTATGACGACGTCATCGCCCTCTGCTCGCATTCATTCGAGAAAGAGCAAATACAGCAAAAAGACAGTGCAGATCACAGTAGGACCTTCGAGAGAGCCCTTCTATGTGCACGTCTCTCATCTTGAGGACCGGACCTCTTTCTTCGAGGTTCATGGCCGGCCGCAAGGAATAAACCCGAGTCCAGACTCCCCCGGAACAACCACCTCTACCGCTAGTGAACGAGACCAGACTCTAAGCCCAGCTCCCGTGAAGACCGAGACAGGCATCACAGATGATACACAAACTACAGATAATACTCATAATGATGAATTCGCTCAGATGGTGTATCATCTTGAGGGCTTCGTCTACGAGTCTACCGCTTATGAGGTCATTGTCAACTGCCTCTACAATCAGCTTCCGGATCGTCCGACAACTCGCCATCAATGCAAAACTTTGCTGAAGTCATACGTATTGGCTCTACAGTATCGGATTACCGACCTCCAAGATGCTCTGGTTGACTGTATTCGCCAGTACCACAGAGAATTCACCATCGCATTCGAAGACTTGGTCTGGTTAATCAACAGGCTTGGCCATGGTGAAATGATCCAAAAGATCCCAATGGTGAAATACATGATTGACCAATGCGCTTGGGAGATCTGCTCGAACGGATACAAGTCCTTTGCTCGCCAGAATCCGTGGTTCGAGCCATTCCTTGTGCTGGGAGATCGCCCAATACGAAAAGTCCTGTTTGAGGCTATCACAGAAGTGTCCGACCACGCCGACCCAGCAACTGGACCGAATCGGTACAGAGTCGATGATTGGGTGCATTTCGAGCAGTCAGCCCAGAACATGACAGAATTCGTTGAGCTCGACGACTGAGTCGACCACGGAGGCAGAGTTCGAGATGTGGCATCGATGACTCGGTTGCTCACTAATCTCCCGGGTACTAGTTGGAGCCGACCAGCATTCTGCATACGAAAGGACAATAGGAAAGAACAACGGCGGAAAGGGCTTGCGAAGTGGTTTGGAGTCAGCCGTCGAGGGTTAGTCAGGATTTAGAGCTCAACTGGATGGGAATGAAGCTCCAGCAATGACAGAAGAATGTCGCAGTCGATAACAATGGATTTCTTCGATTCCCCCAATTCCACCCACTCTTATCGTGAAAGTGGCCTTAAATCCGGCCCAGCGAGCTAGTCGGGCAAAAGCTCTGGGGATAAGGGGATACCGTAAACTGCCCCTCGTCGGTGTGGTTTGGTGGCCTTCGGAGCCCCGATCTTTCCCCTGGCCTCGACCTGCCCCGCTTGTCTATCAACATTTTGGTTCTCCGTTTCTCACCGCACTCACTTTCAACTGCCAACTTTCTTCTCTTTTACCGTGCAAAGCTCCCTCGTCCAAAAGGCATACCGGTCTAGAGAGCTCAGCAACATCCCCTTGACCTTTAAGTATCTGATCTTTTACTTCGCCTCACAGACAAGATGGTTGGGCTGGGGCCGAAGCGCAAGCCCTCCCGCAAGGGTCAGTCCAGCGTATTCATACAAAGCATACTGCACGAGCTGACCACCGGTTATTTACAGGGTCTATGGCCGATGTGCCAAAAACCTTACTCGATGAACTCTCCAATCTCGAGAACCTGTTCACAGTTGATGCCGCAACACTTAAGAAGGTTACCGATCATTTCGTGTCTGAGTTAGCCGCTGGCTTGGAAAAAGAAGGAGGCAACATTCCAATGAACCCGACTTGGGTCATGGCATTCCCGGATGGAGACGAGCAAGGCACTTTTCTTGCCCTGGACATGGGCGGCACCAACCTGCGGGTCTGCGAGATCACTCTGACGGAAGAGAAGGGCGAATTCGACATAATCCAGAGTAAATACCGTATGCCGGAGGAGCTCAAGACAGGCACTGCAGACGAGCTATGGGAATATATCGCGGACTGCTTACAACAGTTCATCGAATTCCACCACGAGGAAGAAGAGGTGCTCAACCTGCCACTCGGCTTCACTTTCTCCTACCCAGCTACCCAGCACTACATCGATCACGGTATTCTCCAGCGATGGACCAAAGGGTTTGACATCTCAGGAGTCGAAGGTGAAGACGTTGTTCCTCAGTTTCAAGCTGCGCTCGAGGCCAGGGTATGACCACCGTTTATTCCACCTCTTGCTTCAGCCGACTAACTTGTTGCTAGAATCTGCCAATCAAGCTTGTAGCTCTCATCAACGACACCACTGGCACGTTGATCGCTTCAGCCTACACCGACCAGGCCATGCGAGTCGGCTGCATCTTCGGCACCGGTTGTAACGCTGCCTACATGGAGGATTGTGGCTCAATACCTAAACTGAAGCATTTGAACCTGCCTGATGACTGCCCCATGGCCATCAATTGCGAATATGGAGCTTTTGACAATGAGCACAAGGTCCTGCCGATCACAAAGTATGACACCATTATCGACGAGGAGTCTCCTCGACCCGGGCAGCAGGCTTTCGAGAAGATGATCGCCGGCTTGTACCTGGGCGAAATCTTCCGTCTCGTCCTCGTTGATCTCCACGAGAACAAGAACTTGTTGTTTGAAGGTCAGGACATTTCCAAGTTGAAGAAACCCTACACCATTGACGCCTCATTCCTCGCCCTCATCGAGGAAGATCCGTTCGAGAATTTGCAGGAAACGCATGACCTGTTCGAGAAGGACCTCAACATCAACCCAAGCAAGCCGGAACTGGAGTTGTGCCGACGTTTGGCGGAGCTGATTGGAACCCGGGCTGCACGTCTGTCCGCCTGCGGCGTGGCTGCCATTTGCAAGAAAAAGAACATCGAAACTTGCCATGTCGGCGCGGATGGCTCGGTTTTCACCAAATATCCTCACTTCAAGGCTCGCGGCGCCCAGGCGCTGCGCGAAATCCTCGACTGGCCAAAGGGGAAAAAGGATCCCGTCGTCATCCTTAGTGCGGAGGATGGAAGCGGCGTGGGCGCTGCTGTCATCGCTGCGCTCACGCTTAAGAGGATCAAAGTGGGCAACACTGTTGGGGTTAAGGAATTGGAGCAGTTGAAGCAACTCGCGATTTAGTCTAGTTTAGACCAGGGACAAGAATCTTGAATAGAGGCGACATAGACTTCAAAGGATCTCATTAAAACAGTCCCGTCACCAGGAGATTCTACTCGCGTATTTCCCACAGCCTGATCTTTCCTTGCTCGTTTCCAACAGCAAGGTAACTTCCTTCAGGCGAGAGAGCAACTGCGCTGACCCTCCCCAGCGGCGTCTTGTCAGTCGGCCAGTTTCTATAAACGGTACAGCTTGGAAGGTGAACCAGTCTCAGGGCGTTCTTTTTCCACCTCGAAGACATGATAAGCATCTGGCCATCTTCAGAAAACTCAAGGTGGGAGATTGGCGTCGTCAGTTGGTCCAAAACTTTGGTCGGGCTGGGTCTTTCGTCCTTGGTCGTCTTTTCCCCATCCCCAACAATCCATCCACTGCGATCGTACACATTCACGATGCCGCTCGAGGACCCGATCGCCACCCAGCGCGATCCGTCTCTCCCGGGTCGTCCGGTCTGTCCACCTAGGGCAATCACTGTTGTACCAACAGCACCCTCATCCGTCCAACGGTGAACGACTCTTCTCGTCTCCATGTCGTACTCACTGACTTCACCATTCTTTCCCGTCACGGCAAACCCGTTCCCGTCGCGCCACCAGGCAAAGTCCGCAACCCCTCCCCTGGAGTCGATCCGACAGCTGCAGATCCACTGCAGACTTTCCGTCGACAGTACATTGATGCTTCCGCCTCCTTTTTTTGAGGAGCCGATCAGTCCCATGTAACGTCCGCAGGGCGAGAGCTTAAAAGACTCCATGGTTCGCTGTTCCTGCCGTGCCTCTCCATACAGTGCGCGGGTAACCTTCGCCACCACCCCTGTAGCAAGCGACCACGTGTAGAAATAACGGCGCCGGGAGGAGAGAAACACTCGCGTCTGATCGCGGACTTCGCTTTCAGCTGATGAAGTATTCGTACCGTGGGGTCTGCAAAACGCGGCGGTGTGAATGGGGGTCCCCTTGAGGTGCATTGACGTCAAGACAGGGTTCGGATTTGGTGGTTGGGGTGAGATATGATACAAGATGACCGTTGAGCTTGGTCCAGCAGAGAGCAGGAGAGGATAGTAAGGGTGAAATTGTAAAGTATCGACAGAAGACGGTCCAGAGCCAGCGACATCTTTGCATCGCTCGATATCGATCACTTCCGGTCGGAGCTTTCGGAGCCCTTTGGAGGCGGGTTTTGACTCGGACCGAGTCAAAGAGCCTGCGCTCCGGAGAAGTTCAGCCAGCGGTTGTGCTGAAGGGAGAGGTTCAGCGTCTTCCATAGACATGTCGGTATCAGAGTCTTCCAAAGTCTTCTCGTGTGACGACAGCCTCCTCCTTTTCCGGGCGTATGTCACCCATTCCGGGGTGGCATGGAGCCTCTCATATTGTCGACGTAGTCTTTGAATATACTCCCTCCCACTGACGATGTCGTCCTCTAGAGTATCTCGCAGCTTCCTCAACCGCGAATTCGACGCTAGTGAGACTGTCATTCGGTCGTCATCACTGTCTATCCACGCAGGCTCTTGTTCGGTTACGCTCTGTGGCAATTGGTTTCGTTCGAGTTCCCTTGAGACCGTAGAAGGAAGCTGCCCGGTTCCCGCGTCGAGGAAGAATAACTGAAGCATTTGTCAATGGAATGCAGTGAACAGAGTTTGGGAGACATACATCTTCGTCAGCGACATCAGACAGCCCTTCATCGTCGTTCTCAGCATCGCTGGCGCTCTGGTCCTTGAAGTTATACTCGTCGCGTCGAATCAACGCCGTGTCTTCCTGCTCATGCCTGTGCAAAGACTCTAGAAAGCCAGCGTCGTCCCCAAAGACTGCCTTTTCCAGCCTCAGTTCCACTTCATCCTTCTCGAGGGCATCGAAAGGATGGTCGTTCCCGACATGATTCAGAACTCTAGTAGGGTGCGTCATCTTTGTCACCGACCAGGCCTGGGAGGTTGTTGAAGGATAGAATTGCAGACACTTTTTCTCCCGCAAACTGCGGAGATGGCCTGCGTCAACTTTTTTCTCCAAAATTATATTTACTCGCCAAGGTGAGCAAGGCCACCCGTCACCTACCATATTCCAGACCGTTATTATGCCACTTTACGCGCCTAATAGGCGATTTCAATCCACGCCTTTACGAGTCTGAATACCTATTTTCTCGAAACAAGAAGACGATAGTAAAACTAGTTGGTACAGTTCAGTGTCGAATTTGGTAGTGTGAGATATCTCAACAGAGTACTCTTAGCCATTCTGCAGTACCTAAGGGATCGATATCAAACAGAGAACATAACTCAATTTCATTGCCCACAAGGTGTTAACTCAATATGCGCAGTGCATATGAGTGTGCGAAAACTCGGAAGCAAACTGTCTGATGACGCTGAAGATGTTGAGGCTACTATCGTAGTCAGAGCGAAGCGAGGCGACTCACCCCTCAACGCCCTTTTCTCCCAGACCCACGACACCTTTAATACAGCACACAACAAAGTCCGAGATCCTCACGATCAAACGGATCCCCATGGATTCTTCCCTGTTCTTTCCAGTCTTATGCCGGCGACTGCCGAGCGGCCATTATTGGATGCTAACGTCCGTCGGATGGCGAGTTCATCCGCCGATCGGAGACTTTTGACAGCCTGGTGTAAAGGTAAGGAGGACAGAGCATTGAACCACCATTTATACTTCACCTTGAGCCTGAGTTGGCCGACAGCCAAGGGGAATTCACGAAAGGAGAAGAACCTATAAAATCCAGGTCGTCCCAAGTCGGGTGTTTTTTATCTTCGTCTCTCTCTTCACATAAGGCATTTATTTCTCTAGGGGCTAAAAGAAACGACATCGACACTATCCAAGATATGGCAGCGAAATCGTCATCTTCAATCCTCCTTCGAGGGGGCACAGTCCTTTCTCACGACGCCGATGATCATGTCATACCGCTCTATGACACCGACGTGCTTATCCAGGACAACATCATCGCCGACGTGGGCAAGAATATCTCCTCACCGTCCGAGGCGACCGAAGTCATAGACTGCAAAGGAAAAATAATCTCTCCTGGCTTCGTCGATACACACCATCATGTATGGCAGACGCAGTTGAAGGGAAGACATGCCGATGAAGGATTGGTTTCGTATATGGTCTCTGGTATGCTATTAGTCGCCTCATTACACTGCAAACCTTGTGACTTCGCTGATCGATCTCTTGATCCTTGGTCACGAAGATTGTTACACATGAAGTCCACTGACGGCCTGTCACAGGTAACATGATGTCCTACGTATATACATCTGAGGACACGTACTGGGGCCAACTCTCAGGCTGTCTCGAGGCAATCAACTCAGGAACGACTCTCGTTCTTGACCACGCCCATATCGCTTACACGGCGGAGCATGGTACGTCTCTCACCATCAACGAGCAATCGTGAATCCTCCCTCTGCATTCTGACAGCTAAATCAATCCCAGCCACCTCCGCCCTAGCCGGAACCCTCGACTCTGGCATCCGCTCCATTTTCGCCTACACCATCCCCTTGCGCATGACCCAGTGGGACCGGTCCAGCTGTGTGCCAAACCAAGACCTTCTTCCCGAATGGGCACTGACGCAACTTTGTGACTGGGCGGAGAAATACAACTACCCTACATCTGAGTCGCAAGCAACGACGACAGTGGAGATAGGTATGGGCTTTGACTTTTGGTTTTTGCCAAGGGAGATGGTGTTGGGGATGTTTGAAAGGTTAAGACAGAAGGGTGTGAGGATTGTGACGACGCATGTTGGGAGGAATGCTTTTCAGGGTGAGTTTTGTTTTCCTCTTCACGCTGTATGATTTTGTTTGCCCATATAATTGATATTTTTCCGTGGATCCATCTCTGTTCGAAAGTAGAGGATTCAAGATCACGGAGATTCACCCGCTGGGCAACTCCACTGCCTGAAGGCTCTCGCTCGTCTCATGAATGGCACGACTAATCCTACACCCAGGCCTCCAACCCACTATCCCAATGTTCTCATCCTATAATCTGTTGCAAGTACCTTATCCACCGACCAATACAACTCCCACCCTGCCTTTTCTGCTACTTTCGCACTGCACGGGCCTCCCCTCAATAGATCTCTCCCTCCTCGCCTCGACCGGCACACCCATCTCCAGCACACCCGACACTGAATCCCAAATGGGAATGGGCTACCCTGTCGCTATGCACCCATCCTTCACCGCCACGCGCTCAGCCAACGTCTCGCTTGGGATTGACTGCCACAGCAGCAATCCCTCCAGCATCCCGCTCCAAGCCCGCAACCTCCTCAACCTCACCCGGGTCGAATACAACTCACACCTCTTGGCCGACGACAAATTCCCCGCCGGGAGTGTCAAGGGGTCGTCAGAGGAGGCCTTTAATCTGGCGACAATCCGGGGCGCCCGGTGTCTAGGTCTGGACGCCCAGGTCGGGAGCATTGCGAAGGGCAAGAAGGCCGACATCGTCGTGTTCGATGCTGCGGGCAGTGTGGGCATGCTTGGAGCTGCCGAGTACGATCCCGTCGTCGCGGTCGTGAGGTTCAGTGAGAGTGCGGATGTCCAGTTCGTCATCGTGGATGGTGTGGTCAGGAAGAGGAACGGGAAGTTGGTCGACGTCCATGTCAGCCCAGCTGGCGTGACTGGAGAGAGTCTAGGTGGGGGCCAGGGCAATACGCCGACCCCGTGGTCCAAGATCGCGGAACAGGTGAGGAAGACTGCGAAGGAGATCCAGGCCAGGGTCGACGCCTTGAGTCTCGAGCAGGGAAGAAAGACGCTCTTGGCCACTCTTCACACGGATCAGTCCAGCCTGGTAGATGCCGCCTGAGTCTTAAATGAGGATGTAGACATGGCGTCCGGTGTGAGAATTGGTGGTTCAACTCACTACTCCTATGTGTCAGATATAGACGTAACATCTAAGAATGTACATTTCTCCTCATCCAAGTCCTCTTCGCCGTTGACACTGACTGAACACGAGGTGCCAACCTTGATGGCAATGCGTATTGATGCTGCTAGCGAAATACCGCTGAGCGGATTATGCTTCCAGCATTGGGTTCAAGTCGTGACATGCAGCCACGTCATGGGTTAACAGGTGACGCGAGATATCATTCTTGATTATTCCAATTTGCACTCTTCACTCTACAGTACCCTCCTCGTGCAACAATTCATCTCAGAACTTCTCGTGTTGAGTGTTCCTCGCTGACTGGAATGTGGGCTGTTTTGATTACTCTTTCCTGACCTACATGGAACGGGGCTGTGACACGGCTTTCGTTCAACGATATCAAGGGTTGTTGATCTGACCTTGACTTGAATGTCAGCGTCTTTTTCACGATGTCATTTGCAGAGCGACAAAGGCATCTTCTACAGACAGGCGAGTTTTCTGACTTTATCCTGACTGTCGATGGAAGAGACTTCAAAGTTCATCGCAATGTCGTCTGTCCTCAGTCAACTATGTTGCACCGCCTATGTACTGGCAATTTCAAGGTGAGCAATTCATGCTCCGTGGAACAGAATAGCTAACATACGTATAGGAAGGACTCGAAGGTCGTGGGACACTGACTGAAGAGAATGCCGATATCTTTGAGAAAGTCCTTGAATTCATGTACACTGGAGAATACAACTCTTCAACGAAGAAACCCGAAATAAGAGCCGGCGATGGCACTGATGTGTTTGGCGATCAAGAGGTGCCAGAAATTGAAGAAACGGAGACAGCATCCATCCGCCAGCAGTCGGAGCAGCTTATGGTTCATACTGAGATTTACCTGCTGGCAAAATACCTAGACATCAGGGAGCTTATGCGACAGGCGATGAGCAGATTCACAGCTTCGGTCGAGAAAAACTTCAGGGCCGATGCCTTTCTCGAACCATTTTCTCGAGTTTTCAATCATGGTGGTGATGGTGCAAATGGACTGAGAGCCCAAATCCTCGAGTCCTGTCTTGCATACTCTGGGTATATCCCGCAAGACGGGGAGTTAACCTTGCTGCTCCTACGGCACGAACCTATTGCCTGGAAACTATTATCACGGCAGGCTCACGAACACGCTTGTCAGGCCAAGAAGGCTATTGAAACGCAGCGAGCCCTTGAGAGAGATCTGCGAAATTCGCAAGAAGCCGTTAAGATTCTGAGACAGCAAGTTGAAGAAGTGACAGCGGACAGAGATCACACGCTCAAGTTGCTTAAGGAGCACGACAGTTGTCGAAATTGCCGCCAATTTTTCGGCTCATACGTGGAAGAGGGCGAGCCCAGGATCCTTCGGTGCAAGTCTTGCAGATGCCGGCATAATTAGGTATTTCAATGCGATGATTTCCTGCCTACTTTCTATTGAGTGGGCGATGGAAGGGCCGTGGTAACGACAATGACAACAACGTCGTTCGAGAAGGATTGTGTTCTAGAGGAGGAGGAAAGCTGGTAGCCCCGAAGGCAGAAAAGAGGTCTTTATATTCTACCGGTAGAAGGATGGGTCTATCCAAACGAGAGGACGTCGTAAGTGAGAAAGGAGTCAAAGAAGGAACCGCCTGCTGTATTAGATCTGAAGGGTGTGAAGGTGGGCGAGGGTGAGTCGTTATAAAAGCGGCAGTGTACGGTAATAGTAATTACATGTATCCGTACTAGTAGTGCGGAGCACTCATCTTTTGTTGCCAAGCGATTCTGCCTTCCAGGATCAGACTCTGCCACTGCTACACCACCATCTCGCAACACCTCGATATTACATTCCACCCTCTCCCAAACGCCATTGTTGTCGGGTGCCATGTTCTCGCCATGAAGCGCAAACTGGATGCCAACGACGCGCCAACGGTGGAGGTGGCCCCCGAAAGCCAGCCCGATGATCCTTCGTTCGACAGTTTCGGTCTCGACCCTCGCCTGATGCAGGCCGTTGCAAAGGCAAAATTCTCGGCCCCTACCTTGGTGCAAGCGAAAGTGATACCTTTGGCACTCGAAGGAAAAGATATACTCGCAAAGTCAAAGACAGGGAGCGGCAAGACCGCCGCCTACATACTGCCCATCCTCCAGTCGATTCTCCGCCGAAAAAAGACCTCACCGAAGGACAAAGCCACCTCCACTCTTGTCCTTGTACCCACGCGTGAACTGGCAGATCAAGTGCACAAGGCTTTCGGCTCACTTTCGGCATTCTGTTCCAAGGACATACAATCATTGAACCTGACTCAACGGCTGTCAGATGCCGTGTTGCAGGCCGTGTTGCAGGATTCCCCCGACATCATCGTGTCAACGCCGGGAAGAGTGACCCAATACTTGAACTCGGGTAGATTATCTCTTGACAGAATCAGTCATCTTGTTATTGACGAAGCGGACATCGTCCTGTCTTACGGATACGAAGATGATATCAACACAATTGCCTCCATTCTCCCACGCGGCGTGCAGACCTTCCTGATCAGTGCGACCTTGACACCAGAGGTGGAGGAGTTGAAAACAATATTCTGCCGTGATGCGGCGGTGGTCAAGATCGACGAAAAAGAGGAAAAAGGTGAAGGAGTGACCCAGTACGTCGTCCGCTGTGGGGAGGATGAGAAATTTCTGCTCATGTTCGTTTTGTTCAAACTGCGCCTGGTCAGGGGCAAGGCCATCATCTTTGTGCAAGATGTTGACAGAAGCTATCGCCTGAAGCTCTTTTTGGAACAGTTTGGGATCAAATCATGCGTGCTGAATGCCGAGCTCCCGGTCAACTCCAGACTTCACGTCGTCCAGGAGTTCAACAAAGGCTTGTACGACATTCTCATCGCCGCCGATGATCAGGAGGTTCTTGGCGGCATCGTCAGGAGACAGAAGGCCCAGCTGCAAACTCTCGATGGTCAGGAGAACGAAATGAGCGACGAGGATGACGGAGTCGAGCAACATGTTTCGAAAAAGGCCAAGATTTCGAAGAACGAAAAGGATTATGGTGTTTCCCGAGGCATCGACTTCCAAAATGTTGCCTGCGTCATCAATTTTGATCTCCCGCAAAACTCAAAGTCGTACACACATCGCATCGGCAGGACGGCGAGAGCGGGAAAGGCGGGCATGGCGTTGTCGTTCGTGATCCCCAAAGACCGTTTCGGCAAACACAAAGCCACATGTATCCCATCGGCTAAGAACGATGAGCGTGTCCTGGAGAAAATCATTGCTCGGCAGGCAAAGAAGGGCAATGAGGTGAAGCCTTATCATTTTGACATGGCCCAGGTTGACGCCTTCCGCTACCGCATGAACGATGCCTTGCGAGCTGTCACTCGCGCGGCGGTTCATGAAGCCCGCGCCCGAGAGATCAAGCAAGAGCTGATTAAGAGTGAGAAGCTAAGGAAACATTTTGAAGAGAATCCAGACGACCTCCGCCATCTCAGGCACGACGGCGAACATGGTGCTATTGTCCGACATCAATCCCACCTCAAACATGTTCCAGATTATCTCTTGCCGCCGCAAGGCAGGAAGGGTGTGACTTCTGAGGACATTGGCTTTGTCGGGTTAAGAAAACTAGACCCGGACAGCAAACGAAAGGATAGCAAGAAGCGAGGCGGCATCCGCAAAGGCCGTGCAGGCGGGAAAACAAGGGGGAAGGTTGACCCGTTGAAGTCTTTCAGTGCCAGAAAGCGACGCTGATCTGGATGGATATTCAGACGACATAGTCATTAGCTGCAATAATGAGGACTATTTCATATGGACTCGAATTACTAGTATTTCTCAACACGTCTTGTATTCGTCTCAAGCACACTGGTTGGAGTTCTTGCTGAAATGTACTCTGTAAACATCATTGTCGAGTAAACCCTCCATACGAAGCATCTGTCGTCATTATTGCTGACACTCGAGCTGCGGAACTGCCACGCAGTGCGGGGATGAGACTGGCTGTAACACTCGAATATTCTCGAACTCATCCTTTCATTCTGTATCCGGACTCGGTACATTAAATAACCCCAGCCTAGAATCCTCAGCAGTGACAGGAACAGAACGACTTTGCAAGCAGGAATTGGTATATTTCGATCCAATCCACTACAAAAGGCTTTTCGCTCGGGCAGGATGCCCTCCGCCACGGCCAAGGTTGCGGGCAATGTCATCGCCTCATCAGACAAGTTCCAGACCGTGGAGGGCAACATTTACTTCCCTCCGGATTCTATCGACCAGGCAATGCTGTCACCCTCCGATACCCACACTACCTGTCCCTGGAAAGGCCAGGCCAGCTACTATAACATCACTGTCAATGGCCAAGTCTTGAAGGACGCTGCTTGGTATTATCCTGCGCCAAAAGAGAAGGCCTTCCACATCAAGGATCATGTCGCCTTCTGTGAGTGTTCTTGTCCTGTCCTGCCTCGTCTCGAGCATTGCTGACGCAGGCTATCAGACGCCAACAAAGTGAATGTCGTGGTTGCATGAGAGTTGGGGAACTTGCCAAAGAGAAAGGAATCAAGCACATGTTATTTCCGGGGTCCAAGTCAGCCTGCGCAGCGGTAAACGTTGATACGAGTACATATGCTTTGAAGTCCTGCCATTGGCCCCAACATGCTCTACCCTAGTACTCATGCTGGACGAGCCGTTGCAGAAACTTCTTCAACCACTTCGGCGTAGGATCGGAGGTTCAAGACCGCCACTGGGCCGTGCCCCCGAGAAGGGTTCCACGGCGTTGGCACTTCCATTGTCCTCCGGCGGCCACTCAGAACGCAGAGGCCGGAACACCTTGCCGATTCCCATCTGTTTCTGATCGAGATCCATGGAGCCTTGCCGGCCAATAAACCGGCCATGTTCGTTCGACAGGGTTCGTTTTAAATACTCCATCCAATCCAAGTTTTCTCTACACCACCATCCACGGCGTCGTCCAGGTCTTTGACTTTTGACCTAACATCGTGGCTTCAACCCCAGCCATGGCAGAGGCTGTCAAAGCCGAAGGCGCCAGCCAGGCCGCTGCTCCGGCGCCAAAGAGCGGCGTTGTAAAAAGCGCCATGGCTGCAACCGAAAAGGAGCATGGGATGACCCTGATGCAAGGCATCCGACTCTACCCCAAGGCCATTGGCTGGAGCATCCTGATCAGCACCTGCATTGCCATGGAGGGCTTTGACGTGTGTCTCCTGCCCAACTTCTACAACTTCGCCCCGTTCAAGCAGAAATATGGCCAGCAGTTGCCCAACGGCGATTGGGAAATTCCGGCTCCCTGGCAGGCGGGATTACAGAATGGCTCTCAAGTCGGCCAGATCATCGGTCTGTTCATCAACGGCTTCGTCTCTGAGTGGCTTGGATACCGCTATACGACCGTATGCTGCTTAGTTCTAGTCGCCGCATTCACGGCCATCTTTTTCACCGCCCCGAGCGTCGAAGTTCTACTCGTTGGCTACATTTTCTCCGGAATCCCCTGGGGTGTTTTCCAGACCCTGACCATCACCTACGCGTCTGAAGTTTGTCCGGTCGCATTGCGTGGTTACCTCACCACATATGTCAACTTCTGCTGGGGCTTAGGACAAGTCATCGGCATTGGGGCCATTAAAGGCAGCCTCAATCGCCAGGATGAATGGGCTTATCGGATTCCATACGCCCTGCAATGGATTTGGCCCCTGCCGCTGGCAGTCGGTATATTCATGGCGCCAGAGTCTCCATGGTGGCTAGTTCGAAAGGGAAGGGTGGCCGATGCAAAGAAGGCTCTTCTTCGACTGACTAGCCTGAACCGAGAGACTAACTTCGATGCGGACGAGACTGTTGCCATGATGGCTCATACTACGGCACTCGAAGCCAACATCACAGGGGGCAGCAGTTACCTTGATTGCTTCAAAGGCACCGACCTCCGACGGACCGAAATCGTCTGCATGTGCTGGGCAATTCAGAATCTGTCCGGCAATTCCTTCAGTAGCTATTCCTCATACTTCCTGACACAGGCGGGGTTGGACCCATCGACCTCGTACGATTTCGCCCTGGGCCAATACAGCATCAATATGGTTGGGGTGTTCGGCGTGTGGCTGTTGATGAGCTGGGGCATCGGGCGAAGATCGCTCTTCCTGTACGGGCTTTGCGGCCTGTTCATAATGCTGCTCGTCATGGGCTTCCTGGGCCTTCCATCGAACAGAGATGCAGCGGCCATGGCGACGGGAAGCGTCATGATCGTTTGGGCCGCGTGTTACCAGCTATCTGTCGGCACGGTCTGCTATTCTCTAGTGGCCGAAATGTCCACGCGTCGACTGCAGATCAAAACCGTGGTACTGGGTCGCAATCTCTTCAACATTGTCGGCATTGTCTGCTCTGTCATCACGCCGTACATGCTGAACCCAGGCCAGTGGAACTGGGGGAACTACGCCGGTTTCTTCTGGGCAGGCGCATGCTTCCTGTGTATCATCTACACATATTTCCGCATCCCCGAGCCCGATGGCCGCTCCTTTGCGGAGCTGGATCTGCTTTTCGAGCGCAGGGTGCCTGCCCGAAAGTTTGCCTCGACCAAAGTCGACGTCTTCGCCGTGGACGTACATGGCCATGTGTTGGACGAGGCTGGACGGAAGTTGAGTCTGAGTATTCGCGCCTCGCATGATGAGGACCACGAGGATGACGCGGGCTCGACCGAAAAGGGACGTAAGGACGTAGCAGAGACATGACATTCTGCATATAAGACACTGCATACACTTAGACAAAAATTAGACTAGACGCCTTATGCGGCTTAATAGAACAAAACTAATTAGACTAGACCGTCTGCCTTATGCGGCTTAATGGACTTATATATACAGTATATGTCATGTCATGCTTACAGTACAGTATGATTGCCAATTGCACTGGCGCGAGCCATTCTCTAACAACTGCCGAGAGTGTCAAACCTACCTGGTACCTAAGGCATTCCCAGCCTTGCTCTTTTAACAGAGGGCGTAAAGGCTGGTTTGGGCATACTATAGACTAGTTACTACTAGGTATATAGCCTGCGCTCTCCCTGCGACCCTCTGATAGCGAACATGCAACATTTCAACCTATGACAGAGAGGTCATTCTCGACACAGATTTCAATCGGATCGTTCATTTTAAAAGAGTTTACGGAGTACATATGCGCGTGTACCTGACATGTAGGGGAGGGGAACATGTATCCAACCCTGACCCTGGCACCTGGATGCAGTAAACCAGGAGCCGAGTCCATGTATTCAAATATTCATCAGAGGTATCCTTTGATACTACCAGCCAAGTCTATGAATATTCTTCAGAGGTATTGTTTGATCCTACCGGAACCGAGTCCATGAATATTCTTCACAGGTATCCTTTAATACTCCCGTTGTCCTACTTTGGAGGTATCCTTTGATACTACTTTTGTCTTACTTTAGAGGTAGCCTTTGATACTGCCGGAGCCGAGTCCGTGAATATTCTTCACAGGTATCCTGTGATACTGCCAGCCGAGTCGATGAATATTCTTCATAGGTATTCTTTAATACAACCAGCCAATTCCATGGATACTCATTAGAGGTATCCCTGATACTACCAGCCAAGTTCATGAATTCTTCACAGGTATCCCTTAATACTACCATTGTCCCACTTCAGTTCTCGCGGCCCATCAGCATTCGTAGTCAAGACCCTCACGGCGGTCAACAGGCCCATGTCGCGAATGGTATATTCATAACTCCACCAGCTGGCCGAGGTCCTGAACGCATCCGGGCCGTACCACTTGGTGAGGCCGTCGGGCAAGTGGACGGCTCCAAAGGCGTGGTCTCGGTTTCCGAAGGCGGTGATCCTCAACGAGTGCTCACCGCGGGCCAGGTCGCCGAGGTCCAGAGTGTGTGGCTGGAAGGCGATCTTGCCCACGGGCTTGCCGTCCAGCTCGACGGCCAACAGAGGCGCGGCGAAGCGCGGGACCTGGATCGCCGTGCGCTGTGTCTCGGCGTCGATCTGCAGCCGGAACTCGTAGTGCACGTTCCCAGCGTAGAAGGGAAGCCCCTGTCGCGTGTAGTCGCCCACAGCCAGTTTGGCCAGGTCCAGAGGCACCACTGTTGCTTTGCGGCCGCGCAGGTCGACCGCGAAGTCGCCGAGGAGGTAGATGCGCTCCAGGTTCGTCATGGGCCCAAATGGTAGGGTCAGGACAATCTCGTGAGAGCCGGCGGGGATGGCGGGCAGAGGAACGGTTTTGATGGCCTCGTCCACCCACCATCCATCGGCGTCCGCCGGGACCAGCTGGCCGTCCAGATAGATCTGCGTGGTGGCCCGGTCTTCCAGCGCCAGTTTCGAGGCAGGAAGGTCAACCGTGGTCTGGAACTTGAATTGCAGGGAGATCTTGTTCGTCGGCGTTGCCTTGCTGGTCGTCCATGGCTGGGCAAAGGCGTCCTTCTTGAGTCTCAAGCCCAGCTTTTGCCGGGCAATATTGTCGATGCGCAGGATTTCTTCCGGCTCTTCCCACTCTTGCGCGTCGTTGATCCGGTGCGAGGCAATATCGAGGAGGAGTACGTTCGGCTCCGACAGCGACACGCTGGTATCGACCAGCTCGTGAGACACGTGCCACTCGGGCTCCGTGAGCGGCGGCAAGGCGCCAATGGCGGCGGTCGGGGAGGGGTACAATCTCAGCAGCAGAGATCCGGCGCCGCTGAACTTGTAGTCGAACCGCGTCCACTCGCCATACTGGGTCGTGTCCAAGGAGTACGATCGGCCCGAGAATGTGTCGAGCACGGTGGCGGACCATCGGCCGCGGATGTCAACCTGGCTTTGCCGGGGAAGGAAGCGGTCGGTGTTGCACAGGAAGAGGTAGCGCTCGTCGCCGTCGGCGCGCATTTGGTACAAAAGCAGGTCGCCCGGCAAGCCCGAATCTAGAGTGATCCTCACGTCTCGGACGTTGGCCAGCTCCTGGAGGATGCTGAGCTTGGTGAATGGGACGCGGGTGGCACGGAGGCTCTTGGGGCGAGTGGATGGTTCCACCTGGACCAGCGTGGCATCCTCGCCTGCGACGATGATCTTGCCGTTGTCGGCGGCAAACCTCTCGAGAACGTCGAGGGTCGTCTTGCGGATGGTGCGCAAGTTCGGTACGATGACGGCGTCATACTCCTGGACGCCAACCTTGAGCTTGCCGCCGTGGGTTTGGGGGTTTTGCTCCGGCCTGGGATCCAGTCAGTACTTTTGAGTGCAAGTGACGGGGACAGGGAACTTACAGCAGGGACTCGGAGATGAAATCAAAGTCGATCAAGCCATAACAAAGCCAGTCAGTCAGATCGAGGAATTGGCGGTCCAGCTCGTCCTGGTCAATCGAGGTCTCATTCGGCCCGAAGGACAACCAGAAACTCTCGATGGGGTGTATGACGGCAACTCTGACCACAGCCTTGCCCCGGGTCAGAGCCGTGTGGACTCTGGCGAAATGGTTTTCGATGAGAGGATACTCCTTGTACCAAGGACTTTGATAGCCGATGGCAGCAGGGTAGTCTCGTTTGGCCTCGCCGGCCATGGTGACCCACGACAGATGATGGCAGCGGACGTTGATGCCCAAAGCCGCCTGCCAGTCCCCGGCTCCCTTGTGGCCTTCGAACGTGAAGGTCCAGTTGGTCACGCCGTAGATTTCCGACAGCACGCCGCAGCGTCCGTATTGCCTGGACACCGACTGCGCCTGCTTCGCGGTGGTGAATTCCCGCCGGTCACAGAGCAAGTCGATCCCTGGCAGGTGCATGTTTTTGTAACAGCGCATGGCCTCGCCGAGCGAGCTCGTTTGAGATCGCAAGGTCGGCTCTTTCATCATGTGGCCAGTGAGTGCGATGCCGTTGTTGTTGCACCAGTCGCCCAGCAGGTCGATAAAGGCGCCGACGAAACGGGTGCACACTGTTTATTGCTGAGATCAGTATCTGTCTTGGTCATATGAGACCCATCAGGGCGAGGGCGCCGACGTACCATGGTCGTGATAATTGTATCTTGTCGTGGATGGGCCTCTGATGTCCCAGACCACCTCGGGGAGCGAGTCCAGCAGGTCAGAGCCGTAGGCACTCTTGTACGAATCGGTCAGATCCAGCGTCCATGGGAGGAAGATGTCTCGTTTGCCGTGGGCGAGCTTGAGTTGGTTCTTCAGCGCAAATTGAGGCTCGTCGGTGAAGATGGCCGGGACCGTCTTGCCGAATTCATCGCCCACTACCTTCTTGTAGGGTTCGTACGTGATGTCGACAAACTTCTGCATGGCTTCGGCGTTCAACGTGTCGACATAGTACGACCCGTTGAACCATTCGGACGGAGGGTTTGTTTCCACGTAGGCGTACCAGACGTCCTCGCAGTCGGCCTCGTCATCTGCCAGCCGCCGGCTCTCGACGAGAAAGCCGTCTTCGTCCAGCTTGATGGCGTACCGGGCAGCGAGGAAGCCGAGTTCGCTGCGAGAGGCCACGGCCGAGCACGAATGGTTTTCCCTGCAAGAGAGCTTAGCGAGGATCATAAGAAAAGGGCACGCCGGGACATACTCTGCCTGATAGGGCCGGTTCGGATCGCCGTACTTCCAGGGGGTAATCAGCATGTGTCGGGAGCGAAATCTATCGTCATCTTTGGTGACCAATCCTCCAGCCGCTCCGGAGGGCCAGCGGTCTTCATCGTACAGCCAGGCGAGCATCTTCTTCTCCTTGGCCCGGTCGACGCAGGCTCTGACCAGTTTCATGTACTCATCGCCCAGATACGGAGTGTCCAGGCCAACCCGCGAGTGCATATGGAACCCTCCCAGGCCCATCTCTTGCAGCTGGTCGATTTGCCGCATGAGCTGGTCGTGATCGAGCTTGGTGTTCCAACTCCATAGCGGTGTTCCGCGATACTCGGAGGAGGGGTTTGCAAACAGAGTGTCTGAGAAGGCGGTGCGGCTTTGAGGGAACAGATCGAACGACTTGCCCGCCGTGGATTTGGACTGCTTCACCGTCGGTGCCGGCTCAGGCAGCTCGGCGATGGAGGGAGCCATGATGCAGTTGGTATTCACGTCACCCGTGGAATACTGTGTAGAGTGACAATGCGAGGACAAGACGAGTCTGATGAGATGAAATAGCCCAACGTCAGAGGGTCATCTTCCCTCGCTCACCAAGCCAAGGCATGCTGCTGAAGGTCGGCGCAAAGGAGAGCGAGTCGAGGGTCACAGGGTCCCCGGGCCCTTGGACGTCGTCCCTCGCCCCTCTGAAAGGCTGCAAGGCCTGGGGGCCCATAAGCCCATCCCACCGGGCCCCGTGCGGCGGGCACATGCTGCATCAGCCCACGCCTTTCCCCATTGTGCCAGCGGCGAACTTGTATCGTGATTCGACAGTCGCCGCCATGTCCCCGGCGCAAAACAGACTCCTTTCGCCTCTTTCGCCTCCGCCTCCACCTCCTCCGCTGGCCTCTCGTGTCTCTCGCCCCGGCCGGCCGAATCAGGGCTGCATTTCGCCCCTGACCCTGCCCCTGCCCCCCTGCCCCCCTGCCCGCGTGCCGCCATGTCCGCCACAAAAACCCCAGCCCTTGGCGGGCAATTCTCCTCACCCACATGTCTGCCCGTGTGGAGTGATGGGTGATGGGGATGATTATGGGACGGCTACCGTACTGGGCTGAGAAACTCTTCTCTGTCAGGCGGGTTGAGGTTCTGGACTGATCCCGTCGCTTGTCCCTGGTATGCAGTTGCTCGGGTCAACTCATTGAAAGACTAGAGGAGAAGACTCTAATTTCAGTTGCTCCTTTGGGCCTTGTCGGGAATGTCTATTTAAGACAGGTTCCCATCGCATTCGCCTCGCGACACGACACGGCACCGTCAGCCATTTCCTCTTTGGATCCTTCGCCATAGCATACCGCAGCATATCCATCCATCATGGGGTTCTTCATCGTTCTCATCTCGTTCGTCGTCGGCATCGGCGGCTTTGTGTTTGGCGTCGACTCTGGTAAGCACAAGGACACGATGTTGGGCTCGTCGTCACCTCAACAAAGCTGACTGGGTTGCTTGCTAGGCATCATGGGTACCACACTCGGCCATGACACGTTCAAGTTGTACATGCTGGGGCCTACCATGAAGAACGCCTCCTTGACCGGTATTTCTTCACCTCACCACGCCTGCGCGGCTTGCCGCGGTCACGGTTACGGTCACTGATTTCTTTCTTCTCCCTCCAGGCGCCATCGTCTCCGTCTACAATGCGGGCCAGGCGGTCGGCACCTTCTTCACCGGGTACTTGGCCGACAAGATCGGCAGGAAGTGGACGATCTGCGGAGCGGCCATTATAGGTATGGAAACACATAACACCAGGAACCTCACTCGGGGACCTCTGCTGACTTGACCGACGCACAGCCACACTGGGTGCTTCCTTGCAAGCCGGCGCGCGGAACGTGGGCATGATGATCGCTGGCCGTCTCTTCGCCGGCCTGGGCTGCGGCATGATGTTGACCGTGGTTCCCGTCTACATCGCCGAGGTCTCCCCCCCAAAGAATCGTGGTGTTATCGTCGGTATACAAGGCCTGATGATCTCTCTGGGGTTCTGCATCGCCAACTGGATCGGCTATGGTGGTGCGTTTGCATCGGGCAATGCACAATGGCGCATCCCGCTGGCCATGCAGATTCCCGGGGCGGTGGCTCTTGCCATCGGATGCATCTTCATCCCTTACAGTCCTCGTTGGTGTATGTGTTGCTCCCATGGGCCGCTCGTATGGGAGCGTTTGCTAACGCATGGTACCTTTTAGTGGTTCAACAAGAGCGATACGAGGATGCTAAAGCTGGTTGGTCTACTCCCTCCCAATTCGAGTTCTATTCTGACATTGCTGCCAGTACTCATCAAGTTGCACGGCGACCAAGGAGATGACTATCTCGCCCAAGAGTTTATCCAAATTCGCGACCAGATCCTTCTGGAACAGTCCGCGAAGGGCACCAATTTTATGCAAGCCATCGGCCAACTATTCTCGCGACAATACATCCGCCGCACCGGAACCGCCTGCTTCATCCTCGCGATGGGTCAGCTCAGCGGCTCGACGGTCATTCAGAACTACCAAAACATCTTCTACGCCACGGTTGGATTCCACGGGAAGACCGCTCTGCTGATCAGTGGCATCTACGGGTTCATGGGCCTCATTGGGCAGATCATCTACATGCTGTTTGTGGCCGATCGATGGCCTCGCACTCGCACTCTGTGGACGGGGTCCGTCTTCCTGTGCGTGATGATCTCCATCTGCATGGCCCTGTCCGCAGAATACCCGGCCGGCACCACCAACAAAGCTGGCCCTCGAGCCGCCATCGCCGCCATTTTCATCTACTCGGCCGGCTATGCCGTCTTTTTCAACGCCATGGTGTGGGTGGTGCCCTCCGAGTTGTTCCCCTTCTTCCTCCGATCCAAGGGCCTGGGTCTCGGCGTCTTCACGAAAGCCGTGGTTGCGATCGTGTTGGCACAGGTCACTCCGGTCGCGCTTGAGAATGTCGGCTGGAGGTACTATGCGCTCTTCATTGCCACCAACTTTGCCGCCGCCTTCATCTACTTCTTCTTCCTTCCGGAAACGAAGGGCAAGTCACTCGAGGAGATTGCCGAACTGTTCGGCGACACCCTGGCTACCGAGCAGCTGGGACACATCAACGTAGCAGCCAAGGAGCCCGCCATCCACGAACAGATTGAGAACGTGGAGAAGAAGGTGTGAACATGCACACGTCGCGGATCTCGCATCTCACCAGGAAGATTTTATCTTTGATCATACGGAGGATAGATATTCCGGCATGGACCAGGGGTCATGAACTGGCTATTCTACTGTACCTTAGCGCTTGTATCCCATGTAGACTAGAGACTAGCCTACAGCTGACATTTACGCTACAACTTTAGAGGCACCTAAGAGGTAGAGTAACAAGCTGGCTGGTCTGCTGTATTCGGGCCCTATTAACCCTAACCCTAACCTTGACAGGGAAGGTATCTAGTGAACTATCCGTCATTTTCAATTTGAACTGCTGCTTTTGTGCGCCTTGGCGTGCGGCGTTAGCTGACGCAACCCACGTGATGTGAAGGCTTGGTGAAATCCCGTGACGGGCTCTCTCTCCCCACAGTTCCGGCTCTTTGGATCTCAATCCCTGTCCCGGTCCCCGGTCTTGTCTCATCTCGTCTTCTGCCCCCCCAGCTTTTCAACCTTCTCACTAACCCTCATGAACCTGTCAAATCAAGCCATGTCCGGATTCCGGACCACAGATATCCCTGCCGTCTGTCGGTCGATCGTCGCCTATGCTAGCTGCTAGCTGCTCTTGTGTATTGATACTCGCCTATATTAGCTGCTCTTGTGTACGAGTACTGTGATGCTGCCGATGGCTGCGAATCCCCCCCGAGTCATACGAGGTCGGTTGTCGACAAGTACTCCTCTTAAACCTAAGAGTCTGGTCTTGTCCGGGCGGTAGGAAAGTCATTCACGTTCACTGGCAATTTAATTAATGTACAACAAACGAGAACGTGCCGGGGCGTGCGGCACCTGTCGGTATGATGGCTCTCCTGCTTTGCTTCTTGCTTTGCTTCCTGCTTTGTTTCCAGCTTCCTTCTTCCTTCTTCCCATGGGTGATATGGGTGGCTGCTGCCAGCTTCTTCTGGGGGACATTGTACTGGCACGAGACATATCTCTGCGCCTTGATAACGCCCTTCCTACTTCCTGCTTCCTGCTTACCGTCAAGCAATACCAATGCTAATATTGGTGAGATGGCAGTGCCCGGAAACGCCGGTGCATCCCAACCGGATCCCCAGCACTCTGTGAACTCTGCAAGGCACTCGGCGTCCCTTGCACGCTGGCCGCAAGGTATTCACAGAAGAAATTGGTTGCTCCCGAACATGCCGTTGACACCCCGGATACCGCCTCGAGTGCTCCTGCTCCAGATCAAGCCACCTCCGTCCCCAGTTCCAGCGATTTCGAGCCCTGGGAAATGCCAGGTCTACAGCAGCAGCAGCAGCAGCAGCAGCAGCAGCAGGATTCACCTCATAGCTTGCTGCTGCCCTCAGAGCGCCATCCCCTTGCAGTGTCGGAGATTTCATGTCAAAGGCACTCGCCATTCACGCCTTTGAGCCTGCCGCTGAGAGATCTGGTCGATCTGTATTTCCACTTCGTCCACAATGGCCCCCACACCCTGTTTCATGAGGCAAGCTTCTACTCAGAGCTGGAGGCCGGATCCATACCTGAGATGCTTCCCTTGGCCATGGCCTCTTTGTCGGCAAGGTCAGTGCAGTCCATTAGCACGGTGTTCTTGAAAGTCCCAGTGGGTCGGCCATCACTGACCATTTCGCGTGTTAAAGATTTTCGGCGAACCCCTTCTTTGAGAATGTCGATCCGCGCTCGCGAGGTAGAAGCTACGCCGACCACGCCATGGACCTTCTCCATCGGAAAATGCTGGACCCGTCGCTTCATACTGTCCAGACGTGTGTCATCATCGCCCACTTCCTGGGGGGAGAGGGAGAAGTCAAGGGCAAGCACATCTACCTGGGTCTTGCACGCCTCCATGCGCAAACCATTCGGCTTTGGGAGATGCCGGCCCATTCGTCCATCATCACACGAGAGATCCACCGACGCACCATGCTGTCCGTCACCATGGCGGGCAATTGGAGTGCGGCAGACATGTCTACCCGAACACTGTCGCCTGAAGATCCCGAGAGCATCATTCCCCTCATTGACGATGTCGACTTTCTGGCCCTTGGTCCCGACAGCATGTCGACCTCGACCACCGGACCTAACATGCTGCAAGCCAACAAGAGCATGTGGGCGCAGATGGCTCTCACGATCGACATCTACGGTCGCATCTGTGATGTGGTCTCCGGCCTCTCCCACAAACGGCGAACTCTCCAGTCCTACCACGATGACATTGCCGACCTGGCCGCCGAGCTAAGCCGGTGGGGGGCAAGTCTTCCTCCCAACCTCACTTACACCATGACCAACCTGGCTCGATACGCCAACCTCGGGCTCGGCCGCACATTTGCGTCCATGCATATCGGATACCACCACTTCTGGCAAATGTTGTACTATCCATTCCTCAATCTGCGCCAGCATCAACAATTACCTCCTCAACTCCACGAAATCTACGCCGAAGACAAGTATGCCATGATGTGCAAGGAACATGCCATGCTGGTGTCGGATATCGCCAAGGTCGCCTTCAAAACCAGTGGCTGTGAGCTGGTTTGGTATCTCAACGGGCATATCCTGGTCGTCAGTTCGAGCGTGCACCTGCACACACTCTTGTTCAGCGAAAGCCTGGCCGAGACCGACATGGCTCGGGAGCGATTGATCTCCAATTTTGAGATCTTGATGCAGCTGAAAATGTATTGGCCTGTGACGGATCTATCGGTGTCCCGTCTTCGCACCTTCCAGAATAGCTGTCGCATGTCCACGTCAGATCCCTTTGTTCTCGACGAGTGGATGCTCAAGTTCCTCATGGAACACACAGCCAATGTACCACTCAGCAGGCCCATGGCTGAATACCCGCCGCACAAGGAGCCGTCAGAATCAGCGCTGCCGGATTTGCCCGACTCGTTGCATGAAAGAAGGAGGTCATCTCAACTCACGAACAGCGAGTGGAAGGGCAGAACCCTCGGTGATACTTCTTCCAGTAGCCTCAGTACCATTCTGCACCAAAAAGATATAAGCAATGAAGCTGTGGTTGAGAATGCGCTCTCATGGCTGCTGGGTTATGATTCGGCCGGCTCATTGGACTCCTCTCAACCGGGGTTCAGTTAGTGCTTCTTGTTGTTGATGAAGCGTATTGAACCAAGATTATCATTGATGAATGTATTGCACCAAGACATGAGGAGCGTCACTTTCCCCTTCAGCCCAGTCTCAGGAAACCCGCCTCGACGACTTGAGCCGATGACTCCTGAACTCCACCGGCCATGCCGAAAGACAGGAAACGAATGATGATGCACGGATGGCACCATGTCACCACCGATAGTGCGGGTGAGGTGTGATGATGTCCAGGAACCCGCCGATGATAATGGTAAGGACGATGTAGAAAGCAATGATGGTCTTTGGGCTGGTGGATTCTCTTGCACTGAATGACGGGGCAGCAGCATGGCGTCCAGGCTGGAAAAAAGGGATCGAACTGCAGCACGACTGGCAATGCTCGTTGTGACCACCAAAAATGAGGTGATTGCTATTCTCAGATGTAGTGTGGAGCTACAAGGTGAAAAAGTCGAATTCACTTATATTCTCAGGCTTCATTGTCGCCATTGGAAAGGATATCGATCTGAGAAAGGAAGAGTAAGGGGCCAATGCCACAATTGACTTACTGCACAAGTGCACAGGAACACGGCCCAGGTGATTGTGTGTGGTCCCACCCAGGCTGTCAAAGAGAATCATGGGCGTTAGTCGATCGAGGGATCGGAAGGCTAAGGCTGCATATTCCGCCGGCTGGACCGGAAACAAATGGGCCTTGGTCTTCGGTCCTTCAACTAATGTCCAAGATTCAACACCACATGGAAGATGGTGATTAATTGTGGGCGATACCACATGGATCATGGCTGATTAAATAGGGACGATACCACATGGAAAATGCCTAATTAAATAGGGGCAATACCACATGGAACAGCTGATGAAACAGGGGCGAAGGCCTCCCTTCTATCTACTTCCACTGTCCAATATTGCACGTCTAAGATTCAATACTATATCGAAGATGCCTGATTGAATAGGGCGAAGCCTCCCTTCCATCTACTTCCACTATCCAAAATAGCCATGGTGCAGCCTCAGCTCCCACGCCGTGATCTCTGTCCCTAAAGCGACATTACTATTGACGACCCTTTGCCTTTTGTGAAGTTGGCATTGCTAAAGCAACGACCGGTACAAGTAGTGGATTTTAGCTTTACACATACATAATTACGAATAAATACTGAGTAGTCGATTGGCACGATGCCAATGCCAGTGCCAGTGCCGGTGCCGATCCCGAGGAGTGGGACCCCGGTTGACATGTACAGGTACGGAGTACAGTAGGATTCGCGTAGGCGTGGATGTGGCATGTATGTACTTACAGTGCATACCTTTCGGTAAGTACGGAGTACCTAATATTTAATCTAGTGTGGTAGTGGTGTTTCGCCTTCCGGCATTGTCTGCTCTGCTCTGTCATCACGCGGGAGATGCTGAACCCAGGCCAGTGGAGCATGCGACGAAAATCAACGTGTCTGTGGTTAACATCCGCTTGAGGTGGATTGTCCTTGGCTTCATGTTGGATCTTCGAACATAGTACAGAGGTTACCTATAGGTCAGTACGGAGTACGGAGTACCTGATCCAGAGTGGTAGCGTCTTTCCTTGCGGGCCGAGCATGCGACGAAACCAACGTGCCTGTGGTTCTTATCCTACGTTTGTGCTTGAGGTGGCTGATCTTGGCTGCATGTTGATCTTGGATAACAGAGGTACAGAGCAAAAATACATATATACATATACATATATACCGCGTGCTGGCACGTCGATGGGTGCTACAATCTACAAGGACTCCATTCCACCATGCTCCTTCCATGGGCTCTAGTCGCAGGCAGTGGGCCTGGGCAGTGGCGTGGGCAGTAGATGGACGACCGACCACAAGAAGAGTAAAGGGCGCGACCACTAAAGAAGAGTACGGAGTAAAGGGCGCAGTATGTATTTATGCCATGCCATGCTCACAAGCTGGCCATATCCATGTCGAGGACTACACTATGCACTGCTCACTGCTCGGCTCACGGCTCACTACCTTACCTATGGATTGGTTACGCAATAGCTGTTCACTGCCCACGGCTCACTTCCCATATTGGTTGCGCAATACCTCCCCTACAAGCACGTCACCCAAGGCATTTAATAATATTCAATCATTAGCAATGGATGGATCCTTCCCCAGGTATCCCGGTGTCGATCCCCCCAAATGCAACCTCACACACGCTGTCTCAAGCACGCCATTGCTATCTCTATTTTCGAGTGCAACAAGATTCTCAAATCTCAAGCCTTGGGGGAATTCTCGGCTGCCCGATACATTTACATCTCCTCTTTCCTCTTGGCAGGATCGATTCCAATGGATGAAGTTGAGCATTGGGGATCGGGGGGTGTTCTGGCATGTTCGAAGTTGAGCAGGGTATTCTGACATGTCACAGTCTAGCCTAGCCTTGCTACTACATCACAGCGAGAGAAACTCTCCAACATTGTCAGAAAGGAGAAGCTCGATCTACTGCTCTACGACACGACGAATAAATGGCACTGGCAAGGAATGTAACCCTAGCCAGAGCTTGTCTCGTGGCAACACCTCGATCCGGTGTGTGGACAGTCGACTAGATCGTCGAGCTATGAAGCCTTTTACCTCATCTCGCCACTGGGGCAGGAGAGAGATGGTTGTCCGAGCCTTCTCGCCTATGCTAGCGAATGAGCGAACAAACGAACCTCTCTAGTCAGGTAAGGGTAAGGGTAGCCAGTACCGATCGTTACGTATGCCATCACATCACACCATTAGGGTTACACTTTGCCCAAGGGATACCAAGATATAACATATACCATATATCTTCTGGGATAGTATCCGTATGATGCAAGGTACTGACAGTCCTTCTGTCCTGGACCTAGTTGTTCCTCCCAGTCTCCAGTCTCCATTGGAACTATCGCACCTACACCCAAGACCGCCCACCATGTGTATGTACCAGGCTCCCTTTCCCTTTCTCGGCAACACAATGTCGATGTCGATGTCGATGTCAATGTCGTCGTATTGATACTGGTTCCATTCCCTTTCCCGGCAACACAATGTCAATTCCAATGCAGTATTGATACTGATCCATATCTCTAGCTACTGTGGGTAGTAACAATATCCTGACCGAGGTGGTCGCCACCCGTCCCCCGGCAAAGGTCGACGAAGCCACTCGCAGGGTCTCGGTCACTCTACCTGGCGACGTTGAGACGGCCGCCCAGCATACCCGACAAGCAAGCACGGCCGCCAGCACGGCCGCCAGTGAACACTTTCTAGACCACGATGACAACTTTCCCGCCCCTACAGAAGAAGAGAAGAAGACGTTGCGCAAGGTGGCTGCTCATGTTCCCATCACATCATTTGCCTTGTGTTTGGTTGAGTTTGCCGAGCGGGCATCATACTACGGAGCGAAGACGGTGTTTAACAATTTCATCCAATTTCCTCTACCAGCAGGTGAGTAAGCTCTACTATTACTATCACTATCCCCATCCCTACTATCTAGTCTATTCTCTCATAATGACACCCAATGACACCTGACACCCACCAGGCGGAAATGGAGCCGGTGCTCCTCCACGACATACGCAAAAAACCGCCGGCGCTCTCGGCATGGGATTGCAAGCCAGCTCTGCCCTCACGCTCCTCTTCACGTTTTTGGCCTACGTGATCCCCATCTTTGGCGGCTGGTTGGCCGACGTCCACACGGGCCGATACAAAGCCATCGTCATTGGCGTCCTTCTCGCCGGCGTGGCCCATCTCATCCAACTGTTCGGGGCCATTCCGTCGGTGCTGCGCAAGGGCAAGGATCACGCCGCACCGCCCTTCATCATCGGTCTGATCATCTTGGCCTTTGGCACCGGCATCTTCAAACCGAACATTGCGCCCACCGTCCTGGACCAGAACCGACACCAGAAGGCCTACACCAAGGTCCTGAGCAGTGGCGAGAAGGTCATTGTCGACCCGGAAGCCACCGCCACGCGGACCATGCTCATTTTCTACGGCCTCACCAACGTCGGCGCGTTCTATATGCTGGCCACCACCTATTCCGAGAAGTATGTGGGCTTCTGGCTGGCATTCCTGCTCGCCGGCACCATCTATTTCCTACTGCCTATCTTGTTGGTCGGCATCTACAAACGAACCTACAAGGCCCCTCCGGCGGGCAGTTCCGACTTGACCAACGCGTTTAAAATCATCTGGTTCGCCTTGAAGACGAGCAAGTTTCGTTTCTGGAGGAAGGACCTGTGGGAGAGAGCCAAGCCGAGCGTGCTTGCGACACAGGGCGTGACGGTCAGTTGGACGGATGACCTTGTCGAAGACATTGCCCGAACCATAGGTCAGTACTGCCATGTTGCTCTGTCTCGTCTTATGGTTTAGACTTCGTCTCCGTTCCATCTCAGGGTTGAGGCCGCAGATCCCATTCTCAAGTCCGACGTCCAACCCCTGCCGAGCAGAAGTAATACCCCTCCAGGCGAGGTGAATATCAATACTAACACAACCGCGTCTATAGGGGTTTGCGACATCTTTCTCTACATGCCCATCTGGTACCTCAACGACGGCGGCATCGGGTCGGTAGCGACCAACCAAGCTGCGGCCATGACGACGAACGGGGCGCCGAATGACCTACTGAGCAATTTCAACCCGTTGACCATCATCGTGACGGTCCCGTTCCTCAGCTATGTCTTCTATCCGCTGTTGCTCCGATTCAACATCAAACTAGGCCGGATCACTCGGCTCACGATCGGATTCTGCATCGCCACGCTCAGCTCCATGTTCGGCGCCCTGATCCAATGGCGCGTGTACAAGACGTCGCCGTGCGGCTTTCACGCGTCCACGTGCGACGACGTCTCTCCCGTCAGTGTGTGGTGGCAGGTGCCTATCATGGTTTTCGCCGCCTGGGGCGAATGTTTCTGCGCCGTCACCTCGTACGAGCTGGCGTATGCGCGGGCGCCCCCGAGCATGCGAGGTTTACTCACCGCGGTCTTTCTGTTCATGAATGGTCTGGCGAGTGCCCTGGGCGAGATCTTGATCCCGGCCACCAAGGACCCTTGGTTGATTTATATCTGGGCCGGGCCGGCTGTCGCGCTGGCGGTTCAGACGGTTATTTTCTGGTTCCGCTTCCGCCATTTGAACAACGACGAGTTCATGATCGACCATGAGAAAGAGCATCAAGAGAGTCGTCCGAGTGTGTCGGATCCTGGATCGGAGAAGAATACAATAGAGAAGATTTGAGATTGTCTGCCTTGCCGTCCTGGCCTACTGAAGTTACCTCGGCGATGGGGTGAAGATTAGCCGGGCAAGAATAAAGATCAGCTAGGCAAGAGTAAAGATCGGCTGGGTAAGGGAAGATCTAGCTTAGCAAGAGGGAAGGTCTAGCCGGGCAAGAATAAAGATCTAGTCGTGTAAGAGTAAAGATGTGGCCTGGCAAGAATAAAGATCGGCTAGCCAAGAGTAAAGATCTAGCTTAGCAAGAAGGAAGATCGGTCCGTGTAAGAATAAAGATCTAGCTGGGCAAGAGAAGATCTAGCTAGGCAAGAATGAAACAATAGACATGAAAAGGAGTGTGAATATAGATATCTCAACAGGTCAACAGCGGAGATTACATGTAGAGTAGCAACTTATTCACCAAGTCATGATCGTACAGTAATCCAAAAGTCTCCATCTCCGTCTCCGTCTCCTTCTCCAACGTCAGTGCCATTGAGAGAGCTAGAGCTAGGATCAGGGCTTATTGCAATATCAGTGCCATAAGAGACCATAAGAGAGCTAGGGTTTGGGTTCGGGCTCGGGTTAATCGCCGAGGCTTAGTTAGGGTCAGGGATCAAGTTTCCCATACAATTCGAGAACTAGTCACTTGCTTTGCTTATACTATGTGTGCTATATGGTAGTAGTAGGGGGTAGTCAACATCACATACAGTAGAACCTTATTCATCGAATACGTCTACTGATCTCACATTCACGTGGGTCTTTGATAATATACCCTCTGCCGCACATTATAAGATCAATCAATCAAGTTTAAGTCTAAGCACCGTACTCTATACTCCGTACTCTGTACTCTATACTCCGTGCTCCGTGCTCCTATCTCCGTGCTGTGCTGTGCTGTTCTGTACTTTTGTTATTACCTATTATCCACATCCATCCACATACGTTTTGCTCGCCGATGTTTCTCCCGAAATGGCTTAACGGGATTATTAGCTCGGGCGGCTTCCCCGCCGTGGCCGGCCCCACAGTCAGGCCGACCCAATTGAATTGGTCTAAAGTCCGTGCAAACAATAGCAGAGCCTTACCTTATATCCGTTACTGTAGATATAGGGTAGGTGTTAGGTAGGTAATATTAAGTATATAACCCTCAGACTACCTGTTCCTGTTCCTGTTTGTTCGTTCATCTCCTTCTCATTCTATTCTATTCTAGATAAGTGCTCAGATCTGAGATATCGTGGCGTGAACGCTTCATCGTACACACACACACACACGAATATAAAGTCACCTCTTTAAGATACACATCTTCAAATCTTCATTATGGCCAGCAGAATTGTGCTTGTTACCGGTAAGAGACCAAGCCAGAACCCTACCATACACTACCACTACTTTCACTATACTGCCTATACTGCGCTGTGCTGCGCTGGCTGTGCTTGCTATCCTGTGGCTGTGTTGTGTACTCACAGTGTACTCCGTACTAACATCTTATAGGCGCCAACTCCGGTGTAGGCTACGCCATATCCAAAGTGATTGCCTCGGCATCCGAGCACTTCCACGTCATCATGAGCGGCCGGTCGCTGGACAAAGTCAACGCCGCCAAAGCCGAGCTCCAGGCGACCGGCGACATCAAAGGAACACTGTCATCGCTGCAGTTGGACGTGGTGGACGAAAAGTCCATCGAGCAGGCAGTCGCGGCGGTTGACCAGCAACACGGCCGCTTGGACGTGTTGATCAACAACGCCGGAGTCACCAGCTCGAACCCGGACATTCGCACGCGCTTCCAAACGTGCATGGAGACCAACGTGTTGGGCGCGACGTTGGTGGCCACGACATTCCGACCATTGTTGCTCAAGTCCAAGAACCCATACTCGGTCTACGTGAGCAGTGGCGTCGGCTCGTTGCACACGGCCGCCGGCCCGGACTCGTTTGCCACGAAATTCCCCAACGGCGAAATGTACCGCGCCAGCAAGGCCGCGGTGAACATGGTCATGTTGGACGAGTGGGCCAGGTTCAAGGACCAGGGCTTGAAGACCTTTGGCGTCGATCCGGGCCTGGTGGTTTCGAACCTCCGTGGCACTAGTGAACAGGCCCGAAGTGCTTTTGGAAGGGCGGAGGATCCCATCGTCGCGGGACGGTCGGTGTTGAGTATTATCCAGGGAGAGCGGGATGGCGATACGGGCAAGGTTGTGTATAGAGAGAGTATTCATCCTTGGTAGAGAGGGGGGGGGGGAGTATTCATTCGTGGCAAATGGACGAGAGGGGGAGGGAGAGTGAGAGAGATAGAGGGTGAGAGTGGGAGAGTGAGAGATAGAGAGAGAGCCCATTCATCCTTAGTGGAAGGCTCGGAGAGGGAGGAGAGGGACAGAGGAAGACAGGAAGGAAGAGGGAGAGAGAGAGGAAGAGAGGGAGGGAGAGAGACTACTCATTCTTGGTAGATAGCTCGTCGTAGATATATCTCTCTGATATAGATAGATAAAGACCATTCATCTCGGTAGATGGTAGATGGTAGATTGATTGAATAGATCAGAAACAGACAGACAAACAAACAACCATCGTCACGGTGCGGACGAGGTTCGGCCTGGGCCAGGGCCTGGACTTAGGCTTAGGTTTAGGCTTAGGCTTCGGGCTCCCTGCTTTCAAGGTCCAGGGTCCAAGGCTTAGACCCCAGGCCCAGGCCCGGTGGAGACTTTGATTCCAGGGTCCAGCGTCCAGTCCAATGGCTGATGTAAGTATTTCCTGCAAGGCTGGTGAGGCTACAAGGCTACAGTGGTAGGGATTATCAATTACTGTGGCAGCACACACTTCCAAGGTTTCAAGGTACTATGCTATGTAGTTCCTACGACATATCTTGTCTACAAACTCTAATATATTATATTATGTGCACTCTGTAAAGATCCATCAGCACAGACCGAGAGCGGATACCATACGAAAGTCGCGCAATTACATCATGGCCAGCATCCGACCATATCCGGAGTATCAGACGACGTGGGACCTACGACCTGGCTGTGGATATTTAAACATGTATCATCAGCTATCTATAAACATGATGTAGGACCATTCAGAACATCAATATCATTGACTTGGACTTGGACAATATTTTACCTAACCTTAACAATACATCTCAACCAAATATCTCAACCCTAACCCTAGGAAGACAACCTCAACAACACCCTAACCCAACAACACCTTCGCCATGGCTCGACATTATCAGACCCTCAACCCCGCCACTGGCAAAGTCGTCCAGGTCTTTCCACAAATATCCGACCAAGACGTCCAGACCATCCTGAACAAAGCCTCCGACCGGTACGAGAATGACTGGCGCTTCCGCTCCGTGGCCGACCGGGCCAGTGTCGTGGCAAAGGCCGCCGCGATCCTGCGACAGAAAACCGACGAGTTGGCCGGCTATATCACGCTCGAGATGGGCAAACTGATCGAGCAGTCGCGCTTTGAGGTCAAGCTGTCGGCCGACATCCTGGAATACTACGCCACCTATGCCGAAGACTTCTTGAAGGATCGCCCCGTGCCCAATTCGACACACAATGCCATCATCAGCACCGAACCCGTCGGCGTTCTGCTGGCCATCGAGCCGTGGAACTTCCCCTACTACCAGCTGGCTCGGGTGGCCGGCCCCCAGCTGGTGGTGGGCAACACGCTGATTGTCAAACACGCCCGGAACGTGCCGCAGTGCGCATTGGCGTTTGCGCGAGTCCTCGAAGAAGCCGGCGCCCCCGACGGCGTCTACAACAACATCTTCTGCGGGTTCAACCAGATCAACACAATCATCGACGATTTCCGCGTGCGTGGTGTCACCCTGACGGGCAGTGAGAAGGCCGGTGCCGCCGTGGCCGAGCGGGCCGGGCGCCAGTTGAAAAAGGTCGTGCTGGAGCTCGGCGGGAGCGACCCTTTCATCGTGCTGGAAGACGCAGACATTGAAGACGCCGTCGCCCACGGCGCAGAGGGCCGGCTGGTGGTCATGGGCCAGTGTTGTGTCGCCTCCAAGCGGTTCATCGTGGTGGGCCAAGAGCGTGGCCGGCGCTTCCTGGAACATTTAACCAAGGCTTTCGCCAGTCTCAAGGTCGGCGATCCAGCCGACAGTTCCACCAGCATTGGCCCGTTGGTGTCAGAAGAAGGTCTCGACACACTACTCAAGCAGATCGAGTCTGCCAAAGCTCATGGCGCCCGCGTGGTGACGGGAGGAAAACGCATCGACCGCCCGGGCTTTTATGTCGAGCCGACTGTCATCACCGACATTACCGAAGACAACCCTCTGTTCCAGGAGGAGACATTCGGCCCCGTCGTCTCCTTCTACATCGTTGACAACGAAGAGCAGGCGATCAAACTAGCCAACGCAACCAAGTTCGGGCTGGGTGCCTCGATCTTCAGTCGGGATACGGCGCACGCCCAAGCGGTGGCCAAGAAGATAGACAGCGGCATGGTGTCGATCAATGCCACAGGACAATTTTCCGCAGAGCTACCGTTTGGAGGGGTCAAGAACTCCGGTTTCGGTCGAGAACTGGGCGATCTGGGCATTGGCGAATTTGTGAATCGCAAAATCATTCTGACCCGGCCGTAGACAGGAGGCCGACGTCGAATCTGGTAAATATCACGATTAAAATAGACAAGACCAGCGTGAATAGAGGATCAGCCTTCTTCTTCTTCTTCTTCTTCTTGTTCTTCTTCTTCTTGTTCTTCTTCTTGTTCTTCTTCTTCCTATCAAACCACGCGCTGACCCAGCCCGACCGCCCACTCAACGGCGGTCCAGAAGGCCCGGACGTCTTTCAAAGAGCGCGGCACGTCGTGGGCGCCATCGTGGACGAGGTGACGCACCAGACTCGGGTCACACACTTGCTCCATCAGGCGCGAGAGCGCGATCAAGGCCGGCTCGTCCCGATGGCCGACGATGTGGACGGTTGGAATGCGGACCCGGTGTGAAGGGGCCAGGATGGCCGGGTGGATGAGGCGTGGGACGCGTGGGACGTATGACACTGCATGTGAGTTGGTCTCTGAGAAGGTCGACGCCTGCTCGGATGCTGGTGCTGGCGTTGACTCTGCCTCGATCCCTGACTCTGACTGCTGGGCCGACAACGACGTCGAATCCAATCCCAAATCTGTGTCGGGAGCAATGAACCCGCCGGAGAGCGACTTGTCAAGGACCAAACCGAGGGATTCAAAGAACAGCGCTCGCTCCGGAGGTCCTGACATCGAGCTGTAGTCTCGTGTCTCGCTATGATGAGGAAAGCCTTGCAAGATGAACCGGTCGTTTGTCGTCAAGCGCGTGAGTAGGTCCGCGGCGAAACCTTGCTGAGGCGAGAACGCAACAATGGTGGATAGGAAAATGGCGAACTTGAATGGCGAGGATGACGACGACGACGGTGTCGAGCTCGGCGCTAGTGAAGAAGACGCTGGCATTGAGGATGGATAGGATGGTGAGGATGATGAGGACGAACTCGACTTCAATTCGCCGGTTGTTGTCCCCGCGTCTCGCAGCAGATACGACAAGGCGAGCGAGCCGCCCTGACTGAAGCCTAAGATGCCGTCAAACGGGCCATCGGTCTCGATGAAGTCGTCCAAATGCTCCAACGAGGATTCGATCTCGTCCGGCCCAAAGGCCTTGTTGAAGCACAGGGTCGGGCTGCTGATTGAGCCACGGAGGCCTGAAGGAGCATAGAAATGTCAGCTTCCGTATCACATCCGAAAGAATGGAATGAGACGACTACATACCCCGTGCCGGCGGACATTCATACTCGCCGTCGAGGAAGACGAACTCGTAGCTCGGATCGGCCTGGCTGATGATGGCGTCGAGTTGGCTGCGCAAGATGGCGCCGGACGTGCCGTAGCCGTGGAGACATAGGATTCGCATCTTGTCTGAATAGGCTGAACAGACTATGGCTGGGCTGGTGGAAAGTGAGGAGGATCCAGATTCTGAAAAGTCCAAGTGGGAATAGTATGGTTGTCAGTCCCATGCAGAAGTCCGCTCTTGCTCAGCATCAAACCCGATCAACTACCGGCCCCCTACCATCCAGCCTGGAGTATACTGTGACCTGGCTGGTCAGATCCAATGGTGTATTCTGACCGGGTCAAAAATGAGCCGTTGGCCCTGGGAAAGCCGCCGGAGACCAGATCCGTATCGTGTCGTATATATTGCCCGACGCAGTAACAGCGGCTTCGCGCCGGCGTTATCAAGTGGCTTTGGCACTCAGAAGAACGCGAGAGAAGATATTCTTCCGCCTTGATACGTATTGTCGCTTCTTCCACATGGCAACCTCTCCCCTCACCCTCACTGCGGTGGCAGAACAGCTGCTGGAAGCGAGCCGGCTTCTTGATGCCTACGGCGAGTCCAAGGGCCTCCATCCAGCCTCTTTTGACACCGAATCCTGGGTCGACCTGCCCAATACGGTTGAGAAGCATCGCAAAACCGTCATCGATCTAGCCCAAGACCTGAAGCGGCTTGCTCAGGGGCCTCGAGATCTGTTGTTTGAGACCTGCAATACCGTAAGCGAGGCCCCAACTTGACCGGACGATGCCTTCCAACTGGGGACTAACGAGCCAAATCAAAGTTCAACGACCTGGCGAATCTCCATGTCATCTACCACTTCCGGATCCCGCAATATGTGCCGTTGCAAGGAGACATATCCTGTGAAGAACTGGCGGTCAAAACGGGTCTAGATGAAGTGCTGCTCCGGCGCGTACTCCGCCACTCCATCATCAACAGGGTGTTTGCGGAGTCAGACCAGGGCCAGGTCAAGCACTCGGCAGCGTCGAGGATACTTCACAATGAAGCAGGCTCCATGGATGGCATTGGGTTCTGGCTGGAAGAGCTCTTCGTATGTCTCCTCGGCCACGCCCGAACACATTTTCTCAGACTGACGCTGGAAGCCGGCCGCACCCAAAATGGTCGATGCGGTGAAGAAATACCCGCACTCCGGTGAGCCCAACGAGACAGCATTCAACCTGGCCTTCAACACCAGCCGACCGTTTTACCTGGAGCTGGAAGCATCGCCCGAGCGCGCGCGACGGTTTGGCAGTGCCATGCGCTGGATGTCGCAAGGGGGCCGGTTTTCTCACGACTACCTGGTCCGGGGCTACGACTGGGCCGCCTTCGACCACGAGAATGGCCTCCTGGTGGACGTGGGCGGGGGCCACGGGGCCGTCTCGATCGCGCTGGCGCAGGCAACCACCCAGATGAAGTTCATTGTGCAGGACCTGCCCAACACGGCGGAGCAGGGCCGGAAACTCCTGTCGGCTGAGTTACAAGGCCGCGTCTCGTTCATGGCCCACGACTTCTTCAATGTTCAGCCCGTCAAAGACGCTGACGTATACTTCATGAGGTACATCCTACACAACTGGTCGGACAAGTACGCTGCGCGGATTCTCAAGAACCTAGTCCCTTCGCTCAAGGACGGGGCCAGGCTTGTTTGCTGCGAGTTCCTGCCGGGGGACAGAGCCACAACTCGGTGGACTGACAAGCAGCCGCTGTACGTCGCCCGCCTCCAAACAGGGTGGTCGAAGAGGGAGATGCTGACTTTTGTGTAACAGCAACATGGACATGATACAAGCCATCGGCTGGAACTCGATTGAGAGGACCGTGTCAGACTGGAAGAGGCTCTTCACCTCCGTAGACCGCCGACTGGTATTCGAGGGAGCCTGGACGCCAGAGGGTTGTTCGGTCTCGTTGATTGAAGCTCGGTTCCATTCAGGGGCCAATGCGAATGGTGCCGAGGACCGTGGTCAAGGCCAATGAACCAGCTAACTCTGACCCAAGGCCAGACCAATGGGAGGCTGACAGTTGGTCAAGGGAAGGTCGACGGATCTTACCACTGAAATGCCAGGTCAGAATCTTACCGAGGACTCTTGTGTCAGCAATAAAGAACAAAAGTGAGCTGTAATAGTTAGGATTGTTCCTGCCTGTGCATCTACAGAGGACGAAGTGGATGGTGCCCGTGCGGGATTCCGTTGCAGATAAGCATCGTCTGTGTCACCGAATCTTCGGCAAATGGCCTTCCGAGCTGACCATCTGGCGCCATTGTTCCTCTTGTCGTTGATTGAAACGTTCCACACGGGCTCTTCTAGCGTTTGGGGTCGATAAGCGAGCCACGGCATCTCTTGACACAAAGCTTAGGAGGCCTTAGGCCGGGGCAGCGACATCAATCGGGCAATGAGGCCCCCAGCCTTGCTCCCCCGTCCTTTGATAAGTGGGGTTTGGTATCCAGCTGAGGACCAAACAAAGACAAGGCGACTCGTAATGTAGGACAGTGATTGTGACCTCGCCTGCATCGTATGTGATTGGTGGCGTGGGACAAACGGTTTATCGCCAGGTATGTTCCTGCAGCCTGGTCGGCAGCGACCATCGAGGACGCGTGGCTCAACCAGAAGGTCAATACAGGGTACAAAACTGCTGTGACGGCGCAACCATAACGATGGTGGCCAGTGACGTCGCGGCGACGGCCTTTGCTGTGCCTGGACTTTTCCCCTGACCCTGGATCTCCCTCTCCCAGTTGTAAGCACTGATTGTTGCTTCTCGACTGTTGGGCCCATCAGGGGCATCCTACTGATGATGTTATTGTTTCCACCATCACAGCTGGTGCCTCCAGAATACATCGAGTGGAGAAGAAGGCAGAGCGCAATGCCAGCCCGGCCTTCTTCATTCCGTTTTGATAATGATGCCATGGTCATTGAAACAGCCATCAGGCGTCAGTCCATCATCGGCTCCATCTCCGTGGACGGCACCGAGCGAAATCGGTCAGCAGTAGACGATACTGGGTTAGTCTGACATGTGCCAGGTCCATTCGTGCCCATGTACCGATGGGTCTATGGTCCAGCCCCGGCTTCACATGAAACTCTTAAGGCCATCCATCGAGAGGACCCTATCATATCAGCCAGACCTGTGGTGGAAGGCACATCAACTGAGCAGTCAGAATGAGCATAAGACAGCCATCGTCCCAAGCGTATCGATGGTCCGACCAGAATCGGAAATGCTTTGCTTCCAATCAACCGCCGATGTGAAGAATATATAGATTCGCACATTGACACTCCTAAAGTTGATGGAGCGCCCGGGTACAACTATTTACCGGTCTTCTTCAGTTTTGAGTAGCCTCTGCCAAGGGATGGTGGCCAAAGCACGGCGGGCCTCACATCAGGCGAGATGCCAGACCTGAGATTCCGTACCTCTTGTGATGCTTGCCTCAACTGCAAGGTCAAGTGCAGTCAAACCAAACCCTCGTGTTGGCGCTGCACCCAACATGGCCACACATGTGTCTATAGCAAGTGTCGAAGGATTGGACGCCCGCCGAAAACATCGAGCCAGGTGGATATTTCCCAGCAGCAACAAGGGTGGAATGATGCCCCCTTGAGACAGGAAACTCGTGCCCAGGAGATCGAACAGGGGCGCCAACAGCAACTACAGCCACCACTGCCACCACAAGTCCAACTGAACGACAAGGCCGAAGAACAACAGCCTATGCAGAGCAATGACTCAATTCCGAGCGGCGGCAGTATCATAGATCTTCGGACCGACGAAGAATGTTGTTCCACAGCTATCTCGACTGTCGACCTCTTTGCCAGCAACGGGACTGCGGGAACCAGTCTGAGAAACATTGACATGAGCGACAGGAGCCAGTACAATTGGCTGTCGGGATGCGAGTGGCCACAGGAACTGTCCATATCGGCTGAAGACATGATCCCACCGTTTGAGCCTATGGCAGATTTCGACGCCTTCGATGAGGCCGACATCATGGCATCTGAGCTGCCAGAACTGGACGGTTTCTTTGCCACTGAGCTGATTGCTTTGCCCGCGACAGCTGACCCTGATCAGGAGATTCCCTACCTTGCAATGAGCCCAACTGTCGATCCTGGAGGCGACGAATTCGGCAGCAAGGCTGCTTCTGAGCTCACGGCGAGGGCGGAGTCGGGATACTTCTCAGAAGCTACCCCTGAACTGCAGACTTCAACATCGGCAACCTCTAGCATCCTCCCAAAACGGATGGCAACCCCTCTGGAACCACTGGTACCGGCACCTGCTCCACCGTCGAAAGGCTCACGTGCAGGGCGTCTGCAACATTTACACCGGTATCGGCGCCCACTGCCGGCCCTACAGACTTCGGGCCTCGTTTTGACAGAAGGCACCGTTTCGGACCGGAGTGGAGCCCTTTCCAGCCACCCAGGCCGCCGTCCCAAGATGTGGCACAATCAAATCACCTCACCGGGCAGAAGAAGCTCTACACGGCCAGAGAGGGACCATGTTGGCAGCCGGTATGGGAAGCTCTCCTCCCTGCTACTCTCTCCGACAAACATCAGGAGCAACGGCGAACACAGCTCACAGCCATCACCCGCACTATGTAGCGGGCAATGCCATGACAGCTTGATCAAACAGCTCAGTCAGTTGACGTCGTGTTGGTCCTCGCAGCGCCACATCTCCCTGGACAAACTTCTCAACCTGGATCGCGACATCTTACAGCTGCGCGAGACGGTGCTGCAGTGTGCTTGCTGTATGGGAAGTGACCGGAGAAGCTCGCACATCCAGACGAAAACCCTCATGTTTGTCATCATGGTCATGGAGAACTTGTTGGGCCTATTCGAGAGGGAATGCAATCTCGATCAACCGTCACCGCCAGAGTCGGAAGACGCCACGATGGTGCTCGAAGTCGATGAGGCAGTAGAAAATGCGGAGGAGGGAAATACCGGTGAAGACGATGAAGATACAGGCGACACATCCTTGTCCTCTTCGCTCCTGTCTAAGATCCTCCATCAGCGACGTCGAGACCTCAAGAGAAATGAGCAACGTCGCCAGCGCCAGCTTGTGGCCCATAGCAGCACCAAAATGGATTTCGGCCAGAGCGCCAGGTATCGTCGTCACCGCGCCACCAGCGGCAGCAGCGGTAGCAATACTTCCAGTGTAGGCCCCCTTTTTGTACCTCGGAGGTCAAGTCCGCCATCACTCTCTGCGCTTCCTCAAACAGCCGAGCCGCTCCTGGTTGGGGCGTACAAAGTCGGCGAGGATGTCCACGCCTCTTTCTCTCAGTATTTATTGCGGCTGCACTTCCAAAGGCAGATGGATGCTTTTCACGAGCTGGACCACATCCTGACGGCGACGCAAGGGCGCAGTAGCGCAGGTCCAGGGTCATCAGATGTGAGCCATCGCATCGCGTGCGAGACTCTGGCGGACATTTACAGACGGGTCGAGTATTTTCTCGGATTCATTGCGTTCGTGGGATAGGTTGGACATAGATGGGCCTAAGAGGGCGAAGTTGAAGATGGAATAGAATCATAGATGGCATCGCCGTGGATGGCTGGCAAGGCATCAAGGCTACTGGTCTTCCAGTCTTTTAGAGGAACCAATGGCACTCTTTCTTTAGAAATAGCAAAACTTTTTCCACAAGCCCCTCGGTCGGGGGTTGTGGGAAGTGAAACCCGGGTTCGCAGGGTTTTTCCGTATCTCGCTTCGCTGGTTGGTATTAACCCGGGTTCGCAGGGTTAGTTAGCTAGTTACTTAATTGAATCGAATCGCTTTGCTGGTTGATGTTAGTCCGGGTTCGCAGGACTTGATTAGTTGCTGGTTGCTGTTGTTGGGCCAAATACTCCAACCCGGGTTCGCAGGGTTGGGGGATCGAACTCGAGGACTTTTCGGTCGCCCAGTGTTGACAACTCGGCTAGCTGGGGGTCTTTGCGTTATTGAGGATATATTTCTGGGATTAGGTTAATATACGTGTTATTATTATTACTATTACTAGTATTGTATGGCATTATATGAAAGTGAATGTGAAGGCGAGGCTGAAGGTGAATGTTGGGCGGCCGCCCTAGCTATATGGCTATATAGAGAGAGTTACAGTACCGGTGAATAAGGAATTAAAACAAATAACTAGAACTACTGCTCCTATTTACCGAATTGAGGCATCAAGGCATCAAGGCATCAAGACGCAAGAGAGCAAGCCTGAGAAACAATGAGTTTGAAGGATGGGGGAAGTTTGTAGGGAGTGCTCGATGCCAGGTAGTCACAGCCGAACACTGCATACAGTACTAGGTACATGTACGGAGTACCTCAATGTGTACGTACGGTAGGTATGTGCCATCAAGGTACCTGGTACACACTGGCAGTATCTAGGTACTTAAGCTACAGTACTCGTACCACGACAGTGCCAATATTGCAAGAGTCTAGGCCCAGCCTTTCGCAGGTCCCGTCCCGCGGAAGCGAACACTTACTAGGAGTCCAGCACACCGTATTAATTAGTAGTTACCTACCTAGGTACCTATATAGACACAAGTAGGTACGGGATACCTAATTCACTGAGGCGAAAGCAGAACACATCGTGCCACGATTGAGGCCAACGAAACTGAACTGAATTGAACTGAACTGAACTACTTTCGTGATTAGGTCTTTACCACCCTAGTGCCGAAGCACGACTATTCCTCACCCCCTTCAAGAACCTCATGGGTGTCAGCTTGAACTCGAAGGAAGTCGATTCGCCGATCACAAGAGAGATAAACGCAAGAGTGGGAGAGATACTACGAAGACTAAAAGAGATATGCAAGAGTGGGAGAGATATTACAAGACTGAAAAAGATAACCACAAGAATGGGAGACATACTGCAAGAATGAAACAGATCTGCAAGTGGGAGGGAAGATACCATTGTCCACCGAGTAAGACCTGATTACGCCAGCTGACCTCGGCGGCTTTTCGACGCCTCAGGCCTCAGGCTCTCGTGCATATCGAGCCGAGCAAAAGTCGCCGGAGAAGAGAAGAATTCTGTTCGCCATGCTACCGTACGAATGGGCTGCACTCGTGGGTGTGGCAGACATCGACAAAGACATGGACAACCATCATCGCCGCTGTGCTGAAATGGGCCACACTTCCAGTTGATTATGAAGCCGAAGCATCCAGCATCCAGCACATGATTCAACAGCCTAGGCCTGATTCTGATCCTATTCTGATCCTGATTCAACAGGTCTGATCTTGATTCTGATCCTGATCCTTCCACACTTGGGATTCAAGCACACACCGCACTGAACTGAAGTGTTGACGTGCATCACACCATGGGCAGCTTGGTCGAGGTCGACGCCTCTTCCCACCTCGTCCCCGTGGTCGACATTGCGCCGTTTCTCACCGACCCGCAATCTCCAGAAGCCGGGGCCGTAGTCGATGCGGTGCGGCAGGCATGCACGACGAGCGGCTTCTTCGCCATCACGGGCCACGGCCTGGCCCAGCAGCTCCAACGCGACCTGCTGGCAGCGGCGCGCGCCTTCTTCTCGCTCGACCTGGACGAGAAGAAGAAACTCGACGCGACACGCATGGTGGGCCGCCGGGGCTACGACGTGCTCGCGTCGCAGTCCTACCACGCCGATGTGCGGCCTGATCTCAAGGAGGGCTTCTATGTAGGCCACGACTTGCCCGCACACGACCCGCACGTCCGGGCCGGCCGCTTCTTCATGGGCCCCAACGTGTGGCCGGACGAAGGGGTGTTGGCACCGCAGCGGTTCAGGGGCCCCGTCGAGGCTTATTTCGACGCAGTGCATCTCCTGAGCCTGAAAGTCCTGCAGCTGGTGGCCTGCACCCTGCCCTACGGAGCGGGCGTCTTTGACGAGTTCACGGCCGGCAACCACACCGTAGCCGTGTTGCGGCTGCTGCATTACCCGCCGGCACCGGCTTCAGCTTCACCTTCGTCTTCTCCAGAAGACCAGCAGCGGCAGCGGCCGCAACAGTTGGGCGCCGGCGCACACACCGACTTCGGCGCCATCACGCTGCTCCTGCAGGATGAGCATGCGGGGCTGGAGGTGCTGGATCCGAAAACGAGCCGGTTCGTGCCCGTCGACCCTATCCCCGACGCATTCGTCTTCAATGTCGGTGACATGCTCTCTGTCTGGACCGACGGGCTGTACAAGAGCAGTGTGCATCGCGTCATCAACAAGGCTCCCACGGATCGCTACTCGGCTGCCTTCTTCTACGATGGCGCACTGGACTGTCCACTGACGCCGCTGCATCAGGCTGGGAAGGTTCAGGAGGCCGAGAATGTGCTGACGGTGGAAAAACATCTGCTGAGACGCATCCTGGAAAGCTATGGAAACACTGGTACGAAATAGGATGGACTAGCCCTGGGATTAAAATCATTCGGCCTCTAGTATTATGTACTTCGATCATGTAGGGTGATGCCGATGGCTTGAGCACGTCTACGTAGCTCCCGAGGGGTCGAATTCTCACTGGACACACCGACCTTGCCTGTTCTAGTACCGTCGATGCTTCAAGCATTCAAACTGACGAGATTGGACCTAACCACTCAAAGCACTCTATGAGACCACCTGCCCGTCCACAATATGGTCCTCTATCCATCCAATCGAGACACTATAGTCGACATCCTCATCAGTTCCGTGGTGTCTCTTTCCCTTCGATCTCGCGGGGTTTGAGGATGTGAGGCCTGGGTCACACTTACAAGACCTTTTCCGGTTCCGTAAAGCGATCATGGTCTGGCATGATTTTCTCCGTGTAGAAGGGGTCGTTGCGGAAGCTCACATAGTTGTCAATCGACGGAAACCGAATCTGCGTGACTATGTCGTAGGCATTGTTGTACGGAAACTGGGCGTCCTGGATCTGCGATACCAACGAGCGAGTGCGTGTTGTGTTGTGGGCCTATGCTCGCGCGGTTCATCAGCTCCCTTCGCCCTGAGTCATCGGCCTTCCTGGATACCAGTGATATTGAGCTGCCGGGAATGATACCATTGAATAGCGAGTGATGCCATGCTTAGCCAGCAGGTCCCTCACCAGAGGCGCGTGCACCTCACTCATGTACCGATGGAACTCATCCTCGCCCATACCGGCCTTCCGGTACGCACAGATGGTTAGAACCAGCATCTTACTTCGTATGAGGTCGGAGATCAAGAGGATTGTGTGTGCACTCAAAAGGGCTTAGGATGGAATCGACGGAGGTGTTCGAGTGTTGTAAGCTGTATAGAGATGGATATACCAAGTATTGAGTCAAGGCTGCCGTCAAGTAACAGTATTCCAAACGCCGTGCGTGCTACATGGTGTTGGAGGGTCACTGTACAACTTAGCCCTTACCTTGTAATCTCGCCGGCAGCATCATGGGACCAGTGATTCGGAGCACAGCGTCCCGTTGATTCAGACTCGGGACTCTTCTGCATATTGTGATACAGCTGTGCAGATACCGCCTGGCCCGGAGCCTATCGTTATTCCCCGTAGTACAATTTGCGCTGATGTATAAGGCGAACGGCAAAAACAGCCCAAGTCGAGAAATTGGCCGACCATGGTTGCCAACCGAGGCGAGATGCCGGCCCCTCTCCTAGGTATTCGGTCAACTTCCGGCAAGTTTAAACAATCACCCATGGAGTTCCTAAGCAGGACAACGCATCTACATTCCGTCCAGGAAAGAGATCTCGCGTGACTGCGTGACAAACATCCTTGATGAGGGATGAGGCAGCCAGTTTCGAGTTTTCAGGATGTGAGGATCTTTTGGACATACCGGGGACTTTATCCCTGATCACTCAGTACATCCGTGGGATTAAGCTCTCACCAGCTCAGCAACTGTGGCCTCAATGAGAAATAGCTCCGGCCCCGTTGAGCCTTGACTTCATTCGGCGAAAAGTACCGGCAGCATGGGAAGGATATCGCGGAGAGAAAGGCTGCAGTTGACTGGCCTCGTCGGGTGCGATTGGTTAAAACTGAGAGCGTAGACCCTGTGTCGCAGGCCAAATCCTAACGGTCGAGAACGGCGCAGTCAACTCCTAAATCGGTGTATCGCAATGGTTCAACCCTGATACACCTTCCGTGCGTACCTCGCAACTAGTGCTGGACAATTCAATCTCAAGAGGGTCCACTCCGCCTACAATGGCTAGTGAAGGTAGAGACGCCGGCTCGGCCTTACCCTCGCTTATTGCTTTTGGGTCCTTGAACACATGGCCAGCGGAGCATCAGCTGCAACAGCTGAGAACAGTGCTGCGACAGTACGCATGGCTGCGGCCAGTTGTCGAGGCTGTCTACGATCTTCCAGTGCTTGGGAGGGCCTTGGTCGGCAAGGATCCACGGTTGGACAAATTGGACCCCCAGGCTGGCGCAGAGCGAATGGCAGAATGGCTCAGTGGCGGCATTGTGGTGCCAGAGCCTTCCAGAAAGCGGAACGCCATGACAATGACCGTGACGGTTATTGCGCAGGTAGTGCAATACTTCACTTATCTGGAGCAACTCGACAGTCCCATCAGCCACTCCTCAGTCTTGAGGAGTGTCGCTGCCGGTGGCGGCATCCAAGGGTTTTGCGCCGGCCTGCTGAGCGCTCTGGCAGTGGCCAGTGGAGAGACAGAGGACGGGGTGGGCAAGTTTGCAGCCATATCGGTTCGCCTGGCATTCTGCATCGGCACCTATGTCGACCTTGATCAGAGTCCAGATGACGTTGATGCTGGATATTCCACCCTCGCGGTGAGGTCCAAGTCACCATCAGCAATGGAAGGTGTCCAACGGTTGCTTGATAACCATCCTCATGTAAGTGAGAGCAGCAAGTCTATTGTCCATGTTCTGCTTGTCTCTGTGCTAACCGGTAGGGGCTTGCAGACTTACATAGCTGTTGACCGAGACGCACGAGATATCACCATCACAACTCTTACATCGGTTGTGGACTCCCTCCGCACGGAGTTGCTTGGCCATGGACTTTCTGTGCTCGACACCGGTCACAGAGGGCGATACCATTCTGACGCAAACAGAGATGTCCCGCAGAAGATCCTCGACGTAGTGCAAAAGCACATCGTGGCAGGCTTTGGCGGCCACGGTCTCGTAAGGTCCAACACCAACGGAGAAGTCCTGGCCGATGAGGATGGTATCCTTGCTGTTTTGAGGTCCATCCTCGTGGAGCGGGCGAATTGGTATTCCACAATTTCAAAGGCTGCTGATCTGTTAACATCAACCCCCAAAAGTCCATTCATACTCGCAATCGGTGCCGTTGCCGTTCCATTGTCAATTGCACGGAGCTTCGTAGTTACGAGGATAGCCATTGGGTCGGCCCACAGCGGTCTATCCAAAGAGGGCACGATATTCACAAGTCCCCCGGGCGCTGAAGCAGCTCCGAACAGGTATCCCAACAACGCCGTCGCCGTTATAGGGATGTCCTGCAAATTCCCTGGGGCAGATTCCATTGACGATTTCTGGGCCATGCTGACGGAGAGAACCTCCATGCTTGCGCAAATGCCATCGCAGAGATTCAAGACAGAAGGTCTGGCCAGAGCGAGTGGCAGTCTTCGATTCTGGGGCAACTTTGTCAACGACATTGACGCCTTTGACCACAAGTTCTTCAAGAAGTCGGCGCGAGAGGCTGCCTCCATGGACCCTCAGCAGCGTCTCCTGCTTCAACTCACATATGAGGCTCTAGAGTCGTCCGGATACTTCGCCGATACCTCGCGACCGCGCAACATCGGCTGCTACCTGGGCGCTTGTTCCACAGACTATGACAGTAATGTGGCGTCCCATGCTCCGACGGCATATGCCACTACTGGTACACTTCGGGCGTTCCTGAGCGGCCGGTTATCCCATTATTTCGGATGGACCGGTCCGTCTATGGTCTTTGACACTGCGTGTTCGTCCTCGGCAGTGGCAATCCACACAGCGTGCACAGCCTTGCAGTCGGGCGAATGCATCCAGGCTCTGGCGGGCGGTGTTACTCTGATGACGAGTCCCTACCTATATGAAAACTTGTCGACGGCTCATTTTCTCAGTCCCAGCGGAGCTACCAAGCCATTCGACGCAAGGGCCGATGGTTATTGCCGTGGAGAGGGTGTCGGCTTGGTCGTTCTCAAAAAGCTTTCTGACGCGCTGGCCGACGGGGACGATGTCCTTGGTGTCATCGCCAGCTCGGCCGTCAACCAGAACAGAAATTGCGTGTCGATTACCGTCCCACATTCGGCTTCACAGTCTGAATTGTACTACCGCGTGGCGAAGCAGGCCGGTATTTCTCCTCAACAGGTCACCTTCGTGGAGGCTCATGGCACTGGCACCCCGGTTGGCGATCCCATCGAAATGGAAAGCATCAGGCAGGTGTTCGGAGGGACCAAGAGAACTTCGCCGTTGTTTGTCTCGTCGGTGAAAGGGAACATAGGCCATCTTGAAGGCGCTTCCGGGGTTGCCGGCCTCATCAAAGCCATCTTGCAAATGGAATACCGAACTGTGTGTGCCCAGGCGTCTTTCCAGAGTCTCAACCCTAAGATCCCGGCGTTAGAGCCAGACAACTTGTGCATACCAACAACCAACCGGCCTCTGCCAGATGAATTGTTGACCGCCTGCATCAACAACTATGGCGCAGCGGGCAGCAACGCGGCCATGATACTTATTGAAGGGCCGCCCAAGGCGAGCCCATCACATGGAGGGCTCGATTCCAGCACTTATTCAGATCTTCGGAAATACCCTATTCAAATCTCAGCTTCTTCTGCAACACATCTCGTCTCCTACTGCAGAACACTGGACGAATTCTGCCAGAGGAAGCTGCCATCAGCCAGCAAGGCAGGATTCCTTCCAAGCCTGGCATTCCATCTGGCAAGGCGCCAGAATCAGGAGTTGGGGTACATGCTGAATATAGCAGCGACGAGTATTGCCGAGTTGCAAAGCCAGCTCCAGCGACAATCACAAGGAAGCCACACCATTGTACAGCGACCAAAAGCGAACCCCGTGATTCTGTGTTTTGGGGGCCAAGTAAGCGACCGCATCGCTCTGAGCAAGCGGGTGTGGCAGCAATCTGCTTTGCTCCGCTACCACCTGGATGCTTGTGACAAGCTTCTCCGCGTAATGGGATATCCAGGTCTCTATCCGGATATTTTCCAGGTCGAAGCAATGACAGATGTTGTTGTATTGCACTCTATGGTCTTTGCCGTACAGTATGCCAGCGCTCAGGCGTGGATCGAGTCTGGTCTAAAAGTCGACAGTCTTATCGGCCACAGCATCGGTCAAATCACTGCCCTCTGCGTGTCAGGACAGCTCTCTGTGCGAGATGGTCTCAAACTCATTGCGGGAAGAGCCTCATTGATTCGAGACCACTGGGGGACCGAGAGTGGCACCATGATTGCTGTTGAGGCCGATGAGCAGACCATCGAGGAGCTTACAAGCGCCATCGTATCCACGAATGCGACGCACAAACCTGAAATTGCGTGTTATAACGGACGGACGTCTCATGTCGTTGTGAGCGACAAGGCATCCGCTAAAAGGCTCGAGGCCGGGCTTGTCCAGCGCAGGCTAAGACATAAGAGATTGAATGTGCCGTACGGCTTCCATTCCCGATTCACAGACGTCTTGATCCCACAACTCGAGGAATTGGCTTCATCTCTGAACTTCCAAGATGCCAAAATCCCGCTTGAAGCCTGCTCGAGGGACGATGGCTGGGTCAAAGTCACTCCACGGGCTGTCGCCCACCACACGCGCGATCCGGTGTTCTTCGGCAAAGCAGTTGAGAGATTGAGGAGTCGAATGGGCCCCTGTACGTGGATCGAAGCAGGTTCAGACTCGAGCATTGTGGGAATGGTACGAAGAGCGCTAGGCCAGTCGCCAGACTCGTCCGACAATTTCTTCCCCATGCAGTTGAACAAGTCTGACTCGCTGGAGCAGTTGGTCGACACAACGATGGGGTTGTGGAACTGTGGCCAGCAGGTACGGTTCTGGAATTTTCATCGGCGGCAAGCATCCAACTACGATCTCTTGCGCCTGCCATCCTACCAATTCGAGAAATCGAGACACTGGCTGGAGTTGGTTACGACTCCTTTGGCAAGTGAAGACAGCAAGACGTCTGCCGCGGTGGCCGACCCAGCATCGTTGACAGTCGAACCAGCGCTACTCACACGATTGATCCACACGAATTCCCAAGGCCACAAATTCAGCATCAATCCCACAAGTGACGAATACCGAAGTCTGGTCCAGGGACACACCATCCTAGGCAGGCCTCAATGTCCTCCGGCCATGTATCTGGAAATCGTGACCAGAGCGGTGAACACGGTTGAAAAGTTTGGTACAGATTCCTCACTCTCCTTCCGGGGTTTCATCAATGAGGCTCCATTAGGACTGGAGGTGGATCGCAATGTCAGCCTCCATCTCGAACATAATGACAGCAACTGGAGCTTCAAGATCATCAGCGAATTAATCTCTTCGCCCAGAGCCAAGCCAGCAGAGCCAGTGTGCCATGCGTCGGGCTTTGTCTCCCGGCAGGATTCTGTCAAAGGTGTCCACGATGAATTTGCGCGGTATGAAAGACTGATCGGTCACGAAAAGATCACCAGTGTATGGAATGATGCCCAAAGCGAGTGTCTCCAAGGTGCCATGGTGTACAAGGTCTTCTCTCCGCTGGTGCATCACGCCGAATACTATCGCGGAGTCAAGGGGATCGCGGCCACGGCGGGATTGCTTGCTGGAAGGGTTTCTGTGCCGAAACAAGTTCCAGAGTCTATGAAAAATTCCACTATTCAGCCACATATTCTGGATAGTTTCATCCAGATTCCGATTCTTCACTCGAATTATGTCATGGATTGCGCTAGGGGCGACGTCTTCTGGCTGATGGAGATTGCTCGTCTTCAATGGGGGCCTGGTTTCATGCTTCATGGCGGTGGAGTCTTCCCCAATGCGACCTGGGATGTGCTCGCCTTCAGCTCGACAGAAAGTAATGAAGAGGCGGTCTATGATATGTTCGTGTTTGACCCTGCCTCAAAGAAATTGGTGATGCTGGTATTAGGAGCTCGGCTTGCGAAGGGCCAGCTGGGCTCGCCGATCAAGGTTTCTCCACAAGCAAACGAGGCTTCTGCTGGGTTCGTAAAGGTAGAGCACGGGGCAAAGACTGATAATCAAGACCCGAAATCATCCCAGACAACCAGGCACATTGACACCCATTCACCGGATAGTGACAGTTCAAGCACGTCGTCGCCCACTGGACTTTCTGGATCGAGGGTATCATCTCCAAACGCTAGTGCGATAACGACCCCATCAACGACGCCGTCGGCGCTGCGGATCACGGAGAAGTTGTCCAAGCTGGTTGCAGAACATCTCGAGATCGAGGACAGAGTGACGATGGACACGAACCTCGTCGATCACGGGCTCGATTCTCTGCTCTCCATTGAATTGGGAAGCGACATCATGAAGCATTTCTCGGTTGAATTGGATATGGAGAAGATCCATTTCGATTTCACCTTTGGCGATCTCCTCAAAATGGTCTTAGATGATGGCGATGCCCCTGAGGATTCCAAAAGCAGGGCAGCAGTACCTGTGACAACGCCAGAACCCATCCAGCAGGCGCCTGCACCAATTACAGGATCAAGTCCCAGAACAGCTGCGGATGCGCCGGATGAGGAGGGCGTGCTGAGGGAGACGCAGCAGATCTTCGAGGAAATTCGCTTTGACTTCGACAAATATGCTGAGCAGACCCAATTCAAGGACTTTTGGGCGAATGTTTATCCCAAGCAAGCAAATCTGGTTCTTTCCTATGTCGTTGAAGCATTGCGTAAGCTTGGTTGTGACTTGTCGAGTCTGAAACCTGGTCAGAAACTGCCGTCCATCACGGTTTTGCCCAAGCACACTCATTTGCTGGCTCAGATGCACGAGATCCTGGCTGATGGAGGTCTGATCGAGCGCCAAAATGATTCCACGCATGTGAGAACAGCAAAGCCGGTCGACCCAACTCCAGCCGCAACGCTCTTCGAAGACATGCTGCAACTTTATCCGGCCCATGCTTCCGAGACCAGACTTCTCAATGTGACGGGTTCTTGCCTTGCGGAATGTATGACTGGCCAAGTCGATCCGCTCCCACTCCTGTTCGCCAACAAGAGAAACAAGGAGATAGTCGCTGATGTTTACGACAATGCACCAATGTGCCAGGCGTCTACCCGCCTCCTTGCCCACTATTTGGCGAGAATGTTTTCGACATCCCAGGGCATCTTTCGCATTCTTGAGGTAGGTGCTGGCACGGGTGGGACAGCCAGATACCTTGTCGACTTTCTCGCCGCCAGGGGCATCAAGTTTGAGTACACGTTCACCGACATTTCGCCCTCACTGGTTGCGTCCGCGAAGAAGAAGTTTGCCGGGAGAGAGCAGATGAAGTTCTTAATTCTCGACTGTGACCGTGCTGCGCCGGCCGAACTTCACAACCAGTTTCACATTGTCATTGCCACCAACTGCATCCATGCCACGCCGAATGCAGGGTCCGCCGCAGCAAATATTGTTCCGATGCTCCGCGATGAGGGTGTCTTCTGCCTCGTTGAATTCACTAGAGGTTTGTACTGGTTCGATCTTGTTTACGGGCTTTTGGAAGGCTGGTGGCTGTTCAGCGACGGACGTCGACATGCTCTCGCGGACCAATGGTTCTGGAACAGGAGTCTCAGAGCAGGCGGGTACAGGCATGTCTCTTGGACAGACGGCAATACCCACGAAGCCCAAACCATGCGTGTGATCGCAGCTTTCAAGCGTGAAGCCACACAGAGCATCCCCGGGTCTCTGGCGCCCAGCCTGGTCAAGAGAGCAGGAATACCGACCGAGACATTCACCTGGAAGCACGTAGGAAAGCTTTCTCTGCAAGCCGACGTGTATTACCCAAAGACACCCGATGACCCAGCAAAGAAGAGGCCTATAGGTGAGTATAGGGCCCAACTACAACTGCTGTAGCTGACGTGGAACATAGCCATGATGATCCATGGTGGAGGTCATTTTCTCTACGGACGTAGAGATATCCCCATGAAACATGTCCGAGTGCTGCTTCAACGAGGATTTCTCCCCGTGAGTGTTGACTACAGGCTGTGTCCAGAAATAACTCTGCTCGAAGGGCCTGTTGAAGATTGTTGCGATGCACTGCGGTGGGCTCGAGAAACCTTGCCTTTCGTGCCTCTGGGCGTCCCAGGCGTCACCGTGGACCCTAACAAGCTGATCGCGCTGGGTTGGTCCAGTGGTGGGCATCTGGCTATGACCCTGGGACACACGGCTGTCGGTCGTGGTATCAAGCCTCCTGATGTGATTTTGCCATTCTACTCCCCAACAGACCTGGAATCAGACCGTGAGTATCGGCAAGAGCGTATCACCTGCCCATGCTGACCAGATTGTGCAGACTGGGACAAGCCCATCTATCCAAAAGCAGCAGAAGAGGAGCCGACTGAAGTGTGGGGATTCCTTGACGGCGTCTTCGAAGAGCCAGTAAGTGTTGGTGCCAGTACTCCATAACAACTCGACGAAGGAGGCGTTGACCAATTCATGGCAGATACTCGACTATGCGCCCGTCAACAATAAGAAAGCGGCAGCTCTGTCTTTGACCTTGCAGGATGACCGGGCAAGGATCATCTTGCACATGAACTGGAAGGCACAGACGCTGCCGGTCATGTTCCATGGCTTGCCAAGCAAGAATCGAGTGGCCGAGGACGACAACACGGACTGGAAAGCTCTGCCCAAACCTCCTCTTGAGCAGATCAGAGCTGCCAGCCCTTACTGGCAGATCCTCCAAGGTACCTATCGAACACCCACATTTATGGTGCATGGCAACCGCGATGACTGGGTCCCATGGCAAATGAGCCAAACGACGATCCAGGCTTTGAAGTCCCAGGGTGTAGAGGCGGATATTGAGATTGCAGACCATTGTGGCCACGCCTTTGACTTGTTCACGGTGGAGGATCCGCTAGGGACCGGTTGGACCGCGGTGGAACACGCATACGACTTTGCCTGTCGCGTGCTTGGTCTCTGAGAGGAGAGCGGGGGATGTATGGAGGTGGTGGTCGGCAGTACATTGACGTGTACAGACGAGGGATTCCGCTTGCATGGTAGATGATAGACTACAGAGTGCCTAGAGATCTAGATGTTCGATTGCCTGATCTTCCGTTGGAGGATTTGTATAGTCGATGCATGAAGTGAAGGGAAGTTCTACCACACATAGTGTAAAGGTAATAGCGCATCTGCGCTTAGGCCTTGGGCCTGAAGACGACGAGCAGCTGGCGGACCGGGCCGTAGAGCCGTCACTGAGATAAAGCGGCAGCATCTTACGTCAGAAAGAAGGTTGAAAGTCTGGGCGGCATTTTGCGCGGTTCATCTGTGACGCGGTGTTAAAGCACCATGTTAAAGCACGATACCTCTGCAACCAACTGACTGTTTGGATCGATCGATTGTTTTCGCAAATTGCCATGAAGTCAAGTACACAACTTCTCGCGGCCGTCCGAAGCCTCAAAGCTCCTCCCGCTCCGTCCTCTCCAAAATGTGTAAATCGCTTTCACACCTTTCATCGTAGTCGGCCGCGAGCTGGCAATCGACCCCCCTGCAACCCTCAAACCACGAAAAGAACTGCAAAGACATATTCGAGACCGCCCAACAGATTCGAGCAGATGGTCATCGATGCCCGATTGCAACACCCGATACTATTCCCTACGTTACTGATCGGTACCCTAGGCTCGGTATCATTGCTCACTGTCATGGCATATAACGAATACAGAAGAGAAAAGACATCCACATATCCACCAGCTGTTGAAGAACAGTTACGGCTTGCGTTACATTATTGCCACGTCAATCCCGACCCCGAGGCCTCGGCTCAGTATTTTCTAGAGGCGATCAAGAAGGCGGACGAAGCCGAGATGGACCCTTTCAGTAAAGAAGCAATAGGGATCCGGATTCGCTTTGCACAGATGTTGGAAGATTTCGGCCACGTCAAGGCGGCCATCGAAATTCTCGACAGCATCACAAAAGATCTGCAGCAAAAGCTGACCCAGGTGGACGATCATCTTGCCCTCAAATCTGACCAGGCATCTGATGATCTTGCCAAAGCGGAAGAACGTAAGGAATTGGTCAAGGGCATCATAAAGAATAAAGTCAAGGTATCATCCTTGTACGAAAGCGACTATATACAAGACCGGACAATGGCAAAACAGACACTGTCTGATGCAGTGGCTCTGGTGGTGAAGGAGACCAAGGATCCGCAGCTCAGTGGCTTTACAGATGACAACGGCGCAGGCCTGACGACAGGGGAAATCGCGGCCATGTTGTCCCAAATGGGAGACTTGTACGCCACCACGGGCGAGGAAGCAAACGCAGTGCAGGTATACATGCTCACCTTGCAGCCTCTGAGGTCGTCATGCAACGGCACCAGATCTTGCAGAGAAGTGCAGGTTCTGAGCAATATAGCATCGACGATGGGGGTAGCCCTGAAACGGCCCAACGCCAAAGTCAATGGAAAGCCTGCCACGCAAGACGCGTTGGCTGCGGGAAGACGAGCAGCATTGAAATGGGCCGACCAAGCCATTGGTACCGCCGAAGTCGTCAAACCAGAGGACCGCGATGAGATATGCGACCTGGCGCTCTTGTCGGCACAGATGACGCGGGCAGATTTGCTGTTGGAGAACGGTGAGAAGAAAAAGTCACGCGAGGTGTTCGAGAGTTTACTGCCGACTTTAAGAGAGAAGAATCTCGTTCCTCTGATCAAGGTCGCAGAGCAGGGATTGAAGACGGCCAGTGGCTGATGTTCCAGACCACTCAATCACCACTTCCGGCAGAAGACATGAGGGGGTTACGTGTAGGCCGTTTGCTCAGGCCGCTCCTCACACATCCTCACATCTGAGTCTCTACAATTAGGCAAAGACAGTCTCCGCTGCCTCAGAATTCACTGTGTGATATATCGACGTCGTGCAAAAATAGATTTGCACGACCTCTAGCCTATTTCAGCGCTGTCCTCAGGGACAGCATCGACCGTGAGCAAATCCAACCAGAAATAGATCGAGACATGCTATGTCGTAACGTTACGTGCAACTCAGGGACTCACAAAGTGGAGCCGATCTTCTTGCCATCTCTGAGATTCGAAGAAGGACGAGGCTTCGAGATCGTGCAGGCCCGTTGAGCTATTGGTGACGGAGGGGTGGAAGTCTCTGCCAACAAGATGCTTCAAGCGTAACGGCCAGCGAGCCACTTCACCATTGGCTCTCCTCTCCTCGCCGCTCCTCTCCTCAGGCGCAGAAAAGATTTCTCTCAGGCAGTTCCAATTTTGGAGGCTCCTAGGACGCCGCCGCCGCTCGGACCCTCACAATATTCAATATTGGCTCGAGTCTGCTCGAATGGGCGAAACCTCCCCGGCTAGACACTCCCAATCTGGTCTAGGGGGAAAGCCTCTCGAAGCCATGCGATTGGCGGGCTTCCGACCTCATGCCTCCACCGACAGTGCTGCTGCGCCTGGAAAGCGGAACGTCGTTGATTTTGGGACCTTTTCCACCTTTTCCGTCTCGTCAGCTGGGCCAAAATCCCCCGAAAGAGTCTTCTGCCAGCTGCCGTTCCCCAGATTCGGCGCTGTTCCTTACCTTAATGACGCATCGTCTCTCGCGTCCCAGCTTCTACTCTCGCCAATCATTATACCGCATCGTAGACTCAGCCTGGCCCACGTTACAGCCGTTGGCCAGCCTTGGTATCATCAACCTTCTCCTCGGGACACTTTGACCACTGCTCGAGAATGCTACACTCGATTGTTACATCCCATCGCATGTATAGCACTCTATTTCTGGCCAGTCCAACTGGTGTATCAGGTGTATAAGTAGGTAGGTCGTCTGGCCTTGAAGCAAGACTTTCCATCATCAACACCATCACCAAGAACAACAGCAGCAGCAGCAACAATCTCTACAACTGTTTCCTTATTTCCTTATTTCCTTACAACAGTCGCTTCATTTCAATTCAAGATCTCCTTTTCGCATTTCCTCCAAAGTCCTCATATTCAGACGTCTTCTATCATCAAGCCACCATCCACCATGCATTCTTCAGTCGCTTTTCTCATTGCAGCCCTGGCCACAGGCGCGCTAGCCCTCCCTGTCACCAACACGACCACTACCTCCAACTACTGCGGCTATGGTACCAACGCCGATGGCTCTTGCATCCTCCCCACTAGCACCACCAGCTCTGTTTCTTCCACTACCACTTCGACCTTCTGGTGTGGCTATGGCACTGCTCTTGACGGCAAATGCAACCCCCCGCCGACAACAACCAGCGAAAGTACAAGCACCACCACTTCGACCTTCTGGTGTGGCTTTGGCACCGCTCTTGACGGCAAATGCAACCCCCCGCCGACAACAACCAGCGAAAGTACAAGCACCACCACTTCGACCTTCTGGTGTGGCTTTGGCACCGCTCTTGACGGCAAATGCAACCCCCCGCCGACAACAACCAGCGAAAGTACAAGCACCACCACTTCGACCTTCTGGTGTGGCTTTGGCACCGCTCTTGACGGCAAATGCAACCCCCCGCCGACAACAACCAGCGAGAGTACAAGCACCACCACTTCGACCTTCTGGTGTGGCTTTGGCACCGCTCTTGACGGCAAATGCAACCCCCCGCCGACAACAACGAGCGAGAGTACAAGCACCACCACTTCGGTCTCCCACTACTGCGGTTTTGGCACTGCGCTTGACGGCAAGTGCAGCCCTCCCCCCTCCACCACGACTACTGAGACCACGACCACTGAGACCACGACCCCGGCGCCGACCACCACCACCACCACTACCCCAGTCTCCCACTACTGCGGCTTCGGGACTGCTCTAGACGGCAAGTGCAAACCGGCGCCACCAAAGACCACCAGCTCGTCGGCCAGCAAGAGCACCACCACCCCCGTGTCTCACTACTGCGGTTTTGGAACCGGCCGCGATGGCCAGTGCAATCCCCCGCCACCAAAGACCACCACCACCACTACCACCACCACCACTACCACCACCACCACTGGCTGCCCGACCCCGACCACTGTCACTGTCACTGTCACCGCCACTCCCACCTGGACCCACGGCTTCTACTACCGCCCGGGTGAGTGCGCCAACTGCGAGACCATCACCTTCACCAACAAGGCGGGAGCGCACTTCACCATGGCTGTTCCCACCAACCCGTGGGCCACGAGCAGCACCACGACTGCCACCCCCACCCCCACCGCCGCCGTCAAAAAGGGCCACCACTGGAGCTCTTGATCCGAGGCTTGATCGGCAGCATCCGGCACAACGGCAGGGAGTCTAGACGGGAGCATTGGGACTGAGTGCTGAGCACTGGGTTGATTGCGATCGTTTTTGCATGGCATGGCATGGCATAGCATGGCACGGCGTTTGCTTTCACATTTGCAGCATAGCGGGGAAGTTTGGTGGGTGGGATTTCTGCAGCATAAAAAGTCCATACATATACACTCTGTGCATCTAATAGCTTCAGCTGGGTTTACCTTATCCATGGACACAATATCTAATATAATACACTCCTTTGGCATCATTCGCACTAATCAGTCCAAGTTTCTTGTCTATCTACCTTGTATAGGTATCTATATCTAGATCATCGCATACCGCAGATCTATCAAAGTTTGAAATATTCCACATTCGCTATTGAAGGGGTATAGGGGGCAGCCTAGACTATATAGGTGTGCTTAGGTACTGTATACTAGCCTTCTGGTTAAATGCTATAGGTATGTACGTTCGTACCATGTAAGTTTGACAATATCAGAGTACCAAGTACGAGTATAGAGGTGTACATGATTAGCTAGGAGCTCTATCCCTTCTTCATAGGAAATAGTAATAAGGTAGGTAGGTAGGTAGGTAGGTAGGTATCATATGATGATGACTAGTGTCCGGGTTGTGGGTTGTAGATGCAGAGATAGGTGAATTTATTCCGCCTTCAGCCTGTATTCAGTTATATGCTTTGTCTCAAAGATCAAGCCACGCATGTCTAAGTATAAGCATAGCATAGCATGTTGTACCGTGAAATTGCAATAAGCCTCTTGGCCCTTGCATGCGCCGCCACTGCAGTGTATCATCTATCGACAGGCCATCCCATCCGTCCATAATCCATAATCCATGCTTCCGTGTCTATCGTGCAGCCTAAGACCTATACATGTGCGCCAAAGCGAAGCGCTGCAAGGAACCTTGACCATGGAGGTCTGCTCCACAAGACGCAACTCGGCCGGGGTCGCAAGGCTCTCCAAACATCACAGCCTTGTCCTGCCCAGCCAAGGGAGCTACCGTGCCATCGTGACTTCATAATGCTCATCAACACAACAGCAACGCAGTTCGGGGTCTCACGAGGCCCTAGCAGGCGTGCCAGTGCTGCTATCAAAGGGGTCTGTAACACAAGTTGCATGAATCGTTCACAGGGTCTACGCCTTGGATACCGTGGTCGTTTCTGAAGCCCGTGATCCTGAATCATCTGACACTGCCTGAGAAGTGCTGTTGCGCCGTCCTGCCTCGCTCCTGGCCGTCGGATTTTCCAGACTTGGTCTGGTGTCAACCTGGAACGCGTCACTCTCTCTTCTCCTTGCTGAAAACCACCCTCCACTCTCCCATTTACCGGTTTCGTAGAGGCATCTGGCCCGGGCTTCTGCGTCAACGATGCCCCTAAGCAATTCGTCAACACGCTTGAAGTCGACCGGCTTGAGGATCCAACCGTCAAAGCCGCTCTGGATGTACTTGTCACGTTCTCTCTCCACCAACGACGCCGAGACCGCAAAAACAGGAATTCTGCCATTAAGCCCCGCTCTACTGGACAAACATGTGCGAGCATGTGTCTTTTCAAACGAACGGATCATCTTGGTCGAGCTGAATCCATCCACTATTGGCATTTGCAAGTCCATCAGCACGGCGTCGAAGGCGGCAGGTTGCTCACCGTGCGCCGAAGAGCACTCTTCTCCATTGACAGTCATCCGAACCGAATGACCAAGTTTTTCCAAGCGCTTCTTCATAATCTTGCTGTTGATGGGGTCATCTTCTGCAACAAGAATGGAAAGATTGTGCGAAGAAAGCAATGCGTCCTCGTCGGCCGACACCGACGGTGCGCCGACAGAGTCGGGCTCCTCAAATAGCACCTTTGGCCCTGGCTTGGATCCGGGTGCCAGTTCCTGATAATCATCCGGTACTCGAACAGGGCGGAGTGGTGTTCCAGAGTCCTTAATCTCCCTGACGCCTGGTGACATAGAATGGGCAGACTTCAGCTCCTGGCTGTGCCTGGATTTGGGCGTCACCAACTGTGGGCCACCTGTAGAGGTTCCTGACCGCTTCCTGCCATGGGTCTCGTGCGCATCGGCCTTCTCGGCCGCCAGATTCAAAGGCTCCTGGATAGCATCGATGAGTCTTTCCGCATCACTTTTTTGGCTGTTGATGCTGAGACCGCTCTTGCCACTTTTCAGGCTCGCCAGGCTGGTCACGCTGTCGGCGCTTCCCTTCCGCGTGACTTGCACGGACCCAGGGCGGCTCGTTGGGGTTCTGTAGACAAGAGTAACCTCCCCATCCCTGGGCTCTGCTGAGGTTGCCGTGGTGGGCCGCGATGCCGGATCCGATCGCGGCAGATGCTGTTCAGGAACACGGGATTCTGTCAGATCAGCATCGAACGCCAGGAAGATGACAAATCGAGAGCCTTTCCCTTCTTCCGTCTTGACCCGCAGCTGCCCATTCATATTTCGAACGGTGCGCGCAACAACTGCCAGCCCCAGGCCCAGTGCCACCTGATCTTGGCCAGCCTGGTCCACAAAGGGATCGGCCGAGAGTAGATTAGAGTCATGCGAATCTTCCTCGTACGTCACCTCCTCAAGCTCTCTGAACAGAGCGTCAACTTTGGCCTGGGACATGCCTGCCCCAGTATCTTCGACCACAATCTCAACCTCAGTCTTACTTTGAGACTGCGGCGCCAATAGCACTGAAGCTTCAACAGTCACTTGGCCTTGGTTGGTATGTTGAATCGCATTTGCAATGAGATTGGATATGACCTGCCGGACTCGTCGGCAATCACCGATCACATGTTGGGGCAGTCCAGCTGCTATATGGACTTCGTACCTCAGGTTCTTGCGTTTGGCGTCTCCAATGAAGGGCTCGGTAGCGTCTCTTAATGTTTGCAGGAGGTCGAATGGTTCTGCTTTGACCAGGCTTTGGCCTCCTTCCGTCTTAGTCAAGTCCAGGAGATCGTTTATCACATAAACCAACGACTTTGAGGCGGAATGGGACTTGGATAGGTTGTCCCGCGTATCATGATCCAACTGACCCTCCAACGCTATTTCCAGGTAGTTGATGATTGCGTTCAGAGGCGTCCGCACCTCATGCGCCGAATTTGCGAGGAGGAGGCGAGTAAGTTGCGAGTTCTGCAAGGCCGCCTCTTTCTGACGCCACACATCTATAAATTTGCCGTAGACGAGACATAGAACCGAGGCTGTCTCAATCTCTTCATCGGTCCAGTCCCGACAGCGGCCGACGATGGTTTCGCTCCATGCTTTGAAGCTTTTTCGTGGTTCCAGATAGCCTTCTGTGCCTTCCTTCACGAACTTCTCGTAAGGGTTGCCAGCCCACTTCACTTCCTGCAAGACACCTTTGCGGAAAAAGGCAATGAAATCATTTCCGCCACTTGAAAGAGGTACAAACAGCACACCGGCCAGGAATTTCCAACCAGGTGCGTAGCGGAGGTCGGGGAAGTCATTCGCAATATCCTGAGAACAAAAAACCGAGGTCGCCTTCTTGATCCGGAGGTATTCGACCATTGCGAGCACCTCTTGGATATTACCACGAGGCCTCCCCAAGACCTTAGTCTCGTTACGAATGGACAGTGCACCGACATCCGCGTCGAACAGCTTCAGGAGATCGTCAGACGAAGCAACAATGTATCCCGAAGGATTAGTGGCGGACGAGGTTGTGTTGATGAGTTTGCGTGCCTGTAATCTGGACGCATAAGAAAGGCGCTCGACGTTGCGAGACGCCGTATCGCCCACCAGGCGGCACATTTTTCGAATGGGAAAAGACACCCTCACTCCTTTTGGCCCATAGGTATGGCAAGAAATAAGCCCCCATAGTTCGTTAAATGCGTTGATAGAGATAGACATGGAAGATCGAACGCCCATGTTGGCGAGGTATTTCAGGTGAATCGGCGACATGGCCCGCAGATTGGCGTGTGTCATGTCGAGAGGCGTCTCCAAGTCCTCCATGGTCCTGCATACCAAGCGAGCTGTTTCCTGGTCACGGTCATACAAGAGCCTTACTTTATTGATTTTATACAGGTCTCTGGCCTGTCTGGGTATGTCTGACGCAGGGAAATGAAGGCCATTGTATAAATCTCGAGTCGCCCTTGGGTCGACAAGCTCCGCGACCACGCGACCATTCCACGCCTGATCAAATTGATAAACCATGACGCGGTGAAAGCCTGTCAACTCTTTGACAATGCCAATAACGACTTTCAGAAAAATAGCCAAGGTGGGAGCAGTTGCAAGTTGCTCTTGGACTTGAGACATAATGTTGAACACCTCCATTGCTGCGGCTTCAGTCCTCTTCTTGCGAGCGCTCCTTAAGATCCGCAGAGGCCTGCTGATATTTACCGTACTGTCGATGAACTCCTCGGCGGTCGGATTGCTGCCAAGGGAGTCTTCAGGTGCCCCAGGAGTCGTATCATCGCTGGGAACCAGTGGGTTGACTTGGTCGTCCTCAAGTTCGAACTCACAGATGACAGACCCCGGATCAGACTCTGGGATATGCATTGCACACCACAATTTCCGTGTCCGGTCCCCTGGAGGCCGAATGGAAATCATGAAAACGTCAGGACCGTTGGCAACCACATCTGCAGCATTTCCGTCGCGAATGAAATCAAGATGGTCGAGTAAGTTGTCGGCTTGTTCTTCGCTGAAAATGTCGAGGAAAGAATCCAGTTGGAAGAGTTGCTGAGGTGTATAGCCTATGATTTGCAAGGAATTCTCGCTTGCTACTCGAACAACAAGCCTTTCTTGTTCCTCTTTGAGAGCCACGAGAAGTCCGAAACTTTGAATGGCGCCGGGAATATGTATGGGTTCGTCTTCGCATCTTTGAAGCGTCTCACCATCTCTTCCGGTTACAACCGCATGGCCTTCATTTGTCACCACATGTCGGAACCGCGCCGTTACCAGACTGGGCTCTGGTGGCGTTGCAAGGACCGCTCCAACAGTCGTATTTGACGCATCCGATTTTTGAGATGCGTCGTCTCCGAGGATCTTATTGAGGACTTGGCTGTCTAGGCTGACAGGCTTGGACTTCTGGCGGTTCCCTGCAATGCCCGCACCAGAGCCAGGTCCTGCCTCCTCCTGCGACGCCTTGGGCGTAGGCTCTGGCGTGGCTTGCGGCGAATCGTCTGAGGCCCACGTTGATCTCCGGCGGGTAGCCAGGGTCATGTCGGGGAAACTGCTCTCGGTGTCCCCTCGTGGTCGTGGGGTAACGATGGGGTCGATCGAAACAGCGGAGCGGACAGGGAAGACGCGGTTGATGGACCCAGGGCTCATTGCTGAATCATGGCCGTCAGATCTTGCGGACTGAGAATGCAAAGAGGGCACATCGATCCGTCCGGTGAACATGCTCACTTGGGCCTGCGTAGGTGGTTTGGAAATCCATGATTGAGAATGTTCAATGTTCGGTTGTCTCGAAGAACCGGACTGGGGCACTTCTGTAGCAGGAGGAATCCAGGCAGGAGAGGTTGAAATAGTGAGGTTTCGTGGGAGATCTGGCTCATGACGCGAAGGAGGCGTCGACATCCTGGTGTATCTTCGCCAGAATCGTTATTTCAGTCGGTATACCACGCCAAGTACGGAGTACTGCTTCCAAGCGACTGGTGATGACTATTGTCTCAGGTAACATGTACCACGGCCGGTGGAACAAGAGAAGCATATCCCGGCCGCGTAATGTTTGCCGATGCCACTTGTTGCCTCTCAAACACTCGTTTGGGGCAGCATTTGCCTGAATGTGGATTGCCAAATGTAATCTTCACAGGGACGAAATCTCCTCGGAGAACAGACCCGAGCAGGCTTATGAGAACAAGAATGAGGTTCAAGAGGCGGCAGTCGGATCGTGGGAGACTTCGTGTAAGAGGGTATCTCGGTCGGTCGGATTCGGCTCGAGGAAGGGCAACAGAGGTCGGTGGAAGGAGGAGATCACTCGATTGGCGTCAAGGCTTTGTTGATAAAGGGTAAATAAGTGTTCTATAAGAATGAGCAAGTCGCCAGTAACAGATGTTTACTGTACAAGAAAAGCGCCTCTTCCAACGAAACTGCGAGCGAGCAGGTGGTATGCTGTCTGCAGTCTGTTACGACGGTGGCGTCGAGGGAAAAGGAGAGTGATGCGCGACTGTGGCGGAAACCGAAAGACGAATTGCTGTGACGGCATGGACTGCGGTAGTGCTAAGTAAGTGTAGGTGTCCAGGCGCGCCTGGGCCAAAGAGTGTGGGCTTAGGGGCGCCTGAGCCACCACTAACGAACCGCTACAGACACTACTACGACTATTCCCCAGCACTAATTACTACGTAGCACTGCAACCGCCCACCTGCGCCGCTCTCATGTTCGAAGTCATCTTTTCCACCCTCGTTGTCGTCGTCGTCGTCTCAGCCTGCCCCTCACTGACTGTCCTTCATATCCTCGATCGAATAACTTCAAGAAAACCCGCCTTTCAGACCGAGTTCAGCCCGTTGAGCATCTATCTTGAGACAAACGTGTCGAGGCCTCTCAGGTCAGCAAGGCAATACTACGGGGCTACACGGCAGGGAAGGTCCACATAATCTTAGAGTTGCGGGAAACAGGGCATACCGACTCCCTCCAACGGTGTCAGAGGTTCCTGTGTCTTCCTGCTGCGGGCCAAAAGAGTCTACTGCTGGTCGCGGCCCTTTCCAGCCATTCTACTGGCTTTGACACACAACCAGGATGATCAGACACGCACATCAGCCTCATCTCAGAACCTCGGGTCTGTAGCCGAAGCAGTGCGTGGTTGTCGTTCGAGACCCTCCTCAGCCACTGTCCAGCAAGCCTGCGGGGTGCCTTCGCTCGCTAAGAGGCAGCTAGGGGAAGCATTAGCGACCGCTTGGATCTACCACCCCATAAACTAGATTCTCCATTCGAGAGGAAGCAAGTTTTATGTCAGCACCTCAAATTCCCATCCCTGGAACATGGAATTCAGCAAAATGGGATGGCGCGCCTGGTCTCACATCCTGTATCAGCTGTCATGTCAATGCACAACATGCTCGCGTCATCAGGGTTCATCGAGCCTGCCCGCTTGTCACAGGAGGGTTAGAAGACCGATTGCCCATATATTTCTCGATACATATCGCTGTCAAGTGTGAACGGGCGCCTTCCCTGCACTGGCGTATGTTTCTGTGTCCCACCTCGCACCTATTCGCCGGAATGGACAATGCGACGTCCGCAGCTATTCAACTCTGCGATCCACTGGCTTGCAGCGTCTGCTTTCTAGCCCATTAGATGAACCCTTCCGGATTAATTGATCTAAAACTCAAAATGCAGAAAATTCTTTCGGCACGATTACTTGCTTCAGTTCCATAGACCAGAAGGGTGTTTACCAAATTCCATGGTCCACTCAGAGGTCGCGAGTCGAGGGAAAGAGTGCTCGCAGGCCTAAATTCGCACTTATTTCACTTAATCCAGTGGCCGGTTTGCAGTATTTTTGGACAGGCTGGGCGCGCTGCACAGCAGCACATCGCGAAACATAACCACGCTATGGAGCGACCTGACCGACAGGGCTCTTATCATTCAGAAACACGGGTTGAGTGAGCAGGCTGACGGCTTATACACGACCAGTGATAGAAAGGGTCAGCACGCACTCATTTCGGAAAATTACAACTCCCCAGAATCAGTGATGGTGGTCCGAGCCCCTCATGATGATTTCCTCCTTGGAATCTGGAGCATCGATCTGGAGGCATGAGTTCCTACGCATGCGCGTCGCTTCATCGCATTGACGACTGCGAGGATACTCGCTCTTTAGGCCTGTTGCCGGTATTTCCAATGGGTATGCTACGATCCAATTGTCAGAGAGGCGCAACCACAAATTCTGCATTTATTCTACCGACCGATCTGCCGGTTTGGGTGTGATTCTTGGAACAGAACCTCAGAGGTGACTCGTTCAACCAGTTGATCGGCCTCATATCTCAGCTTTGGTGCTTGCCAGGTTTCCCACCACCTTACCATCAAGGCGAACCTGATGCAATCATAAGGATGGTCCGAATCAGCGCTGTTTGTTAAGCGCGTCTGGACTGGTTTTCGGCCATCGCCTGAACATCTCCCTACCCGCCGTAAAACATGAAGTGGATTCGGAAGGGTTCTATGACATTATTGAGGTTTACAGGGACAAAAGGAATCCTCCAAGCCAGCCGGTTTTGGATTGAGCTACTTTGCTAGCTTTGTGACACCGGAGGGTTTGACGGGGAACGAGAACAGAGACTGAAGTACGCGCTGGCGAAGATGCGTTCCAATTGTGACAATCAACACCATGCAGCCCAAGTTCCGTTGAAGGTCGAAGTTGAGCTACAGACGAATACCAGGACGCTCGCAGGTCAAAAACCACACACAGGGAGTGAAAGTTTTGGACTGCACATGCCCACATTGCGACCGATGTGGACTTTTACTCGACAGCCAAGACTCGGAGTTGATGATTGCATACTCAGAAACAGTTCCGGCTCCCTTTTGCATACAGCGTGGCGCCATGTACAGCGTACAGCACTGCATATAACAATAACAAAAGGTGCGTGCGCAGAGTCGACGATACCTGATGAGGCTCAGGCTGGAGCAGCCCGGGCCGACGTTTTCCCGGTCTCTTGGCGGCAGATATTGCGACTTTCTGCTTTTTCCCGGAAGCCTCCTCTGCTTGGTGAATAATTCATGCAACCGATAAGAGTGCTGCTGAAGGGGTCCGGCATTGGAGAATCGAGTGCGTTTCGCCCACCACGGTCAGGAGGAGACTGGTCTGCGCAGGAGCCTCAAAACACCCGCCACGTCTCGTGTTGTTTTGCCAGCTTTGGCCGGTGGTTCAACGTTTTTCCAAGTCGCCATGTCCATTGCCAACTACATCCATCCGAGCACATATGAGAGTCTTTCCGACCAGGAGATATCCGTAGTCCAGCAGGTACATGACTTCGCCGAGAAATACTTCCAGAACCCATGCTTTGACGCGTCCCACGACTTCGATCACGTGAAAAGGGTGGTGAAGAACGCCATAGCTATCCTCACAAGGGAAGAGAATAGCCGGAAGCAGAAAGCATTGCCTGCATTGGATCCGTTAAGCGTCATCCTTGGTGCGCTGCTCCACGATGTCGAGGACAAGAAGTACATCAGCGCCGTGGACGACAACTCTCCACTCAAGCGGGCAATCGTAGACGCCGGAATGTCTCTCGAGTATGCTGCGCAAATCCAGCTGTTGGTCGAAGGCGTTTCATACTCGTCGGAGATCAGGGACCCACAGCGTGTCAGGAATCTCATTGTAGCCATTCCAGAGCTGGCCATCGTACAGGACGCCGACCGGCTGGACGCGATAGGGGCCATTGGAATCGGTCGATGCTTTACATTTGGTGGAGCCAAAGGCGCCCGGAGTTTGCAGGATTCAATCCAACACTTTGAGGACAAGTTGGTGAAGTTGGAAGGGATGATGAAGACTGAAGCTGGAAAAGCCATGGCCGAGGAGAGATCGCGGAGGATTCGTGAGTTCATGGCCTGGTGGCAAACCGAGGTTGACTCCTCAAATCAATGACTCTGTGGTATCGAAACCCAGGTCGACAACAGAATCTTCCACTCCCCACTCAACAAAGACTTGTGCGGTAGTACCTAGAACGCCAAGTAGCAGTTCAGTTTAGGTGCAAACCATCATCCATGTTTGCTCTCAAATGCTGCTCAACCACCTCATACCGCTCCCTCAGGTTTCCTCGGCTTCACCTGGCTCGCCAAGATCACCATACTGCCCAAGAGGATCCTGCTTCTCGTGGGTTACTGAGTGGGGGCTAACAGCTGCAGAGCCTGACTTTGGTGGTGGAGCAAGTGGTGTACCCTTTCGTGATGGCACGTGGTCCTGTTGTGCACTCTTCTTCTCTCCTTCGGCAAACACGTCGTCGAAGCCGGCACTCGGGGAGAGGCCTCCGTGCCGTCTAGCTTTTCGCGCCTTCGACAGTGCTGCTGTGGGAGCGGGAGCATTGGGGTTGAGCATCGGTGGCGGCGGGATGTTTGGATTCACCATTGGAGGCGGAGATAGACTCTGGGTGGGTGCAGGCTGAAAAGTGTTGGCAAATTGTTCGTTGTGTTCATTTTCCACGCTCTTGCTTTCTGCGTCAAACAGATTCTCTCCAGGCGCCTGGACCTCTTCTCCTAACCCGACAGGGAGCCGATGGAGGGCTCCGAAACCAAGGACGGCTCCCAGGGCGCCTTCACCACCCCAACCTCGTCGGGGGACGAGTTCAACTTCTCGAACCACATCAAATTCCGAATTGTATACCCAAAGAACCAAGCTCCTGTTTAAGTGGTCTTCGACCAATTCGCCCAGCGCCCCCTCACCTTTGAGTGTACCGCTCGGAGAGCCCAAGATGTAATCGCTGTGTGGTAGTAGACCGGCTTGATGTGCTGGGGATAGCGATGACGGAATGGTCAAGACGTGCCAGATGTTCTGGGTAGAGTTCAGAGGTGCAAGCTGAAGAGTCAGGCCCAACGATGCCGGAGTGGCGGGGACCGCGACCGTGAGTGTATGTGTTCGTTGACCCTGCACACGTCACGTCAGTGGGGGTTGAGACAGTGGTATACTACTTGATGTGTGTGTGCGTGTGTGTGTTGTCCTTACCTTCGCGCTCCAGAGGTCCAGAGAACAGTATGCGCCTGCGCAGTTGTGCAGTTCTGTCGCGAAGAGGTTCGAGTCTGGAGACTCCTACGAGACACAGGAGATCAGCATCGGACTCGACCGCAAACAGATACACAGCGCCATACTATGTAGTGGCTATTGATTCCCACGATGAAGTCGAACCACGGTTCCAGAGGCAGGTCCTTGTTCGTGTTCCGCAACACTTGGAAGCCGTACGAGCTGTCTGAAGGGCCTGAGTCGGCCTGCCGTGCGGCCGGCTCGCCGTCCAGACGGGCTATGAAGCGGTTCAAGGCACCAAACATGGTTTTTCTCAGATCTCAGACATTCAACAAGGGAGCCTTATCATCAGCACGTCTCTCGCTCGTCTGAACACATTGCCAGAAGACGTGTTTGGTTGGCAACGTGACGCGCCGGACAAAACTACGGCGGATCACAGAAAAACCAGGCACCTACTAGGTAAAAGCTGGAGCACAGTCACCAAGCGACGAGGCGTACTCCCTCGAGCAGAAGAAAGTATCGGGATCAATATCAGTACCGTACCCAGTATCCGTACTGCTGACTTCTGTGAGCAGAAATACTGCTGCAGCACCTGGCTGATCACTAGTACTGCTAGATTTGGTCATTTTCTTGTCCGTGTGCTCTGAGACAGCTTCACGTTTCACAGCTGCCATTAGCCGCCATCAACCGCGCTCTTTGCTTTCACAACCTTCTTGGTCGTCCTTCCAGGGTTGTCTTCATACTTGACTCCACGATCTGGGTGCCTGAGGGCCGGACCGAAACACTCTCTCAGCTTTGGGGCGGTCTGGCTCCGGGCGCTTCCTTGGGGCAGCAATTCGCAGCTTGAACAGGGTGCACACGTCAAAGCTCGTGATGCTATTGTTCGAGGGATTGTCCGTGATGTTTGATCATGTCTTTCGAGGCCCGGAAGCATACTACTGTGTAAGTCCAATCACAAATACTCTGAACATATGTTCCGCCTCGCGGGGCTATGCACGCCATGATCCTTGTCGTATTATGCCATTCGGTGGTTCTACTGGATGAGTTTCTCAAGGCGCTCTGTAGCTAAGCGCCAGCCCAATCAGTGGCCAAGGCCTCGGGAGTTTTGTCCTCCGGCGCTGGGCCAGTCCAGCCGGCTGTGTTGAGACATATAGCGAGCTCCCGCCGGCGTCGAAGCAGACTTCCGGGAATCAAGAATACTAACCCGGGTTCACATACTTCCGCGTCTATTTTGTGTCAAATGCTACATCTGGGATAGCCGACCGCCCGAATGTGGTTTCGCCGTCATCTTTCCTTCACGAATACACCATCCATAAAGCGCCGCCATGGAAGCCGCGGGAAAGGTGTGGAGCAGATAACCAAGAACGAGGTCTATACCACGACCTTGGAGCTCCAGCAGGAGCATTCCACTGGCCAGATTGGTGAAGAATCTGAACCTGTGCTCTGGTACTCTTTATGGCTTTCTAGGCGGGCGTTAGGAGGACTCGCAACGATCTTCGCGACCTGTGCCGGAGCACTTGTTGCGATATGGCAGATCAACACTCGAAATGACGGCTTTCGTTTGGTCACCACGAACCACTACTCCTGGACATACAGCCCAACCGCTATCATTGTTATACTCGTTGCTATTTGGCGACAGGTCGACCAAACTTGCAAGCTCCTCCTCCCATGGCAAGTTCTGCAGAAGGCAGATGCCTCTGCGAAGACGAGCGTGTTGCTGGACTATATATCACCACTTCAGATTGTCAGCCTCTGGAATGCCGTGAGAAAACGACATTGGCCAATATGTCTAACCATATCGTCTTTTATCCTCCTGAAGCTGATCACCCTTGCTACGACTGGTCTATTCTTCACCGATTTCCGGATCGAAACGTCTCAGACTGGAAACCTCTTCACCGGCACAAGCTTTGATGGTTCACTATACAACGCTACCGCGTATCTTAGTGTTTCCGATTCGTCTCTGTTTTATACAGCATATGCGGTGATGGCAAAAGGTCTTCGCAATGTTCAGGGGACACTCGACAGTACCGCTTATCAGACCTTGTCAATTCCAGACTCTGTTTTGAGCTCCAATGCCACCATCAGTGCGGCTGTTGACGTCTTCGTGCCCTCATTCAACTGTGAGAAAACCAATGCTAGTATTAACCTTCAACCGGCGAACACAACAGCGCAACATCCCGAAAGCACCCTGAACCTGCTGGCCCCAAAGTGTAAGCTCCTTGCAGGGGCGCCACCAATCTACACCCTCAATCCACAATTGTACGAATGCCCTAGTCGACAGCTGAGTGGATTAATGCAACGAGTAGACTGTTCTGGACAAAATTCACCGACGCCCATCGGGAACTGGCAGCTTCTGACGTTGACAGACATGCGGTACACGCAGACTCGTGTCAATGGGTCTGATGTTGGGGATGGGTCTGAATTCGAAGCTTCTTCATGGTCGTCTGGTGTGGCACAGATCAGCAGCATCTTGTGCAGGCCTAGCTACACCATGCAGACACACCAAATTACTTACGATCTCTCCCAGAACCCGACTCAGATCTCTCTAACACCCCAGGTCACCAGTCAAAGCCGTTCACTGCAAAACTTTGAAGACGCTGATCTCGGGGTCATGTTCACGTCTGCATACATGGCTTCAGCGCTGATGTTTGGCAACAAGGCAGACAGTGATGTGGCAGAGGAGTATCCGGATACTATGTTCAAGACCATGGCTGAAGTCAGCGGCGGGGGCTACGAGGTCTTACTGGACGAAGATGTCATGATATCCGCAGCCGAGAAAGTCTTCAACCATGTCGCCGTGCAGATTGCCTCGAAAAACCTTGTTCGCGCAGAACAAAGTCCAGTCACCGGCACGATATCTGCGCTTCGGCAAAGACTCTATGTCCGAGAAGCGTCTCTGTGGCTCGTGGTGGCCGGTTTCTCGGTCATGACCGTGTTAGTAGTCATGGTATCCACAAATCGATCAACAGGTGTCGTGCCTCGCGATCCGGAGCCCATCAGTAGCACAGCTATTCTGCTGGCGGACAGCCCTGGCTTTGAGGAGGTCCTCTGCGACTGCAGTGCTGTTACAAGTGCGCAACTGGAGAAAGTCCTTGATCGCTCTCATTACGCATCTTTGTCATCTGTCAATGCCCACGGCCAGCAAAGTTTCACTATTGAGGTAACTGACGATGGAGAGAGCACCGATTCTTCAAGCACAGACGCCGGTACACCTTGGTGGAACCCTCTCCTTCTCAGGCGCCTCGTGATGGTGCTTGTGTTAGGGTTACCACCGGCCTTGATTGCAGTCTTAGAAGTCCTCAATCATCTATCCCAGCGAAAAACAGGGATAACCATGCTTTCAGACAGCGGGAGCTTCTCCACAGAGTCGTGCACGAGATTTGTTCCTGCTCTAGCCATGCTGTTGGTGTCTACATCGTTCAATGCATTGGATTTCAACATTGCCGTCTTGGCTCCTTACCACTCTCTCAAAACCAGGGATGGTATAAATGGTTCGAACCTGTTCCGCTCTGTTATGGGGAAGATGCCTCCAATCGCTTTATGGGTTGCTGTAAAGCAAAGATATTGGAGTGTCTTTATGTCTTCCGTTGGCGCTCTTCTTGGGAGCTTACTAACGATCATCGTTTCTGGGCTTTTGGTCATTGACAGCATCGGAACTTCAATGCCAGCAACATTGCGAAAGCTCGACAACTTCAACACGACCTGGGCCAACTCTGTGACCAACGATAGCTCTGCAGCTGTTGTCGTCAGTCTCATCGAAGCCGCGAATCTATCTTACCCTCCGTTCACGTACGAGGAATTAGCTCTGCCGAAACTTCAGTACGCAGAAGACATGACCGCAAGCACCGCCCCGGACAGCCTTGTCGATGCTTTGCTACCAGCTCTGCGTGGCTCTCTGGCGTGCAGTATGCTTCAACCTGATCAGTTCAACCTCTCTGGATCCTTCAATGCAAGAATTCTCTCAGCAAGCGCTTCCGTTGAAGCTACATTGCCACTACCGCCCGAGTGCCCCTACGGAGGTCCAGGTGGCAATTTATCGCATCTGGACTTCCAGTACTTCTTCCAGCTGCCGAGTAGCACGAACCAAAGCTTCATTGGGAAAATGCTGGACTTGCATGTCGGCCCTTACTCGGGCCCTTTCGCAGACAGTTCAGATGAGGTCTCTCCATACACACAGGCAGATAATCCGGCGGGCTGTCCATCGCTGGGGTTCATCTACGGTTATGTCGACGTGGAAGATATGTCCAAGTCGGTAGTGTCTACAATGGCGTGCTCGCAGGTGATTGAAAGGCTTGATGCGAGAGTGGTGTTGAACGCCAATGACCTCAGCATTTCCCCCACGAGCGTGCCCGTTGCCAACGAGTCCACAGCCAGCTTGCTTGCCAGCGGTCCAGACAACCTCACTTCCAGCGGTCGCACAACACCGACTGCCTTCCCGTTCAGGCTGCAAGTCCACATGGACCAAGCACTCTCGATGTTCAATCAGACGCAGTATTCATCGAGCAGCTTGTCCAGCCAGCCGCCGGTGGACAATTTCTTCCAAGCCGTCTTATTCGGCCGCACCCCTGTCCCACAGGAGCTGATGGGTCGCGCCGACGAAGAAAGCCAGAACCGAGTCAGGCAGGGCATTCTGAACTTCTACCGCCGATATATGGCACAGGCCATCTCCGCAAACATGCGGGTCAATAATGGTCCAGCCTCCTCCCCTGCGACATCGACCGGTGCGGAAGCAGCCGAGGCCGCTCAAGCAACCAGTGTCGCTGCTACGCTCGTCAACGTTCCAGGGGCTGTCCTGCGCGTGAATTCCACCTCCAAACTCATCCTGCAGGCCCTCCTAGCAGCCATGTTCGTCTGCGGCTTGACGGCGGTGCTTCTCAATCCAATGAGAAAGGTCGTTCCGCATAATCCATGTACCATTGCCGGTGTCGCGAGCTTGCTTGCTGGAAGCAGGTTGGTGAAAGAGCTGTCGGCGGCAAAGAGCCATGACGAAGCCGAATCGCTCCTCCGCAGTACATCTGTCCAGTTAGGCTGGTGGGATGATGTTGGACTCGCTGAGACGGCGGATGAAGGGGATCAGGCGGAAATTGTACCAGTACGGCGCAGGTATGGTATTGATATTGTCAAGGAGACTGGATGACAGGTGTTCGGGCCCTAGGGATCGATCCCATCTCGAGCTGCTTTCTACATGTACGCCGTAGGTGACACCAAGCGAATGGACCACATGTGCATGAATACAGGGTTGTCTATAAGTGCCGTAGGTTTATGAGCGTTAAAACGCCGGCTGTCGTACCCCTCCCATACATCTCTGGCTACTAAGACTCGGTACCTTATCTATGGTCCTAATGCTTCGGAGCTCGGCATGCCGACCAGATTGTAATCAGAGGAAAAGCAAATCTTGTATCAGCATGTTTCGATGTGTCGACGCTATGGCATGAGACTGCTACGCTGCATGTATCATACATCAAAGGTCGTGTGTCATCTCAGTCGTGACAGTAAAGAATTTTCGTATGCCAGCCGTCGAAGTGTATCGCCTGTTTCCGCTCTATCCAAACTGGAATACGTGCCAAGTATCCGTACCACCTCCTCATATTTCCAGAAAAATGTAAATCCCAAATCCAAATGCCCATGATTTTCCCGATCAGTAATCGCTGATCTGCCTAGGCTCCAAACTTCCTGCACATCCTGATACCGTAGTCCCGAAGAAGGTGGAGATTACGAGCGTCTGTGAAGTTGACCTCAGACCCCGGGCGTCCATCAGGACAGGTATGCCTCGCCGATGGGGCTGGAGACGGAGTTTCCATTCACCAGGATACCGTCGCTGCACATGAAGTACGCATACCGCTCTACGGCGCTCTGAGAGTCAAGCCATGGGATGACCTCGCTCAAGAATGAGGCAACGTCGCTGTCAGAGCCTGTGGCACCGAACTCGGTCAACCAAACTTTGCTTACGCCGTTCTTTGCCGCTGTGTCGATGACATCCTGGACGTGGGACTTGAAGTAGTCGACCTGACTTGCGTCGGCATACCAGTGGAAAGCGACGAAATCGATATTGCACTTTCCGCCACATGCATCGAAGAACTGCTGGAGCCACGTTGTTCCCATAGGTGGACTCGATCCGGCACCGTTGGTAATTGCCGGAGAGCCCACTGACACTTGGCCGGACAGGGGAGCGACGTTGTCGATATGGAGTTGGGCGGCTGTGACGGGATCGATGTTCGACTGAGAGCTGAGGTCGGGCTCGTTGAAGGAGAGCACGTGTTTAGAGCCGCTAGAGATGGCCGACTGCACAGCACTGGACCACGCAGAGATGGAGTTTTGCCCCCACAACAAGGGAACAAACTCTGCTCCGGAGAGAATGCTGCCATCGGGTGCGGCCCCCCAGTTGTAAGCCCAGCTAATACCCTGGCCCGCGAAAGCCGAGGTCAACGAGGCAATGTTGTAGGACAGACCCTTCTTGCCGCTAGTGGAACCCCCGGTGCTTGGTGTGGAGCTGGAGCTGGAGGAAGGGACCGAGATAGAGACACTCGCGGCAGCACTAGAGGCAGGTGCTGTGCCAGCAATTGTTGCCAAGGTGGTGGGAACAACTGATTCAACCGACGAACCAGCTGCAACCGATGCTCCGCCTCCAACTGAAGGTCTCCCGAAGAAGGCTCCCGCAGTTGGTGTTCCAGCATCAAGGCTGACTGACGCCGATCCAGTTAGGTCTTCGAGCCCGGAGTCAGATACGACAGAGGAGGATGCTGGGGCAGAGCTGGCCGAGACTGAGGTAGAGCTAGCGCTTGCCGTGAATGTGACGAATTGCACAGACGTAGTAGTAATGGTAGACGTCAAGCTGCTGCTGCACGAGGTAGTGCTGACTCCGACGGCAGCGTTGGCGACAGGAACACTTGAGATGCCCTCGGCAACACCGCCCGTGGAGGATGCAAGAGGGATAGGGCTAACAATGATCGTCGTGACAGCTGTGGCAGGGGACTCGACTGCTGAGCCTCCAAAGTTTGTACCGTTGTGAGCAGTGCCGTTAGCTGCGAATGTTCCACCGGTAGGCAAGGCGATGCCTGAGCCTCTACCGGTACCGGTGCCATAGTGGAATCGATGGTGTCGCTGCGGATGAGCCAGAACAGCAGTGGCGAGAGCCAAGATGGATAAGACGCTGGAAACCATGTTGGAATTGGGTATAGATGTTGTGATGGAGATGTTGAGATGTCGGAACACAGGGGGATTGGGGATAGTCTGATGAGCCCGCCGGGGGTAATTTGTATAGGATTCAATCAATGAATGACCTGGTTGGCGAATGAGTGACCACGAGCGTAGCTCAAGCGAGGAAGAAAGCGAATAGACCAAGGGCTAGCCTTGTCGTGAAAAGGGAGGGACGAAGTGCAATGTGTCGCACAAACGTGTCAAGAGCCTGCAGTGGGCAAAGGATTGAGTGCTGGGAAAGAAAGAAGGAGAGGCATGAAACGAAAAAAACTTCAGAGATATAGCTTCGGACAGGAGGGGGTGGGTGGTGGGGGATCGCGCCTTGACAGGAGAGGTGTTGCAAACTCATCAGGAGTTGGGATCCAGTGGCACGTTTCATGGTGGACATGTGTGCGACGGCCATCCTTGTTGGGCTAACTGGAAGAGGGCCTCCAAAAGACACGGTAAAGAAGAGGTCTTTTCAAAGGAGGAAAGCTGCATCTCCATAGGGTGACCAGCTAGAAAGCTCTGTATCGTTGGGTACAGGGGCCGTACAGACCCCGTACGAGACTCGCAATTGCGAGCAGATGAGACCAAGAACCAACTAGCCGACTGAACTGCGGCATCCAAAGAGTCGTCCACCAGTGGAGTTTGGTGGTTGACAGCCTTGGGAAGCAGAAAGGAGACGGCGGACGAGTGGCTGCAAGCCACATGGAGGTCGATTAAGCCATATCGAGCCCCTTATCCGGTTGCTAGTTCTGTCACAAGCTGCCGTGGAACCACCAGTCAGCAGCAGCCAGATCTCGCCCTGAAACAGACCACTGGTTGAACTCAGTCGGGGCCATGCAGGGGGCACCACCATGGACCAGGGCGCCAGCCAGTAGCCACTGGAGAGCGCGAGAGAGGCGTAGCTGAGCCGCTACTGTCAGGAACCCGGACCTAGTCTGTGTCTTAGTCTGTGGCCTGTGTTTCGCCGGAAGAGACCGTAATCGACGGGTCTGTGAGAGGCGGAATCCCCTTCCCAGGGCCATGGAAATGAGAGAGGGCGAAAAGATCGCAGGCTGCAGGGATCAGCCAGACTGTTCGGTCTTCGGTCTTCTCCTCCATACATCGTATCCGTGTATTTCTCAGTCCAGTGATTCTTTTCAGGGCCAGAGCACATCTCCACCCGAGTCTTTGAGCAGATCGACCGGGGCCTAGGGCCTGGCGAAGCGACGGACGGTCGGGAACGTGAGGTTGATGAGTTGGGGAGAGGCGTTCTGACAAAGGACACTAGACAGTCAACTGTCTATCACAGACAGACATGGATCATAGCCACCAGGCTTACGTACCTCTTGCCATGGTCGTGTTTCGCAGGTGGGTTTCTGTCCTGTCACCGCTCAAGCACCAATGAAATAAAAGTGAGTAAAGGTGAGAGGCCCCTAAGCCTGCAGTGCGTGATGGAGCTGGGGCCGGAGGAACTGTTAATCCGGGCGAAACCTCACCAGCTCTCACCTTATCACCTCATCACCTCACCCTACGACAGCGCTCGATATGGCGGCATACAGACCGCGACTACAGTACGGAGTACGGATACAAGGCAGGGGATGCGTGTACGGATACGGAATGCAACTCCCGTCTCGAGTTTGGCCCGCGAGTGGTGCCAGTTGCAAACATGGGTGGCGCGGTCGATGCCAGGAGATCCATGTTCGAGCTGATACCCATGCCCATGTCTATTCCTTGTCCGTACTCCGTCTTCAGATCCATATCGGTATTGAACCTGTCACTTTCCAGCCACCGTCACCTCCGTCAACTTGTAAACTCGTGACCCGCATACGTCTCCTGTCCGGCCACTGGTTTGCATCTGATCTGCATTTTCAACCTCGTCCACTCCAAACGGATACTCCGTAGCGCTCTACGAGACGGACTGAAGGCAACCCTGCTCAGAACCCCCGGTGAGAGATGTGATAGTATCCAGTATTTACGGCTTGTCTTTCCGTCGTTCGTCCAGCACCGCCATCACATCCTTCACATTATCTTTATCACCCTTGTGTTTCTTGGGCCCTCGTTTCCTCCCGCTCTTCTTGCCACCCCCTTCGCCCTCCTCCCAAATGGGCCCTTCCTCGTCATCGTCATCTCCGAACCGGCTCTCGCCAAATCCCAGATCCAGGTCCATGGCATCAGCCCGGTCTCGCTCCTTCAGTCGAGCCAGCAATTGTTGTTGTTTGGCTTCCCGGTCTGGGTCCGAACCAGGCACATCAACTCCACCCTGTTCCTCGCTCCGTTTCAAGGCCGCCGCCCGCTTCAAAGCCGCAAGGAGCGTAGGATCTTTGGTGATGGGATTGCTACGATCCTCCACTTCGTCAGCCTGGGTGCTTGTCGAAAAATAGTTTCGTGGCTTGTCGCTTCCTGCTGCAACCTCCTTCTTCCTTGCATCGGACTTTTCTGCTCCCTGCTCCTCTGCACCTGAGTCATCGGACTCGCTCTTGATACCGGCCAATGGATCGTAGTCCCCAGCACCTTGGAAAATGTCGTCGTCTTCATCTTCCGCTTGCTGGGCCAACAGTGCCTGCTGCTTCGCCAGGAATTCGGCTGGGACCTCCATCCCTAGGGGCTGGGCCTGTTTTACGCTGTCCTCGTCGTCGATCCAGCGAGACTTTCTCTTCGTTGTCCCGTCCTTGTTGGTGATGACGAGTACTTCCCTCCGTCGTCCATTCACCACCTCCACAAATTTCTTCTTGTTGCTGGACTTTTCTGAAGTCACCTTCTTGAAGCGTTCTCCGAGCTTAGGCGCAACCGGAGCAGTCTCCCGCTTTCCTGTCCGACTCTCCTTCAGCTGCCGTAATATTTCATCTCGGGACATTGGTTGAGCATCAACAACCTCATCTGCAGTAGATTTGGACTCTTTCTTTTTCGTCGCCGGACTCTTGGCCTGAACCTCTTTATCCAGCACCTGGTCCAGCTCGTCCTCCACATCCACTTTTTCGGTCTCCGTAGCAATCTCTTGCGGCTGCGACGACTCATTATTAACATCTTCTCCGCGTCGAACTTTGTCCAGCAGTTTCCAATCGAGGCCCTTTATCAAATGCGTACTGCTAATACTTCCTCCAATGCCAATCTGGCTCTTAAGGCTTTCAAACGTAGCTTCGTCAATCTGTTGTAATTTGTACATCTCTTCCAGAGCCTTGAGCCGTTTCCCCTTATCATCCTGTGGCTCGGCATCGTCTTCACCTGCCCGTCTAGCCAATGTGCGGTCGTTGTACCCAGTGGCGAGTTTGGTACCTTTGGGTGCAGCGCTGGATCTGAACTTTTTTGTAGGAGGCTGTCCATCTTGTTCTCGTCGGTGTTCTGCCACTTGTCTTGCAAAGTCCCTGGAGCCACTGTATCCCGCCACCGAGCGAGGAGTCATGGGAATCGAGGCGCGTGCTCTTGAGCCGAGAGCCGGTTTCTTGAAGGATGGATCCGAAGCCCCCGATCCGGGCGTCTTTGCACTGCGCTCGGCCTGGAGGAGGTTTCGAAACTGAGAGTTGTCCATCGTGGTTGACGTGCAGGCCTGTTGCTCTCGACGTTTACTCTGCTTGCACATTTAAAGACAGAAGATTGTTGAGTCGAGAGAGGCCCCGGGATTGCGACTAACATCTAGTGGCGGGCAACGACGTGGCAGAAGTTGGGGAAATATATTCTCCAAGACTCGGCCGATGTTCACCCAGTTCTGTCCGTCCACTCTTGGGTCATTAATTCGGACACCAATCCTTCATACTTATGTTAATTCTGTATTACCCGTGACGCGTCGCGAGCAGACAATGGCGCGAAAAAGAAAGAATATTGATCGCTTCCCGCAGTCGAGCGAGCCACCGCGAAAGAAGCGTGTTTCCACAACGCCTCTACCTGATGGCGTCCATCATTACCAGGAGGTGGACGAAGTGCCGTGTGATCTACAGAAGTAGGCCGACGCGAAGTCTTTTCCTTTAGTATGGGTGTCTTGGTCTCACTGACATCCATATAGATATTGGCATCAAGGTTATTCCATCTTTTCCAAGTATGACGCTGGTATCTGGATGACCGATGACGCTTGGTACGGCGTGACACACGAGTCGGTCGCAAAGTAGGCAGTCTACCAAATCACAGTCCCAGTTGCTGATGCAGAGACAGTAAAATCGCCTTGCATATGGCCGAAGTGGCACCTCCCAAGAGATCCATCATCATCGATGCCTTCTGCGGTGTTGGTGGAAACACCATTGCTTTCGCCCTCTCCGGAAAATGGAAGAGAGTATACGCCATCGAGAAAGACGCGGCGACTTTGGCCTGTGCCAAGCATAATGCAGAAATCTATGGTGTAGCTGACCGCATCACCTGGTTCCATGGCGACTGCTTCGAGATCCTGGGCGCCAGCGGGAAGACGGAGAAGACGGTGGAAGCCCTCACTGCGATTACTGGTCAATTTGGGGTCATTTTCGCCAGTCCACCGTGGGGAGGTTCGTCGGCTCTGGCGCTCAGACTGAAAGGCGATGGCTAATCCCCTTGCACAGGCCCCGGCTACCGCACCGCGGATGTGTTCGATCTCGAATCAATGCAGCCATACAGCTTCAGCTACATCTACGACTCGTTTAAGAAGCTGACCCCGAATCAGGTGTTGTACCTGCCTAGGACGAGTGATTTGCGGCAGATCGCTGCGAGAGTGGAACGAGGCAAGAAGACACAGATTGTGCATTACTGTACGAATGGCACCAGCCGAGCCTTGTGTGCGTACCTTGGAGATTGGGCGCCCTTGAAGTTGTGATACCCAAGCCGCAGCTGAGCACTGTAAAGTAGCTATAGCTGTACCTGGCGAAAAGAGAATGATATGGCTGTTTCTATGATTTCTCGTCTGCTCGATGCCTCGTCTCTGTGATCATCTTTAGCAAGGTAAAGCTACCTGGACCTAGGTACCTAAGGTACATGTAGGTAGCATGCTGACGACCCGACGAGGCTGTTGCAGTAGCACTGGTCGCGAGTCATGAGATGAATCATTGTTCGTTGCGCCAAGCCCTGTCGCGAGTCATGCGAGTTCCGGCCGCTGCAGTGTTTGGCTCTCAACGTGAACTTGAACTTGTCCTCCAGCAACCACTTTGACTGTCAAGTGTATGGACTAGATCCTCCCGACTCGCGACACTGTCACTCCGCTTAAACGGTTTCCTCTTCTCTCGGCTCAAGCGATGAACTCGACTTGACCTGATCGTTGCGATGCGCCGGACCGCGCAACGAACAACACTTCCTGCGGGGTCTTCGGTTTCACTCGAACCTGACTCACTCGAACATGGCCACCGATATTTACCAGCAGGCCAACGACGACCTCGATGGCCTCTTTGAAGATGACGAGGATATCGGAGCGAACTCCAGGGCCGACGCGCCTCTCGACCAGAGTTTCAGTTTGCCTGCCGAGGCCAACGATGAATTGAGCGCGCTGCTGGGCGAAGCAGGTGGCGGCGAAGGCTTGAACTGGGATGAGTTAAATTCAAGAGAGCTCGAAGCGGGCGAGAAAGCAGATGATGCGGTGGACTACGAGGACATCGGAGATGACGAGTCGCTACCGGACGAAGAGCCAACCCAAGCCGGTCAGGTTACCGAAGATACAAAGGACGCGCAGGCCGAGTCACCTAGCGTCCTGCTACCTGGCATCGGAGAGAACGCGTTAGATGGATTGGATGACGATGACTTATTCGGTCCTTCAAGCCCGATCCTGACTGCTTATGAGCCTCAGCCAGTGACTGCGCCTACGAAGCCACTCGACAAGCCAACACGAGATGCCGACCAGGAATCCGACCTTGCCTCCGAACATGGAGATGATGAGACTCAAGACATTTCTATGCTGCAACCGGAACTGGACGACATTGAGGATGCCGAATACCGCACGCAACTGGCCCTCTTCGCCCAATCCGGGAAAGGCATCATGCCAACTACAGAGCAGGAGAACATCGAACAATGGCTGAAGCTAGAGTTTCCTAGCTTCAAGCGTGATGAGACACCATACTTCAACAGGCTTTTCCCTCCGAGGCCACACAAGTGGCCAGCAAAGACCCCTTTGAAGCCCCCAAAGCCGGTCCGTCCCAGCAAAGTGAATTTGGAGATCGAACCAGACCAGAAGACCTCGTTTAACTCAGGAGCTGCCGGGGCGACCCCAGAATTCGACGCGGATCTTGTTAGAACACAAGAGCCTGAGACCGTGCAGGAGGTGGCAGAGTCAGTGGACGAGTCTGATCTAGACGAACCTCTTCCTGGTGGACTCACCCTGAGCGATTTGGAGTTTATGTGTGCCGACTTTGACACGTTGTCGCATCTGGCGCCCTCGGAAGATGAAGTCGTCGAGATCAGAACTCGGGTGGTCGACAGCGACGAAGAAATGTTCGGCTTCGATGATTTCGAGCAGCCTCGCAAGAAGCGTCGTCTCGACCTTGACCCGCATAAGCTCGTCACGATACATCAAGTCGACATTCCGTCGTTCGACAATCCGGAGGAGAAGACCGCCAAATTGGCCAGGAAGGTTGTTATAGACCTGAATGACTCAGATCTGCTGGTTGAGCAAGTCGATCCTGAGGCCGTCAAGGCCAAAGCGCGAGTAGGGAACAAGAGTACGACAACTATCAAAACACTCAAGGACCGCCTGCAGCAACGTTTCAAGACCTCCAACGACGCCGAGTATGACCTCTTGAAACAGAACCATAACCATAAAGTGCGAGGTCAGCTTACGCACTTGAGCATCGAGCACTCTGTCCCAGCCGTTCGTCTTCAATACCCGTACTATCAAGTGCGACTTTCGTTGCAGGAACTCCGAAACTACCACCGGAAGAGGATGCATTTCAAGTATCCCATCAGCTTTTCGCAGCCGGTCAAACGCAAGAGGAAGCACCAGAGAGGCCGCAAAACCGAAGAAGTCTACTCCACCACCAAAGATTTATCCTTGGCCGACAATTCTTCCATGCTGCTGCTCGAGTATTCTGAAGAACACCCTCTGATGTTGTCCCAGACGGGTATGGGCAACAAGGTCGTCAATTACTACCGAAGGCGAACCAAGGACGATACGGCGAGACCCAAAAGCGAAATTGGGGAGACGTCTGTCTTATTGCCAGAAGACAAATCACCCTTCTATATCTTTGGTCAGATTGATCCTGGCGAAACCATCACGTCGCTTTATAACTCCATGTATCGAGCCCCAATCTTCCCGCAAGAATCGAAGCCTACCGATTTCTTGGTCATTCGGGAGACCACCGGTACCGCGGGACAGGTGCACTACCTGCGCAATCTGGAGAACGTGTATGTAGTGGGACAAGAACTGCCGTCGACCACGGTGCCGGGAACGCATTCTCGTATGGTGACGACCGCAGCCAAGAACCGGTTGAAAGCCATTTCGTTCCGCATCGCCCGTAAAAAGAAAACTCACCGGATCAAGGTGGAGGATGTCACTAAACATTTCCCCGACACGACCGACATGCAGAACAGACAGAAGATGAAAGAATTCATGGTGTTCAACAAGGAGTACAAGGAATGGGAGATGAAACCCGGTGAACTGGTGCCTGATGAAGATGTGATCCGCAACTTGATCCGCCCAGAAGACATTTGCCTGCTTGAGTCGATGCAAGTCGGTGCGCAGTATTTACAAGACTCCGGCTATGCGGACAATGACGAAGATGATGACAAGGAAAAAGAAAACGACAACGACAGTATTGAGCAGCAGCTGGCCCCTTGGCGGACGACCAAGAATTTTCTTCAAGCCACCCAAGGCAAAGCTATGCTCAAACTGTACGGCGAAGGTGATCCGTCTGGCCGAGGCGAAGCATTTTCATTCATCAAGACAAGCATGAAGGGGGGCTTCAGACCGATCGGCGGCTCTGCCCAAGACGCCATTTCTCTGAAAAGGGAACTGGGCGGCCACAGCTACAACGTCGCGCGCCAGCAAAAGTCCTACGAGGAATCCATCCGCAACATCTGGGACCGGCAAATAGCAAGCCTCGGGTCCAAGATCGAGCCATCGGATCTGGACATGGACGGTGATGTGGATGCTCAAGAAGACAAGTACGCCGAGCGATCGAACCTCCGAGCCACGCCCATGTCGGCAGCCCACACTCCAGCAGCGTCCCGGCGGATGGATGACGAGACCGCAACATCCTTCAGCAGACGCAGTGTCAACAGTCAAAGCCAGAGGGCGCTGAAAATCCTTCGCACTGTCATCAGAGACGGCGACGAGTTTGTCGAAGAGCACATCGAAACCGATCCGGCGGTGATTAAACAGTACATGAAGATCAAGGAAATGGAAGAGGCGCAGTCTTTCAGGTTCGTCTGCAGCATACACAAGGATTGGAGCAAAGCTGACCTGACTTTAGCTTGAACGACGTCGTGCCTACCGGCGACGCCGAGTTTGACGCAAGACAGCGGAAACGGCAAGCACTGCTATTGACCCTGTTGATGACTCGGAATGGATCTGCTAATACTGGACTAGACTCGAGGAAGAACTCGCCAAGCTCGAGAAGAACTACGCGCGCAGAAAACACCGGCCCAAGAAAGGCGCTGCCGCTGCAACATCGCCTGGTGGGACAGCCATGTCTCCCGATGCCGACGGTCCTAGCGGTGGTGGAAGGAACACACAGCCGACCCAGCGGAAGTGTGCGAATTGCGGTCAGGTCGGCCACATCAAGACCAATAAAAAGTCCGTTAAGTGCAACAAGTGCAACCTCCCCTTCACCCACCAAGTTGGCTCTGTGTTTGCCCAGGCGCCGACCTTTGACGAGTAGACGTGGTCAACAAATGAGGTGGCATTGCACACAGTCACCTCATGTCTGTCGACTTCCCGCCAAAGAGAAAGCGTGGCTGGACCCAACTTGGATTTTGTTGTTCCCGTCCCATTCGAGGACATGATTCGCATCATCATGGCGCACGAGCCTGGCTTCTCTATGCGAGACATGCACCCAACTCTCGACGTGGAGAAGCATGCGATCCCAAATGCTGCCAACCAGCTGAATTATGCCCTCGAGATCAGGAGCCACCCCGGATCCTGACTCCCCTTTCTTCCCTGCCCTTTTTACCTTCCGCTTTTTCTATGGAGATGATTCACTGACATGTCACTCACACAAAAGATTATGTCCCCTGCTCAACGGCACCATCAAGCAAGAAGATGGGTTCAACAACTCTGCGTTCATGGGTGCGCCGCCCACGATGTCCTAGGTTGGCAGTTCCGGCGGCAAGCTTTAACCACTATATGCGGCAGAGCTGGGTGCAGTGGGACAAAGGAGATGAGACTGTGGTGAAGAAATGAGTATGACAAGCCCCAATATATTCCAAAATTGAGATTTTCGCAAAGCATCGTCGGCGGGTGGGTAGGATGAAATTGAAATGCACGGGCGTTTGTTCTTGCTTCTTGCTTCTTGCGAGTTGAAACGATATGGCATGGCATTGCATTGGGTGTTGCATATGCATAGCGGGCGGTCTATCAACACATAAAACGATCATTCGCTTCGAGAACCCCATCCTTGTGGGCGGACTCACCGGGACAGGACACATGGTTCTCAGAAGGGCGTTTTAACACAACGGGCTCAAGCATGGACTGCATTGCATGTTTGGGACGATGGCATGGCACGGCGATCAACTTAGGTAGGTAGTTGGGCCTGACGTCCTTGGACAGGACATACATAATCAGATTTGGCTGTTGGGTTGGGTTTTAACATGCCATGCGCTGGCTCTCAGCCCAGCTCAGTTCAGCTCCATGCTCGCGACACAAGGGCACTTAAGACCAGAGTCGAGATTTGAGCAAACCGATAATCACCCAATATACAGATTGAGATTTAGATTGGCATGAAAGAAGGGCAGCCGGAATGACTGTAGTCATTGATATGCTTCCAAGAAACTGAAACTTGATCATTTGCCTATAATAATACAGGTAGGTACAGGTACAGGCACGATGAATGGGATGCGTATCCCATATGTACCTCGAGGTTCAAATACAAGGCTTGCACTGCACTGCACGTAGAATGCGGGAGATGATGGGAGGACGGGAGGGAAGATGGGATTGGATTGTTACTCCTACTTACTCCCTTTGATACTCACTTCCTTTCCGATGCTCATTTCCTTTCTGATACTCACTTCCTTTCTGCTACTCACTTCCTTTCTGCTACTCACTTCCTTTCTGCTACTCACTTCCTTTCTGATACTTACTTCCTTTCTGATACTTACTCCCTTTCTGCTAGTTCTCGTGCGTGGTTTGATGGTTGATGGTCGGCTAAGCCTATATATATTTATATTGTTCAAGGTAGCTAGGGGTAGTTGCTCTGTAGGCGTGGTGGTCTACGGACGGACGGCATGGACTGTACAAATCCCACGACGATGGGGACGAGACGATGAGGACGAGACGAGGATGATGGATGATAGACGATAGACGATGATGGATGATCAATATTATTTTATTCCAAGCAATACATACAGTAGACCTGCCCTGAGCTGAGAAACAGGACCGCAGCGACCTTGGGACAAGGCTGGCGGCGGGCGGAGGGCCGGCTCAGGAACTTTTGGTGAAACCCTGCGCTGTGGACGCCGGAGAAACAAGAGGAAAAATACATAATTACCTTAGGTACCTGGGAGTCGGTAGCATGCATTCTGAATACGCGCTGACTGCCTCCTTGGAATCATTGGTGACACACAATCTTGACTGTCGTGGTGTCGCATCGAGTGAGAATGATCTTGTCTCGTCTTGCCTTGCCTTGCGAGATGCGTCAAGCAATCGAATTCAGTTCGGCTAGCTCACTCCAAGCAACTGAATTCAGTCGGCTAGCTCACTTCAATCCCGTCCGTCAGAACTACCCTCATTTCACACTCAGGCACTTGATGTCGAAGGTCAGCTTGCTGTTCTTGGGGATGCCAGGCAGAGCCTTGCTTCCGTAGGCCAGGTTCGGTGGAATGACCAGCCGTCGCTCACCGCCGACCTGGATGCCTTCCAGACCAATGTCCCAGCCCTTGATGACCTCGCCGGCGCCGAGCTTGAAGCTGAAAGGCTTGCCGGCCTTGTTGCTGTCAAAGACCTTGCCGTTGTCCAGCTTGCCGATGTAGCGCATCTCCAGACGGTTGCCTTTCTTGGCCGCCGGGCCGGTACCGACCTTGCGCACGTCAATCGACACGCCGTTGACTTCCTTGACCCCCGTCGATGCGCCCGCCTTCTCGGTCTTTTTGTCTGCCTTGGCTGTCGAGGTTCCCGATGGGGTCGGGCCCTGTTCGAGGTTCTTTGCGAACTGGACTTTCTTCTCCGAGCTGCCGTTGGCTTGGGCGCCTTCTTTCTTGCCGGCCTCGGCCGCGGTGGTTCCAGCAGGAGCAGCTTCGCCGTCGTTCTTCTTGAGCTTCTTCAGCCGCTTCTTCTCCGCCTTGCTCAGCTTCTTCTCTTCGCCGTTGGCGGCGGCTTCACCCTTCTTCAGCGACTTGGCCATGATGTCGTCAAGGTTGGCTTCCTCATCTTCCTCGTCGTCGCTGTCTTCGGCCGGACGCTTGTTCTTGCCTTTGCTGACATTCTTTGTAGATGCTGCTGCCTTTTCATCCTCCGAGTCAACTTCAGTGACACGCGGGTCTGCCAGGTCATCCAGCTCATCGGACTCCTCGTCGCTATCTTCGAAGGCGTCGAGCTCGTCCTCGTCGGGGGACAAGTCATAGTCATCCTCATCTTCATCGTCTTCATCGTATAGAGAGGCCTGGCCATCGTCTTGAGGGATCACGTAGTTGCCAGTGAGGTGGATAGTGTGAGTGCCCGAAACCTTGAAGAAGACCTTCTCGCCTTCGCCGACGACAAAGTCAAGGGTTTGTTGGTAGTTCTGCAAAGCATCGTTAGGACCAGGTACTTTCGTTGTTTGATGCATTGGAGTTGAAATGGGTACATACCTTCTCCGGGTCGAGTGTGCAGACCACAACCTCATCCAGCTCGACAGCCTCGTCTTCAGAATCCTCCTCGTCGTCATCATCTTCGTCTCCGTCGAGGGCCTTGCCTTTGCCCTTGGAGGCTTTCATGAGTGCCTTCAGTTGAGCAATGGCCCTCTCGTCTGCCTCGTCGTCATCTTCTTCATCATTGTCTTCGTTGTCTTCCATATCTTCATCTTCAGCCTCTTCATTGGCAAGTGCCTCCAACAAGGCCAGCTTCGTGGACTTTCTATCACTGGGGCCACCATTGGCTTCCTCGTCGTCATCGGACGAGGACTCGTCATCCTCGAGACCGTTCAAGTAGTCTTCATCATCCTCAGAGTCTTCATCGGAATCGTCGAACAAGTGATCGGGAACGCGGACGACTTTGAGCGTAGCTCGAGCCGGTCGCTTATCGTCAGCGTCTTCAAACTCGGGCTCGGCGCTGGGGTCGATTGCGGCCATGGTCACACGGAACTGGGAGAATGATGGTCAGTACATCGGCCCACACAGTCTCTGATTGCAACGACTCACCATAGCAGCGAACTCAGGGACAGCGGGGACCATAATGTCACCAGGAGGGACTTTCATGGCGTAGACCGCCACAGGTTGAGTGCCCGACATGGTGGAAGAGTATGTTCTGTTGAATTAAGGTGTCGAACTTGGTACTGTGTAGCAGATACTCTGTGGCCTGCTTGCTAGTCTGAAAGGGCTGAGAATTGCGGTATGGAGAGAAACAGAAAAAAAAATCGAAGAAGGATTCAAGAGCCTTGAAGACTTGTCCGCTGCCTCAGAAACCGACACCGCTAAAATAAAAATTTGGGGCGGAAATTTTGGGGCCTGGCAATCGATAAGACGGCGTCGTTGCCGCTTGAGGTTTAGCAGCATTGGGGCGTCGAGTTTTTCAGCTTGCCGCCAATGACGCAGCCTGTAATTCACTGACGGTGCCACTGACTGAGGCTCCTTAGGCGCGGCTAGACGGCAGACTGCCCCTAAGACTGGAGTACTGTATGTATGGACACTGGACAGTACTTACGCGTTGACCATGACGCGCTCCCCTCGCTCCTCTGCCTGCGACGTCGATTTGCCTCTTTCCCACGTACAACGCTCACGCTCATCTTCTCGTGCAATGCTGGACCTCATAGGCCATCAAGCTAAGGCTATGAACACCAGATTCCCAATCCCGTTATGAAACTGTCCCACAGCCCACCATGGGCTCCCGGTTAGAGACGAATTCGACCCTGGTGCGCAAGCGCATCGAGAACCATGCCTTCAGCGACGAGCAAGGCGAAGAGTATGAGGCCTCCAAGTTCGGCGGGTTTGCCGACTACATGCGCAGGAAGAAGATCAAATTGCAGAACCTTGATGCCGACATTCGCTCGAATTCCACCGACAAGCCTCCCATCTTCCGTGGAGTCGTCGTCCATGTCAATGGCTATACTCAGCCGTCCCTGAGTGATCTTCACACCCTTGTTGTAAGCCATGGCGGAGGCTTTCTCCAATATCTGGATGGCAAGACTGCGGTCACCCATGTCGTTGCGAGCAATCTCACCCCTAAGAAAACCGTCGAATTTTCGCGGTATCGAATCGTTAAGCCCGGGTGGATTGTCGATAGTGTGAAGGCAGGGAAATTGCTCCCCTGGAACGCATATAGGCTGGTCGATGAAGGTGTAACACAAAAGATCTTGCGGTTTGAGCAGGGTCAGATCGTGAGCCAGGCGAATACCCAACAACATGGTTACAGAGAGCATAGCGAGAACAGCTGGTATGCATCTCAACTTCGTCAAGCCTCGAGAGGTACACCGAACCCGGGATCCAGCAGTTCGCACCATGAGAACCCAGAGTTTGCTGCGCCGGATAGACCGGACGAGATCGAAGAGGACGCACCAACAAAGCAAACGCTGGAGACGGATGATGAGATCCACGTGCATCGACACGCGGATTCTATCGTTGCTGTTGAGGACGACCATCCGACTGATGAAGAATCTAGTGAACCTCCTTTCGCAGCAGACAAGGACGTCCGAGAACTTATAGTACAACGACCATCTGCCGATGCCGCCCAGGACGCTGATCCACCGAGCCATCCTTCCAGGTCAGAGAAACGCCAGTTGACTGCCGAGGAACACAATGCCATTCTACTATCGAATCCGCACCTGGCCAAGTCAAGCACCGCCAACCCAGACTTCCTCAATCAGTACTATCGTGAATCTAGACTACACCACTTGTCAACCTGGAAAGCTGAATTGAAAGCTCAGATGCAAGCCCGCGCCCAGGAGAAGTCATCCTCTCAAAGGGCCAGACAGAAACGAGCGCCAGGATCGCGACGCTATGTGATGCATGTGGACTTTGATAGCTTTTTTGCGGCAGTATCGTTGCGTAAGCATCCTCAACTGGTTGAAAAACCTGTGGTGATTGCGCACGGGAGCGGTCCCAGTTCGGAGATTGCCAGCTGCAACTACCCTGCGAGAAAATATGGCATCAAGAACGGTATGTGGATGAAGGCAGCCCAAGAGCTGTGCCCTGATATTAGCGTGCTGCCTTACGACTACAAAGCATATGAAGAGGCAAGTCGACAGTTCTACGACTCTATCTTGGCCATCGACGGCGTTGTTCAGAGCATCAGCATTGATGAGGCGCTTGTGGACATAAGTGAACAATGCATCAAGGCGGGTGGCTCTGATGGCAAGGGACTCTCCGAAGGCTCCATCTACCGGGAGCAAGACTGTGCCCAGAAACTTGCACAGGAACTGCGAACCTCAGTCAAAGAGAAGACTGGCTGCGACGTCTCGGTCGGTATAGGGGGCAATATTCTTCTGGCCAAAGTAGCGCTCCGAAGAGCCAAACCTGCTGGACAGTATCTCATCAAGCCAGAAGATGTCCTGGACTTTATTGGCGAGTTGACTGTGACTGACCTGCCCGGCGTTGCATGGAGCATCGGCAATAAGCTGGAGGAGATTGGAATCAAGTACGTCAAGGACATCCGAACATGTACCAAAGAACGCCTCGTCAACACACTGGGGCCCAAGACAGGTGAAAAGCTATGGGACTACTCTCGCGGCCTTGACAGGCAGGAAGTGGGTGACCAAGTCATGCGCAAATCTGTATCGGCTGAAGTCAACTGGGGCATTCGGTTTATCAACCAACAACAGGCAGAGGAGTTTGTGCAAAGTCTTTGCGACGAACTCTCACGGCGTCTTCTCGAACAACTGGTGAAGGGGAAGCAGCTGACCATGAAGATCATGCGAAAAGCTGCAGATGCAGGGCTGGACCCTCCGAAAAGTCTGGGTCATGGCAAATGCGACACTTTCAACAAAAGCGTCGCGCTTGGTGTCGCAACTACTGACGCTGGGATTCTGGGAAAGGAGGCCGTCTCCATTCTGCGCAGTTACGGATTCCCTCCCGGAGAGCTCCGCGGGTTGGGAGTGCAAATGCAGAAGTTGGAACCCCTCAAGCCTTCTACGTCCGGCAGTGCGTCTTTGCTGGGTAGTAGCCAGCGGCGGTTGCAATTCAAGAAGCCGCCAACGCCGACATCACGACCGGCTGGACACTCAGAACAGAGTACCTCGCCTCCACCAGGGGTCCGTACACCTAGACTCAAGAACACGGTCGACGCGATTGAAGAGGTGCCTACGCCTGAGAAGCCGAAAGACGACGGCACTATACCTGGCGCCCTTGACGGCAATGCCAGCAACGATGTGTTCCGTCACAGACCACTGAATGTTAGTGGTACCCAATTTATCGTTCCTTCACAGATTGATCCGTCTGTAATGGCCGAGCTGCCAGCAGATATTCGGGCCAAACTCGACCCCAAGCAGAGGACCATTCTGGACAGTCTCAACAGCATGGCCCGCTCCGCCACCCCACCGGTGGACTCATTGTCCCGGTCTGCATCGCCATGTCCGAGCGACAGTGAAGCAGCGCTGCCCCGGGAGAGCCAACTTGACCTTGAAACTCTGGCTGCTCTTCCTCCAGACGTCAGAGAAGAAGTACTCGCGCAGTATAAGGCCCAAGAGAAGGTGGATAGACTGCCACGCTACAAGGGCATTCTGCATCAGTCACCGCACAAGAACAGATCTCAGGCGTCGTCAAAGAAACCCATAGTGACTCCGACGAAGAAGCAGAAGACGGCCGCGTTGTTTGGAAAGTCTCGGTCGAACAGGGTGGGCGACTCATCATCAACCCTGATGCAGTCCAATTTTGTAGCCCTCCCCAAATCAAATCCAGGTCCCAACGAGTCGATTGCTTATGCCTCTGACGAGATCTCCGAATCCTTTCTCAGCGAGCTGCCCGAAGAGATCCGGCTGGAAGTGCTGGCCGAGCAGAAAAGAAACAGGATGACGGCGAGATCGGGTCTCAACTTTGAAAGTGGCAGAAAGAAACCCAAGCCGAAGACGAATCAAGCTGACGACGCGACCCTCCGGGGCCAACAGAAATTACAGCTGGCAAAGCCTGCCGAAAAGCCCACCTTCACATCTCGGAAGCTCAGTTCTCTGCCGGAATTGCGAGACGCCATCTCTGCCTGGGTCCGAGAGTTCTCGGCAGACGGAGAAGGGCCTGACCAGGAAGACGTTGGCGCCCTTTCTGATTACCTGAACAAAGTGGTGTCGATCGAGCGGGACATGGCAAAGGCGGTTGCCGTTGTCAACTGGCTCGGGTTGGTGATAGAGTATGAGAACTTCAAGAGGGACTATGTCCGTAGCTTGTGGGAAACGGCAGTGGCTGCCTTGAAGGCAGACGTGCAAGCGGCTGTGAGGAAGCGAGGTCTCCCTGCCGTGGTGTTTGACTGTTAGCTGCAGAGGGCCATGCTCGAATGTTTGATACTGTGCAAGGAACACGCGATTTTGCCGTTGGTCATCAGCTGCCGTGGATGTTGTGTGTGTTGCCCCTTCCCCTTTCTTGGTCCATTCCACTCTCGAAGCGACAACCAAGGCAAGTTCGCACCTGTCCTCGCCATTGTGGCTGTTGCTGTTGCTGTTGTTGTTGCTGTCACTGTCGCTGCTGGTTTTATTCCTGTTCCTTTCTGTTCATCCTCATATTTTTCTCTACCTCATCTTTTCCGCACTCAGCAAAGCATCCCCAGATCTGGCGCAGCCGCATACACCTTCATCGTTACGCGATGTATGCCTAAGGTAAGCCAGACTGCCAGCCGCGCCCAACTCTTACCCAGGTCTGGCTTGCTGCGCCATCATGCCTTTCATCAACGCCCTGTCTCGAAAACGCCGCCCGTCCTCTCCCACTCGGACTTCCACTCCGGCCCGATGGTCAACCCCGCGATTGACCAAGCTCCCCAAGCTCGATCACATCCTCTTCGATGGCACAGCGTCTCACTCGATAGAGTCTACCAGCACAGGTCGGTCGAAGGTCAGTGTCAAGAGTCAGCTCAAGAGAGGGGTCTCGAGTATCAAAACCATTCTGGGCCTGGGAGACAGATTCAGTGACTCCAGCATCCGGCATCATCCTGAGGCAGGGTTTGCCTCCACTCAAGGCCCCCGGGCAAGCCAGGTGCTCGGGAACGAGTCTAATGTCACTACCGTTTGTCAGCCCCTGAGACTACGATTGACGGCTCTGGCCGATATGCCTGAGGGAAGTCACGACATGCCTGAATCAATGACATGTCGAAATTTCGAAGATGCCGACTTTATCCCATCCGAATGGACAAGAAGTCACAAGCTCGAGCGCCGCAACCTCCGTCGGAGTCACTCGGCACCTGGACTTCAACGCCGAATCACCCAGAAATTCCAGCAAGCATTTGGTAATCCCACTGTTGTGAGAAGATCTGAACTGCGATCTAGACCTAGCATCCAGACACTGGCATTTGAAGCGGCAGAGGCCACTTCCACCCAGCCATCATCAAACCCCTCTACCTTGAACAGTAGCAGTAGCTCGCCCATCGCCCGGAAAACGTCCACTCCGTTGACCTCGGAGCCGGTGACGCCCAAGTCGATGGGACGACCCGGAAGCATGAATTCCTTTGACATTGACCGTCAAATCTATTTTGCAGAAGCCCGACTAACCCCCATTCCGGAGAGTTCCACCCTGCCACCCATCTCAATCAAGACGGTAGAGTCGGCGGCGGCGGCAAAGGTGTTCTTCGAGATGCATTTCAACTCGCTCCTCGGCGGAGATGCTCCACGGGCAGTTCGCAGACGAATGTTGGAGTTGAATCTCCGAGAACATCACCTGTCTCCCAACAGTCAATACCGAGCTCGGAAAGCCTGGGAGCGGGCCGAAAGCGAGAATCTCCGCCAATCTCGGGTCCTGAAGAACACGACGAACCAGGCGAAAGCGGCCCAAGGCGTCGCGATAGGCGGGTTCAAGGTGGTGAGCGTCTTGGGGAAAGGGAGCTTTGGTGTTGTCCGGCTGGTCAAGGCCAAAGGCAGCCAGGACGGCTCGGCGGGGTCCGAGGCGGTCAAAGACAAAGGGCTCGAACTCAAGCCTTCGCGGGCCAGCTTGAAGGCGTCGGTCAAGGCACTGCCCGGGTCCATCATGAGCAAAAGGCGAGAGCTGGCTCGAGGGAGAAAGGAGGTGTTTGCCATGAAAGTCATACGCAAATCAGACATGATCAGGAACGGGCAGGAAGGCCATCTCCGGGCCGAGCGAGACTTTCTGGTTGCGGCCGAAGGGGCGAGATGGGTCATCCCCTTGATTGCGGCGTTTCAGGACCGGAAGCATCTATACTTGGTCATGGAATACTGCATCGGAGGAGACTTCCTGGGTCTCCTCATCCGGCGGAATGTTCTCTGCGAAGAAGTGACCAAATGGTATATTGCTGAGATGATCCTTTGTGTGGAGGAGGCGCATCGAATGAGGTGGATCCATCGAGACGTCAAGCCGGACAACTTCCTCATTGCCATTGACGGCCACCTGAAAATCTCGGACTTTGGGCTGGCTTTTGACGGGGAGTGGACTCATGATCAGAAGTTCTACCAGGAGAATCGGCATTCGCTTCTCGAGCAACTGGGCATCCATCCGGAAGGAGACGAGCAGGACCGACGGGAAAGGGAAGAGAGGGAAGCGAGACCGACTGGGCCCTGCAGCTCATTGAGAGGATGTCCCCAGCATGCCCGGGAGATATCACCGTTTAGGGATGAGCCGGCCATGGGCGAGCCCATCCTCGATTGGCGCAACCGCTCTCAACGGCGCCGACTTGCCCGGTCGGTTGTAGGGACGTCGCAGTATATGGCGCCGGAGGTGATTCGTGGAGAGATGTATGACGGGCGGTGCGACTGGTGGAGCATTGCCATCATCATGTACGAATGTCTTTACGGCTTCACTCCCTTTGCCTGCGAGGATCGCCATCAAACCAAGCTCAAGATCCTCCAGCACAAGAAAACCCTGGTCTTCCCGGAGACCGGAACGGTGGCTGGACCAAGTATCGAAGCGATGGATCTGATGATGCAGATTCTGGTTGAAAAGGAAAAGCGTCTGTGCAGTCGTCAGTACGAGCTCAACGACTTCACCCGGAAAATCGTGCGGGGTCGGGTGATCCGGTGCGCTGCCGACAAGATCCATCAGAACTATCAGGGCTACTTTGTGTATTCGGGCGATGCCGAAGACATCAAGCGCCATGCATTCTTCCGGGACATTGACTGGGACACCGTCCATCTCCGCCGGCCGCCCTTTGTGCCGCGGGTCCGAGACTGGGAAGACACCAAATACTTTGACGAAGAGGAGCCGGTCTCGGACATTGACACCGCCACCACCATCGAAGAGGGCCAGGAGGTTGGAGTGGGCTGTGAGAACCTGAACCCTCAATGTCCCCAGGAAGCTCAGTCTCGGCCTCCCAGGGTCGGGAGTTCACAAGCGAGCCAGCATCAGCCGGAAGGCCAGAACATTGTGCCGTCGATGGCGATGAAGCTTCCGCACATGGACTGCCCGGTCTTGGATTCCACTCTCTCGGTAAAGGATAGCATGGATGACTTGAAGAATCCGCTCCTGGCCCCGCGGAATGCAGAAGGGGCCTTGACCCACGGCGGTCCTGGAATTACACTGCTAGAGAATGGGATTCAAGTGGACGGCCCAACGGAGACGGAAAAGATAGCTGCCCAACTTGAAGTGGCCAAGGCACCGGCAAAGAAAAAGGAGCAGAAGCGACCCAGAGACGTGATTTTGAGGGACCCAATCGCGGGGGCTGAAGCTCTGGAGATCCGGAAAGTCAGTGCATTTCTTGGGTACGACTATCGACAGCCGGCCATGGTCCAGGACATCATTGAGCAGGTGATTGCCGAGGACAATGCCAGCAGTAGGCCGAGGGATAATCGGTTCGGGGGGGACCACGGTGATCTCGACTTGATCTCGGAAAAACGCATGTTTGTCGAAGCGGGAGGGCAACTGTCGCCCGGTCGAAGGGGCGCCGGGCTGCTGTGAATGTGAAGAGGAATGTGCCTGCTCCTGCCCGGGATGAGGACGATGGGAGAGGGGGGAAGACAGACGTTCTGTTTGGTGGGAGTATACTCATAGACGGACTTGAGTCAGAGATACTAGATAGTACTGTTAGCCCCATCAGACCCATATCATTCTCATACAGTAGCCTCTTAAGCCTTGCGGTGTACCTGGTATGGAAGCTATCGGTACCTTAGCCTAGGTATGTACCTATGTATAGAGTACAGAGTACTGTACGGTATACTGCACTACCCGCATATATGTACGGCGGAGTACATAGTACCTACCACTGGGATCCAACTTATCCGCAGGCGATCTGAGGACTCCATGGTCATGGCCATCACCAAGTGTTGTGCCTGCTCAATTTCACAGGCACAGGCACAGGCTCTTCTGTCCCCTCTGCCATGGTGGCCGTGGCCGGGCTGCGGTTGACAAAGTAGCGGAACAGCTTTGCAGGGTCCTTCCTCACCCTCTCCGTTGTCGACGGGTCGAGGATTGAGTCAAGGATGACATCCTCTCCTACCAGCATCGATACACACCACCAGACAACAATCTTGCACGGCAGGCCGCATGGCTTGACCCGGAGCTTCCGCCGCATCTCACAGTATTCCTTCCACGCCTGGAAATGCATCAGTCCAATCTGTCGCTGGCCGGCACGGTACTCGGCGACTGCGAGAAAGAGAAAGGCGATCACGTCCTCATCGGTAGAGTCCCCGTCGACGGCCAATGCCGAAATCCTCGACCGGGTCCTCGCGAGAATGTCGTTCTGTCGAGAAGCAAGATATTGGTTTTCGCCCTCCAGCATCCTGCTGTCTACTGACGGGACACTGCGGCGGTGATGGTATGCACTCTGCAACAGCACCATGGTCTCGAAGCACCATTGACTGGACAAGGCAAAGGGAACGAACAGCGTCAGTACCGGGTTATATTGCTGCACGATCTCGGGAAACCGGTCGAATCCAAGCATGGCACCGGCGTTGGCGGCGAAATACCCAATGAGATTCCGGTCCGAGGGCGTCGAGAGAATCGATGTCCCTTCACACGAAGTTTCAAGCTCCGGTAACAGGATGCTGGGAACTGGCGTGCCTGGAGCGGACACTGTTTTTCTCAAGATCTTTGGCTGTGGAGGAAGGTTAGGGTTAGGGTTAGGGTTAGGAGGAGTGTTGTTTGCGATTTGGGAAAACAACAGGCCAAACTCTGAATCATTTCTGAGGCTGACTCTTCCTCTTTTAGCAGTTGGCTCTGCAGTCACCCGCAATGCGGGCTGGGTGTCAGCAGTACCGCCAGGTAATGCCTGGTCGACACAAACTTCCGGGTTGTCTGTGCCGAGGCTGGAATTGGGCTCTGATGGTGACGGCGATTCTGTCGATCCGGACACACCTAACCGATCGCCGCGTGCTTCCAGGGGTTGGCTGGTGTGCCTGCTGATCGAACCACTTTCCGGGCAAGCTTGCCGTGTTGCAGCATTCTGCGACGTGTCGACTTGCTTCCTGCCGCTTGAACTCGGCGAGACTGATCTCGATCTGCTGGTGAGTGCCGACAAGGGCACAATATCTTTCGGGAAATCAATGACAGAGGCATAGTCTGAGATGAGAGGCCGTTGTATGCCAAGTTGTCGATCTGGTGCCGCTGCCGCAGTCGCCGTCGCTGTCGAATGGGCAAAATCCGGTTTCTGGCCACCATTTTCCTCTTTAGGGTACATCCATCGCAGTGGGAGAAAGTGGTTTCTTGACAAGCTTTTCGAGTTTGCCTCTCGTTTCGACCTTACGCGATCCTTCATCAAGTGTGCTCGTGCCAAGTCGGTGACCCCACGCCGATTGATGTCATAGTCTACGAAGGTAAACGTTCTTCCTCCTTCTTGGTTCTTGCTGGCCATCGTGGTGGCGTCGTTACGGCGATAGGGGGCATTTGTCCTTCTAATCTCTGACTCCGACTCCGACTATATAAGGTCTTATCTGTTTGACTACGAGTATATGGAACCTGAGCCTGTTCGATCTTGCGGTCCGTGGCCTTTGCCTACGAGTCCTGCCCCATCCACTAGCAAAATGAAGTCCTGGATTGTTTCTTCGACACGCCTTATGTCATGGCTACAGGACCTGCATTAGCACATCAGCTCAGGGAAGGTGATGAACATCGCTCAGGCTCGAGCTGCTGCAGCCAATGATAAGTGCCGGTGGCTGAACGGGGTCGACGCCTTACTCGGGTGTGAGAGGTCAGGAAAGCCACTATGCCGTTTTTTGAGAAGAAAGAGATTACGCCAATTGGTCGCCGCACCCCGGTCCAAGCGTGAGAAATGTCGCTTTCTACCATGTGTGGTTTGAACAAAATCACATGCAATGCTAGATACCGGCATCTCTTATGACACAAGCGGTCTCTCGGATTGGACATTGTACGGAGTTTCGACTCTCTTCTCCGTCCCAGGCAGTCCCTTCGTACAGTCTACAGGCTCCCCTTGTTCGTCCGAGGGAATCTCCGTCTGAGGGAGTCTATCCGTACTGTCTACCGGCTACCCTTGTTCACCAACCTGAGGACTTTGGCGAACGAGCCTCACCATGTCGACTGTACGGATATGCATTTAGCCCCCCAAGGAAGGCCGCGTCATGCGTTTCCATGTCCCCGCCTAGATGGGCAGGATTCTTTTGTCATCAACCAAGCATCTCAGTCATTGCATCAACGCCGATCACAGACCAGGATGGAGTACAGCAATCACCCCCACGACCCTGGCGAATGGCCGGGCTTCACTCTGAACCGATGGGGCTTTTCAGGATATGTCTCCATGATCTGCGACCATCTCCGCCTCCTGTTCCCTGGCGGAGTGACACTTGGTCCGGCGGACGGCTTCTCGAATGGCGGCTAAGAGAGACAGGTCTGAGGTGTTGTGTGTTGGACAATATTGAGCTGATCCTGGCGAATTTCTCCAAAAGTCTGACAGACATTGTCTCGTCTGCATCTACGTCTGCGTCTGCACTGACGTACGGCTTCGTCTTCCTGCATAATTGTTATAACTGATTTTGGAAAATAAGTCGGTGAGGCTGGATATACGGTTACCGTCATGCATGATCACTATCACTGTCACTATCACTGTCACTATTACTACCTCAGGAAGAGTAGATTCCATATCCATATCCATATCCTCATCCCTCATCCCACACAGTCACGATCCATCAGGTCTTTCTGACCGCATCGAGAAGTAGCCCTCACGATCAAAGCGTTCAATAGAAAGATGGCATCCTGCCCCTCTGGTTTGACCAAATTCCGTTCAATTATATTGGTTGTATTGGCTGTATTGGCTGTGATGCTGATGACGGCTGTACTGGCTGTCACGGTTGTGATGTTTCTATCAAACTTAGGCATACTGTATTCCCAGCCTTATTCTTTAACCAGAAGGCTGGTACATATAGGCACTATAGGCATACCTATATAGTCTAGGTTCCCCCTACCCCTTTGATAGCGAACATGGAACCTTTCAACCTTTGACGGTTTCTGACTCTGGCTCTCCCTCTGGCTGTCAAACTTAGGCATCCCCAGCCTTGTGCTTTAACCAGTAACCAGAAGGCTGGTTTAGGTGCTATCTATATACTATACTATATAGCATGTGCTCCCTGCGACCCGTTGATCGTTGATAGAGAACATGGAATATTTCAACCTTTATTTGACTCTCCCTCTGGCTGTGACGGTGCCTCTGTCTGTGCCTCTGTCTGTGTCCATGCCTGTGACATTGTCTGCGTCTGCCTCTCTGACACTAATTCAAACTCGTCATCAACCACCTCGTTCATCATACTCGCCATCTTCAAATGGATTTCCGGATCGGTATTGAGAGCGTGGAAGAACACCGCTCGGGCCCGCTCGACGTCCGGATCCGACGAATGCAACCGGAGCTTGAAGTCGATGGACTGCGGGTTGGTGAAGTTGATCCAGGCGTCGCGGCGGACTCGGGCGTAACGGTCGAGTAGGGCGTCGGGCGACTCTTGCTGGTTGGGGTTGTGGTTGTCGTCAGCCGACTCTTGCTGGCTGTGACTAGGGCTGCGACTGGGGCTGTGGTTGTCGTCAGCCGACTCTCGCTGGCTGGGCTTGTGGCTGTGGTCGTCGTTGTGGTGCTGGTGGTGTTTGTTTTTGTAGATGCGGATGAGGCAGTTTCCCAGGGCGGCTGAGTCGAGAAGACCCGTGGTGAGACCGAGGCCGCCGATGGGGTTGTTGGACTGGAAGATATCTTTGTCAGTTTGAGTCAAGTAAGTGGTGGTTGTGTCATTCAGTCAAGTAAGTGGTGGTTGTGTCATTCAGTCAAGTAAGTGTTGGTTGTGTCATTCAGTCAAGTAAGTGTTGGTCGTGTCAGAGGTCGGTTTGTACATGTCAACTCAGGCATTCCCAGCCTTATCCTCTTAACCAGAAGGCTGATATAGGCACCTCTAGGTATATAGCCTGCGCTCCCCCATACCCCTTTGAATGAGGACATGGAACATTTCAACCCAACCTTTGACAGTACAAGGAGAGAAGGAGAGAAGAACCAAATGAATCGATAGAAAGGGAACCAAATGAAAAAATAAGCCCAAATGAGAAGAAAAGCCAAATGAACGATAGGAAGAAGAACTAAATGAATGATAGAAAGGCAACTCACATGTCCCGCATCACCACACAGCAGCACCCTCCCAACCTTGAACGTACGCGCCACTCGCTGGTGAGCCCAGTAAGGATTCGCGCTGACCAAATCATACCGGAGCGGCCGCGGACCCGGGAACAGCCTCTCGAACTTGGCAGGCAGCTCTCGCGTGAGGATGTCAGCTTCAGACACGTCGGTTCGTACACCAAAGGCCACGCGCCAGGGGGCCCCGGCCGGCCCGGTACGGGCAATGACGGCCCAGTCCTCGCCGTCGACGACCATGTTGGCGGTGGCGAAGTCGCCCAGGGCCTCGAAGTCGTAGTGCACGTTGCACGCGACGAAGCGGAAGTCCGGCCAGGTGAAGCCGTCGAAGGGGATGCAGAGCGAGCGCCGTACTGCGCTGGCGGCCCCGTCGGCGCCGACGAGGTAGTCGCATCGGAAATGGCGTTCTCCTTGCGCACCGACACAGATGACGGAGACACCGGCACCACTTTCACTTTCTGGGTGTGAGGCGGAAACATCCTCACCATCAGGAACAGTAACAGGAGCAGGATCACCTTCACCTTCTGGGTGTGATGCTGAGGCCGAGGCTGAGGCACCATCAGGATCAGGAACACCTTTATCTTCTGGGTGTGAGGCCGAGGCTGAGGGAGGACCCTGTCGAGCACCCACAAACCGACAATTCCACCGGATGCGAATATTCTTCCATCTCTGACAATGAGCCAGAATGATGCCGGCCAGAACGTGCTGACCCAGATGGATGCCGGCAAAGTCATACTTGACCGCTTCCTTCGGGACCTGCGACATCTCCAGCCGGCCCAACACCTGGCCGCCCTGGGCGTGCGGCTTGCGGAACACGATGCCCTGGTGGTTCTTGTGTCCGGCCTGCTCGACGTCGTGGTAGAGCCCGACTTTTTCGAGTTCTTGCAGGACGATCGGCATGTAACTAGGTATATAGATAGGGGTGAGTTGTGAGTATGAGTGTGTGAGATTAGGGTTAGGGTTAGGGTTAGGGTTACGAGAGAGAGAGAGAGAGAGAGTGTGTGTGTGTGTGTGTGTGAGTGAGTGACAGAAACAGAGTGATAGAGAGAGAGAAACAGACAACACTCACGTAGTCGCCCTTGGACTCTGCAAAACCTCCTTCTCCGCCTCGACCACGAGCACGTCGATGCCGGCCTGCGCCAGCTTCAACGCCAGGAATAAGCCGACAGGTCCGGCTCCGACGATGAGGACCTGGGCATGTTCGATTGCCATGTCGTCCGGTTGCGGGACGAGAGGATGGAGGGTCGTCATGTTGATGCACAGTACAATATACAATATACAATATAGTGTCCGCACAGTATATAAAATCTAGTACAGAGTCTAGTGCCAGGACTGTGTAGATGAGGTCAGTCTGTTGTATAGAGAAATCGAGCAATAGCTAAAGTAAACATGTCATGCTGAGGGCTGTATATGTAAGATGCAGTATATTGATCTTTTCTAAACCCGGATCGAGACCCGGATGCTACCCACCATAGAGGAAGGCTGTTGCTATCCCATCACTATCATAGAATTAATCATAGCCATAGTCATGAGGACGGGCTGGGACACCAGACACCAGTCAGTCACTCTGGGGTACGTGGTAGTAATTACCCCTAATTACCCCAGATGCTCTCCTCCATCTCCATCTCTACCCACCTCGGCTGGAGACGGGGTAGCTGGAGCTGAGGCTGAGGCTGAGGCCTGGGGTCGACACCCCACTTACCCATTTGGACAGGTTAGGGTTAGGGTTAGGGTTAATGTACGGAGTAGACACTTAGGTACTGGTATAGACATCCCTATCATCCATCCCACATGCCATGTTTTTTATCTCCTGTATATACTGTACACCGTACAGCTGCAGTGTTCAGTCCCCAGGACCCGACCACAACAACACCCCCCCTGCCTTATTCGGCCGTCACGGCCTCACGACATGTCCGCTCAATCAGATCGGCATGAGCCTGGCTCCGAACTTGGATCCGCACTGGGAAGGGGGCTTTGTTCTTGGTCAATTGCGGAATGCGCATGGTGTCGATGGGATGAGCCTGCGATACCAATGCCAATGTCAGTGGTTGGTTAGATGATGGGATTTCTTGAGCAGGACGGAGAGAGATAAGACACAACAGAGACAACATACCTCGTCTTGGACGAAATCAAAGCAGTAGAGCAGCCTTGCCGCCGCAATCCAGACATTGCCTTCCCCAACATTCCACCCCACGCAGACCCGTCGCCCTGTAGCCACCTGTCGTCAGCAACTTTCATGACACACCGACACACCTCCGCCTTGACGCACCTGGTCCAAAGGCCCAATGGCCCTTTAATCCATTGTTCAGGTCTTGATTCAAGAAGCGGTCCGGGTAGAAGCGCTCTGGCTCCGGGTATTCTTCCGGGTTCAGGGCAATGGCCCAGGCATTCCACACAAACACGGTGCCCTTGGGGAACCGGTATCCCTCGTACTCGTCGTCCTGTGTGAGCGAGGTGGGCGCCCCGATCTCGGCAATGTTGGGCCGCCAGCGGAAGATCTCCTTCACCGTCGCCGTGATGTACGGCAGCTCATCTCGATCCGTCCATTCTGGCAACCGCTCTGCATTGGCCCCGCACACCCGGTCGAGCTGGGCTCTGGCGCGCTGCACCCAGTCGGGATATGTGGCGGCGCCGGCGATCATCTGGCCTAGAGACACGCGGGTGGTGTCGCTGCCTGCCTCCATCAGGGTCCCTAGCGTGAACAGCTGCTGGGTCTCGTCGAAGTAGCCGTCTTTATTCGAGTTGAGAAAGTCCACCGCAAAGCAGTCGCGCTGCTGCCCTTTCTCGAGCCGTGCCTTGACTCCGTCAAGTTGTGTCTTGTAGACTCTGGAGATGATCAGCAGCAGGCTTCGAAGGAGCGAAGAAGCGGAGCGAGCAAGAAGAATAGAGCACCCAGCTTACTTCTTGGTGTATTCAAACAACCGCTCCCCTCGCGGCCTCCACCACTGTAACCACGTGGGCAGGCCAGCAAGCACAGGGAAGCCATCCACCAGGTTGGTCCCCGGCTGCTGCTGCTCCAGGAACAGCTCGGCTGTCTCAAACAGCTTGGCCACTTGCGGGTCGTCCAGCTTCGAGCGGATGCCAAACACGACACTCATGATGACCGAGTTCGAGTAGCGTCCGTTGGCGGAAAACCATCGATCGGCGTGGTGGAGGTAGTCGTACAGCAGATGTTTGGATTCGACGTCCTGGAACTTGCGGAACGTGTCTTTCTGGCGCGTGCTCAGGATCTGATGCATCACTTTCCGCGTCTTCCTCCATCGATCGCCGTACGGCATCAACACCAGCCGGCCGCCGCCGGACATGATGTCTTGGGTCATGGGGAATGGCGGACGCGAGGAGTAGATGGCCGCCCGTTTCTCCATCAGGTCATTCACCACCCGGGACGAGTTGAGAAAGACCCAGGTGCTGCCGCCGAACTTGACGGTAAACCTGCATCGCGTGTCAGTATCACGGGCCAGCCAGGTCAGCGGAGCCAGAGGCATGGTGACCTAAGGAGCCCTGCGGAGACTCAGTAGTCGTCCTCGTAATCACATCTCGCCGTACTTTCCCGCCAGTTCTTTCGCCCATGGCCCTTGCTGTGTTGCCGGCACCTGGAACGAGTTGCCGAAGATGGGGATTCCAGGTACCTGAGGCGGCAGTTTGTACTTGGGGCTCCTTGTCTTGGTGAGAATAGTGCTGAGGTAGAAGAGCACCACGGCAGCCACAGCCGCTCCCAGCACGGTTGTGTTGGTGGTGAACATGGCGGGTGAGATTCACAACTAGTCAGACCATGGTCAAGAACAAAATGCCACCAGAAGTCTGGAGACGATCCTTGTTATAGCTGCCATGGCCTGAGGAGCCTCGTGGCCGTCCTCGAACCCGACCGTCGCTGGCGCAGGGAAAGAAGACGCAGGCGCATGTGGGGTAAAAGTGGTCCGGTTTCTATTTCCTCATCCATCTTCCATCCAGACCCCAGGCACAACCATCTACAGCTCTGCTCGCTGCTCGACATAAACAGCGGGACTGGTACAACCACCCATGTTCACCCTCCCCCTGGTCCTGATCCCCGTCAGCCCTCTCGCCCCGGTCGTGGAGTCTAGATTCCACCCGCACACATCTTTAAATCCACCACCACCACCACCACCACCACCTCCACCTCGGTCTGTCTCTAAATGGTATATCTGAAATGCTTGTTCTGAATGTCCGTCAGATCTTCGAATCCCTCCAATAGTTCCTCCTCCTGCCGAGCCGCATGCAGTCCTTTCCGGTCTCGAGCCCGGTTTTCGGCCACACACCAGACGGTGTAGATGACCTGGAAGACAATAAGGGCACAGTACGTGCCCAGGAGGCCCTTGATGGCTGTAAAGTAGCGAGGGATCTCCTTGGCCAGGAACATATGAGGGCCAGCAATGTTGCCGGCACAATAGAACCTTTCACCCCAAAAAGGAGACATTAGTGACCATTCAAACGCATTTTCGCCTGAGACAAGACCTACAGAAAGAATACTCCCACCACAGTACTTCTCTTGGTGTGCCCAGCCACATTGACCCCGGGGATGGTCCAGCCCAGAACAATGGGTGACCCCAGCACATTCTGCAGCCAGCAGCACGCTACCAGCGCATAGCGGTGTTTGATGTCGATGGTCAGAAGACCGATCAATCCAGCAATCCCGGGCAGACAGGCAACTGTTGGAATTGACACCAAGCGGTCAGCAATGCAGTCCGGGGGTTCGGCAGCTTCGCCACGGCCCACATGGTCGTCAGACGACAAAGACGGAGTAGGTCAGACTTACTGATGATGGTGATACCTAGCAGGTTCTTCCTTGTCGCGATGAAGCCGAATCCAATACAACCGATGATCTCAAACGCGCCGCCCGGAGTCTGGAGCAAGCTCGTCCGGAGGGCGCTGAACCCGAAGCCTTTGATCAGCGCCGAGGCGAAGTTGGCCACACATCCATTCAAGATGCCCGTGCATGCCCCCATCAGATACATGAGGTACGTTCTTCCATCCAAGGCGGCCTCTTTGATCTGGGACGGCACCACCTTGTGGTGTTTGATGCCCATCTGATTCTTGGACACGCGCCACACCGCCACCATGCGTTCGTATTCATTCAGCATTCTGGCGTTGTGCGGGCCGTCGGGCAGGTAGCGTAGGATCACAAAGCCCCAGATAAATGTCATGGCTCCTACGATCTGGCCGACATGTTAGCCAACCACCCGGAGTCGCGGACGAGCAGGTCACCAACCAAATAGATGAGTTTCCAGTTGGCCACCGCCAGATGGCCGGCATGGCCCGACCCATAAGCCAACAGGGCGCCGAGGATCGACGAGACCCCGTTCGTCGACAGCCAGAATGAGGTTCGCAGCGCCTGCTCTTGCCTTGTCCACAGCATCGACGTCAACAGGATAAAGGCGGGCGAAATGCACCCTTCCAGCATTCCCATGAAGAACCGGACCGCGAAGAAGCCGGCAAAGTTGAACACTGCCGCCTGCAGCATACAGACAGCCGCCCAGACGAAGAGCATGTAGCCGATCGTCTTGCCGATCGGGAATCGTTGGAGCGCGACGTTCCAAGGGTATGCGCCGGCCAGCCAGCCAAAGTAGAGGGCCGATGCAACCCAAGAATAGTCGTCTCCTTTCATGTGTGTGTCTGCTTGGAGCCCGTACGCGTTGGAGTAGTTGAGTCTGAGATGCGAAAGGTCAGCGCACAAAATCTACCGTCTCGGCGGGTCAGCACCAACGTTTGTTTGTCCAAGAAACTGAGCATGTACGTGGTCATCATCTAACAGCCGCAATCGGTCAGCCTCACAGGATTCAAGCAAGCCCACCGGGTACTGACCATTGGGATAACCAACCAATCCAACTTTCGGCGGACTTTGATCGAGTCTCGCTCGAGCTGAGCCTCGTCAAACTCGAGAGCCTTCTCCAACAGGTCTCTTCCCAGCACATTGGGGTCATTGAGCCTGGAACCCGCGAGGAAGTCGATAATCTTGCCTTTCTGGGGGCGTTCGGGCTCCGCCGCCGGCGTGGCGATCTGAGCAGGCTGCTTCTCCATGTCCGACATTGTGATGGCTGATTTGGGGAATGCGCCGGCGATTCGTCCGAGTGGCAGGACACAAGGGTCTTATTCGACACCACGCGCGGACTATATACTTCAACCCATGCCTGCATGCCATGCATCCAGAGATACGTCTTGATCCATACTAACAGGGGCAAGTTAGCCATGGATTGCCATGGCAGTGGCGCAGGCCGACGTCTGAGATAAGAGAGCAACGTGGTTAATTCACAAGGCCAGGTCCGTGTTGGCTCTTGTGCAGTCCATCGAGTGTCAAGTCAAGTTTCCTCCACTCTCCTGCCGATCTGGCTTCCTTTACCACGGAGATCGGCGACTTCATTCATCCGCAGAGTAGCCAGCAGAGGCCATGGAGTGTATTGCCATCTTGCGGAAGGTGGCCGCTCGGCGCAAAGACACTTGATTTGTGAGACGGGACTCGTTAGATCGAGTCCAAGGTCCCGCCGCTTATACGGATATGCACCACAGGTATGCAATGCATCGGTCGACTTGTTATCAACAACAGCCTGATAGCGTCCGGATACTGCGTAGAGATAGCGATGTCCACCGAGGATCCACAAGCCCTCGCTGGGGCATCGCGCCATTGCACGCCTCCCCGCTCTATATCATACTCGCCCAATTGTCCTTCGGGGTACGCTATCAGACAGAGCCGTTTCCAGGGCCATGCCACAGACTCTTGGCAAACGCTGTCGTCTCGATAGCAGTTGCGGATTGGAGACCAGCTCCAGAGTGATTTGCAGCCTGATCGAATGCCTCAATTGTAAGTCTCAGGCCGGTATGCAGGTAAGTCATGATTTTGTGCCGTAAAACAGTCTCAAACAGATTGGGTGTCTTCGGCTTTTAAAGATATCGAAGACCCTGTGAGTGTCGGTGGAATCTCTTGCAATCGAACACAATCAACCTTGAGCAACTTCCGGCCCTTGATTAGAATCCTAACTCGCCGAGAAGGCCATCATGATCGCTAAAGAACCAGACTCGACCGGGCTCGAGGGTTGGCAAAAGATTCATGCGGCAAAGAAGGCTGAGCAGGAAGCCAGAATACCACAGCAATGGAAGCTCAAACCAGAAGACTTTCCACCCACAGGCACCGTCGACCTTCGACCCGTAGTGGCCTCCTGCGGCATCCTCTCGGACAGAGAGTTGTTGATCACGGGAGACCAGTATGACGCCACCTCTCTGGCCGCTGCAATTGCAGAGGGCAAATACACTGCCGTCGAGGTTGTGACCGCGTTCTGCAAACGAGCAGCGATAGGCCACCAGCTCTGCAACAACCTCACTGAAATAATGTTCAAGGACGCAATCGAAGACGCCAAAAGGCTGGACAAAGTGTTTAGAGAGACTGGAACTCCGGTTGGCCCGCTTCATGGCTTGCCTATGACATTCAAGGTGGGGCAAGCTTCGGCACCCATATCTCGAAATCCGGTACGGCGCTGATCAGGTGGTGGTGGTCTAGGAATGCTTTCACGTCAAGGGATATGATGCCAGCAACGGGTACATCTCCAGAACGTTCGATCCCTCAACTCGCGACACTCCTCTTATCGAGCTGGTCAAATCTAATGGCGCCGTGGTGATTGCGAAGACAAATACGCCGCAAACCATGCTGGTGGCTGAAAGTCACAATAACGTCTTTGGCCAAACGAAAAACCCGGTCGTTAGTCACTTAACTTGTGGAGGGAGTAGCGGAGGAGAGGGATCCATCATGGCGTACCGAGGGAGTGCCCTGGGGATCGGTACTGATGTAGGAGGCTCTATTCGGTGAGGAAGTCAAGGCCCGTTTTGGCAGCCTCGCGACCACTGACAAAATTAGCATTCCTGCCGCGGCAAACGGCGTCTACGGCTACAAACCTAGCTTTGGGATCTTGCCAATGATAGGGTACGCAGCATCGGGTTGGATGGGTGCAAACACTGGAGTCCCGGCCGTCTGTGGTCCACTGGGTCATTCCGCTCGGGACCTGGCATTGCTGACCCGTGTGGTCCGCAATGCGCAACCATGGAAGTTCGATCCTGCCATCATACCCAAGGTCATGGAGGCCGGCACACAGTCTCGAAAGCCGGTCGTAGGCGTAATCCGTCAGAGTGGGACGACTCCCCATCCGCCAGTCAGACGAGCCATCAAAGAGGCAGCAGATAAACTCTCGGCGGCGGGTTTTCAGGTCAAGGACTTCGTCCCGCCGGATTTCAACGACATTCGTAATGTCACCCGGGAGCTCTTCACCCTCGACGCCCTGTCGTACCAGCGAGGGCAGTTGGAGAAGGCAGAGGAACCTGTGGTGCCCTCGGTTGAAAAGATCGGGTTTTGGGCCATCCCACGCAAGACGCATGAGGAAGCATGGGCACTGAATGCCAAGAAGCTGGCGCTTCAAAAGGAGATGCTCGATCGTTGGCAAAAAGCTGGAGTAGACATTGTGGTTGCTCCTGCGGGTCCTCACACAGCTGTTCTGCCTGGGGACTGGACCACCGATATGTACACGGTTGCTTGGAACGCCATGGACGTGAGTGCAAGCCTGAGCCCTTTGGCCGAAGACCTGGGAGAGATTGAGACTGACCTCTTCACACTTTAGTACCCAGCGATCATCATCCCATTCACCAAAGCAGATCCAGTATTGGACCCCAAGGATACGGAATTCGTCCCCATGCACGAACTCGATGAACAAATCCAATCTTTGTGTAAGCCGCCAATTCCCGGAGCGGGCTTGGCCCAAATGTTGTGTTCTCGCTGACCTTAAATTAGATGACCCTCAACTTATGGCCGGGGCACCTGTCGCGCTCCAACTAGTCGGTCCAAGATTGGAAGACGAACAACTCTTGAAGGATGCGCAGACCATCGACGCGGTTTTGAATGCGTAGCCAGAACAGAAACAGTCGAGGAAGAGAGGACGCACTCGGAAGATCGGCCAGACTCTTCGTAGCATTGATTCAGCAGACTTCTCTTGCCATGTTTTAGATAGGTAGCAGCTCATTCGGATATTGTTGGGCGAGCGTCCTCCAATTCCAATCTAGCCCAGCATCTCTTGCCGGCCAAACTCGATTGATGACAAACGACCTTGTTCGGAGGGTGGTAACTATGTTGCGGCCTCTGCAGACCGCCCCCATGATTTGCGTGGCGCTCATCCTATCAGCCTCACTGTTCATTTCGCATGACGCTAGAAAGACAGGCCACAAGGACATCTTCACGTCTTCATCGGACGCTGTGGTGTGTACCAGGACTTCATACGCCATGGTTAGAGCTCTCTGATCTGCTTCCATAGAGCTGCCGGGAGGACGAAAAAGTCGGTGGAGGTACAGTAGTGAGCTACTGCGGTACGCATTCGCATGCATCAGAAACTTTCGTGAAGATTCAAATGAGAGCTGTGGGTCGATAGTAGGATGCCATAGCTCGAGTCGGGATTGAAGCTGGGAAGCTCGATCAAGTAGACTTGCTGAGTGGTGGCGAGAGATTGAAAACGTCGCTGGCTGAAGGTCTTCATCCGAAGGGTTGTCATTGGCTGCAATTCGGATATCCTCAGCCAAAGCACACAGCTCAGCCAACAGGGGCATCAGCGGGCCAGTATAGCCCATAAAGCGGTCCAGGTGCTGTCGCGCGTAGTCATCGAGCCAGTAGGCGGTAGGAATTCGGGGGCGGTGGAATCTCGACAAGGCGATCATCATGTCCTGCCTCGCTAAAGCACGAACAAAGTACTTGGACAGCTGGGATAGTTCAAGCCCTCTGTGGAGGTAGTGCTCCAACATCATGGCCAAGTTCTCCATCAGTGCCGGGATTGTAGAAATACTATCTTCGCAATAACCGGCATCGACGAGCTAGAAATAGTTAGTGGATAATTCTAGGCACTTCAAACAGTCTTGTTACCTCTACAGCACAGAGACCCAGGAACGTTAATAACAGGAGCTCCAGGCTGACCCCGAGTTTGTCCATGTTCCGTAAACGAGCCAATATCCTTGCCTTTCGGTTTGGAACGAAGACCAGAACTGGAAGAGGTTTGTCTTGCAAATATGTCTCTCCAATAGCAGATAGAGAGTCGCTCACGGCCTGCGGGCTGTTTTGGAAGACTTTTAAGACATTGGAGTTCATCTCCTGAACGAATTCGCCGCCAAACACCAAATCTGCTGGATGACGCAGGAAGTATACCTCGATGAATGGCTCATCCGTGGGCTGAACGGCTCCTGGAGGAATGACAGCCATAGTTCTCAATGGAAGTGGCCCCCACGCCAGAGGAATATTGTTCTTTGCGGTCGGAGAAAAGGCGGTAATTGAGGAAGCGTCGGAATCTGAAGGACTGAAGATTTCAACAGAGGAAAGAGCAGCCTCATGTGTCTGCGCTTCGTCTGTGGCAGACCCGGTTTTCAAAGACAAACCGAAGGTTGCCTCTGGGCTTGTAGTACAGGGCAAGGTGATTTGGGTGGTTGGTGCTCCAGGAGCTTTCTGGGCTTTCGTAGCGATGTGCCTGTAGCCACTGCACTGTCGACCTCGACGCTTGCAAGTGCCACAGGCTGGATATACCTCGTCGCATTTGACCTTGGCCTTTTTGCAATCGATGCAGCCGTATCTGGATCGCGTGCCCATGATGGCAAGTTCTTACCGCCTTGCGGATCTTGTTCAGACCATAGCTGGAAGGATGGATAGATGGATAGATGCGGAAGCCGAGGCCTGCTACATTCCCAGGTTGATAAGGGACAAGTACGCAGGGAGAAGCATCTGTTTCGATCTTTTTGCTAATCAGAGGAGGCACTGCCCGTAGATATTCGCGGTAGCTGTGGTTGTGAGGTATTGGTGGGATGGATAGACGGAGGGATGGAGGGAGGAATCACTCATCTCATGCATGATAAGCAGCCACCTAGCAGCCAGAGTGGAACGCAGTCACATGATCAGCCACACTGCGGCCCAGGATGTTCCCCAGCCACTTATCGCAGGGGTTGCCATCTCGATTCTCCGCAAGACTAGACCATTCGACGAAACTCGCTCGCTTCTGCGTCACTCCTCCGACCTCAAACACAGAAAGACCTGTGGCTATCACCCGCCGTCACAGATACCACGTGCCCATCGACGGGATCGCACAGTGGCTGGGACCGGCGTTGGGTCTTCGGTATTCGAGCGAACGAATTTGGCCAAGTCAGCGAAATGGCAGGCTTCTTCACATGGTTCTGGGACTGGCTGCTGTGGATGTTCTGGGCCACCGAGATGGACGTGGCCATAGTCGGTCTCCAGAATGCCGGCAAGACAAGTCTGGTGCGAGTACTAGCAGTAAGTCCAGTCGCAATTACACAAGACCGAAGAAGCAGGATGCTGAAAGCATGCCGAGCAGGGGAACGAATTCGTGGTTGACTCGCTTCCCACCGTCGCTTTCAATAAGAAAGAAGTGAAAAAGGGCCACGTCTCGATCAAATGTTGGGATCTTGGAGGTCAACCGCGATTCCGATCCATGTGGGAGAGGTACTGTCGCGGAGTCACTGCGATTATCTTTGTGGTCGACGCCGCCGACAGAGACGCCATCCCCGTTGCGAAAGAAGAGCTGCACGCCCTCCTCGACAAGCCCACTCTACAGGGTATTCCTCTCCTCGTGCTGGGTAACAAGTCAGATCTGCCCGACAAGTTGTCGGTAGACGAAGTCATCGACCAACTTGACCTAAAGAGGGTTGTGCACCGAGAGATCAGTTGCTATGGGGTCAGTGCCAAAGAAGAGACCAACTTGGAGGCCGTTCTACAGTGGCTTGTAGCACGGTCAGGGAAATGAAAGGGACACCCTGGATTGATTGTACATTACTTCTTCGTGTCGACCAAGCCTCTGAATCGAGGGCACAGGGCGTAGGACGTTTTAGCATGTTGGATTGTAAGATTACGCACGGCACCGGACGAACATAAGTACGGGACAAGCCCTTGAGATCAATAGCACGAGTACTTCGTATATTGATGTCTGGTGAATCGCTCAGCTGAGGCCCGCCAGAGAGTGTGGGCAAGTGTGCTCAGGTGGCGAGCAGCAATGAGGCGACAGCATCAGAAGAAGCGCCGCGTTGCACCTGTGGCACGTAACTGGAGGGTGACGTGCACCTAACGTGTAGTAGCCCTAGGCCAAGAGCATCGCCTCAGGAGCCTCCTTTTAGCCCTGTTCGATCACGGAATCAACATGCCACGCCAAGCCTACCTAAGACGATGGCGGTCGGCATTCAAGTTTGAGGATCCTGGAGGGAACATGTACTTTGGCTAGCAGGCATCAGTATCCGTACAACAACACGCCAGCATCTACCGTACCAGGGAATGTTACTGCCCATATCTCATATCTTCAACAAAAGGGCTGGCTGCGCAGGAATGGTGGGTACCTCTGTACCTTACCTAATAAAGTTGGGTGTATGCACCAGTATGGACTATGGAGTATGGAGTACCTGAGGTACCTTAGGCACCAACTTCAGCCTGCCTGTTGCCATCGGGTGTCCATTTATGGGCGGGCGAAGCCAATAAAGCCCCCCGAAGCCCCGCTAGCCAAGGTAGGCCCCGGTTGCTGCGCCACGGCTGTCAATGCCACAATGCCAGTGCCACTGCCGGGTGATGCGTCAGACTCTTCCATGATTCTCTGTACAAAGGTCCCTTGCGTCGCCATCACCATCGCCATTGCAGTTCCACACTGATTCCTTGGACCATCGTCATCCTGGTCGTCGCAATACTTGTCTTGCACTTTTAGAACTTGACGCAGACCTTCTTGGACCACTTATTGTCGCTATTCCATCCATACAGCTTTATCCTCATTGCCACATCAGAACCGGCCCTCTCTTCCTCTTGGTCTGTCCCTCGACATCATACTATTCTCCCGAGACACAGGCACTGTGATGTCTCTTGTCCGACGTTATTACGTGTAAGCCAAGCACCGCCATCCTCATCTTTTATAAAACCTGCTGTCTATCACGTCTCGTTTCGCCCAGCTGACACTTGTCTATTATGGCTAGATGCTACGACTCCTACGGACGGGCCTACCGTTGTCGGTCATCATGGAACAGTTGGGGTAGATGGGTTGCTCTCGCCGTCATCCTCGTCGGGGCGTTCCTCTTGTTCTTCCTCCTTGCGTAGGTTACACCCCAGACGTTGTGCTGCGCGGAGGTCAGACTAACATTGTCACAGGTGCATCAGCGCTCGCCGAAGACGTCGCGCAGGGAGAAGACCTGTCTATGGCACTAGTTGGGTCGGACAAACACCTTGGGGACATGGACCGGCGACCTACTCACAGCAACCCAATCCAGATATGCAACCGCCGCCGCAATACAACCCGACCCCAAATACCGGAGGCTACTACGGTCAAAATCAAGGATACTTTGGTGGAAGACAGACAGATGTCGAAATGCAGCCACCTGCGAACGTCTACAGGGGAGGGGAGGACGTCTATCAACCTCCTCCGGGACCACCTCCAGCAAAGAAATAACGGAAGAAGATGCTGCATTCCGATGGCCTATTGCCCAATGCTCTTACCTGTACGGAGTATGGTCTCCCGGCGTATTATGTTTCTTTCAGGAAGACGGTGATCGTCAAGGGTCCCCGGGACATGGGGCTTAGGCATTGATGGATCAGCCACAATGATGATGTGTATGACCCCTAATTACCAAGTAATCCGGGAAGATTGATCACGAGAAGCTACGACACGGCATGGGGCAAAGACTTGCCACCAGGAATGCTCCGTATCACCACCCGGTGGACTATGCCTAACAGCTCAACAGGCAGATATCAATTGTATGGTGTTTTGTATTACTCGTATTACTTACTCGTGTGCCCTGGTCAAGCAAGCTTAAAAACTGTGCTCAAGCTGCGCCTCGGATTACTTCCTCGTTGTTACTAAGTGGCCGGGCTGGGCTGTGACTTGCGCCGGCGTTTCAGCTGGAGAATGCCCACGAAAGAGACACCCGCAAAATGCAGGCGCAGGGGTCTGGGAGGGGGAAGATCTCCAAATGGCGCCCTTCAGAATTTCGCCAAACTTCCCCCACTGCAGGCTAAGGAGGCCTGCAGCCCGCGTTCCTTCTCCCTTAAGCGAGTGCGCGATGCTGCCTTTCTTCGTTGCTCAGCCTCCCCTGGTGACAAAATCCCATGGCTTCAATTCAGCTGTGCTTTCTTGTTCCTTTGGTTCGGTGAACCTAAGATTCGAGATTCCTTCGTTTCTCTCAATCACTTCTTCGATTACCTAGGCTTTCCCAGCCTTGCCCTGACTTCACTTCTTACGCACTGTCCGCCGGTCGGCCCTCACTTGGTGACGAGTACCCAACCACCCTACCACTACCACAGGATATAGAATTCGACTGACGACTTCCGGCTGACGACTTTGCTCGATCTTCTTATCTCAATACACACCTGATTCTGCTTAGATCTTATCAGAGCTGCCAAAATCAATAGCCACACACCACGTGGCTCACCTATTCAAGAATGACTTTCTACATCTTCGCTCGCGATGTTATCAGTGATGTAAAAAGCGCCCCAGAAACGTTTACCAGTTGGGATAAATGCATGCAAAAATCCTATTGCAAATGGCCTGCCATTGTTGGAATCGTCGTTGGATCTCTCATCCTCCTTTCGATCATCTGGTGTTTCGCCAGATGTCTCTGTTGTGGAGCGGAACTTTGTGCTTGCTGCTGCAATTGCTGCCGCCCTCGCCGAAGTCGTGATCGTCCCTCGCAATACAAAGACGAATACTCTCGGGTACCACCCACTCCTTATGGAGGATACCAACCTACCCCTGCCCCCATGGCTTATGGTCACCCAAGCGCGCCGCAATTCGCCACCTTTGACGATCCGAGTGGCAAGAAGATCAACGAAGACAGTCTCCCTCCCATGCCCAGCTGGGAAACGGCAACGAAGAGACGAGTGGAGGATATAAATACAAACGGAGATGTGGAGATGGGACGACTTGATACACAACCACAACGGCTGAGAGGTGGCTACAACAGCGTTCCAAACGGACCAATGTCTCCGGTCTCCCACCATCCAGCAGGAGGTTATTTCAACAGCAACGATACGATGCACTCTTATCATTCAGACCTTGGTGCTCAGCGACTGGGCGCCAATGGGACCGGGTATGCTGGCTTCCAACCGGTACCCTTGAGCCCGCCTCCAACTTACCGATCCTCATCGAACGCTCCATCAGTGATGTCTGAGAAGTTCATTTCTGGGGCTGCGAGCCCGACCCCCAACGAATACAATCATCAACAGCACCAATCGTATCATCACCAACCATCTTCCTATGCTCCAAGCAGTGTAAGTACAAGATACGAACCGCAACCAGATTATGCTTCAAGTAGGATCAGCATGCCTGCTCCCTACAATCCGCAGCCGGAGTATCAGGCACGGCCACCCAGTTTCTCGCAAGTTGGGAGGAAAGCTATTAGTGGGAGTTACAGGGAGGTTTGAACGTGAAGTCTTACAACAATGGTGTTTCCACGGCCTCATTTTTCTACCAACACTGGGTTATGATCCCTCAGTGCCGATAGTAGTACCACATCACAGCCATCGGAGGCGAGGGCGAGGACTCGGGAAGATTTTCATATGCCATAGATGAGACAAACTCACTCTGGCCACTACGGTCACTGGGAGCAGGGGTCGAGCGCACAAGACAGCGCGTGGATCCAGTATCCTCTTGGATGTGTGTCCCCAAATCTCAAAGGAGCGAGATCAGGAATTATGTCTCGACATATCCGTCCGGTTGGAAATTTCGTTTCGATGTCTTTGCATGGGCTACAAACCGGGCCCAGTCATCAAAGCAGGGCAGAACATCGCTCATGTTTCCTGCTTTATCTTGTATATTACTTTACTGGCAATCACCACCGGGTGGTGATGTATTTTGTAGTGTGTCGGACCCTAGGCTCAGCCATTTCTGGGTCGATCACACACTATCGTGTGGAATGAGATAATGATGATTCGGATGCATAACTCTTAATTGACTCATTCTTGCAAGTCTATGATTCTGTAGGCGTGGTGGTGCTGGACGAAGTAAAGCTCTGGGTACGTCACGTGAATCCACGTGACACTTCCTGAGCTGTGCCGGTAGACGCGCATCTCATCGTCGCCTTGGGAAGCATCAAACATTGCCTTCTACTCACTTCAAGCAATCCCCATCCTCCTTCTAACCGTTTACTGTTTGTACCAACACTTCTTCTCCCGTTGTATTCCTCCATTCCTTCCAGACTCCTGCTATCGGTTTCATTAGAGGTCCTCCCGCTATTAGCAGCCTAATCATGGACACCCTTCTCGCGCAATACACTCAATCTCCTTATGCGAGTGAAGGCCTCACCTCGGAAGAACAAAATGACTACACCGAGACTCTACCTCCTCTTTCCCTCAAATTCGCCTTGCCTCCGGTCTCTCGACCCTCTGCCTTCCTACGTGCCGCCACGGACGACTATTCCAATCCAAACTGCCCGATCAAGATCGCCCACGGTACTACGACACTAGCCTTCAGATTCAAAGGTGGTATAATTGTGGCGACGGATTCAAGAGCAACTGCTGGAAATTGGATTGCATCGCAGACTGTAAAAAAGGTCATTGAGATCAACCCGATGCTGCTGGGAACCATGGCTGGAGGAGCTGCCGTATGTTTGTCCCGATGCCTATGTGGGATGCAACCTGGCTAACAAATGACTAGGACTGCCAATACTGGCTTGCATATCTGGGAATTCAATGTCGGTTACACGAGCTTCGACATAAGCGACGCATCTCGGTGGCTGCCGCATCCAAGATTTTGGCAAATCTGGTGTACTCCTACAAGGGCATGGGATTGTCAATGGGTACTATGATAACGGGAGTCACTCCTGAAGAAGGCCCTGCACTGTATTACATTGACTCCGATGGGACGAGATTATCCGGCAATCTATTTTGCGTGGGGTCTGGTCAAACGTTTGCGTATGGTGTCCTCGATGCTCTTTACAAATACGACTTGGAAGACGACGAGGCGTTGGAGCTGGGCAAGAGAAGCATCCTGGCGGCGACACACCGAGATGCTTACTCCGGTGGGTACATCAATCTCTACCATGTCAAGGAGGACGGTTGGGTGAAGCATGGTTTCATGGACACGAACCCCATCTTCTGGCAGACCAAACTGGAGAAGGGTGAATTTTCCAACGTGACAAGCGAGTTGATCTAAGGAGACCACACGGGAGAATCAGCATGGGCATCCTACTCTCGGCGTTGTCTTTTGGAAGGTGGTTTAACCCAGTGTACAAACATACTCTACTAGTGTGTACCAGAAGGCTATTTTCCCCATTGCCTTCCGTTTAGCCTCAAGAGGAACAAAGGCACAGTGTCCGGAAGTGTTTTGCTGCCACCTAGCTTAGGACGTTTTTTCCCGCGACAGAGCCGTAACCAACCTGTACCTAGGTACCTATATTTGTCTGCTGGTGCTCGACTACATGTACTACTAGTAGGTATAGGTAGGTATCCAGAGACGGCACCTCGACATTGAACCATCCGCCGTACACGCCAAGCCTCCGCCCAATTCAGTTCGCGTCTCCAGTCGCAGTCGCGCCTCAACTTCGTCCAGCCGTTCAAATTCCTGAAATCTTTCACCAGACCGCAGTCATCGCAACCACTCATGTCGCTACTGTAAGGAGGCTGAAACTGGTCGCATAGATACCAAAATGAACCCCATGCTCAAAGACCCGGCCGCCGGGATTCCACCCCAGCTGGTAAGCCTCCCGTCCTCAATTCATACCAGCCCGGACTGACACTTGAATCAGTTGCCGCATTTACACCTTGTTTCCAAGTATCGGTATCCCATAACCAGCAACCCCTCCTTTGAGACGATAGTTGGATATCTTCTCGAAGCTCCCAAGATCGTGCGCGACCTGCAACCGGTGCAATGGCAATTCGTCGAAACACCTCCAGACGGCACTTTAATGCTCACTTGGCAACCGCTTGAGTACCTGGGGACAAACTTTGCGAGCGACGGTTACGTTTGGGCAGACGCGGAACATGTCTTCAAATCGGAAGTCAGGGGCTATGTAGGTTTGACGGTTCTATACGGCTGCGCCTGCTAATGCGACTTCAGACTCTCGAGATGTTTCTGCAACGATCGGGATACCGAGCCTCAGGCGAGACGATGGCGTGTCATAGTAGGAGACGCTATCGACTCCTCCCAGGGAGCGCGAACCCTGGATTACCGCATCCTGACCCTACCTTTTTTCTAACTCACTATTCCAAAGCTGCCGCTCGCGATCATGTTCCTGCCACGTCCATTCCCCTCATGCCACAGGTACATGCACAACTCCAACAGCGGCGAGCAATCCAGAGCCAAGGCCAGCTACCACGAAAAGAATTCATGTTGCACGACCGTTCTAATTGGCCTACCATTCATCTACCTCCCGCAGCGGCCAGAGCAGCGGCGCCGGGTCCATTACCTCCTGCCCCGGCACACAGACGGGGACCAAGCATTGCGCCCGATACCACATTGGAAGACGAGGAAGACGTTTCTCGTGGTGATTTGTTCGACTTCATGAGTCCACGGGACATCAGTCGCCTCCGCTACGAGCAACACCACGAATGGATGGAGGAAATCCTCGAGTCACCTTACCCGACTTTGTCGATTGTACCGAGTGATTTAGGTCTAGGCCGCAAGGGACCACTGGAGGAGCTGACCAAGGATTTCTTTGGTGCCCCTGTGTCGGCCGCCCGGGAAGCCGCCGATGGACCACCTCCGCGGGTTGGCAAGATGCCGGATGGCAAAGCCGATGAATTTGTCAAACGAGCCTCTGCCAAACTGGCTGACATGCAGGTGGAACTGGAGAATATGAGGAAGAGACACGCCCGCCGACTGGAGAAACTCACTCGGTCGACTGCCCTGAAGGTGGCGGAGAAGAAACTACGGACGGCCTCGACGACTGTGCCGGAGAAGCGCCGCCACTCGGATGAGGCGAGTGATGCCGGAGATGTGAGACCGCGAGATGCAGTGGAAGAGATCATGCGTGAGGTGGAGTTGCAAACGGGCGGAAAGCTGCAAAAGACCGCCGGTGTAAGATTAGTGTCGAACGGAGGGTTAGAGGATCGAACCAAACCTATACCGGCCACCGATGGACCTGCAGCTGAGATCGCCACATTCGATCCGACAGTCGTGGATTCTCCAGCTAATGGGGCTCAATTGAGTAACCAGCAACAGCCGGGTGCTCCAGCCGGTGAGCAGAGGGCCGAAGACAAGGAAACCTCTGGGTTACCAAGGGAGCCACAAGCAAATACCACTACAGGTGCGCAACCTACACCGCCTGTGCCGCAACCAGATATTTCCAACAACTCAGGCCAACAGCCCCGGATCGATAGTGGCCAGCAAGTTACACATCTTCCGGAGCTGGAGGATATCGGCGCGGATGCTCATATGGACGGTCTTGAAGACCATGGAAACCAGGAAGGCAATGAATGGGTGATGATTGACGAGCAGGGTGGCCAAGATGCCGAAGAAACAACCCTTCCGGATCTACACAATGTCGACCACCCGCCTCGAGACCAAGCGACGGCAGGAGACGGCACAGGTCAGCCGGGTGAAGCGACGAGCAACCAACCGCAACCGCAACCGCAAACCTCGCAGGCAGAACCAAGTCAGGATCAGGATGGGCGACTGGATACACCCAACTTTGACATTGGAGGCGATTTCGACAATGTCGATGTGGACACGGCTGGAGATGCACTTGCAAGTTATGAGCAGGATGAAGACCTCAACCTGGACGGGATGGAGGATTCGGCGTTTGTCGATGCGTTCCACCCTGAAGAGGATGAGGAGATGTCGTAAAAGAGAGACGGACGTTGGGTCTCTTGCTGTTAGAGCTGTGGGTGCCTTGCTATCTAGTTTTTAGTTTAATCTCACTTCGACGAGGCATGTCTTCACTCTTGACCCAGAAGAGGAATAGACTCGCAGTGGGTGTAGAATGGAGAATGTCTCGGACTCGGAGCGAGGATCGTGCAGGTTGAGGTTGAGATGCTGTATTAGTTATTACTTGTTAGTTATTTCACCATCCAGTCGTGGCCAGCAGCCGAGCCACGTGCACCGTCATTGCTGTTGAGCGCCAGAAATATCTTTCCCTGCGAAAGTCCCTGTCCTTGTGCTCGCTGCTTTGATCTCTGCTACTACGTACCTAGTTACTACTGGTACATCATGTCCAGGTACCGGGACGTTGTTCTACTCAGCCGACACTCGGTCTAGATCAACGAACGAACGACCTTGCTGACGTCGAAGATGGTGTTGCGCACTCCGTCGCCAAGCAGCCTGTATGGCCTAGTGGACATGGGCAGGTATGGCAACGCCTCACTTCCACCCCTCCGCCGATTGCTGTCGGGTCTCTGTCTCAAGTGGCCTTGATGCGGGCTAGAAGGGCTAGAAATCTAAGTCTCGTTTGGCAGCAATGGCATCCGCTTCTCCGTCACCGACCTCTCCCCTCCTACAGCGCGCTGCCTGCCCACCCTCTATCAGGACCGCGAGGGCATCTCCTTGTTCGACGCCCAATATAGCACCGGCGTCAAGGGGCCGATTCCACAAGAAACTATTGACGAGGTGCTGTCTTCACTCTTGAAGTTCAAGACCGTCTGTGCCGACTTTGGCGTGCCCGAGACCAACATTCGCATCCTTGCTACCGAGGCTACTAGAACTGCCGCCAATTCGGAGGACTTCCGACAACAGATCCGACATGCTACGGGCTGGGAGGTTAACATGTTGCCCAAGGAGGCCGAAGGGAGGATAGGGGCCATGGGCGTGGCCAGCAGTTTCGCGAGCGTGGAGGGACTGGTTATGGATTTGGGAGGTGAGATCGCAACTTGATTTAGACTTCGTCCACACTCCTAACAGAGTCGTTCTCCTTGTCTAACCTTTGCCTCGGCATGCAGGAGGAAGCACCCAGATCACATGGATGATGGCCAAAGATGGGAAAGTCGAGACCAGTCCCAAGGGCAGTATCAGTTTCCCGTACGGCGCGGCAGCCCTGACCCGGCAACTTGCTGAGCTTTCGAAGTCCGACTCTGACGCTGCAGCACATTCGAGACAGAGATCAAACAAGACAGGAACCGATCAGCTGGAAGAGGAAATGAAGATCCAATTCAGTCAGGCGTACGACGAACTCGACCTGCCGGACGTGCTCAAATACAAGGCCAAACATGGCGGTCTGACCCTGTACTTGTCTGGTGGAGGCTTCCGGGGGTGGGGATATCTCTTGATGTCGAAGCACAAGGTGTCACCGTATCCAATTCCCATCATCAACGGGTTTCAGGTGGTGAAACGCCAGTTCCAGCAGACGGCTGAGATCTCGGCCCTGGCGGCCGAGGAGTCAGTTTTCCGCATTTCGAACCGCCGCGCGGCACAAGTGCCCGCGGTGGCCTTTCTCGTCAATGTCCTGGTCGACGCGCTACCCATGATCACGCAAATCCGGTTCTGCCAGGGCGGTGTGCGTGAAGGGTTCCTGTTCGACGCACTCGACACTGCCACCAAGGTTCTCGATCCTCTATCCACGGCCAGCGCACCATACGGCACACCTTCTGCCGGCGATCTTGCGGACCTGTTGTCCTCAGGCCTGCCCGGTGAGAATGACTTGGGCCGCTCGCTCCCAGCCACATTTACCCCGTCCTTGGTTCGCGCGCTTTCAGATATGATGTATCTACATCTGCCGCTGCCAAAGGAATCGCGCGCCGTGGCCGCCCTGCACGTGCCGCTGACAGGCGTGCTGGCCTCAGCACACGGCATCTCGCACACGGACCGGGCGCTGCTGGCTCTGGCTCTTTGCGCCAGATGGGACGGTGGCGACGGCAGCCTGCCACCGCCGTACACGGACTTGCAAGCACGCCTGTGCGCCACCCTCACCCACCAGGAGGTTTTCTGGGCAAAGTACCTGGGTGCGCTGGCCGGCCTGGTCGGTGTCGTGTACCCGGCCGGCCGAGTCGATCGGAGTCGACCCCGGCTGCAATTGAGCGCGCGCTGGGCCGAGGGCTTGGGTAAGAAGGGCCTGAATCAGGGCGTCGTGCTGCACATCAAGTGTCGCCGCCGTCATCAGGCAGAGGAAAGACGACCTGAATGGGAGATGGATGCCATGACCGCCCCGGCCGTGCTAAACCCGCTGGTTCACGAACTGGAGAAGATAGGCAAGAAGAAGAACCGCGTCGGCGGCGAACATGGCTACGGCGTGCCCATCGAGGTGGAGATTGAGCGAGTATTGGATTGAATTGGACGGTCACGGTCACGACACACTTGTGAACTCAAGGTTTCCCGTGCGAAGAGACGGCCTGTGGCATGTGAATCAACTGTTATAGAAGACAATCATGTACATAGAGGGAATCAAGGAATCAATCAATCGTTCATTATCATTGAGGGGGAAAGTGAGTAAATCCCCTCTATCATGTTCTACCAAGTCAATCCGCTCCAGTCCAGCCCGACTAAGTTGTAACCACGTACCCATACCCATGAACGCCGAATTGACCGAACCATTCAACGCCGCAAAATGCCAAAATGTTCCCGAGTTCATGAGGGAGTGGCATTCAAGGTTCAAGGTTCAAGGTTGAGAAGAAAGTCCCCGTGATGCCATGCCATGCATATTTGCCGAAAGGTGCTAGATTTCACAGAAGAAATATTCTTCTTCTTCGTCATGCTATATAAGGGATTAAGTAAGGATGCAAGCCTCAAGGACAGTTGCAAGGTCGCTTGGCCAAGTTCAAGATGATCAATTGAGCAGAAGAGCATCAGCCGAGGGTGGTTGCCGGGGGTGGTTGTCGAGGGTGGTTGTCGAGGGTGGTTGTCGAGGGTGGTTGTCGAGGGTGGTTGTCGAAGGTGGTTGTCGAAGGGGGCTGCCAATGGGGCCAGACGACACACCCTCACCATGACCCTTGTCTTTTCTGCCTCAGACTCTCTTCGTCATCGTCGTCGCTGTCGTCGTCGTCGTCGTCGAAGGGCGCCCGCGGAGGCGAGTAGTGGTGCGGACTCATGACGATCTCGGCTTCTTTGTTGATCTTGGGTCTGGCCGAGGCCGGGGCGCCACATTGACACAGGCCGCCGCAGAAGGTGTCCATGGTGCTGTCGTCGCAGTACTTGTAGCTGGGGCACGAGATGCGGCCGTTGTCGCACGTACATGTGGCCTGGCACGTCTGCAGAGTGACCGCGGGGCCGCCGTAGCAGGACATGCTCTGGTGGCTCAGCCGACACATGAGGCTGTTGGTGGGTTGCATGTGGTTGAGTTGGTGCAGCACGTTGGGATAGTGTTCTCTGTCTGGATTTCGGGCTGGGATGGGAATGACGATAGATAGCGCGGTGGCGGCGAACAGGAGCAGCGTCCAGGCGAGGTGTGTCGTCTTCATGGTGTCGTTCTTGCGTTTCGACTCTCGAATCTCGAGTCTGGAGTCTCGAGTCTGGAGTCACACCAGGCTCGGGGGTCGTCGGCTGGGTTGGAAAGCTGCCGGGGGCAGGCTGGTCCCCTTCAGCAGCCGGGGTGAGGCGAATTAGGCCCTGGAGAGGAGCGGTGGTGGTAGGGATGATATGGCGTCTCTCAAGAGAACATCGTTCAGGAGAGCAGATGGTGGACGCGAACGCGGTACTTCAGCAGTGGTGCACGGCGAGTAATAAGCTTCCGGGGGGGGATGTATGAGAAGCTTTATTCGAGACCGGGGGGTGGACGCAAGGGCACCGGGCATGAACCAGCTGTAGTCATGTGTGATGGCGTAGAAGTCTCGCAGATTGCGGGCTGGTGAAAGTCAAAAGAAACGGTGTTGCCTACCTGAGGCTCGTCCATTGACGTGGCCAGAGACGGCAGTGTGCGCGGTCAGCAAACGGTCTGGGGGCAAAAGAGGAAGGGCCACTGAGGAAGCGAAATCAGAACCAGCGCGCTATTGACCGTTTGGGGGGTTGTGACAGCTGTCAGCCGAATTGACACCCAGCTCCAACAGATGGCACAAGGAATTGGGATGGTCAGAGAGCACTGGAACTGCTGCATCGTATCTCGCTTGTCTCTATTGCACTTAAACGTCAACACTGGACTTGGTGGTCGGAAGGTGGACGGTGGAAGCTGGAAGCTGGCCGAAAGATAGCATGATAGTGACCAGACTGAATAGTAACACACAAGGTGAAGAATGGATGGAAGGCAGAAAGCCTTCTATGATCGATCAGCGGGCAGGCGACTTCTAGCAGTCCCAGCTCCGTTTGAGTTCAACTAGTGGCGATATGTCTGCAGATATATAGTCCGTACACATATGTGCGCCAGCCTTCCCCATACGGAGTACACATACTAGGTACGAACCGGTTGAGAACCTGTGTACGGAGGACGGAGTACACATACGGAGTAGCGTGTACATTATTGCTGTCGATCCGATCCCAGAAGGACAAGGCCCAGGCTGGGCACTGGCACTGTGGGCAGGTTTTTCAATCTTGGGTGTTTTGTCCGGATGGCCCATGCGTGCAGATCTAGATAGGACAGAATCAAGGACACGTCCTTGGCTGGGCTGATCTGTTTTCGTGGCGAGAGTGCAAGTCTGGACCCTGGACCACGACGTGCTGGCTCGCAAGAGAAATTTGGGTGTTTACGGAGTATCTGGTATCCGATCTCATGGCGACATGATGGCAATTATACTGAAGGCACAATCGCCTGGCCAGAAGGTCGGTGTGGGCTCAACGGCCGGCTAGCTAGATTCATCAGAGCTAGATTCATCAGAGCTAGATTAATCAGAGGTAGATTCCAGCCAAATAGGGTCAAATTGTGTTTGTTTATCGACAGAGGATACCGAGTACGCCGGGCAGAGGGACAGACCTGGACAAGGACTGTGCCGTGGTTCCAATCTGTCGGTTGACAGCTGCGGTCAAAAGGGGCAGGGGTCAATCCTTTCTAGGTATCAACGCGATATAGAGAAATAGTTCACCGTACTCTGTTTTGTGGATGATTAAGCATTTGAGTCAAGCTTTGCGGCAGCCAAGAGTCGTGTAGCAAAGGCTAGCCTATTCGAGCTAGACTGTCTCTCAGGCTATATTGACGTCGATATCTCTAGAGTACGGACTACAGAGTACAGAGTACGGAGTACACACTCGAGACTCGGCCAGACTGCAGAGTAAAGAGTGAGAGTACAGCACACCTACGGGGCGTCAGCACAGAGTGCCACAGCTTCAAAGTCCTTCCTCTTCCATCTTTGGGTGGCAAACACCATCCCTGCGCTTCTCCCCAATGAAGATCCCGGTGGGAGGGGTTTCCAGCTCTTCCCCACATACAACCCCGGCTTCAAACCTTCAAGTACCATGATCGTCCTCTCTACACGAATTACGTCGTTGCAACGAACCTAGTCGTGTGACCATGGGACTGGTCGCTGTGGTTCGGTTACACAGGGTTGCAGCCGATGCTGTACTCCGTAACGGTGTAAGACTCGGCCATCTTTCTTTCCCTTCCCCAGCATTTATCTGTTGGCTTGTCTTCTTCCCTATGCGTGTATGCTGGAGTTCTTGACCCTTGATCCAACCTCGACCGTGCTGGCGGTGCAAGATGGCCATCTTCAAGACGACGCACGTAGGTCCCACCGCCATCAATCCACGATCGAGCGGTCAAACAGAGCAGAATCCCTCTGACCCTGTGGATGTCGACGTCGACGTCGAGAAGGACATCGCCGCGACGCAAAATGAATCGGCCAATGGTAATGTGCTGGCGCCGGCTGACCCAGACCTAGAAAAGAGAGTGGTTCGTAAACTTGATTACCATGTAACTCCCCTGGTGACATTCTTGTGTAAGTGAATGACGAGGTGTCGTTGCGCGGAAAACGTCCCTTGCCAAAGCTGATGCCCTACAGTTCTTCTCTCTTTCTTAGACCGGTCAAACATTGGCAATGCCCGCATCGCTGGCATGGAAAAAGACTTGGATCTGAGCAGCGACAGATACGATTGGTTGTTGACCATATTTTATATCTCGTATATCCTGTTTCAATTCCAGGGCTTCATGTGGAAGATCCTGTGAGGTTTGGGAGATCCCTGGCAACCGAGACATCGGGCTGATACGTTGCAGGAAACCTCACACGTGGGCTTGCTTGATTACCCTTGCATGGTTAGTTGGTCTTGTCCACCCCATCAGAACACGTGCAAGTTCAAGTCTAATCCCGTTCTTCCCCAGGGGCATCATTGCAACTTGTCAAGCTGCCACGCAATCATGGCAAGGAGAAATGGCCTTGCGCTTTTTGCTGGGAGCTGCCGAGGCTGGCTTTGGCCCTAGCATCCCTTACCTGCTGTCCTTCTTCTATCTGAGACACGAACACGGCTTTCGAAGCGGCATCTTCCTTGCTGCAGCTCCTCTTGCCAACACGTTTGCTGGGGCCCTGGCGTACGGTATCACGAGCGGCCACTCCAAGCTGGCTAACTGGAGGCTTCTTTTCCTCGTTGAGGGCATCCCCACCATTTTGGCCGCCCCGTTGGCCTGGTTCTTTTTGCCGGACAGTCCGACCAGCGCCAAGTTCCTGACCGAGGAGGAGAAAGAGGTGGCTCGAGCCAGAGTCATCAGGCAACACGGTCATCAGCAGACGGGAGAACACCGAGTCAGCTTGAAGGAGATTGGGTTGACTCTCCTCGACCCCAAAGCGTGGTTGACGGCTGTAAGTCGATGGTATGTGAAAAGTAAAGGTTCACAGTGCTAACCGGAGCATCAGCTGATGTATTTCTCCTGCAACGTCTCTTACTCGTCTCTGCCGGTGTTTCTACCCACGATTCTCAACCAGATGGGGTTCTCATCGATCAACGCTCAAGGGCTGTCAGCGCCCCCATACTTTGTCTCGACCATTGTGACGTTTTCCACCTGCTGGATTGCGGACCGCACACAACAGCGTGGCCTGATGATTGCGTTCTTGAGCTGTGTCGCCGGGATTGGCTACATACTTCTCGCCACCTGCACGGCCGTCGCTCCCAGGTACTTTGGCACCTTTCTATCCGCATCCGGAGTGTTCCCGGCGATCGCAAACATCTTGCCGTGGGTGGTTAACAACCAAGGAAGCGATAGCCGCCGAGGCATGGGGTAAGTACTCCTCCTCCCTCCTGAGTCTTTAGAAGGACCAGGCCCTTCTAGTATTATCATTATCGGACTAAGCAGGCTTACAGCATCGTGTTGCTCAATGTGGTTGGGCAATGCGGCCCGCTGCTGGGCACGAGGATCTTTCCCAAAAGCCAGGCTCCTCGATATGTCGAAGGACAAAGCATCTGCGCCGCCTTCATGTTTTTCAACGCCTTTCTTGCCTTGAGTCTGAGGACGCTTCTGGTGTGGGAGAACCACAGGCTCGACCGGAAGTATGGGCGGGTGGCTGAGGGTCAGGCCCAACACGCTCGAGACGGCCAGGGGGGAGTGGACGCGAATGTCGGGGAGGAAAACTACGGCGCGGCATTTCGATATATTCTCTAGTTGAGCCAGAGCCAGACGCCAGGAGAGTGGGTGTGATACGACGTCGAATAGCCCTTGGACGTTACAGCGTACGGAGTACACGTTGAAAGGTAACCGGTTACACCATCTTGGTAGGCCGAAGCCTCCCTTCAGGCCTCCAAGGGTGGAAATGCTATCTCCGAGCCTAACCCCGACCTGGTGACGGAGTACAACATACAAATCCTAGTAGCCGTCCGGAGTACGGAGTACAGGAGATAAGCACCGAGTACTCCGTACTGCCTTGCCTTATGGAGGAGTCCATACCGATACGAACGGTGATGCTTTCCATCCCATTCTATTAGTCTCTAGTCTCTCGTCCAATACGGATTATAATATATATGGATGTATGGATACTACTAGGTACCAGGTAGTAACTAGAGTCTAGGTAGGTATGGATGGTAGGTGGATGGAGTACATGTAAGTAAGGTACCTGGCACCACCTGGGTACTGGGTAGTGACCACCGAGGCTCGGGGCTTAGGGGCTGAACCCACTGCTGCTGCAGTGCTCAGTGCCCCTCCGATTACCCCCCCTAGGAGCCCCCGACGGTTGGTAATTCATAGGTCACCATCAGATTCGCAATTGCAACTGCGATCGCGATATTATCCGTATCGGTATCCGTATCCCGTATTAATATCTAGTATCTAGATGGCAGATATAAAAATCATCTCATCGCCGAGCCCCTCCATCCCACTACTCTCCCCCGCCCCTCTGCTCAGCTCTGTTTCTGTTCTGTTCCCCCCTGACTCTCAGCTTCCTTGTGACCTCCGTCGCCCGCTGTTCTCCAAGACACTCTCACTCTCTCGCACGCCGCGTCACCATGGCCTCCAACCCCCCCGGAGCCTGCTGCTACAAGGGCGTCAAGCATGAAGGTACAGCCACCGGCGAGATCTCCACCCTGGGCGACTTTGAGATCTACACCAAATATCCCGAAGACAAGTCGACCGACCTGGGAATCCTGATGTATGTACTCGGTATCCGTGCCCGTGTCTGTACTCCTGTACATGAACATGCACATGTCCTGCCATACAGGGCATCTGTCTCTCTCGCTGCGTTTTTGGAACCTCCAGCTGACGGATCTGCCGCAGCATCACCGACGTGATCGGCCACCGGTTCCTCAATGCGCAGTTGATTGCCGACCAGTTCGCGGCCAATGGCTATTTTGTGCTGATGCCCGACCTGTTCGACGGTGACGCCATCCCGCTCAACCGACCCGGCGACTTCGACATCCAGGCCTGGCTCAAGGGCGAGTATCACCCGAAAAAGATCGCACATCTGCCGCCCGTCGTCGACCCCATCATTGACGCCTGCCTGGTCGAGATGCGGACGAAGTACAAGGTCAAGGTAAGCAATGGCAATCCTGGTGCTTCCACCATTGAAACACCGTGTCAAAAGGGCTCGAGAAAGAGAAAGAGGAAGAGAAAGAGAAGAAGAAAGAGGAAGAGAAAGAGATGAGGAAGAGGAAAAGAAAGAGAAGAGAAAGATGGTCAAGCATATATGGCCCATGGAACACAATCTTGCTAACACGACGTCTCTGTCTTGTCTAGAAAATCGGTGCTGTCGGCTACTGCTTCGGCGGTAAATACGTGGTGCGCCACCTGCGGCCGGACGCCGGCAAGATCGACGCCGGCTACACGGCGCACCCGAGCTTCGTGGAGGCCGACGAGCTCAAGGACATCAAGGGCCCGCTGGCCATTGCCGCCGCCGAGACCGACTTCATCTTCCCGGCCGAGAAGCGCCACGAGTCCGAGGTCATCCTCAAGGACCTGGGCCTGCCCTACCAGATCAACCTGTACTCCGGCGTCGAGCATGGCTTTGCCGTACGCGCCGACCCCAAGAACAGACCGTCCGTCTACGCCAAGGAGAATGCCTTCTTGCAGGCCGTCCAGTGGTTCGAGGAGCACTTGAAGAACTAAATCGCATCTGCATCGTCTGCCGTAGAGTGAGATGGTGCTAATGCAGGGGTGCTGTGCTGGTGGTGTATGTCTGCGTATCTGTCTGTGTATCGGGGAGCGTGGAGACAGGAGACAAGAGACTATAGACCGGAGACGCGGGAGCGGGAGACGAGAGAGGAGAAAGGAGACGGAAGACGCGAGACGAGAGACAAGACAGGAGAAGAGAGACAAGACAGGAGAAGGGACGAGAGACGAGACAGGAGAAGAGAGACAAGACAGGAGAAGGGACGAGAGACGAGACAGGAGAAGGGACGAGAGACAGCATGGCGTGGCTAGAAACCACTGATCCCAACACGGCACTTTCCCACATGTAACATGTACTTTATATGTACGGAGTAAGCCACGTGAATCCTGCGCTTCAGACCGTTCTGTGGTTGCGTTGCGTTCCGTGACTTTAGGTCGCGACGAGGCTGTGGGCCAAGGCGTGGACGGACGCATGACAGACACTGAGCGGTCAGTACTCCGTACACTGTACAGTAAATAGTACGGATACTGTGTCGGTGGCGCAGTCACAGTGGAAAAGTAGTATAAAGTACCTTAGCCTGAGCCCGAGCCCGGCCGAAAAGAAACATCAAAAGTATTTTTCGCTTCCTGTCAAAACTTGGGAATTCTCTGCGCTACACTACTCGCATGACGCAAACTGTTCGTAGGCCTTGGCCACCGAAACGCATACTACTAAAGCTGGGTAGACCCTCCAGAACTCTCGTCGCTCATTGCTCTCGTATCCTGGAAGTTCAAGATCCGGCGGTAACCATGGGATGAGAGAAAAGAAAAAGACCATGTCACAACCGCTGCTCAGCACCCATCCTGAACTTCTCGCAGGTACCTGGCGGAGCGTGCCCGCAGGCTTGAAGCTTCGACCTCACCCTCAAGGCCAACCAGCTAGCGCAATCCCATCTTCTCCGCAGTTCGCATCAGCGCACCTGTCAGAAAATATCAGTATCGGTATTCGGCTGTAGCCGTCCAAGGAGCAGTAGAAGGATGGCAGTCTCAACGAGATCGGGTACTTACCAACAAATGTGGTCACCAATCGGGCCCGTCCTTGCACGATATCGTCGGGGAGCAAGTAGATGGTAGTACCTATTTGACTGGTTAGCCTGGCATTGTCAACCACACGGCCGGCCCAAACTCAAACATACCCATTTTTCTGGCAATGCTGATGGATAATTTGGCATTTGCATACGCGTCCTCAGGACTCTTTCCCGGCGTCACCAGGTCGTAGTCGACGTAGCCACTCTTGATCCCGTTCAGTACGTCGAGGAGGAAGATGCCGCTGGTAATGGCTGGGTCTCTGAACGACCTGACCGACGAGTTTTGGCCGCCTTTGCGTGAGTGATCATTGGCCCATTTGATCATGTCCGAGTCGGACAACTCGCGTTTGCCCATACGCTGTGCAAGGCCTGAAAGCGTGCTGACGATATCTCGACGCATGAGCTGCCACACCAAACCCAACGTCAGTGTTTTCTGACCGTCCGTGATGTCGGCGCCTTGAATCCCGACGAGGGAGAACCGGTTCTGCTTGCCCAGTTCGACGGCATAATTCGTGTTCTCCACCATCTTGAAGCGAGACATCTCGCCGCCATGCGCGGGGGGCTTATTGACATGGCGCGAGTTGACACTCCCGGGAATCACTTTTTCGTAGGCTTGGAGAAGGACTGTACCATCCCGCAGATCGTCGAAGAAAGAATGGACCGGGGGTTGCACGTCCAAACTATTGAGCCAGAGAGTGAAGACTCGGGCTTCCCGTTCACCTTCCGCGTCGAAATCTTCAATCTCTGGCTTTTCTTCTTCAGTCAACGGATCAAGACCAGGATGGGTGTTGAAGAGGTTGGCAACGAAGGCGAGATTCAGCTTGGGGTTTCCAGCCACAAGAGCCGTTGGGGTCAAGAATTTTCGGCAGTCAATCTTCTCGGCATTCTGCAGGACTTGTTCAGCACGCTGCAGAAGGTCTCGGGTTTGCAAGGGAGCTCTCGAGCAAACGTCTGGTTTTAATTGATTGAGTAGGACCGTATAGTTTTCGCCGTCCTTGACGTCGCCGGAGAAGTTGGCCACCCTTCTAGGCCAGCCTGCATTTTTGAGGTGGTAGTTGAACCAGCGGAGCAAAATTTGTTCGGGGGGAAGTCGCAGGAATTGCTCCAGAGTCTCATCTTCCTCAAGCAGCCGATACAGTTCCGGGTGTAGCTTGATATCAATCTTACCCAACAGACCCCGTCGGATGATCTGCCAGATTAAGCCCAGGATCAGATGCTCGCGGACTTCAATGATATCCCCAGAACCAATATTGACCACGGAACAGCCGATACCTTTCGCAGATTCAATCACGATGTTGTTGTTTTCGGTCATGTGGAAAGCGTTCAAAGTTTTGATCTTGCCGCCCTGCCTGTTCAAGACTCGCTCGTCAATCGTGTCCGGCACACTGTCATTGATGAGCTTGGCCAGCACCAGTCCATCCTTGCAGTGGTCGAACATCTCGAACGTATCGGTAGGAAAAGGGAGGAGGTGACCGATGTCGGGATCGCCGGCAAGGACCGCATTGATGTGGGTTGTAAAGGCAGTACGCTCTTCTTCGTTGATGGTGTGTCTGACATTGGTCGAGGAACCTTGCACTTGAATCCTTCCTCCTGTGCTGCCGCCGAGACTAGACTTCGATGCGTGGCCAGGCGACGGCAACCCATTGCCCGCGGCTGGTCGCTGAGGACCACTCGAGATGCGCTGTTGCGCGGGAGAGGACTGACGGACTTTGGCAATCAAGTCGACATAGTCTTCCAGCTCTACCCGTCTGGAGCTGTCTAGGTCCACCTCTTTCAGCGCCTGTCTGACCACGTCGTAAGATTCTCTTTCCGACTGTTGGGTGGCTTTGATGACCGTCGCCTCGTCCAAGTAGCCCTTGTCGTCGACGTCGAGTTTGCGGAAGGCATCTTGAAGCTGGAAAATCTCGTTTTGTGGAAACTGGGGATACTTGCGCTGGAGTTTGAGGATGGCCGCCATGTCGAAGGGAGGCGGGGGAGGCTCCCGCGAAGGGTGGATTTTGTTATGTAGGGTACGGGCGGATAATGAGGTGAAAGCGAAGACAGACTCTAGAAGAGTGCAAGAGATGACCTTGAGCAAGTAAAGCTGCGCGTGGAAAATAAGTGAAACTGGGTATTGTGGTGCCTGTTGTACGTCTACGAGCACAAGCGGGTCGATGTGCGTCAGAAGGCCATACAAAGGAACGTTGTAGGGTTAGCTACATGTATGTACATATATTGGGCAGCTTGCCAGGAAGGTGTCTTGGTTAGGCATCCCTCAGTTCCCTCAGTTCCTCAGCTCCCTCAGCCTCCCCTCGTAGGTGACCCCCCATAGGTGCCCCCGGTATACTACGTGCTGTGCTAACGGAGGGGCTATTACTACTATTACGCAGCTGCGGGATCTCAACTGCGCTGCGCCTCTCTGCTGATGTACGGAGACGTCATCTTGTTCTTTTGGTTTCCTAATTACCAGGCACCCCTGTAATTAATTAATCTAGGTGCCTGAGATTGACCCGACGCACGTGACGGTGGCTTGCGCATGTGGCTGATACCGTGGCTGGTGGGCAGCTGTGGCACAACCGCATTCAAGGCTCCATACGTCTCGTTATGACCACATGTTCAAGCAATCCACCAAGAGCCTCCTCAGCCTTGATCTTGACCTGCGAGTCCTCTACTAGGTAGTCATCGTGCTATCGTGTCGACATCTGTATCCTCTGATTGACCCGCAACTCCTCTATCAGCCGCAATTCCTCAACGAGCTGCCTCTTCGGGCCTGCAGTCGGACCCCTTGTAGGGATAGCCAGGTACTCCGTACATGCCATCACATTGGACCGCTTTCCGGCCCTGATCAGGGCTGTCCGCAAGGGCATGGCAGAGACCTCCCGATCATCAGGCTTCCTTGGTTCGATATCGGCATGGAGCAGGAGCAGCACTCCACCTCCCAAGTCTCCTCTCCAAAAACCCAAAGAAGATGCCCCGTCATTGAAGCAATCTGCCGGCCTCGACCACACCATCAGTCTCAGGCCGTCCCCGAGTCTCCGCAGATATCCGAAAGACTGCCCTCCGCTCAAGACGAGATGGTTCTACGCCGTCGACGTGCCGAAGAGAAAGCCCTTCGCTTCTGAGGCCACCCCGGAAGAGAAAGCAAAGCCACCCCCGGTCCCTAAGAAGCTGGTGCCGTTCTCTTCCAGAGACTCCCAGGCCATTGAGAAAGCATTTCAAAGTCTTGACAAGGGAGACTCGAGCCAAATTGAAGCCTCGGAGCCCACGAGCACCAAAGTACCTGTCAATGAAGACTTCTTGTACGACGTCCATATCGAGAAGCGTGAGTTAGAGCCGGTGTATTGGTTGGGGCCGGTCTATGAAGTGCGGAGAGGTAGCTGGTTCCACGCGGATGGCTCGACTCTCAAACCTTGCGACGAGAATCTTGCCAACCAGCTCGAAGAAGGCTATTTGAAGGTTGCGCCGTGGAGAAGAATGGGCAGAGCATCCGCCCGGTCCGATTCACGACCAAGAAGTCGACCAACTTCGGCAGTCATCGACGACTCTTCAGCTCAATCCCCGACCAAAGCACCTCATTCGCAAGACGAAAATCATGCCGCTGGGTTAAGCACTTACCGACTCTTTGGAGCTTATATGAACACCACTGTATCCTACCTCGATGCAAGCGTCGCCTATCTCACGACCGATGATCTGTTCTCTCGCATGAGTAGCACGGTATACGGCAGATTTGTTGGCTATGGAGGATCCAAAGTCGTCCGAGGCTGGTCCGACGCTAAGCCTGTAGACACAAAGACAAGCTCCAAGGCAGCCGATGTGACGAATCCCAAAGAAAAGCGCAAGTCTACAAACGTGACCCCTGAGGCTGCACTAGATACAGATGAAACTGATGACCAGGCCAAGTCAACTGACCAAGAAGTAACCAAGCCTCGGCGAACAGCCTTGGAACGTCAACTCTCCTCCTTGGCTGGCATGGCCGATCCCCAGGACTCAACCAACCTAGCTGAAGAGGAGGCCAGAGAGGAAGAAGAGCGGGAAATGGAAGAGGCCAGAAAAAGGGACGGCGATGACCAGGCAAGGCAAATTGACCATTTAGTCCTGGTCACCCATGGCATTGGCCAACGACTTGGCCTCCGACTCGACAGCATCAATTTCATCCACGATGTCAACACAATGCGAAAGACCATGAAGGCTGTCTATGAGTCCGCCCCCGACCTACAAGCTTTGAGTGGCGACCCGAAGAATTGCAAGATCCAAGTCCTACCAATCTGTTGGCGACATCTGCTGGATTTCCCCAGACAAAGCCTCAAGCAGAATCGCAAGGAGTTTGATCTTGGAGACGCCGACTCGGGACTTGACGATGACTATCCGTCTTTGCAAGACATCACTGTCGAAGGAGTGCCCGCCGTACGCAATCTGATCACAGATCTTGCAATGGACGTCCTTCTTTATCAAAGCGCGTACAGAGAACACATCGCGTCCATTGTACAGAAAGAGGCGACACGGGTACACCGGCTCTTCAAAGAAAGAACAGGCTTTACTGGGAAGGTCAGCTTCTGTGGCCATTCGCTCGGCAGCGCCATTCTGTTTGACCTGCTCTGTCGACAGGAGGAGACAGTCAAGACTCGACACCGGCGAGTCCCCAGCAAAACATCCCGAGAACTCGGTGTTGAACATACGGATCTGCACTTAGACTTCGACGTGGAGAACTTCTTCTGTCTCGGCTCGCCAATCGCTCTCTTCCAGATGCTGAAGGGGCGGACGATCGCCGGTCGGCAGATGTTAGGCACGAACCCATTCGGAGCATCTACCCTTCCCACGTCTCCGTTTGACCCGAGCCCTTTTGGGCAAGATCCTTTCGATAGTACTCTGAAATCTGGCCCGGGCGTGAACTCCAACAGTCTCATTCCAATCACGGTGTCGTCGCCCAAGTGTAACGAGCTGTTCAACATCTTCCATCCCACCGACCCTATCGCTTATCGAATGGAGCCGCTCATCTCCCTAGCAATGGCGCAGCTCAAATCCCAACCACTTCCGTACACCAAGAAGGGTCTGTTCGCTGCCCCTGGCATTGGAAACATGACCGCCAGGGTTGGCCAGCAAGTCATGTCGAGCTGGTATAATCTGACGTCGGGCGTGGCATCCAGCCTCATCAATAGAAGCCTGGGCATCACAGGCGAAGAGCAAGCTTTGGCGCAAGACAAGGTTAAGGTGGCCAGTGGCAACGGTGGTGGCGATGGGACAGGCGGCCACGCTGACAGTCAACAAAATCCTCACCTGAATATCCCCGTGGCGGATTCTAAGAAACAGCAAGACCTCGCGGAAGCTGCCAAATCCTCGTCATCCACTGGACAAGCGCCCACGCTGATCGACTCGGAGATCGAGACACTCTACTCGGGCTTCCAGAAGCGCCGGCGCTCCCGCTCGCACACATCCACCACGGAAACATCTGAAGACGAGGCCGCCGCGTCGACGTCTGCCGAATACGAGCTATCTCTGGAACGTGCCAGGAGGCTGAAGCGCGAAGAAGCCAAGGTGCGCGCCCTGAACAGCAACGGCCGCGTCGACTACCATATCCAGGAAGGAATGTTTGATGTTTCCCTGTTGGCCAGCATTGCCAGCCACTTGAGCTACTGGGCCGATGAGGACGTGAATCACTTCATGATTGGGCAGATGTTGAAAGGGGGCGGGCGCGAGAGAGAGCGGGAAAGGGAGCGAGGTTCCTCATGGTAACCAAACCATGTGTGATGTAGACACAGGCTATGATAATGAAATGGCGTCCAAGGAGTTGTTTGAGGAGACGGTGGGTTGGTCTTTTAAAACCAGCATTGGATGGGGGAGAGAGCAGTCTCCTGAAACTGTACTGTACGATCCTAGACAATATCTCCAAATCGAACAAATATACATGTGTGTGTGTGTATCAGTTCCAGTATCCGTACCTGCTCTCGCATTGTACGGATGGATACTCCGTAACTAAATTATTTCGATAAATATAATCAAGTAAGGCAGTCAAGTCAGTCCCGGACTGCACACCGAGCTATGTATTCCCGAACACAGCTCATCACATCACAGCCTAGAAACCATCCAGTCCATGGCCGTGGCCATGGTCCTCCTTTTCGCAGCGTTTGCTGAGACCCGTCAGGCACAGCAGTGGAGGTGGAGGTGAAGGAGGTTTACCCATCTTCTATCGTCTGTGAGTGAGCAAGAACCTCACCTCCAACGAAGGAAACGGCCCAGCTGGCTAATATTGGAATGTGCCCGTGGTGGATCAAAGTCGAAAGCGATAGGGACAGGAACAAGAATTCAATGCGCGTCAGATAAAACAGGGACAAGAATTCAATGCGCGTAAGATAGAAAATGGGACAAGAATTCAGTTCGCGTAAGATAGGGAATGGGTACAGACAGATAGACCGCCGGGGAGAAGAGAAGTGAGTGACAGACCGCCGGAGAGAAGTGAGTGATGAGCGGAAGATAGAGCCCGGACGAGCTGAACACCTGCATTTGCATTTGAGTCACACAGCGCCGTGCCGGGCCGGGCTGGGTAGGTAGTCATAGTCACAGTACTCCGTAAGATGATTGCCAGAGACACCGACGTGAGCATACTGGATAAGCTGATAAATGGGTGAATATGATTCGCATTCGCATTTCGTATTTTGTATCGCAGTACCTGAGAAAACATGCATGACCTATTGCCACAGGAATGGATGAATGAATGACCCCGTCCAAAAATGCTGAAGCGTCGCTGCGAGACTCCGTCGCTAGATGGGCTGGGCAATGTAACGGCAACAATGAAGAAGGGTATATACCATTTTGTATCAAAGCAAATCCCGCTCCCGCTCCCGCTCCGGCACTTCACGACGCCGTCTCCACGTAATTCGAAGGGAAAATCCCGGTGCGACCGTCTTCTGTTCGGCCGGTCCACCAATCTGTCTTGTTCTCGGTGCGTTTGAGGATGGTAATGATGTCGCCCTTTTTGAAGCCGAGATCGCCCTCTTGGTCCGGGTCGAACGTGAACAATGCCACGGCCTGATCCTGTCGAAGGGATCCTGTCCGCTGCCTGAATACCGGTTTGGGTGCCGTGGGCCGGGTTGGTTTGCTATCTGAGTAGCTGTAGTCGTTCTGCAGCGTACTTGACCGGCTTCTGCTAGTGTAGCTGTCGAATTGATCGTTGTTTCGTGCCGGCGGACGGTCGTAGACGTCATCTTGCCAGGTGTTGGCCCGCCGAGGGTTGTCACGGTATTCGTAGTTTTCGTCTCGAGATCCAACAGTGCCCGAGCGATTATTCCGCACGTTCGCCCCGTACGCCGCTCCGGTTCTTCCCTCCCAGACGAGGTCGTCATGTTGATCGTCATAGATCGGCATGTCGTTGTACATGTTGTCGTTGAATGCCGTGCCTGAGAACACCCGCGTGTTCAGCACTCTCATCAATGGATCCGCAGCTGGAGGGGCCCGGACCGCCCCATCCAGGAGTTGTGCTGCAGTCACCCGTCCGTTATACATTTTCTCGTTGGCATCTCTCCTCTCAATCAAGACGCTGCCTTCCAAGCTGACGCCCGCGAACAATCCTTTTGTCTTGCTGTAGGCAAATATGCCGGCCACACCCTTCGTGCTGGCCGCGCCTGCGGCTTCTGCGTTTCTACCCACTGGGCCCGCTGCGATGCTGACATTGCCGCCTAGTGTGACTGACGCCGACTGCGCGAATGTACGGACCGCATTGTAGTCGTTCAAGATGAAGACGAAGTCGGTCAACTCAAAGCCGATTTGTCCTCCAAACCCGCCTCCTGCTGTCGCGATCGCTGACGGGGCCGACCAGGTGCCATCTGCTAATCGTGCGACCACGATGCCGGAGCCGAATCGACCAGAGCCAAGAAAGCCTGCTTTGAGCACTGTGAGGACTGCGAGACCCTGGAGATTGTCAGCTTTGAAAGGTGTGTGCGACCATGGAGTCCTGACCTTTGCATTGGCAAGAATTTGAGGCGGAATCACTTTGTCGGGGCCAAAGCTTTGTCTCGGGTCGACGAACGATGCTAGGATTTTTCCAGCTTTCTTGCACTCGCCTGGGCGCTGTGAGCAGGCGAACTTTGGGAATAATGGGGTGTGACTCACTCCTCATCGACGAGGGCAGCGGATTGTTGATACCAAACGGCATGTTGTGTCGGTTGCCCTGCTCCTCGCCCCGAATCTCTCAAGCAACCTCTATACCGAACGCACTTGCGACTTCACTTGGCCGATGGTTGGAAAGTATGGTTTGGGGCGCAGCCGGAAGTCGACGGGGGGTGATGAGGCTCGGTGGGGGAATTCGAAGCACCGAGCTACGTGGGAGGCTTGGGGAAATGCGGGCTGGATGTCAGCAGCACCGCCAGGTAATGCCTGGTCGACACCAGGCAGCAAGAAAGCAGGGATGATGTGTATAGCTCCCTAAGAGGTGCCTGGCAGCAGTTAGTAACTGTACATACTGTACCGAGTACCTCAAGTACGGATACGGGGTGATCCATTGCGCACCTGATCACTGAGCTGGCAAATAGAGCACTTTCGACTTCTATCAACTCGGTATAGTTACTAAATTAAGGTAGTTAACTAACTACTGGGTGATGGGTATAGGGCAGCATCATCATCGTCCCAAATTAGACATACAGATACCTCACCCGCCGGTCTGTTCTTCCCCTCCATGTGTACTCTGTCCTCACCTTTCGACTGAACGTTCAACGTAGCCTCGTCTGGTCGGTTTCGGTTATCTTAGATTGCATATTGCTTGTGCGCCATTTCGCCATAGGCCGCCACCTCGAAGTACAAAATGGCGTCCCTCCGGGCGTCGGAATGGACCTCGATTGGCGACGTGATATGAAGTCCTCGGACAATCGCGTTGATCCGAGCGACAATCCGATGAGGCCCGTCCTCCACCTTTGGTCAATGTTCGAACCTTCAGAGGCGACCTACAGGACATACAGGACATGCGTGCCAGCTGTGCCTGGGACTTTAGAACTGTCGAACAGACTGGCGGCGAGGTCGACGCGATAGCAGGGGGGTCAAGGTGATGCTGTCGCGTTCCAGGCGAACTTGCTACAACTGGGATGGGCGATCTGGCCCCTGCAGCATCCTTTGTAGCCCCGAATGTTTGGTACGATTACGCATACTGACCACCGATATGTCCATGGACACACAGCACGCCATCAGTCTAATCCGACTAATCCTTCCAAACTCGCCATTAGCCTGCCGTCTATCCCGAGCATACAGTACCAACACAGGCGACTCGAAAAGCGTGCAGGTAACATCAATTGCCCTCCCAGATCGGCTGTTGATCGTGTCACCACTCTGGTGTCTTGCGTGCTTGGGAGGGATGTGTTTGAGAGGACTGTTTAAAAGGACGCGACAAGAGTCACACAAATGCCGTTGATACTGCAGCCTTCTTCATCCGCCATTCAAGTTCCTCCCATCTCTTCCTTGGCAAGCCACACGAATTGCTTGTCTCACTAGACGTGCTTCAAGCTTTCTCAACCCGTCAATTGTCACATCTTTTTCTTCCTACCTCGGGCCTTCCTCCCTTTCTACTCGAAGAGCAGACTTACACTCTCACCCCATGTCCACCGAACCTACTGTGGCGAAAGCCGAACCCGCTGTGGTTGGAACCGAAGAACTCGGGGGAGATGCGCACCATACTCCGGCCGTCTCGCCGCGACGGGTCTGGTTCCGCACCACGCTCGTCCAGATCCTCGTCGTCGGTAGCTGTGCCTTCACCGCACCGGGAATCTGGTCTGCCATGAACGGCTTAGGTGTGGGGGGTTCGGAGAATCCTAACCTTGTCAACGCGGCCAATGCCATACTGTATGCATTCATGACGGTGACATGCTTTGCCGGGCCTTGGGTAACCAGTCTAATCGGCTTCCGCTGGACACTGGCTATCGGGACCTTAGGCTATCCACTATACGCCGCGGGTCTCTATGTCAACAATCGGTCCGGTACTACCTGGTTTGTATATTTCGGTGCTGTGTGCTGTGGTATCAGTGCGGGCTTATTCTGGAGCGTTGAAGGCGCCATTGCTACGGGCTACCCGGAATCGCACAAACGAGGTCGCTACCTTGCCACCTGGTTTACCTTCCGCGACTTTGGCCTACTCATCGGTGGAGCTATTTCGCTCGCTCTTAATCACTCAATCAAACACCTAGGTCAAGTGGGATACGGAACGTACCAAGCCTTTATTGCCATTCAATGTCTTGGATTCTTCTTTGCCATGCTACTCTCCGAACCCGAACAGGTACAGCGTGATGATGGGACCCGTATCGAGGCGCCTAGGGGCGTTCACTGGCGCGTTCAATTTAGAGAAATGTGGCGCCTGGCCAGGAGTAAAGAGATTCTCCTCCTCGTGCCACTCTTTTGGTATTTCGGCTGGTGTCAAGCTTACCCCGGTACTTATTTGGAGACATATTTTACTGTCCGCTCGCGCGCCCTAGGGAGTCTAATGTCGTCGATCATGATGATAATCGGCACCTGGCTCGGAGGTGTCCTCGTTGACTTACCCTGGTCAAAAAGTCGGAAGACACGAGCTGTGGTTACCTACTCCTTTATCGCCACGATTAACACTATTACGTGGATTTGGTCGGTCATCATTCAAAACAAGTTTCGCCACACTCAACCTATCGTGGACTGGTCGGACCAGCACAACTTTGCCCCTGGATTTGGCGTATACATGTTTCAGTTCCTCAGCACGGCCATGGTCGAGAACTACATCTACTGGTGTATCGGCAATCTCTCAGACTCTCCCGGTCAACAAATCCGATTTAGCTCTCTCCTTCGAGGCATCGAAACAGCTGCGGTTGCCGTGGGATTCGGAGTGCAGGCTGTTCCAACGGTTCTGATTGCCACGGCGAGTATCAATCTTGCCTTCTGGATCATCGCACTCCCTTTTTCTTATTACGCAACTGTGCAGGTCATTCGCAAGTGGGAACAAATTAAGAAGGAGAAGGAGGCGCACGAGCTAAACCTCGAGATAGAAATTGGGGATCAGACCACCGGGGAGAAAGAGAATACGACGAAATAACCCGCGCACCAGCTCCTGTAGGACCTGTCAGGACAAGGAAACGGTACAGAGTTGGTATCAGAATAGACTTTCTCTAGAGACATACAGAGTCGGATTTGCGGTGCGTCTTCCCGCTTTAAACCTTGCTTTGAGTACTCCGTGATGAGGATGAGATTGGCAACTTATGGTTTCTATGAAATATTGTGTCAACTTCCAGTAGATGGCGTAACTGGACCAAAGGGACCGCCAACCATCGAGACCATCCTGCGCGGGAGACTACGCCACGTTTGATCTTCTGCCAGGGTTGAACAAAGCACGCCATTATGAAGACAAGACTTCCCCAACGATGCTTATCGACTCGGAATGAAAGACGCAAGTAACTAACAGGCAAACTAGTTTCCACCATCCGATACTATGGTAGCGGCTAGCTTAGTACCACGACCGATCATTCACCTTCCGATTCAAGACTCGGGGATTGTAGCCAACAGCCTGTGTTCTAGGCCGCCACGCGTGGTCGGTGAACTCCTTGAGTCCTTGCTATCGTCCTATATCAAACAAGGGTCAAGCAAGGGTTCTCGCACGTCATTATGCCTAAGATGAGGTTGCCCGCCCTGCTGGTGGGCGATAACAGTTGTGAAATCCGAAGCCACACGCTGGTATATGTATATACGACCCTGGACCCGGCTCCCACGTGCGGCGTGGTTCCTGCATGACGCGTGGCCATGTCGACTCTCGAAGATATCGAGTCCAAACGCTCTCCCCAGGAGAAGACCTCTTCGGTCGAGACGACCGACCTGCAGAATCATGATGACCCTGATATTATCATCGAGGCTGGGTTGCGCAGAGGTCTGTTGGGACGACACATTTCTCTGATCTCACTGGCAAGTGTCATTGGCGCGAGCTGCTTCTATGGATTTGGCTATGCCTTGTTTCTCTCCGGGCCCCTGGGTGCTCTGCTGGGCTTCTCAATCGTTGGTAAGCAGCCGGCGATGCCTTCCTTCGTGGGGTCTTGACTAATGGATGATACAGGCTGGATCGTATGGGCTTTGATGCAGAGCGTTGGCGAAGTGACGACAATGTTTCCCATCGCAGGCGGCTTCGTCGAAGTAAGTCGACCATTCGTTTTATGCCTGCTATCTCAGATGCCGACCCTGACTTGTTAGCACGCCAATCGCTTCGTCGACCCTGCCTTTAGCTTCGCCATGGCCTGGATGTACTACTTCATGTGGTCGGTCTTCCTAGGAAGCGGTATGTGCCATCCCTCCACTCCACCATGATCCCGAATTGGCCCTCTAACATCGGCCGTCACCAGAATGGAATGGCGCCATCTTGATTCTTCAATACTGGGTTCCTGAGGAGCATATGCCTCTGTGGGGATGGACTCTCGTCTTCTGGGCTTTCTTCTCCATCCTCAGCACGCTCGGCGTCGTGGTATATGGCGAAGTGGAATACTATCTGGGCTACGTCAAGCTCTTCTCGCTGGCCCTTTGCTTCTTCCTCTCCCTTCTGGTCAATGTCGGTGCCTTTGGAAATGGCTACATTGGCTTCAAGTACTGGGGGCATCCAACCGGTACGTTACCTTCGGTTTGTCTGCAATACGGTTGTGGCTGATCAAATCAACCAGGCCCGATCATCAACGGTATAAATGGATTTGGTCAAGTGTTCGTCCTCGCCTCGGCCTACTACGTCGGTACGGAAATCATCTCCCTAGCTGCGGGCGAGACCAAAGATCCAAGAAAATCCATTCCAAAGGTCCGTTTCATATTCGTGTGTGGCGGCATTAGAAAGAAAATGAACCATCTGACGCATGGTGTTGGATAGGGAGTCAACAACGTGGTATGGCGAATCCTGTTCGTGTACCTTGGCCTCATCTTTTTCCAAGGCATTGTCTGCCCTTCGGATTCCGACCAACTGGTCAACGCAAATTCTACGACCGCATCCTCCCCGTTTACGATCGCATTTGAAAAGGCCGGCTGGTCTTGGGCGGGCCACTTTGTCAACGCCCTGATCACCATCGCCTTCATCTCGGCTGTCAACGGTTGTATCTACGTACAGTCACGGGCCCTGTATGCCCTCGCATTGACCGGTCGAGCACCGAAGTTCTTCACCATCACGTCCAAGAAAGGAGGTGGGTCACAGACACTTTCCTCATCTTCGTCTTCGTCTTCAAGCAGCTCCTGAAATCTGACTATTGACTTACATTTGTTTAGTTCCCTACGTCTCTATTCTTACATCCTGTCTCTGGGGATTCCTCGCCCTCATGAATATTGGCGTGACGGCCGGACAAGTCTTCTCATACATGACCAGCGTCGGTGGATCAGCTGCATACATTGCTTGGGCTGGGATCATATTCACCCATCTCCGCGTGCGTGCGGGCATGGATAAACAGGGCATCCCCCAGTCTTCCTATCCCTTCCGAGCGTTTGGGAGTATCTGGATCTACCGCTTCAATCTCTTCCTTTGTCTGTTCCTCCTCTTCATTCAGGGGTTCACTTCCTTTGAACACCCGTTCAATTGGAGATCTTTCATCTCGGACTATATCACCATTCCAACCTCGCTGCTACTGTTCGTGGGATGGAAATGGTACCACAACACTCGCTGGTGAGTTTCGACCGCATCCATGATACATACTGAGATGAGGTGGCCGGAGCCTGTTACTAATTTTTTTGTGTTCTCAGGGTCCGTCTGAGTGAAATGGACTTCTCAGATCGTCTGGTGAAACTCGAGGAAGAAGAGGAATTGGAGAAACAGTCTTTCGTGAACAAAGTGACGGGCAAACTCAGACTGCGCAGGCGCCGTGTGTCATAGGCAGAAGTACTTCATTGTACAGCTCTGTATCCGTCAAATCTCCAGCTAGTGGTGATGTAGGACTGGGTAATAGCATTCTACCAACGGAAGTTTACTACCTACATGTACATAGTATTCCGTACAAGGATTCCCATGGGGTGGATAGGGTTAGGGTTAGGGTTAGGGTTGGCGTCAGATTCGGAGTTGGCGCTGAGGTTATGGCTACCTAATAACTCAGCATAAGGCGGCATCATCCTCATGCCGAAACGGGCCGAGACACGACAATAAATGAGGCGCAGGCATTTGTTTGCTCGTCAACTGGTCTCGGTTCTTGAAATCTGCAACCTCAGTCGATAGCATGCATCTCGCACGTTCTCTCGCTGGCGCTGGAGACCATCGATAACGCATGGAATGGTCACGTTCCAGGCGTGTACCATAATGCGAATACACGCTTGATCGTTGTCAACATAGTCGGACTCGTACCAAACCTTCAATGGCCACCGTCAGAATATGCGTCTGCGGCGACGAGGGTTGTGGTAAGTCCAGCCTTATCACTTCTCTAGTGAAAGATACCTTCGTCAGCAGCAGGATCCAAGCAGTCCTCCCTCAGATCACCATCCCACCGACTCTCGGGACTCCTGAAAATGTTACCACTACCATCGTTGATACCTCTGCCCTCCCACAAGACCGCACCAACCTAGCCCGAGAATTGCGCAAGTCCAATGTGATCCTGCTGGTCTATTCCGACCACTACAGCTATGAAAGAGTTGCTTTGTTTTGGTTGCCCTACTTCCGTTCCCTTGGAGTCAATCTCCCCGTCATCTTATGTGCCAATAAATCGGATCTGGTCACGAGCAGCACCCCTGCTCAGATCGTGGACGAAGAGATGCTCCCGGTCATGTCTGAATTCAAGGAGATTGATTCCTGTATTCGAACCAGTGCTCGCAACCACTACAATGTCAACGAAGCCTTTTTCTTGTGCCAGAAGGCTGTCACCCATCCAATCGCACCGTTGTTTGATGCTAAAGAATCTGTCCTCAAGCCAGCTGCCGTAGCTGCCTTGCTGCGTATTTTCTATCTCAGCGACAAAGACAAGGATGGTCTGCTGAGTGACAAGGAGATGGAAGATTTTCAAATCAAATGCTTCGACAAGGGGTTGAGTCCGGAGGACCTACAACATATCAAGCACACTATTGACAGTCACATATCTGGGGCTGCGTCAAGCCGAGGAATCACGTCGCAAGGCTTTCTTCTACTCAACAAGCTCTATGCCGAAAAAGGTCGTCACGAGACGATATGGGTTATTCTCCGAACCTTCCAGTACACTGACAGCTTGTCTCTGGAAGAATCCTTCCTCCACCCGAAGTTTGAAGTTCCAGAATATGCCTCTGCCGAACTCTCTCCTGCCGGATATCGGTTTCTTGTTGATCTCTTCCTGACGTCCGATCGCGATAATGATGGAGGTTTGAAGGACGAGGAACTCGCATCTCTGTTTGCGCCGACACCGGGGATCCCACAGCTATGGATCGACAACAACTTCCCTTCTTGCACCGTCCGAAATGATGCCGGGCATGTCACACTTCAGGGTTGGTTGGCCCAATGGTCGATGACTACGTTCACCTCGCCCAAGACTACTCTAGAATACCTAGCATATCTCGGGTTTGAGTCTCCAGATCGGTCGAATCCCAGCACCACTGCTGCTTTAAAATTAACAAAACCACGAAAACGTCGGAGACGGCCAGGACGAGTAGGCCGAAACGTCATTTTTGCGCACGTCCTTGGTGCTCCACATTCGGGGAAGTCAGCCTTACTCGATACATTCCTTGCGCGGCCCTTCAATAGCTTATATCTACCGACGATCCAGCCTCGCGTGGCTGTCAACACTGTGGAACTGCCGGGAGGCAGGCAATGTTATTTAATCTTGAAAGAATTAGGAGAGTCGGAAGCTGCCGTGCTGGACAACAAGACCAAATTGCTGGATCAGTGCGACGTGATGGTCTATACCTACGATTCGTCGGATCCAGACTCGTTTGCCTACATCCCCGACATTCGCAAAACATATCCTCATCTTGAAGATCTTCCGTCACTGTACGTTGGTTTGAAAGCAGATCTCGACCGAACTACCCAACGAGCAGAACACCAACCTGATGAATATGTGGCCCACATCCAACGAATGCCCCAAGGGCCTCCGATATCCACGAGCGTGACCTGGCCGTCGATCCAAGAGCTCTTCGTGGCTATTTCAGAAGCAGGCCTGGAGCCAGTAACAGCTTATCCTCGACCACTTGAAGAGGATGACAATGGTCAACTCATGAGATATGGTCTAGTGCTGGGGGCGGTGGTGTGTGCTGCTGCCGCAGCTGTGGTTATATGGAAAAGATCAGCCAGTCCAGCTGGATGACGTGCAATTTCCACCCTCAGGGTCTTTGTCTCCGGTCCGAGATCCTCGTGCCGGAAGTGTTTTGGCCGCCTAGATGAATTCCAGACTGGTCAGGCCATACCATGCTTTGACAGCAAAGTGGTTGAGTTGGCAGCAGCGCCAGATGCGCATGAAGAGAACCTTGGGTTCGACAGGGCACACTACTGCCGTTGCCATGCAAACACTAAATTAGGTACTCTTCCACCAACCTTCACGATTTCCTGACCGGAATTTGTGCAAGATCTCTACTACATTACACGCCGAAACAAACAGAACCCCGACTCTTACTCTGACTCCAATCAAATCCAAACCCTGCGATGTTTTGTTTCTTCAAGTTGTAGCCGTGCTAGTCGTAAGTCTAAGAACGAAGATATATTTCCGAAGCCCTTTTTCCTGTGTATACCTACATTTTCTTCCTTTCCTTTCGTTGTCTTTTTTTTTTTGGCAAGGGTTGCAGAATCACAGCGCAAGTGTCTTACCGCCCTCTCCCTCCAAGAGAGCTGCATCTAGTACCGATAGCTGGGTACTACGTTAGCTTACCAATTGCTAAATCGATGTCTACCGGTATCTCGACCTATTGCTTTCCCTTTCCCTTTCCCTTTCCCTTTCTCCTCTTTCTCCTCCTCCCTGATATCTGACACTTCGGTGGCGGTGGCATTCATATCTTGGATATAGATACACGTACCTCCATACAGAGTATCCATACACGGTCACGCAATTCATAAATACTCTGTCAAATGACTGTATCGTCTGCTAGATACCTTAGGTAGATAGCTACCTACACACCCACCTACACACCCACCTACCCACCCACCTACCCGTTGTCATGTGTTGTCATTTGTAGGTCGATTTGAGTCTTCGGTAAGCATGGTTGGTAGAAACGAATCGGTCGCATGAAGAACACGCCTCTCAATATGGTCTTGTCTGGATGTTGTTTTTTCATGTTTCAAAAAGGCCCGTAACAGGCGTTCACAGAGGACGACATCATTTGCCATGGCGGCTTGTTCACAGAGGACGACATCAATTACCATGGCGGCTTGTTCAAACTGTAGTGGCGCTGTTGATTCATTCCTATGTACAATAAATACACCAACCAGCCGCATCAGAGACGCTCTCCTGACATCGGTCTCATGTCTATGAGCCTCTGTGACAGCATCGAGAATAACCTGGTGATCCACCTTACTTCTTCTCTTCCTTCTTTTCCTCCGGTTTTGGCGTGGGCAGTTTGAACTGATCGGGCGTGGTGTCCACACCAGTGCCGACTTGTTCCCAAGCACTTGTTCCACCTTCAAAGTTGCGGTATGCTTGTGTCATCTCCAATGGTTCGACAACGATCCGCTTCTTCTCTTCATCATACCGGATTTCCGTGTATCCAGTCAGAGGGAAATCCTTGCGTAATGGGTGCCCATCAAACCCATAGTCTGTCAGGATTCGACGGAGGTCCGGGTGGCCTGTGAAGAAGACACCAAACATGTCATAGACTTCTCGCTCATACCAATTGGCTCCATCGTAGAGAGATGTGATTGACGGTACAGGGGTCGCTTCGTCCGCATATGTCTTGACTCTTATCCTCGAGTTGTGGCGCACACTAAGAAGGTTGTAGACGACTTCGAATCGATAGTTTTTGGTGGGGAAGTCGACAGCCGTGATGTCCGCAACCATGGTGTATTCGGCCGCAGTGTGATACTTCAAGAAGGTGAAGACCGGGATGACCCCGCTGGGCGTAATGTAAATGCACAACTCGTCCTTCCATACCGAAAACTGCTGGATATATTTTGGGAGGCAGGACATGAGGTATTGACCATATTGGTGGAGAGGAAGAGCTTTGTCTGCGTATTTGTCCGTGTCGTTGACAACCGGGGCGGAGAGCTTGCCCGTTGCTGTCCGACAGTCAGTGATTCAACCGCATCAGGTGGGACGCTCTCACTCACGCGGTCGAGGTGCTTTTCGTAATTCTCCAAGGACATCTGGGGGTGGTTTTCTAAGGTCATGCTGGTTGTCTTTCTCGGCAGCTCGTCTGGCAGACTGCGAGAGGGATGCGCGCTGCGCACATCTCGCCGGCTGAGAAGTGGCCCCGAGAGGCCGTTTGCTGGCCAGACGCAGGATCGTCTTTGTAGATGACATGGTGAGTCGCCCGCTAGACCTGGCTGTCACAACACACACTCTCTCTTCCGTGTCAATGGGAGAATCCCGTGAAGTGAGGTAACCAGATACTACCAAGACCTAGCTCAAATCCGCCAAGACCGGCAGCTCGCCACTAGACCCGTTTTGTGAAGTAAGACAGCGGCGCCAGGTCGCGAGCATCTGGCGCTTTCGATTTACATCTCGTCTGAAGCAACCTTTTGCCTCACTTTATTAGCACCTTCTCACTATCCATCTCACGCACCACAACATCCAGTAATCTTCCACCACAAGCTCTCGCGCTTGATCCTGCTCGCATCCTTCCCGCTCTCCAGCTGTAATCGCCGAGACCCGCCAAGCAGTGCATGGAGGACTTTTCCAACCTGCAAGGAGAGGTGAAGGAGTCGAAAGTGGTGGAACAAATCACCGTGAATCTGTCACATTCACAGAGATGAGTAGGTCACAGGATACGGTCATCGACGATGACGAGGAAACTTGGTGTGTTTGCTTCCTTCTCTCGTAGCACCTACTGCAGACAGTATACTAACTTTTTATTAGTCCGTTATGTATTGAAGAGTTTGACCTTTCGGACAAGAACTTCAGACCTTGTCCTTGTGGGTATCAGGTATGTATTGCACTCTGGCTTCCATCGTAATTTTGCCGTCCATCCATCTCCCATCTGGCGCGACACTCCCACTCTGCAACATTACTGACTTTGCATCAGATCTGTCAGTTTTGCTTCAACAGTCTCAAGAACACATACGAGAGGAGCACCTGCCCAAATTGTCGAAGACCTTATGATGAAAAGACAATACAATACAAAATACCCACTGCTGAAGAATTCAAGCTCGACCAGTTGAACAAGAACAAAAAACAAGCCGCTGCGAAGCGAAAGGAGACAGAAAAGCGCGAGGTTGAGAACTCTTCCCGTCGGAACCTTGCAGGCGTGCGGGTCAAGCAACAAAACTTGGTCTATGTCATCGGCCTAATACCACAAATCAAGGATGAGCAGGCTTTGCTCCAGACGCTTCGGGGCCCAGACTATTTTGGTCAATATGGCGAAATTGAGAAAATCGTGGTCAGCAAACCCAAACCCGGAGCGGTCAACCAAGGAATCGGAGTCTATGTCACATATGCGCGCAAGGAAGATGCAGCTTTGTGCATCAACACCGTCGACGGTTCGCTGAACGGAGACCGCGTTCTTAGAGCGCAATACGGCACTACAAAGTACTGTTCAGCCTATCTTCGAGGGGAAACATGCAACAACAAGAATTGCAGTTTTCTGCACGAGACAGGCGAAGATGGCCAGCATAGCTCCCTTCAAAACGAACCCCATGGCGCGAGACTTCCAGCGAAAACGATACCCACTCCACAAGCATCACAAACATCCGCCCCTCCGCGGCCTTTGTCAGCGGCACAGAATCATTCGACAACCCAACCCATGGCTCGACAAGGTAGCAAAGACGACCATAGCAGCAGGAAGAACAGTCACGATGGCTCGGCCCTGCCTTCGACTGCCAGCTGGGCAAATGTAAATGCTAGTGCCGCTCGAACCAGACGTACCAGCCAGGCGAACAGTCGAGCAACCCCAAGTCCTCAAACGACTCATGCCTCATTGGCTTCTCACAAGACGGACGAACCCAAGATCCAGGAAGCCGCTCCGCAAGCACCGTCCGCGCCGGCGCCCAAGAAGAAATCCCCGAAATCCGTTCTTCCATCACCAAAGCCCCCGTCCAGACCTGTGGACCTTGTACAAGAGCAGTTTGATGCTGTCATAAAGAGAATCTCACCTAATTACCGGTTCATTTACGATGATTCATGTCTCAGTCCCGAAGTTCGAGCAATGGTCGAAGATATGCCTCGTTTGATTGATCCGTATGGTGGTTTGAAACGCCGTGCCATGCGTGAAAGAGAAGAAAAGGAACGAGCGAAACTCGAGGCCGAGGCAAAGGCTAAACTCGAAGCACAGGCCACAGCTTCCGCAGAAGAGACCCTCGACGAAGAAAATATGGTTGCTGGCAGTCTCGCTCTTGGTGGCGAACCTGAAGACGATCCGAGAAGTTCTTCCGCTCGTGGAGCTATCGGTCGCCCGGCCCAATCCATTGCTGACCGATTATCGTCGTTGGGTTTGGATTCTCGCAGTTTGACCCCTCAACAACGCCAACAACTGGCCCTTCCCGACAGCGGCGATATTCAACAGGCACCCGGTCTCGGTCGGGCGGCCACGCCAAATACCGCTTTCGAGATGTCAGACTTTGATCGAAGAGGACCGCAGTACAGCCAAGCGCAGTTCGAACAGATCAGCAGTCACCAGCGACATGGATCTCGATATTTCAACACCGACTCGAAATCTACCAGTGCCAATCGCTTTCAAGGCCAACAGCAGGCATTTTATTCCAGCGGAGTTCAAGGTCCTCCCCCTGGCTTGCCTACTGCAGGAACGCCTCCTGTCAGTGGAGGTGGCATGTTCGCCCACGGTCAGAACTTCACAAACCCCGGCTTCGGGTCGTCCAAAGATACGAATACAGAGGCTTACGCAAGAAATCGGAGTGGGACTAATCAAGGTCAGGACATGTCTAAGCGTGAGTTACTCCTTTCTTTGCAAACAAACCCCCTTCGTTCACCTCCACTGTCAGCCCCTGCCCCTGGCGTTCTCAATCCGCTATATGGCCAGTATCAAGGAACATACCAAGATCCTGGACTCGTCAAGCAACGGAAAAAGGGGAAGAAGCACCGACATGCTAACACTTCCTCTTCAGGAGGTGGTGTCGAGCATCTTGCAGACCCGACAATCGTAACAGCGAGAGTGCACCAGGGTGGCACGACAGGGCAGGGGCTCTTTGGGGGTAACCAAGGTGGGTACCATCCAAACGTGTACGGTGGCGCCGGCGGGTTCCAACGATGGTGAACGACGATCTCTTTACGACTGGCATTGTCTCTGGAAATGCTGGTCTATTTTTCTTCTTTCTGCTCGATAAATTTTTGTTTGGCGTTGGTCGGTGCAAAAATACCACTTCGGAACAGCAAGCAAGCATAAGTTAGTACCTCAGATGGCGAAAGCTTCGGGGAGTCACGGCATGGTCTCAACGGTTCTTTTCCTGGCGATTGAGGAACATCACCAACTATTCTGTCGGCATCGGGCTTTTCTACTCAAGGCGGCATCACGAGTCCAGTTCACGGTTATGATTGATGTATGTTAGTACCCTTCTCCTGACCATACTACAAGTCAGGCAGACCAAAAAACGACTTCTCACACATGATTCAGGAGTTTGTTTCAACATCAAAATGTAAAAGTTGTGCTGGATGGGATGCTTGATATGAAAAGCCTGATTGCCTCGGCCCTTGCGTGTATTCCAAGAGCCACCATCATGTACCCGCCGCCGTCGTCATGGTTTTACTTGCCTTGCGTGTGCTTTTGTTTTCTGCTGCGGCCTATGTACTAATTGCTGGACAGTGGACGACAAAAACTTTCCGCCGTTGCCTTTACGTTCTGACTCCCGAGCTTCACCATTGCATTCACGAATGTCCTCCTATCATAGCCTCCAGAGTCCGGGTTTTCGATCTACAACTCCTAGGATTCCACCTGGGTTTGAACTGACTCACGGTCATCCCGTGCCGCCCTCACGGCAGGACTCGCCAGCTTCCACCAGCCAAACAGTGCGACGAGGCACCCCCAGTGGTGCTGCTACTGTAACTCCTGCAGTTCCTCTCATTTCGCTGGGTCCACGCACGTCAACACCGAACCTTAAACAGTCAGAGGCGCCGAAGGATGCCGATGAAGAGCCTTCTATTTTGGTTAGAAAGCAGAGACCTGGGGCAAGTGAGATCAGCCTGGGCTCACCTAAGCTGCGGACATCCCGCTCGAAAGCCGAGCTAGACAAGAAGCGGGGCGTGGAAAAGGTCGAGGGAAAGCGTGAAGGGAAAGACGAGCCCTCAGCCTCAGTAAAGAGTGGAGACGTCAAAGGCAAGGCAAAGGCAGTCGGGCAAAAGCCTGAGAAGATAGAGTTGCCGTCAACCAAGACCAGCAGTACTACGAAGGCGCCACCAGACCCACCCTTTGCGGCTGGTGAGAAAGACAAGTCTGCCACGCCCGTTTGGGATTCTGCCATCGTTGGAACGCCCGGCACATTGAGTTCGCGACCAGCTACCCCCGTCGCGGCGGTCACACCGTCTGAGACGCCGAAAACGTCTATATCTGGGGCTAGACCGAGAACTTTGCGCCTCACGACTGGCACCACGACGAAACCAGCAGATCCTGCTCCAGCCTCTACTGCCACGGAAAAGCCCAACGCTTTGCCCGCCGTGTCAGCAACGAAGAAAGGGTCTAGGAGACCCTCTCTCTCTTCAGCACAGCATAGCAGACCGTCAACACCCGCCATATCCGAGCAACAGCATTCTCACGATGCCTCCCGTGCGTCCTCTCCCCCGCATAGTATTGTGGGTTCCGCTCCGGAGCGGATGAAGAGCAAGAATCAGCAGAGGAAAGACCGGAAAGAGAAGGCAAAGAGGTCGACTGAGGTGACTGAGACTGCCGTAAGCATTCCAACCCCTCCTGTCGTTGAAGAGGTGGCGCCTGTCATCGCCAGGCAGAAAAAGCAAAAGAAGAGAGTCGAGAGCAGTGCGACGGCAAGCATGGAAGGACCCACGAAGACCCGAGAAAAGTCGGAGAAGGCAAGCTCAGCTCAAAAGCAGCATGCCGGTGTAGAGACCGCCACAAAGACAAAGAGTCTGGAAAAGGAGGACCCGTTGCCCGCTCCAAGCAAGACAGCCGAGGTGACTGCGACTCCGCCGCCCTCCACCTCACAGGATGAACAGTCAACGAGACCTGAAGACAGCGTCGGAGCACCCTATACACTGCGTGATCTTTACAACGACGCCGGCAAGCTGGCTGGGGGCGCAGGCACTGCCAGTGCCGTGCAAAAACTGCTCCAGGAACATGTCTCACCGATGCCTAAGATTATCTCATCCATGATTCAGTCAGGAGATCTCTCCAAGGACCACCCATGGCTGAATCCGCCGAACTTTAATTCTGCCGCCTATAAACTCCCTCCAGATTCGAGGCGAGGCCAGGATTACCTCGATGGAAACGGATACAGTGCTAACGACGCGTTCGGATACATCTACTTGCCTCTCAAGGAAAAACGAGCGCTCAAGAATGGACATGCAGTCAGTGTTGCAGACGCAGGGGAACGGAAAGATGATTTGCTCAGGAGATGTCTTGTCATGCCCAACGGCTGGGTTCTTAGAAATTTGAGTTCTGAAGAGAGTGAAAAGGTTATTGACCTGGGAGAACGCCGGCAGATGTATTTTGAAGAATTCGGCGATGTTGGAACCATGGACGGGCTGACTGTGCTCGAACCAGACGACTACACGAATCTAGGCGGCGGCATGGAAAGACTGAGTCGTCATGGCGAGCGGCACGGGGTGATCTGGGTCATGGGCGAAAACGATGAAAGTGGTGATGACGAGTTCGAAACCTTCGATGATGAGGACGACGAAATTGGCGGTGAAGTCGGCGATAGTGACGAGGAAGAGCCGATCTTGGAAGATGAAGGTCTCGCCGAGGAGGACGATACTGCCCTCGACCTTCAGGAGAGCGTCAATATGCCTGGCGCATGGGATCTTCCGCCTCCCAGCTTGAATCATGGCAAACAGAATGTCGGTCGTGCAATGACAACTCCTGGATTGACCTCGGAGTCTCAGTCTCAGTCTCAGTCCCCGGCCTTGCCGGGCCAAGGGCAATCGCAACCTCTCTCCCAGGGTGCGGGCGACACAACCGACACCGCCAAAGCGACCAAGCATGCAACGGTGAACCTTCGCGCGATGGATATCGAGAGCCTACAGAAGCGTGTCGCCGAGAAACAGAAGGAACTAGAGCAGTCACGAAAAGAGATGGAAAAGATTGAGAAACTGTGGACCAAGAAGTCCAAGGATATCGGGCGGTGGAGAGAAGGTCTTGCCAAAGGTTAGAAACCAGTGCGGACCCCTGGACCGCCATCAGCAGCGGCGGCGGCCAGTCATCCCAGGCAATGGTCAGGAATCTCCTCACTGTTTGCTCGATGGCATGGACCGGCATCTGACGGTCGACTCGGCAGCCTTTACACTGTTCAACACACGGAGGAACCGCTCGCTGACTGGGTACGCCCGCTACCTTCACGGTGACCCAATGTTCCTGGATTCTCGGGAGAGTATGGTGATGATGTTTGTATTTGTATTTTTGCATGGTGTACGCTTCAGGATTTTGGGGGGACGGAGGAAAAGAATGGGACAGCACAGGTTAGGTAGTAAGGCTCCACGGTTGGAGGAGAGCGTGACAAGGAGAAGGGAAGAAAAGAATCAGGCCGATTATTGTTATGTTCACCCTCCCGTGTATGATGGACTGGCGCATACTTGTTGGTGTATCATCCTTGCGACCGCAGAGCATGGCAGGGCAGGGCGGCGCAGTCTACTCGTAGCACGTTGAATTGAGTTCTGAAGTATGCCAACAGCAAGAAGCAGCAGTTGAAGCAAGCAATCAAATCACATTGATTGCATCTCCTCCATTGAAGAGTTAACTGGTGTTCCCATCTGCTCCTGTAGCTCGTCTTCAAGTTCCGTGGCGTCCTTTGTATTCAAACAATTGCTTCTGAAATGCCGAGCTCCCTCTCAGCTCTCCCCCGCCCTAGCCCTGGCCCTCGCTTCTCTTCCTCTTCCTTCGCTCCGTTGGAGTCGGAGTTGGCGCCGCGTCGGTTGTCTCGGGTGCATCAGTCGCAGGCGAGTTGGCAATCATGCTCCCTCCTGCTGCAGCACCCGTCGTCGGACGGTTGGCCCCGGTGTTTGCGCCAGCGGCAGCAATCCGGGCCTGCCCGGCCAGTCAACTCCCCCGCAGGTGGTTGACCACCGCCTCCGCCCGCCGCTCAACGGTCTTGTCCGTGGCCCCGGTGATGTAAACGACCTCGATGCGCATGTCGAGGGCGGCGTCGGCCAGCACAATGAGAGGGCGGGTGCTGGGCCTCTTGAACACTCGCAACGTCGCCTTGATCTTGCCGTCCTTTGGGAAGATCTTCTGGCCGAATGTGGTCGGCAGGGCGGCGTCCAGGACGCGGGGAGGATTGGCCGCCGACGGGTACAAGTCGGTCAGGCGGATGACCCGACTGATCTCGGGGTCTTGTTGGCCGGGGAGCACCTGGGCGTACAGCTCAATCGTCAGGTGTGCTCGGGCCGGGTCGTTTCTGAAGGCCAGCAAGTGTCTGAGCACGTTTTCCACGTGGAAGGCCACCGGCGTGCTTCTCAAATAGGCCTCCGCATGAGGGTAGAAGGTTTGAGCCATGTCAGGTCCCCCTGACTGGCTGGTAGATTGCGGTGCCCAGGTTCCTGCGGCGTTGAGGGCAACAGGTGTGGCGGCAGTGGAGGAGGAGGAGGAGGAGGAGGAGGAGATGGTGGTGGGGTTTGTAGTGGGAGCAGTTGGGGCTGTTGGCATATTGCCACGGATTCGCCTGTCTCCTGCCATGTCTGGCTCTTGAGATCGAGGAATTGGAGCAGTCAGTCTCGCTCGTTTGGCGAGAGGAAGACTCTGCATGAAGCGAGGCAACTTTCCCAACCGCTCGATCTGTGCCGTGAACGACTCAGCGATTGCTTGGCCATCCTGCCGTCGCTGCAACGATGAAGGTAAACGATTCGCCATGTTGGGAAGACGTGGGGACGAAAGTAAACGCAACGACGACAAAGCAGGGGTATTGTTGTGGGAGAGGGAGAAGGTAGAGAGGTCGAGAAGCGGAGCGCCAGGCCATGTCCCTGTGTTGAACCCATGGGTACAGCACAGTGAATGTGAAGTGAGGTGAATTTGAGGTCTGGTTGTGAACAGGCGGTCACCTGAAGAACACTCTTGACTGTAAGCCTGCGGGATAGGGCGGTCACCCCAAGCACAAGGCTGAACACATCGTGGATAGCGGATGCTCACCCCTGAGCACCACGTCTAATATATATCTAAAGGCTGATGGTCACCTAAAGAGTAACAAGGGTGAATATAGCCTATATAAGAGAAGATCACCTTGGGGATAAGTTTGAACAAACCTTTGTAGGCAACAGGGAGTCGCCGGCGGAGACGTTGAACGAATGATAATCCATACGAGACCACACTGACGTCTCCCTTTTGCAGTGCCTTATTCCTATAATTGGCATATACGCTGCCATTGTCAATATTTTGTTCTTGCAGCCCTTTGCATGGCGACAGAGATGCCAGTGGCAAGGCTGCGATTCGAGATTCAAGAGGGTTGATGTGAAGTCCGACATAGTCTATCTAATAGTGTTATTTCGTCTAGCGCTGCTACAAATAGACATGTTTGGCACTTGAAGTCGACTAACCCGTCTTAGGGATCTTGGCGGATGTTTTGGTGGATGGATGTGGAAGTTGGAACTTGAAGTGCAAGTGAACCGACTGTGCTTCTAATGTTGCTGGACGGAGTACACAGTATTGTGTACAACCCGAGAGAATGCATAGAACGGAACTGCCCTACTACACCTGATTCGTGTACCTTGCACGCCTTTGATTAATTGGTTCATTGCCAGCGAACTTGCTTGCCATCATCGAAGCGCCATCATCTTCTCCTACCTTGTCATGTCGTACGCGGTTGAGACGAAGAAGCGCAAGTTCGATCGCATTCTCGAGGCTCTGACCGACCGTGCTCCCTCACCGGCTCGAAGTTCGCTCAACTCGCGGCACAATGCATCGTCTACCTCCCTTTCTCAAGATGCGGCTTCGGACTCTTCCAAGCGCCGCCGCATCGCGCCGTCTTCAAGCACTACTCTCCCGACAGCCTCAACCACAGCCCTCGCCGGACACTACCTGCCCTCAAGCCGAACGGCCTTTCTACAACGGCTGGAAACGTTTCGACACGTCACGCAATGGCATGTCCCCTCGACCGACCCGATCAACGCTGCCGCTTGGGCAAAACGCGGATGGATATGCGTGGACACGGATACAGTGTATTGTGGTGCCTGCAAGGAGCGACTCCACATTGATCTGAATGTGGACAACAACATGCTGCAAAGCGAGGACAAGGAGGGCGATGACGACCGGGATGTGACTGGGGCAGATGATAGCTTTGCGGTTGCCACTGATGTATACAACAATGTGGTCCGGCGCTATCAGGATCTCATTGTGACTGCGCACGCGGAAGGCTGCCTTTGGCGCAAACGAGGGTGTGATTCATCTATCCAACGCATCGAGGGGCTGCTAAATACCCATCTGGCCCTCTCAGGCTTGAAGACCCGCTACGACAGTATCATGGCACGTGCAGAAGAAGTCCCAGAGGTGGCTCCCTTGCCCGCTACCGCTGTGACAGAATCTCAAGATTTAGAACAGTTTCGGTTTGGCGACGAAGAGAAACCTAACATCAACGCCCTGCGAATGGCGGTCTGTGGATGGGAGAGGAAAACCGAAGATGTGATTGAATGCCGGCATTGTTTTCGATCTTTGGGGCTGTGGTTATATCGGGGCGACTCACCTGCCATCGAGAACCTGGATAGTGTCGAAGATCATCTGGAATACTGTCCGTGGCGATCCGCCGATGCTCAGGATACAGAGCGTGTGGTCGGGACCAGGGAAGGGCATGAGCCGGGGCTGGAGCTGAAAAAGGAGCGAGTGTCTGGATGGATGTTGGTGTACCAAGCAGTGGTCAAGGACAACGTCAAGAGAAGAAGCTCGACGCCCGCAGCAGCCAAGTCGGGGGCTGATTCGGAGTCCGGGTCGGGCTCGGGGAGAGGTGAGTCAATGTTGCCGGAGCAACGAGAAAAGAAAATGAGGGAACTGTTGCGCAGGATCAAAGAGATCAAAAAGCCATTCAATGTCAAGGCATTACTGAGGCGGAAAGACAAGGGCAAGAGTTGACGGAATGGCATGCCGGGACATCGATCTCCCATGGCATTCGTGTAATAGTACGGAGTATAGCTACTAGTGTGGATCGGTCCTGGATCCGAATTCTTTTGTCCTAGTATCGGACTTGTACTCGGAGCCACAGAACGGGAAGGGTGGTGACCGGACCGAGACTCCCAAGGGAGTTGAGTTTTGCTTTCTAGGCGAGGCCGGGTGTAGCTCGGAAAATGCCCTGATGGCGATCACGTACGTCGTACAGAGGCTAGAGCACTCCGTACACAGGAGGAGCATAGCGTCTTACACGTGGGATCGGGGATGGTGAAAGCAATGAGGCTGAGGCGTATGGATCCCTGCCCGTAGCCTATGTGCTACGGAGTAGTAGTGGGAGCGAAGTCGGTGGGAGTGGTGGGCCGGTGGGACGAGCGAGCAAGGCTGAGGCTGCGTGGGACATGAGTGCAAGAGAGTATCCAGGTAGGAAGCGGAAAGTTATGTGGGACAATGTATGAACTGAAGCCTACTAGTATCTACGGACCCTGATATCAAGAGACATGGACACGGATGAGGCAGACTCGTAGAGTGTACAGTATGCAACATAGTAACTACCTAGTATGCAAGGGAGTATCGAGTACTCTGTAGTAAGTGATACTGTAGGCCCTAAGCCTCTATACTCTGGGTATCCGACCCCTCAGGCTGAGCAATCGGACCCCTAACATAGGAGAGTTTGGCTGGCGAGGTGCCTAAGGGCGCCAGATCTGCCACTGATAGGCGGTTGGGAGCCCCTAAGCCCTGGCAGCCGGGACACCTAAGGCACCTTAGGCACCTTAGGGCTGGAAGCCTTGGTCTAAGCCCAGAGCCTGATAATCATCAATGCCACGCCTAAGGGCTCCCAAGGCCCCTAAGCCCAAGCCGAGGTCCAGTCCGAATGCTCGTAATAATAATGGCAGCACCACAGCACTTCCCACCGAACCCCGCCCCGCAGCACACAGCGACACTCACCGGCCGACAGATCTCCCACGGGCACAAGGCCTTAACATCAAATGTCAAATTGCGAAAGACGCCAATCAGGTCTATCGCCCAACGCCCAAGGTGATTGACTTCCTGTCGGACCGAATGCCGGCGACTATGAGGACTCCGAGCACCAGTTAATGCCCTTGTTTTGTTCCCATACTACGAGACCTTTGGGATTGACCTCACTCCGTCCGAGTCTACCCGCCTTCAGCAATTCCCACCCTGGGGCCCGTACTCCGATAGACGGGGAGAAAGATGGACGACCGTGGGCCCCGCAGAGGTTACCTAGTACTTGGCTGGGGCAGAAAAGGAAAAAAAAAGCAGTATTGGGACTCATAGCATTGCGCCGTGAACGGCGCATGTGACGAACTCCACAAGCATGTTGAGACGTCTCGTACCTACCAGACACCTCATTCCTCATCAAATTAGTAGGTGGCAGCATCGGGCAGAGGCGCGTTACAGGCTGAAGCTACAGGATTACTCCGTACCTGGTAGTCAGTAGTGGTACTTACGCCATCCGACAGAACAACAGTGTCGGGCCATTCTCGCACAGGGCTAATCTGACCCACGGGCTGGCGATGCTGTAATGTGAGGTCGGTATAGATATAGATGAGCAGACACCCTGTCAGATACTGCCGCGCCGCTTGGAACTTGTGTATACAATACTGTCCCTGCGCCCGTTGCTGCTGCTGTAGGTACCTAGTACTCCGTACATTGCTGCTCAGTGCTCAGCCAGCAACTTCCCCGCATCCTGCGCCTTGAACACCACCGATCTTTTCGTCGTCGTCTCCTCCGCCATCCAATCCACGGCTCTCCATTTCCCAGGGCCAAGGTTAAGGGCTCTGTTGGACGCAGCCAATTCCATCCCAGCGCCAGGGCCAGGGCCGTGTCCTTGTTCTGTGTCTGGGTTCCCATCAAATCAGACTCGCTCGCCGACGAACCGGGATCACCTCCACCATCCACCACCCTCAACGGCCTGAGCTGTCTCCTCTCGATACTGCGGAGGTGCGCTTGGACACCGACCAAGTCCATCTTCCGATCGGCCAGTGCCTGCCTGCCTAGTCTTCCAACTCACCGTCATTCTTCTCACGGCTTCCTCTCCCATTTCCTCAAGCCAGTGGTGCTCTCATCCATTGCTCACTGATTGAGTCGGCGCCAATTGTCCAAGAGCGACCCCAGCCTGGTCCTGTGCTGTCCACATCAGCAGCAACTGTACTGTGCTGGTCCCGGTCCCGGTCCCGGTCCCAACACGCAGACGCAGACGTCAGCTTCTGGACAACAGCCTCCGTCCCACCTGTCGCTGCATAGGCGTATTGATATTGGCTGTGAGCCTTGTCTGGTGCGTGGTGAATCTACCTACTCGGTATTGTGTTCTTGCAATCGGCCATCCTTCGACACAGTCACATGTCGAGCATTTCCCCGCATCTCGACCACCGCTTCTGGCCGATATGTAGAGAGCCATGCTAACGGTGATTGCGCAGCCTAGATACAATTCCTCTTACCTCTCATCTCGGCCCTTTCTGTCTTACCGTCTCCCTCTTCCCATCTGGCTACAATGTCTGGCAGCACCGCCAACCGCATCAAGGAGAGCGCTCGCTCTGCAGCCACCAAGGTGGAAGAGGCTGCTCAGGAAGCTGTCCATAACCCCGTCCAGGCCAAGAACGACATCCTCCATTTACCCATCACCCAAGCCGCCCTTCCTTTCGTCAATGGAGGGCTGGCAGGCATGTTTGCAACCGCCTGCATCCAGCCCATAGACATGGTCAAAGTGCGCCTGCAACTGGCAGGTGAAGGGATAAAAGCAGGTCCCAGGCCATCGGCCTTGGGCATCACTAGGGATATCATCGCCCAGGGAAAGGTGCTCGACCTGTATACCGGTCTCTCAGCGGGGCTGTTGAGACAGGCCGTCTACACCACCGCGAGGTTGGGCTTCTTCGACACTTTCCAGACCACCTTGCAGGCGAGGGCCGAAAAGAATGGCACCAAAATCGGGTTTGCAGAGCGAGGGGCTGCCGGTCTGGCCGCGGGCGGGTTGGCCGCCGTGGTGGGAAACCCGGCAGACCTGGCTCTCATTCGCATGCAGTCAGATGGCCTCAAACCAAAGGAAGCCAGGGCCAACTATCGTTCAGTCTTTGACGCTCTCACCCGGATCGCCAAAAACGAGGGCATCGCCGCGCTGTGGGCGGGCGCCTACCCCACCGTCATTCGTGCCATGGCCCTCAACTTTGGCCAACTCACCTTCTTTGCCGAATCCAAGGCCCAATTGAAAACTCATGCGCCAAACCTGTCGGAGAGCGCCAATCGCTTCGGCGCCTCTGCAATTGCCGGGTTTTTTGCCTCTTTCTTTAGCCTGCCTTTCGACTTCATCAAGACTCGATTGCAGAAGCAACACAAAGGTCCGGATGGAAAATTGCCGTACAGTGGATTTCTGGACTGTGCCAGAAAAGTCGTCCGTGATGAGGGCCCGCTAAGATTCTATCGTGGGTTTGGCACCTATTATGTCAGAATTGCACCGCATGCGTGAGTCTCAACCCGTAATTTGTCCGGATCGGATCGCCCAAGCTGACGGAAAATAGAATGATCACTCTCATCGTGGCCGATTATTTGAAGTTGATTACGTCTTGAATGTTGGGTGTGGATTGCCATATCTTCAGAGAGAAAGCTGCCTGGGCACCACGAGAGAATGGGCCGAGAACAGGACCTTGAGGTACCTCGCCCGAAAGTGACTCGGCACGAAACGAGGGAGTAGCGAATAAGCCAGTGCGTTGTAAATCGTCGCAAGAGGAGGGAGATGGGTCAAAGATACCATCACGGTCACTGACTGTGTGGCATGTCCACCCACATTCAATCTCCAGGGGGGCAAGCGCCAGTAGATGGCTGGCGGGTGGCATTTATACGTATCTATACCACAAGGTAGAGTCTTATTGTCACATAGGGCGTAGTCGCACCAAAATAGCACCTGGATAGCTTCTGCAGCGCATGATACATGACAGTATACCTGTCTGAAGGTAGATGTGGAAAAGGACGAAAACAAGAAAAGAGAGCCACAGTTCCCGTCAAATGCCCATATCTTTCCCTCGGTTAAGCGCAGGCCGAGCGGCCACCCGGCGTTTCTGTTGTTCCGATGAACAGCCACGTTCCAGGAAGGTTTGGCGAGGCCAGCCTGGTTTTGACTGCGGACCAGAATTATGTAGCACTGGAGGAATTGCCAAAATCACAAATCACACCGACTCCAGCGCGACGACGAGTATGGTTGTAGCACAGAGCCAGCATGAGCGCCTCTATCTTTCTGCAACTCGTCTTGACCGGCACGCAAACTCACTACGAAAGCCGAGGCCTGATCGATGACAAGAGGCTGGAACACCTGTTGATCGCCGGGAAGCAGATTCTATACAAGTCACACCAGGAAAGCGATGTGCGGTGCTACTTGGGCTTCAACCCTCGAACCTGGGAGGGCCTGACAAGCGTGCTGGCCGTGGCCATCCCGGCGTTGGAGCAACAATCCTTTTCCTGGAAGAACCCTCCTGCCTCGAGCTTTAACGGGAGTAGTTCTGACCTCATTGCGGCGCACTACCAGTCCCTCGTCAAGGACATTGAACGGTTGAACGATCTGTGCACGATCGCACGGAATCTCCTCGCGACGACCAAAAAAGCCCAGAACCTTGCGGCGCAAAAGGGCTTCGATCAGCAGGTCCTCAAATTAATCGACGTCTGCGTGCGGGTGACAGCCCGGGGCTTTGATGGCGAGGCCAATCCGCGGAACGAGGAGAAATGGCAAAAGGTGGTGCATCTTTACAAACGGCTGTTGATCACCTGTCTGCAGTTCTTGCACAATTTCATCATGCACAACGAACAGCGGAAGCTGGTCCTGTGGCTCGATCTTTTCGGACAATCACAGGCCCAGGAGAACAACGAGCCCGGGGTTCAGGAACCCTCGGTCAGCCAGGAAGATATAGATCACGCTGCCAGGGGAGATAGAATCAAAATGGCCGTGGAGAATCTGCCAGCAAAGGACGGGTCCACGTCAGACGGTGGACCAGGATATAACATCAACGACGTGCACGCTCTGTTCGACATTATGAGCATGAAGAAGGAAACCGACGAGTACACTAAAGCGGCAGCCAAAGTGTTGATGGATAAGATCCGATATGACATGGAACAGTTGTCGGGGATGAACGCCACTCAACTGGACGACGATCCAGTCGCTCTCCTCAAAGTCGGGGGTGACTTACGAGCCCAACTGCCCAGCGAGGAAAGCCTACCTTCTTTGCCCCAGCCGGACGGAGACACTGAACAAACCTCGGGGAACAGAGTCAAGGCCGACGCCCAGGCTCGCCCAAGCTATTGGAGTCATCTGGGCTCCTACGGCGAGCTGGGCGAGTCGAGTCGGGACTTGACCGAGGAAGACAAGACCATGCCCAGAACCGCCGAATCCGCGGCTGCAACGTTACAGGAGGCCAAAGACGAGTTGATGGCACGCTTACATGAATCCACCTCGGGCCACGTTCTAAATGAAAATGGCAATCAGGCCTACGACGAGCATGGAAATCCCCAGGGGGAGCTCGATAACGATATGCTCGAGATTGATGAAGATAGCATAGAAGAGGAAGAGGACGAGGATGAATATTATCGGGCAACCGGAGATCAAGAAAGGGGTCTGCTTACCGACGTCCCTCTTGTCCTTGGACCAACCGAAATTGAAGCTCTCCCCATGATCATCCAGGCCGGCATTGTGGATAATTTCGGGTCGAGGACAGGTACGAGGAGTGAGCGGAAAGGGGCCAAGAACATGCAAGCTGTTCGCTGTCACATTCTCCTGGCGCAAGAAGCGGGCCGCAATGTCCTGCGAGAGTTGCTCATTTTCATTGCCGCGTGGGACCTACCGGATGATGAGTTCTATTTCAAGATGATGGTTCAAATCATGGAAGCCATTCTCAAGAACGGCCTCATGTCTCACGCATACTCGGACTTTGGCCAACCGAAAGATATCATCTCTCCGGCTCAAGCCGTCGTCATCAAGATCCTGACACACATCTTCCGTGCGAAATACAGTCCGGCATCTGTGGTGCAAAAGTCGAACACAAAGACTCCGCCCAAACCTCGAGCACCGGCGCCATTAAGCAGGGTTGACGTTCTGACGGTCCGCTACATCTTCATCGTGTTCCGTGGTAACATCATCCCCGAGACCTGTGCACTGATCTACTTGCAAGGACAGATCCGAGCTGGTCTGGCTCTGGCCGAGGATTTCCCTCTCAACCTGTGGGATATGGAACGTGTCTATGAGGGCGTGTATCAGTTCCTCGAGTTCTTCGCCGTCTTAACCGAGAACAACGAATGGAAGGAACTGCTGGTCAAGTGGGAGATTGTCTACGACCTCGTCACTTTGCTGAAAGAACTCGATGCCAGCATCGCCAAGGTCCCACTCACCAAGACGATGCCCCCTGCCCGGCCAAACCCTGCTGCCAACGGTTCGGCCGTGGACAAGACCGACTCGGCTACCCAGACCACTCCATCTGTCACGGTGGAACGGCCTTATGACGCTTCAACCATCGACCCGGTGACCCAGCAGCCACAGAATCCGCCATCGGCCGACCTGGAAGTGGCGCCACCAGCAAGCAATTCTCCCCCTCCACCGGCCGTGACGGAAGAACCGGCAGATTTCGAATGGCGCAATCTGAAGAAGTTGATCGTGTTGGTCCTGTCCAGCCTGGTGTGGAAATCTCGAACCGTGCAGGACCAAATCAGACAGTATGGCGGAGTTGAGACGATCTTGAGTTGCACACAATACGATGGTAAGTTCACTCGGCCAACCATAACCTGAATACATGTACAGACATACAACATATACTGATACTGACTCGGTCTCTAGCCTGCAATCCTTACATCAAGGAACACGCAGTCATGTGTCTTAAATTCTTGCTCGAAGACAACCGCGAAAACCAAGCTCTGGTTTCCAATCTCGAAGCGCGAGAAGTCCGAGCTGAGCCGGGGCTCCAGGAGAAGTTTGACGAGATGGGAGTCGGTCTGGAATTGGGCGAAGACGGTGCGCCCAAACTCACTAACAGTCGAGATGAACGTGGACGCTACAAGAAAAGCTCTTGGTTGGCGAATCTCGCGGCAGTCAAGAAGGAACAGGAGATGTTGAGAATGCAGGCCAAACAGCAGGGAGGGTTCATCGGCGACGAAACGGACCCCGACGACGACTTGTATCGGGGTGACGGCGGGTCTGCGGAGCGGCGGAGGTCGAACAAGGGCAAAGAACGGGAAATTGTGGTAGACGATGACTATGAGGCTGAGAACGAGCATGAGGACGCGGACGGAGACGAAGACGAAGACGAAATCGAGTTCATGTAAGTGGCAGCGGCGAAGAAGCATAAATGTGCTGGACAAAAGGGGCATGAGGGCACATAGGATACAAAGGGATTGGAGTATAGTATCAGTACGGAGTATACAGTATATAGTATATGCTGGGCTGTCGAAGACTCGATGACTCGATGACTCGAAGCTCCAGGCTTGGGTGAATGCCCTCTACTCCGTATATCAGATAGGAGGGCTCGGGCTTAGGGGGCTAAGGCTAATTATGTAATCTACCACAGGTCGATCCGATGGTGGATGGGATCAGCCAGGCTTAGGGCGACTGTTGCATACTAGTAGGTCTGGGGTAATCCTTGTTGGCGCCTTTGAAAGGTTGTGAACTATGGCCTAGTGTATAACGAGTAAGGTAATTATAGTAGCGGTTTCGTCTCAGGAGGTCACCTAAGTCATTCAATCCCTAACACCTCCTGGACACGGGCGGCCGCCTGGGCATTGTATAAGGTATACCTTTATGCGATATAATGTGCCTTTCGGATATAATGTCCGACTTTAGTGCGTACCCATACTACGGCCTAGTAACGTACATCTGTACTCTGTACGGAGTACAAACCTGGAAGTTAGGTCTACTTCGACGTAGGTACCCATCACGAGGACCTTGTAACCTTGTACCCCGAATAGGTACTCTGGCTGCTTCCTCAACAGACAAAATGCTGGGTCGCTGTTGCCTGTAATCAGTAGGTAGGGACTAAATGAGTCATCCGCAACCTTCAGCTCTGCTCTTATACTTTTCTTTCTTTCTTCCCTTTCGTATTTCTCTCTCGTGCAGCGACTGTTCATAGCACCCTCCCGAATTCCAACACCAACACTATGCCTCGAGTCAAGGATGTCTCCGAGGAAAGCACCTCTACTCGTTCCATGCCAAGGTCCCTCCTATTAGACGAGTTGCTCGAGCAGTCTACCAGACAAATCCTCAGGCAAACACTCTCCGTTGGAACGCTCCTCTCGACGACATCTAGCTTTGCAGAACGCATGAATGCTGCGAGGGTCGAAGATACTGATCCCTACCACCTACGAGACATCGGACGAGGTAGCTGCGGCAGCGTGTTCGAGATACCAGGAACGGCGTACGCTATAAAAAAAGGGGCAAACACCAGAGCCATTTGGAATGACTTCAACTTGACAAATCTCGCTCACAACAGCTATCTCACCTCGCTCGGCCTATTTGAGTACACCTTTCGCGGACGTCTTGTGCCACGTGTATCTATGACAAGATACTTCAACGGACCAGACAGTGATGAGTTCTGGGCTGCAAACATGAAACGTTTCCCTGAAGAAGACCGGACGAGGGCTGCGACCTTTCACCTTGACCACATCCTAGCAGTACCTGAAGTTACTCGGAGGGCCTTGATTCGACAATTCTTCCAGGGAGACAAGCAGACTCAACACGATGCACTCGCCAACCCCGAAAACCAAGACTGCCTGGTTCGGGTTTACTTTGGCAAAAACAATCCAAAAACTCAGCCATACGATCGTACTGATACACTTCGAAATTTCCCTCTATACCTCGATGAAGCAAAAATGATTGGGCTTGAGATCGATGCATATGCAGAAGAGATGGCTATAGGGCTCGCACTTCTACACTGGAAAGCGGGCATCCACGCACAAGACACCGAATTTGTTATTGGCAGCTCAAAAACGATGACATTTGGCGTACCCAAATCACGGATCTGTCCCGCCACCAGTATCGACAACAGATGACTTCACTAAACGAGAGACACAGTTATGGATGCTGGATTTTGACAAATGCTCCAAGGTTGACCTCGAATCGAAGGACCCGGCAACAGAGGTAGTTAAGAAGTATCTCATTGCCGTCACGGGGAACGACCCCTATTTCCCGCATCCAGGCTTGGATGCCAATCTCTGGCGCACATTTCGCAAAGCGTATCTCAAAGCCAGCGACATCATCATCAAGACAACACAGTTGAAGCGTCAACTGGGAAGACTTCCTGCGATGCTGATGGATGAGTGGGAGCAATGGGCAGACAGGGATGTGCAGGCCGAGGAGGAGTTTGATCCCTTTGGCAGAGACTCCCAGGATGAGGATGAAGAAGGAGAAGGAGAAGAGACCGAAAGGGAAGATGATGGCACGGATGAAGACGAGAGTTCCGAGGAGGAAGATGAAGGCGAGTACAGCTCAAAAGACAGTTAGGAAGAAGAGTAGCTAGTTCTATTCTCAACATTCCTAAATTATGAATCTTTTCATTAAAACAGGATCATATCCTAGTCCCTATTGTTCTACATGTATTTGTTGCCGTACCCTTGTCGATTAGAGCAGAGCCAGCGCAGCAAAAGACTCAGGGAGCAATGTCATGTTAAGAGAGTATCATACATGTAATAATGCAAAGACAAGCCTTAGGCAACGACTGGAGGGGTTGTTTGTATTAATGATAATGCTGTATCCAAGGATAACCAGCACTACTAAGAATTAAGAATGGGAGATTGATCCGAACCATAGTTCGCAGGCGGCTTGTCGACTGGTCTGGTCGGGTCTGGAAGGCTGGAGCAGTATGGTCCAGTCCAGTCCAGTCCAGTGCAGTCAGGCCAAGTTAGGTCAACTCAAGTCAAATCAATTGTTCTGGAAGACACCATACAAGGCGCGGAACTTCTGCTGCAGGCCACCACACACCATGTGGCGCGCGTCGCAGAGATCGTCGGCCGAGGGAGTCTTGCCTTTTTTGCCGTTGTTGTTCTGAATGCCGAGGGATCCTACGCCAGGAGCAGGAGCTGGAGCAGGAGCAGGTTCTGGTTCTGGTTCGGCATGTGCCTCAGGCATGGCGGCTCGACGACTAGCCGCCTTTTTCGGTCGCGTCTTCTGCACGACTGGGCCGTGGCCGAACCCGTAGCCCTGGGCGAATTTCTTCAAGGCGTCGCCGGCCCCGTGTGCACCAGCGTTCGGGGGCATGTCAGGCCCGGCGGTTGGGTTCGGGTGGATAGGGTAGAATGGATCTGGGTTTGCGTCAGCGTTGGCCACCGGCTCAGCCGAGGCGTCTCTTTTCAAGTGGTGCGGTCGGGCCCCAGCTCCTTCATGGGGAATTGCGTAGGCTGCTTCTTCGGGGACGCGGTCGTCGCGGTATAGCTGGCCGCTTCGGGGGTTGACGATGGCATTGAATGAGCCACTGCCACCGGCACTGGCACCGTCGTCCTCGACTGGTTGGTAAGGAGCGGCGGCGGCGAGCGAGGCTGTCAGGGTGAGAAGCGGCAAGAGGGCGATGATCTTCATTCTTTCAGATTCAGATGACGAGTAACCTTGGGTGACGGGGTAAGTGGTATGAGTGTAGATGTGACGGTGGGGCCGAGTCTTGACGCGAGTGTGTATATAAATATATATGTGTGTGTGTGTGTGTGTGTGTACGTTGAACTGTCAGTAGTAGACACTTTCACGTGGTAGTATTCTCTTCTTGTTTTGGAGGTGATGTTGTTCTGTCTTGCATGGTAGAATCGACCAACTCCACAACCGGGGGACCGTATGTATACCAGGACGGCTATTCAGACCCATTTCGGGCGAGGTCTTTGTTCGCGGTTCGCGGTCCGTAGGTATGATTGGAGCAGAACTCGGTGTATGTTGCTTTGCTTTGTCTGGAGATGGAGCTCATTGGGGCCGAGTGGCTCTTTATTCTCAGTCGGACAAGAGACAGGAGGTAGATATGAAAAGTACTTACTCTATAACCTGTCTGTATCTGTGCTGGGATGAGGTACGTAGATATACAGGTTACTCTGTACTCAGTACTCTCTTCCCTGTATATGTCTATGCTGGGATGAGGTACGTAGATATACAGGTTACTCAGTACTCAGTACTCTCTTCCCTGTATATGTCTATGCTGGGATGGTGTCTCAGGTTAAGGATATTCTGCTCATCACACAGCCGTGTCTGGTCCCCGTATAGTTCTTAGTACAGTCTCCGTATGGTACTTAGTACAGTTTCAATCGGGCATCAATGGCACCCGTCAGTGCACCGAGACGCTGAGTACTAAGTAAGGTACTGAGTATAGTATAGGACTAAGAACATTCTGAGCGAAGCAGCTCCCGGTCGTCACCCACCGTTCAAAGACAGCACGCCGTTGCAGTCGAGGTCGAGGTCGGCCTAGTCTGGCGGCGGGCGATACTGATCCTGCGAGGGAGATGGAGGCTAACATGTTACCCGTTCTCTCGATGTCAGAGTCTTGTCAAAGGACGACAAGAACATCATTGTATTAAAGCAATGGCCTTCGGGCATCAGGCATCAGGTATCAGGCATCAGGCATCGAGCATAGGGTGAAGACTTCACTGGCTGTGCTGGGTTAAACGATTGTCCATTGTTACAGAGTAGATGACAGGATAAAAATAGCACAAGCTTCGCCCAACACGGCATGTTTGTACTAAGCAAGTTAGCCGGGAAGTGTACTAAAATTAAGCTTGACGCCAGGGCCTCTTCCATTGGACCAGCCCCGTTAGCTTTATTAGTGCAATCAGGTGACCGCGCCATACCGCTTCGGGCCTCGCTGTCGCCCAAATCTCACTTCTTTTCTTCCACGACACAGCCCTCAGCACTAATTCTGGCACGATTCGCCCGCCATGCTTCTTCCATGCAAGCGCTGACCGGACTGGACTGGCAACATGACCGCACTACTGTACTCCGTACTCTGTTCTCTATACTCCGTACTCCCTCTGTACGCGCGGCGATCATCCTCCTCCACCCAAGTCGTACGTGGTATGGGATGCGTGGTACAGCGGCCAGCGGCCAGCGTACAGCCTTCTCTGCTGGCCCTCCGCTAGACTGCATTCATGTCGTTTGCTTTACCGCTGCCGCTGCCGTGACCCGACCAGACCCGACCAGGCTATGCAGTTCTATTATCGTTGTTGTTGTCTTGTCGTCGCTCCATCCTTCTGCCCCTCTCTGGCTCATGGCTATGTCTACACATATAGCAGCAGTCATATCTAAATACCCACGCTTGCCAATTCCGCAAGGTGAGCATACACACTACGGAGCACAACCACCCCGGTATACTAACCATAGTATGCAAGCCATGTCAGCAATGCAATCTGATCCTTCACAGCCCCCAGGAGCCTTAGGAGCCCCAAATCTTAGCTTACCGGACAAGCTCACACAAGCACTACTGGTGGCCCCAGGGTACGGTAAGATGCATATATCAATGCTCCTGCAACCTCCTTTCCATGACTTGGCTCCCTTCCATACAACAGCAACAACAACAACAATACGAATTTCCTTTTGTTACATTCGTCTGTCTTTTCCCATAAAAATTACAAAATATATTACTTGGTTTCCATTCTGTCAGAACACACTCTCTTTCCACCTATTTAGAAAGACTACACTATTTCAACATGCATTTCCAAACCATCGCTCCAGTCCTCGGGTCTTTGGCCCTCGCCTCGCTCGTTGCCGCGGTTCCAGTTCAAAAGCGCGGGTTCATCGCATATGGTGATCGTGGCGATCACATCAAAGCCTGGCAAGACTCATCGTCCTCTTCCGTCGCACCTTGGGGCTCCCAAGGTACAGCCTCCGGTGGCCCTGGTGGCGGATACCCTGCACCGACCGCCTCGGGCTCTGCTCCCCAACAGACTGGCGGCTCTGCTCCACCTACGTCCAACTCGGGCGATGACCCGTTCAAGTTCCCTCTCTCCAATGGCTTTCCCGTCATCCAGGCGGGTTCGCCACAGCTTAATGCCATCGAAGATCAAGCGCATGGTCTCCTTCCCAACGGCCCTCCTCCGCCAACCCCTCCCGCCGATGACGATCTCACGTCTCTGCGTCTGATTGCCTTCAACGAGTTGTGGGAGGTGGCTTTCTTCACCGAACTGCTGGCCAACATCACGAACAACGTGGCGGGGTATCAATTCCAGGACGGCGCTCAGAAGCAAGCCTTGGTCAATGCCATCACAGCAATTCAAGCCCAGGAGGAACTGCACACCCTCAATGCCAACAACGCCCTCGCGCACTTCAACGCCGGCCCCATCCAGCCGTGCGAGTATATTGCGGGAGTGGACAATCTGCAAGACGCCATCAGTCTGGCCTCGACCTTTACCGACGTCGTGCTCGGCACGCTGGGCGACGTGCAGACCCACTTTGGCCAGAACGGCGACGCCGGGCTGATCCGCGGGGTGGCAGCCGTCATCGGACAAGAAGGCGAGCAGAATGGCTTCTACCGCAGCCTGCTCGGCGAGCTCCCCAGCCAGGCTCCGTTCTTGACCGCATCGGCGCGCGAATTCGCCTTCTCCAAACTCAACCAGCAGTTCGTGGTGCCCGGCTCATGCCCCAACAGCAACACCATCGCCCTGCCCGTCTTCGGCGTCCTGAACTTGTTGACCTCGGACGTCAAGGCGCAAGACCAGTCTCTGCAGTTCTCCTTCTCCGCGTCCGGCCAGTACAGCAAGTACAGCTCGACCCAGGGCCTGAGCCTGGTCTTGATCAACCAGCAGAACGTGCCCGTCGTCGAGCCCATCACCCAGGCCCAGGTCGCCAAGGACGGCACCGTCAACTTCTCCGCCAACTTCCCCTTCAACGAGTTCAAGATGCACGGCCTGACCATTGCCGTGGTTGCCCAGGGTTCGTCTTTTGCCACCGTGGCCGACGTTGCCAAGGCTACTGTGTTTGGTCCTGCCTTGATTGAGGTCGACTAGATGAGTGTGATGGGATGATTTCGGGGTGACAATGCTATCCTCGAAATCGACTATCTATAGCATGGATGAGTGCGTTGATCTGGCGCCACAAGAGGACACAAGTCCAAGTCCAAGCAGACATGACTTGGAGGAGACCAAAGATCATCTCATCCGTGCAAGTGACGAGTCGGACGAAGACGAGGACAAGGACGAGGGGCGCAATCTGACGCTTGGATATTTTAGAACCCCATACGGAGTACTTAGTACTTATGATAATCGTTCCATACGGAGCATAGAACCTTAGCTAATGAAATCATTAGTTATTGCATTGGAATTCATTCATTCACTTGCTCACACTGAAAGCCTGCTGCAATTAATTTATTTGCTTCCACCGAAGGCCTGCTGCCTAATGCAAGGCTGGGAATGCCTAGGTTTGACAAGATTTGATGTGATAGATCTAAAGCTACCTAGCTGTGCATGCCTATGATGTGATCGATTTAAAGCTTGCTAGTTGTGCATGCCCCTACATTGGTGTCACTGCAGTTGCCACGGCCACCGTCCGTCGGTTGTGGCCATCTGCTGCTCCAGCATGCGTCGGCCATGTTCCACCAGCTCTCTCGAGTCGTCCGGCTGCAGCGGGCGCAGCGAGGTCTTTCCAAGAGCAGTTTCAAGAACCGATATCACCGACAGGACCCTGTACGAGGCACGCGTGGTCAGGCTGAGGCCCACAATAACACTGAGGGGTGGCTGGGATGCAATAGAACGCTCAGGGATGGATGGATGGATGCAATGTCATATCATATTTACCTCTTGCCCATCACGGTGATGGTGTCAATGTGCTTTTCTTCCCACCACAACACTCTCAGCAGCGTGTATCCGGCCGACAAGCCGGCGGTCAGCGCGGTCCACACCTCAAGGCTGAATTGAGATCCGAGATTGTCCATCATGTGCACGACCAGCGGTCTGGCTAGATGGAACCGTGCCAACCAATAAACCAGCCTCAGCCGCGTGGCGAGGGCCGAGCCGGCACTGGCATCCCTGACGGGGTCGCACGACCAGCCCAGGGACAGGGGCAGGTTGTGCTCCCAGATGACCAGTTGGTTCTTGAGCTCCAGCACAATGGGCGACGTGGCCAGCATGGCGGCTCGAGTCTCCTGAGGGAACTTGGCCTCACATGACGCGGACATGGACATAATGCGCGCCAGGATGGCCTTGAGCGATGTCTCGGCGAGGAAGAACATGTAGATAATGCGGGCGTGCTTCTGCAGGTGGCTCAACGAGGACTCGTCACACCCAATGGGAAGAGGCAGGTGGTTCTCCAGCTCGCCCAGGTGGCTCCGAGGAAGAATCTCGAGTTCGCTTGTGACGTCTCTGCCCCGAATCAGCCTTGCTCTTGTCCCTTTCGCCAGCTGCACCATGAGATGCTCGCCCGGACGGGGCTCAACCTACCGATCCAAGTTGAAGCAGATCCAGTACATGCGAAGAATGGTGTTCTTCTCGTCGGGCGGCCTCGACATCTTCCGTGCCTCGTCCCTGCATCGCCAATGTCAGTGGTGACCCTGCATCACCGAAGGACTTCCTACTGTTTGATCATGGCATACAGCGTGTTGCAGCCGTCGTGGAGCCAGTGCCAGCAGTCGAGAAGCTGGTGCCTCTTCAGGAGGAAGAGCGCGCACAGAACCTGACTTTGGGCGAACTCCAATGTCAATTGAAGCGGCAAGACGCTCAAAAGCTGCACTGCCTTGACGAAGATGGCCAAATCTTCTACCGTGATGTGGGGTGTAGCGTACGCCTTTGCCAGCGACATGACGAGAAGGGTCATGCACGAGGGGAGGTCATCGGTGAACCCATTGGCCGCCACTGTCGAAGTGATCTCGCACAAGACCACGTCGCAAATGATGGGGAAGAGCGGGCACACGAGGTCCAGAAATTGGTCGACGAGGGCATGAATTGCAGCCGGGTCAATATCACCTTCACCCACATGTCCTGACTCGGGCTCGACACTTGATCGACCCCGGTGGTCAGCCACGCCATATGAAAACGTCTCGATGCCGACAAGTCCATTGTCAGGGGGAACAATGCTGTGGTGATCTTCGGCAGAGGCGGCCTCAAGTGTGAACGGGGTCGAGAGCGGCTCCTGAGGCAACACGCCCAACGAGGTGGCTGTGGTTGAGCTGGACAGGGCCGAGTAGAAAGAGGGATCAGGATCGTGAGGACTGCCAGTGGTAGAGACTGGACACGTCCTTTGACTCGCGAGAGAGTCAACTCGGTTTTCGAGGGCCGCGATGCGCTCCAGCAAGAGGGACGCAGTCGGGGTTGAGCTGGGAGAGTCCGTCAGCGTCGGTGTCACGGTGGCACACGATGGGGTGAAAGGGTTGGCCTACGCTGGCCTGACAGTGGTGGACTGAGAATAGACGCATCGGATGCCATGCTTCTGGCAGAAGGCACACACCGGCCGGCCTTCGTTGCATTTGACCTTCTTGATGCGGCACGTCTCACAGGCCTACAGAGGATCCTCGGGGTCAGAGGTCAGAGGTCAGAGGTCAGGGCGTGGAGGTCGCAGTGGGTGGTGGTGGCCATAGCCATGCCCAGGAGCTCTCACCGTAGAAGCGCGGTCACGCCTAGGTCGACGCCTAAGGCTGCGGCTCATCGCCTGGGGGAGGCCGCCTGAGCCTAGGGCTGGGGTGCGATCGTGCGTCTCGAGGGGTTTGGGGGCGCGGGGGATCAGTTCTGGCCGCACCCGCTGCCAGGAGGACGTGTCGCGCGGTGGCATCGCGTCCACTGTTTCCGGACAACGTGTGTAACTGTATTGTACATGACCTGCTGGTCTCGAAAGACCAAAACACCTTCATCCGACCTCCAGGCATCGGCTGCCTCTTCTGGTTTATCGCTGGCAGTCCAGTCCAGTCCACGGCTGGATGGCGACAGAAGCAGGGCCAAAGGTGTGCGAGACGAGTGGAACTCTTGTTCAACCACAGTCGACCTCAATCCACCACCAGCGTCTCCACCGCCCGACGGCTCTCAGTCGGCTGGTATACTGTACCCAGTATACACAGGCTACAGTAGATTCACACCCTGCCTGTCGCCAATAGAGTCACGTCCCGAAATCCCCGAACCTCGCATGGGCTTGTCGTCGAGATTCGCCTATTGGCTACACACGGAAGCTGTCCCGCCAGCCATCGAGGGCGACGCGATAGTGGTGCAGAAGGTGTCATGTTGCGATATCATACAACCGCCTGCCTGGGGTCATTCCACCCCGGGCGGGTGCACAAGAGAATAGCTATAAGTTGCAATCTCGAGGAGAGGAACGGCAGACCCCAAACCCTAGAACTTGTTTTCCACGTCGACTGCACCGCGTAACCATGGCGGTACCAAGCGAGCGAGCAGACCGTTCACTGCATGTCGCCATCATTGGAGCAGGCCCGGCTGGACTGGCGGCCGCCATCGAGTTCGCGAAGCTGCCCTATGTGCACTGGCGGCTGTACGAGCAAGCCACGGCCATCCGCGAGGTGGGCGCTGGGATCAGCGTGCAACGCAACACCTGGCGTATCCTCGACGTGCTCGGCGCCTCCAAGAACTTTGCCCCCGGCAGCTTCTACCGTGCGGCTGACGGGCACTCTGTGCAGCATCGGTGCGAGCAACTTGATGGCGAAGGGCGAGGTTCCCCTGCTGACGAGGCTATTTGTACACAGCAACGGTAGAACAACCGAGCTCTTGGACTCTCATGGTCAGCAAGACACGCCGTCAAACCACCTACATGCCCGCACGAGGCGCTCGGTCTTACAGAAAGCTATCTTGAAGGAGGTCGACTTGAGCCACGTTAGGCTTCAGTCCCGTCTGGTCAGGGTCGAGCAAAGACCCGGGGGCAGGCTGCGACTCGAATTCGAAGATGGCTTTGAAGACGAGGTCGACCTGCTGGTGGGAGCAGATGGGGTTCGCTCGGTCAGTGACATCGTCCCGTCCCATCACCCTCGCGGCGGGGATATGGTGCTGACACTGTCAAGGTCGCCCGAGCCTTCGCATTCCCGCAGCACCGCATCAGCTACACTGCCAGGAAGGTCTACCGCTCTCTCGTGACCTACGACGAGATGGCCACCATTCCCAATGTCCCCGACGCAGTGACGTTCTGGCATGGCCCGACTTCCTGGCTGTACACGTGTCCCCTGGGGGACAATACGTACGAGATCACGGCTATGGTCACCGAGCACGACGAAAGAGAAAGCCAAGTGAGTTGGGGCCAGGAAGCTTCCTTCGACCAGGTCACGCCGCACTTTCAGGTTCGTGCCCCTATTGAGCTCTCCCTCCTCGTTACTGATGTTGGCTAGGACTTTGCGCAGATTGTGAAGGACATCATCGTCCTGCCGAAGACTGTCCAGCAGTACGCTCTGTTCGCAGGACCACAGTTGTCCACGGTCGTCGCGCGCGATTCGATTGCACTGGTGGGCGACGCTTCACATCGTAGGTCCTTGACTTCCCCCGGTTCATCACTCCGTCATCTGGCTAATTTCACTCTCGTGTAGCTCTATCTGGTGCTTTCGGTACGTATCTGCTCAATCCACACGATGGCGAGGTCTTCCTAGAGACAATTGACATCTGACAACTACCCTGTGGTGTAGGTGCCGGAGCCGGCTTCGCCCTGGAAGACGTCTTTGTGCTTGCCCGGTCGGTTGCTTGGGCTCATGATCGTGGGTTGGCGCCGGGGGACGGCTTGCGACTGTTTGACCAGATCCGATCGCCTCACTACCGTCGACTGGTAAGTCTGGCGGGACTCTTTATACCGCACCACGATGGCATATACTGATGAAACCGGGGCAGTATGGTGTCCTCGACAAGTTCGCCGAAACCGGTGCGTATCTGAATAGCCTGAGTCCCACGCCATCATTCGACACCGCCGTCCGCATCCTGGTTGAGAATAATTGGGGAAATGACCACAACTGGCTGTACCATTACGACGTACGTATCTATCCCGCACTCCTGCACACGGCCTTTCCGTCCGGCTCATGTCATGGTGTTCAGGTCCAGAAAGCGTGGAAAGACGCGGTCGAAGCGGAAGACCAGCGTCTTCAGTCTAGTGCACGGGCGAGGCTTTAGACTAGAGTGGCTCACACGGAATAGACACGGGATACATGAAACATGAGCGATAGATTACAATTGTGCCATAATCACAATCCAAGGCGGTTTGGCGACAGCGTCTAGCCCCGGATGCCACCTCATCGGAGTCTAAGAATGCCATTTGTATGCGACCCACCGTCAGCAAATCCTGGTTCAGGATCGCGTGCTTCGAGACCCTCTCAGTTCTCGATTGCCGGCAGACCATACCGGTTCTGTTACCAACGACATCTCCCCTGTCTGCATCCTTCCGGACCCCGGACTGGCTTCCGGCAGCAGTCTATTGGACGGCACATGCTGGCGACGGTGGTCTCAATCGAGGTTGGACGAACACACCGGCTCGAATGAAGCCATTCATTCTCCTGGGTTGAGCCAATCCAGCCTGTCCGACGAGTCACCATAATGGCCGTATCTCTGCTCTTTATAAACAGCCACTGCCCAAGACACTGTACGGTGGTGCTGCAACCCCAGGCGACTGTCGACCTCTGTGTGTAATCGCCATGGCGTTTCTTTCGAAGAATACTCGCTTCCACCCCTGGTATGTCATGTCTCTCTCACCTGTCCTATGTCAATCGTAATTTGTCTGACCAGGGATCAATCCATCAAATAGGTACAGTGTCCTGGCGGTGGCATGGACGGCATTCTGCCACCCAGGCATGTTTTCGGCTCTCAATGTATGGAGGACGCTCACTTGCTTGCACAAAGCTCCCTTGCTGACCAAACCATCCAGGGACTTGGTGTACGTGCTGCCCCCCTGCCGTACGTTTGCCTCAACCCGGAGCAACACTCATAGCGTTTCTCTCGTCCAGGCTTCTGGTGAAGAGACACCCGCACTTTCAAACACAGTCAACGCTGTCACCTTCGGCGCCCTCACTGTCGGCGGCTTCTTCACTGGCATCATTTGTAACTACATTGGTGTTCGATGGACTCTTGTGATCGGCACCATCGGCTATGCTCCATATGCTGGTCAGTCAGACTCAGGCCCAGTCCGTGTCCGGTCACAAGCCAGAGGCGACATCTCCTTTGTTCACTTCTAACTAGGTCAATAGCCGCCTTGTATACCAACGCAGCGTTCGGGAACAAGTGAGTTATTTCCATTGAGTCGCAGCCTTGCCCTGCTGATCCTGATTCCGCCAGGTGGTTCCCGATCCTGGGCGGTCTTCTCTGTGGCATCAGTGGCGTTCACCTGTGGACAGCCTCAGGGGCCATCAACCTCGTTTGTAAGTCCGGCTGCCACGTTTGCCACGTATACTACCCACATCTTTGGTAACCTGCTCACCAGTGTCTTCCAGTTCCCGACGTCACCCAACGTGGACGAGCGGTGGCGACCAAATTTCTCTTTCAGAATTTCGGAGGCTTCATCGGCGGCATTATTTCCTTTGGGATCAACGCCTCTGGGTCGACGAGAGGCCGTGTTTCTGACGGTAAGCACCTACCCTGCTTCGTATTGGGCGGACTGGCACAGATTAACTCGATGACTCCCAGCCACCTACTTCGCCTTCACCAGTATCATGTGCCTCGGCCTGCCTGTGGCTCTGACCGTCCCTCGTGCCACCCAGATAGTTCGGAAAGACGGCTCGCACGTGGCTGCCCATCAATTCCAATCCCTGCGCGAGGAATTTGCCGGCCTGAAACGCACCTTGACAAGCACAAACTTCCTGTTACTGCTCCCATTTTTTATTTACTGTGTGAGTCCGACTCGCAACGCCCGTGATCAACAGCCAACTGCCTAGACCTCCTGAGCGAACAGAGCGCTAACTCCTCGGGTACAGCAATGGGATCTTGCCTATATGTGGACCTGGAATGCCGCCTACCACAGTGTCCGGGCCCGTGGCCTTCTCTCTGCCTTCTTCTACCTCAGTACGTCTCCGATTCAGGTCAAAAGAGGGCGTCTCATGGTCTATTTTTCTGTTCTCTGACCAAGCACTGCAGTTGGCCCAACCATCATCGGTCCGATTCAGGGATATCTCCTGGACAAGACTACGTGGTCCCGACGGTCGCGGGCCAGAATCGGCACCACCCTTTTCGCAGTGATCTCCCTACTTACCTGTAAGAGGATTGTGTTTTGACCAAGTGTTCTGTCCATATCAGCATAATCCAATGCTGACACTGCGGCCTTTGTAAGGGATCTATGGCCTCGTGGTTCAGTACCAGTACGACAAACGGGACCCTAGCGAAGTCATCGACATTGTGGACCCCGTCTTCGCCAAGTCGTTTCTTCTTTTCGTGCTGTATGGGCTCTTGGAAAATTCGACCATGGTTGTCATGTATTGGACAATGGGTTGGGTTCCCCTCTTTTCCTAGGACAATTGCTTCGTCTTCTTCAATAGCATCAGCTGATAATTGTTTTGGAACAGGATCCCTCGGTCTACCTCCCGGTGAGATTGCCTCGTTGGTCGGTCTCGCCACGGGGATTGGTTCAGCCGGTTCGACGGCGGCATTCATCCTGGGAGCGAAGAACGTCGCGCTCATTTGGCAGCTGTGGGCCAACGTCATTACCTTTCTTGTTGGCATCCCGGGCTTGTTGTACGTCAGCTGGTTCCGCATTGCCGAAGATTCGGAATTGGACGCGGCCACGTCCAAGCGAATCGAGAGCGAGCATTCGTATGACGACAAGAGCCTAGGTCTGGAACCGGCATTCGACAGCAAATTAACCCCTGGCGAGGGCGCCGCTGTCATCGTTGCCGACCTGGTGAGGTCGTCGAAGGACCTGGCGCAAGCGAGAACTACTGGAATTTGACTTGGATTGGAATCCCGCGCCGGTGCCGACGCCTGCGCCTGACAAGCCTGGAGCGGTGTAATTGTTGTCTCATGCCGGTAATTGGCCAAAGAATCGGAATTCAAGGCAACGCCGCTCCCCTGGGCCGTGGTCGTCTGAGCGGGTAGGGAGCAAAGTGGCTGAATGGCCATCTGGTAACATCATCCCGGGGAGTGTCACGGTTTACCCAAACTGTTACGGCTGTCGTGGTGTAACAGTTTGGGTAAACCGTGACAGGGAGTATAAGATGACTAGAAGGGTATGGTTATACGGGTAACAGAAGAGATATACGGAGAACAAGAAGAGACATGGTTATATAGATAATAGACGGGACGGATCCTAAGAGAACTAGAAGAGATCCTGGATCCAAATAAGAGATAATGGAAAGGTGGGAAAGGGAAAGAGAAATGAGACAGAGACATGTCGCCAGAGACAAATACAGATACGGGTATACAAACTAAAACCAAACCCTTTGACATGGCGGCACGGAAGGATCAAATAGGGAAACGGTGCGAAGCCAATTCGCGCGGAACTGCTTACTCTTACTGGAAGACTGGAAGACTGGATGATAGAGGAATCATTGCTCAGTCTCAGTCGAAGTTGACGACTTACTGTACAAGTGATTGGTGGTTACTGTATCTACGGAGTAGGTATCCTAGTCCTAGGTGCCAGGTGGAGAAGCTTAATTTGGGTATCCTTACGGAGTATGCTGACCCCTTTTCGGGATATCGAATTATTCTATACATAGGGTTAGGGTTAGGTTATAAGAGAGGCTAAAGCGGCGAGGGCGATCGCTATGTCGACAGCCTTGCCCCTCATGACATGGTCACGTGCGGACGCCTCCCGCCAACACTTGCGCACGCCCAATAACTACTCCTCCGTAGTCCGCTGTGTGCGCGTGCATGTGCCCGGTGTGCCTCGATTTGAACTCGACCACTCGTAGAGATCTAGCAGAGTACAGAGTACAGAGTCCAAAGTACTCCATACAGAGCACCTATCTGGGAAGACAATCCTGGCTGCGGATTACACACCTCTCACCTCCTACCTTTTCCCTCTTTTCAGCCTCTCGATTGATTTACCCCTCGACTGCTGGCCACCCTCTCCTCAAGCACTCGATTAGCCACCCACCTAGCCACCCTACCCTTCCATCACTGGCCACGGCTACCTCTTCAAGCCGGGAATCCCTATTACTCACACATTTTCCACTCCCGTCCGATCCTCGAAACTACGATCCTTTGGCAAGATTGCTTCAGCCTTAAGAGCGTTGGATCCTCGGCGCTGACATGGAAAGACAAGATCTACCACACGACCAGCCGATGCTGATGGCGATCCTGTAGCCAGCGTCATCACTCACAACTCAGGCCTCCCTCCAATCGACATTTATCCCTAGCAGCCCGCAGACCGAGGGACCGGCCCCGGCCCCGGCCCCCTCCCTAACAAGATGCAAGGCTTCAACATGGGACGCTATGTCCCGCCGGAGCTGGAAGGATCGGTGTCGTTCAATGCCGCCTCGGGCAAGGGCCACGCGCTCGGCAACCGCGCGCGGAAGTTGAAGAGCGAAGGGATCCTCACGGTTCGATTCGAATGCCCGTTCGCCATCTGGTGCACCCACTGTAACCCCGAGCATATTATCGGCCAGGGCGTGCGGTTCAACGCGGAGAAGAAGAAGGTGGGCCACTACTACAGCACTCCGATCTGGAGCTTCCGCTTCAAGCATACCGTGTGTGGCGGGTGGATCGAGGTGCACACCGATCCGCAGAATGCAGAGTATCTGGTCGTGGATGGCGGTCGGAGGAGGGACACTGGCGAGGACAAACTCCTCGACGGCGAGATCCGACTCGGCGTCTCCGAGGAAGACAAGCAACGGCTCGAGCGCGACGGCGGGTTCGGCGCGCTGGAAAAGAAGGTGCACGACAAAACGCTGTTCCTCGGCCAAAAGGAGAGGTTGGACCAGTTGGTGGCGGCCAGCGAGCGAGACTGGGCCGATCCCTACGAACGAAGCAAGAAGCTGCGGACCGAGTTTCGAGTTGGGAGACGGAAACGACAGGCAGACGAAAAGACAGGCGAGGCGCTCAAGGACAAGTTTGGCCTCGAGGTCGACATGCTGAGCGAGCTGCCCGAGGACGGCGAACGGGCCAAGTACGTGGATTTCGGTCAGCAGATGGAACCCTCCAGCACCTCGAAGCCCATGTTTCCGTCCCCGATGCGCGGCCTGCCCGCGAGATTCAAGCCCCATTCGGAACTGGACCAAAGGGAACTCTTGCAAACTCAGTTGGCTGCCAATACTCGCCTCGCGGCAGATCCTTTCCTGCGTGAACAGGACCTGTGGGAACCCCGGACTAAACGGAAAAGGGACGAGGAGGAAAAGGAAAGGGTGCACGGCAAAGTTGCAAAAACACAGTCACGGACACAGAGCCTGGCGTTGGTTGCTTATGATTCTGATTCATCATGATACCCTGGATTCTAGAGTGCAAAGCAATTGTCATTGTCACATACATATCGTTCCTTCTCGGACTCGGTCTTGCCGCCAACACCCAGAAGCCTACTTTCGTTCCGTCGGACGATTCTGCTCGTGCTTACTCCAGTTTTCTGTGAGTGGTGGCAAAGTTCGTCTTTGAGCGGCAGCATATCCACTGCGCGGAGGTGGCGGCGCGGGGCCCCGACTCGCCCATGGCGCCTGAGTGACGCCGTTGACGAAGCCTAGGGGTGGTTGAGAAGGTGTCCCTGCCCAAGGGGCTTCCCCTGGTCGTGTCGTGCTGGGTGAAGCAGCTGTGGGGGTTCGAAGGGGCTGACTAGTAGCATGGGTCGTTGGCGGAGGCGGCCTCGCTTCAGCATCCTTTTCCCATCGGAATAGGGAGCCAAACAGAAAATGCTGGACCACGGGGAATTTCGATAGCACCTCTGCATTGAACATCTTGATCATTCCCTTGTTGATCTTGCCCCAACCACCGTTGATGCCGGAGATGTCGTACAAGACCGGGCTGTGCTCCCAGAAGGGCCCTTTCTTGATGTCGTAGATGAAGGCAATGGCAGAGAAATACATGTTCTTGTCCTTTTCTTTCTCGACCAGATTCGATTTGCTGACCCAGGACGGTTCGGGGGCGCCGGGTAGCGACCCCTCGGTCGGGGTGTCGTCGGACTCTGTGATGGCGGGTGCCAGTTGAGCTGCGCCGAAAACGTAGGGCAAGAAGGAGTTGTCGTCGAGACCCCAGACACCGTGCGATCCGGCCGGTTCGAGGGTGTAGGTCACGATGAGTTTCCTGATAAGGGAGAGATACTGTTCAAACACGCCCAAAACAATCCCCCTCTCTTCCACGCCTGCGTCTGCCTCAGGAAAGAAGCCTAGTTTCCACAGGCCGCCGAGAAAGGCCAGGAAGCTAAGCTCGTGTCCCGTGCCGTAGTCCAATCGTTGTGCACTGCCGAAACTGCCCAACAGGTATGAAGCCAATTCTGGGTAAGCGGGTGCCAGCCATTCAGGGAGACACTCGTTCAATAAGTTGTCTCGTTGGTCTTCGACGAGTTGGTGCCATTTTCGAAAGCTGACATTGCCGAAGCGCCGAGGACCGGTGTCTAGAGGGACATCATCGACCAGCTTGCTCAGTCTCGTCAAAAGAGCACGTAACCTCTCGACAGAGTCTGAATATGCAACGTCCTTTGACTTCAATGGCCAGGTCACCACCCTCGCCGTCCCGTCCACGTCCTGTTTCCGCGGTACGACGGATCGATTTAGCTGGAGCATAAAGGTCATGATATCTCGGTACGCCAGAGAGGTCAGAAAGAAAGTGACATCGGAGCCATCGTAAATCTTCTTGACGGGCTCTTCGAAGCGATGTGTTTTGACATCACCGATCCTCTGTAGAGTGGGAAAGCCTGGCATTGTTAATGGGACCAGAGTCAAGGCACGAGTTTCTAGAAGAGCCTGTGGGTTTGAACTCGTGGTGGACGGTGGAAGAGGATGAAGGCTGCTTTACTGTGGCTCTGTCTGTGTCGAGATGTTGAATTACGTATTTGGGAATTATTTGGTGGCGGAGACAGTGACGGACGGACGAAGACTGCCGTTGAGAGCAAATACCCCGCCCTACACGCGTCGCGGCGCAGTCGACGCGACAAGCTTGAGCCCATGTGCTACCAGGTATTGATCAAATGCAATGTCCGTCCATGGAAGCTACACGTAATGTACCACTAGGACAGCACCTCCGTCAACCCACAAGGTGCCTAGTATCTCGCTCGGCGCAGACTTCGAGTCCTCCAGCATGTTCACCCCATCATGCCGGTATCTACGCGCCGATCTACCATCGGAGCCACCACGGTGGCAGACAACAGCGCCGAAGCTGTGACGGCCATTCTGAACAACGTAGCCGGTAGCAAAATGAGCAACTCTGGGCGAAAGCGAAAACGACAGTCAGAGGTCCATGATGCCCTCGCCACCACCCCCACCCCAAGCAAACGTGCTACCGTAGAGATCCCAACCACGGCCGTCCCGACCACCACGCGACAATCGGGAAGGCTCAAAGCCCGAACCTCGCTTGCGGCTCCTCCCCTACCGCCGAGAGGCGACCCTTTCCTGTTCCCAGCTGCTGATGAGGACGGGGACGAGGCAGAGTCAGAGCAGGGCACTCGGGCCGAACCAGTGAAAAAGTCGAGGCGATTAAAGCAGCCAAAACAACCCGAAGAGTCGCCGTTCAAAGGGAGAGGCGTGCTGGAGACCCGGAGCACAGCGCGAGTGAACCTCGACGATTCTCCCGCACACCAGCCAGCCAGACACGCTCTGCGCAAAGTCGCCAAGTCGCTACAGAGATCTCGCCGTCCGCCAGCCCGGGAGGAATCTACGCGACCCCGGACAAGAACAACCGATGATGTGCCCTTTCAGGGAGAGGATATTCTTGATGTGGTGCATAGACAAGGTCGTTCGACCTCGCCGGTGGCTGACCCGGGTCCCAACCTGCCTGCTCCTGTCCCTGCGCCTGCCGCTCGTAAGACTGCAAATGGATCTCGGGATAGGCCACCTCTGACAAGAATAACGCGTCGGAGAGAGACTGATGATCGTGAGGCCACGGCGAGAAGACGAGCCCTCCAGAAGGAGCAGTCCAAAGCTCGAAACCCATCAGCCCAAGAAATAGATCGCTCTCGCAATGAGGAATCACCCTCGGAAACCTTTGTCACCAACCAAGGGGAGGTTGAGGAACCCTGGCCCCATGACTCAAGCGGGATGATTGATGAGGCTCCTGCCGACTTTGTCTCTGCATCTCAGCGCCCTGAGGCTGAGGCTGAACGAAGACGCAGGGAGCAGGCAGAAGCCGAAGAAGAAGCCAAGCAGCAACAGCGGATTAAGGATGCATTACGAGGCATTGAAGCAGCGATCGAAGTGCAGGGATGTAAGGATGCGTGGCAAGATGCCCTTGTCGGAAGAGCTCGGCTTTTGGAAGCGTCTTCACATGAGCCGACCTCGACTCTGGGTAAGGCGGCGGCGCGGGCCTTGAAGACTCTGACAACAGAGTACAGGAAGCTTGCAAGATCACCCCCTCCAACACCACAAGAGTCTGCTCAAGTGCTGCAAGAGAACTATCGTGTATTGAAAGAAAGATGCAAGCACATCCAGGCATATCGGAATCGACCGGACCTGGTCTACGATCGCGAGAGGGTAAGGATGGTCCGAGATGTCTATGGCCGTCTGATTCCAGACTCGCTGAAGCTGGACAAAGCTGCACTAAAGACTCTATTTCAGGACAACCAGCTAAGCCTTGCTGCCTACGAGGAGATATACCAGCTGCTTCAGATCACCAATCTCCTCGTGGAGACGGCCAACGAGTGGCAGCCGAGACCTAGCCTGGACCACCAGGGAAAGTCCATCGTCAAGAACGATATAGGCCCCAGCATCACTGAGATCATGGAACGATACCAGGATGCAATCGCCGACCAAGAACGAATCAAGTATGTCGACGAACTCGAAGCCCGGCAAAAAATGGATCTGAAGAAAACCCTCGCTGTTCACCAGCAGAAAATGGCGGAGAAACTGGCAAGGTATCGCAAACACATGCAAACCATCGCGACTGTCCCGGCCCTTCTTCAACCAAGTTCTCAGCTAGTGGTGGATATCGACGACCTGGATGTGGATGACCAACCTGCTGTGGACGGTGATCGGAATGGGGCGACAGGGGCTCACCGGGACCACGGCACGTTCGCACAACGACCTCGACGGAGAAGAGAGCCCACCGAAGAGATACCAGCACCGGGCCCGATCCAGTGGGAGCAGAACGAGATCAAACTGCTGGTGAAAGGTCTCCAGACGTACCGAACTGCCTCCAGATTCGAAGACATTGTCTACGTCTATGGAGGACCTGGTGGGGGGCTGGAAAAGTATGACATGGATCAGATCATGGCACAGGCCAAATGGCTGAAGCGGAGTATGGCCAAAAGGCTCCGAGACGAGAAGCACGATCGGGATTGGGACTGGCTAAGGAGTGTTCCGGAGTGAGTGGAAACATGGGTTAGGGAAAGTTTCATGTATCGGCCGCAACGTGCATTCCACATTTTGTACAGAGATATCCCCACGGCATGCTTGGTCTGTTTGATTTTGAGAACTGGTGTTTGGTCTATTGATGGAAACAAGATTGAGATCGACCTTTATTACATGCATGGATGGGTGGACGTAGGCGTGGGCGTTAGGTCGCGACAACAGTGGGACGGGCACGAACAAGATGATGCTGATACCATCTTGCAACTGGTCCACCGTCACCGTCGACAGCGGTTGAGTTTCTCTCGTCTCTCATCCGAGACATCGAGATGCAATTTCTGAGGAGTGAGGAGAGGCAGAAGGAATGATGGAGGAGGTGGAGGCTTCGTGCCTGAGACCGACACCACCACCACCACCACCACCACTATAGGTACCTAAGTAGTACTCATAAGTAGGCACGGATACTACTGTCTGACAGTCTGTAGCTGTACAGATCGGATACCCCGCCGTACCTAGCACCCAGCAGTGAGCACCATGCTCTCCAAGGCCCCTAATAATCCCCTAGTCCTCCACCACGCCAGGAACTCTGTACTAGTATACAACAGTCTTAGTGTAAGCCCTCGCTGCTCGCCGTGTCGCGTCTGAGTCGCGCTGGCGAATCAGTCTTGTTACAGGAGCAGCATCAAAGACGTTGGCAATCAATCGGTCGAGCCTGAGCCAATGGATCGGTGACCGAGACCCAGACAACTGAGGGCTGAAGACTGAGGGCTGAGGCATTGATTGACCCTTTCACCTGCCTGTCAACACCTTATTTTCCGCTCTACATTTCCCATTTTGCATTTTCCATTTCCCATATAATATCTGCCTCTGCCTCTGCAGCCCCTCTGTTTACCCTGCATCGTACGAATACAGCCGGGGATATTTGGTTCTGCAGAGGTCGCCAGCGGCACGGCCATGGACAAACATAGCTCTTCACGCAGTGGTGCTGCTGATGAGGCAAAGATCCGGCCACCGCACGCCTCCACCAAGCCATTGACCAAGCCGACTGCACCGAGACTCTCTACCAGCACCCGTCCTACTATAGCCTCCTCTGCGGCCAAGTCCATCGGCGGAGGTTCTTTGAGCAAACCCCCGGCACGCCCAACTTCTGCAACCACCACCGTCCGAAGACCCCCTAGCGCAACTGCGACTGCGACTCCTACAACAGCAGCACACCGTCCGAGACCATCGGTGACCTCGGTGACCTCGGTGGACGAGCGGCCGTCGAGTGACGAGAAGAGCAAGGCTGGTATATCCGCGCGGCCCAAGAGGGCGTCGCTGGCACCGTCGACCAGTGCCGACCGCACATCGACCTTGAGGAGTGTCGCCGCAACACCTGCCCGCCGTACGACCATTGCCCCCTCCACTTCGACTCGGCAGAGCATCGCGAGTCCAACTGGTGCCCGCAAAGTGCCCTCCACTCCGGGTATCTCACGGACTACTTCTACTAGTACCGTCGCTCCTCGGTCGAGACCGTTAACCTCCTCCATTTCAAGGAACGTCGGTGCCGTCGCACAAGCCGAGAAGAAGCGCCTGAGCACAATCCCTGCCTCTCCCGCAGTCAAGACAGATGGCGAGGAGCCAGAGGAGAACAAGGAGAATGCAGCAGCGCACGGGGAAGAAGACGAAGAGCAGAAAGCTCCTGTGCGTCCTTCTTTGGGGTCAAGGCAGTCGACACGGTCCGTCTTGATCGAACAGAAGATCCGCGAGTTTGAGTTGGTAAACACAATGCTCCAGGCTGCCATGACTGCTGATGGGGCAGATGGCGAAGAAAAAGAGTCCATCAACCAAGAAGCCTCGTCCATAATTGCAAAGCTAAAGTCGGACCTCGTCAAGGTGCGGGAGTTTGAGCGGGACAATGGACGGTTGCCGACAGAGGCAGAGCTCGACGAAGCCGAGTCCGTCAAGGAAGACTCAGAATCTAAATCACCCGTTGAGGAGGACAGGGGTCTGGGTGCAAGCGCCGACGGTTCTGTTGTGACAGAGTTGCAGAATGAGCTGACTCAAAGCAAGGCTTACGCCGAGGCCCTCCAGCGTGAATTGATCGACCTGAAGACCAAAGTCGAGGAATCCAACCGGAGCGCAGAAGAAGAGGGCCGTCGTGTGCAAGAGGCTACCGAGACAGTCCGTGCCGAGCATGTTGCGAAGATTGAGGAGCTGACTTCACTCCACGCGGACAGAGTTCAGGAGTTGGAAGCCTCCCATCAGAAAACGTTACAAGAGTTGCGCGACAGTCAGCAGTCCGGGGCTCAGTCGTTGGAGGAGACAATTTCTCAACATCTGGCGGTAAAAGAATCCGAGGTTGCAAAACTTAGATCTGAGTTGGACGAAGTGCGCAATGCTGCTGCCGTGAGCAGCTCCTCGAAGGAGGCTGAAGTTGAGAAGCTGATGGCCGAATTGGAGGCGTTGCGTATTGCCACCGCCAAAGACCAAGCGGCAAAGGAGGCTGAGATTGAAACGCTCAAACTCAACCTGGAGTCAAAGAAGATCGAATCCGAGACGGCCAGCCAAGCTGCACCCTCCCCTAGCTCGTCCCCGGCCCCGGCTCCGGCTCATGCCCAAGAGCTTGCCGATGCTCAGCAGAAACTTGAAGCTGCTAAGGCTAGGCACCTGGCGGCGAAAGATAACGCAAAGTCTAAGATTGCTAGGTTACAAGAAGAGTTTGACCACAAGGTCACCGCGCTAGAGGAACAGCACAAAGAGCAGATGGGGCAAGTCCAGGACAGACTGGGCCAAACGGAAAACGAGGTCTCCAAGAAGCAGAAAGAACTCGCTCAGCAGCAGGAGGAATATGCAAAGATTTCCGATGAGATGGCACGCCAGAGTCAGGTCATCCAAGTGCTGAAGAGCCAGGTCCTCGACTTCCAGCAGGCCAGTAAAGTTGAAAGTGATGCGCAGACCGCTTTGATAACCCAGCTTCAGGAAGAGCTCCAGGGGTTGGGACAGGAAAAGGCTGATCAGGCGGCGGCCGCGGCTGCGGCTCTTGCAGCTGCTGAAAAGGCATATGCCGAAAAGATTCAGGAGATTGAAAATCGGTTGAATCGGGCGCAAGAGGAACTGAAGCAGGCCGAGGCTCTGCACGAGAATAAGCTACAAGAAGCACTGCAAAATTCGGCCGACAACCTGAAGGCAGCGAAGGTAGAGCTTGAAAGCTCCACAGCGTCACACGCCGACAGGGTCCAAGCCATCGAAGCAGAGCTGCAAAAGGCCAATGAGTCAGTCATAGGAAAACAGGCCGAACATGAGCAGGCACTGTCAGCATTGCAGAATCAGCTTGACGCCGCAAGACTTGCTCTTGATGAAGCTGTCAAAAAACACGAAGCTGTATTGAAGGAACATGAATCAACGCGCACGGCTGCGGAGGTGCGAACGGCTGAGTTGAAATCCGCCCACGAGAAGGAGGTCGACCAACTCCGGGCTGAGTACCAAACGAAGCAGGAGGAAGAAATCGCGGCCTTGAAAGAGAGCCACATCCAGCAAATTCAACAGCTCGAACAGAAAATCCATTCGTCTGAAAAGGAAGTGGCTGCGGCCAAGGAAAACCACGCCACCCAAATCAAGCAATTGGAGCAACAGATGAAGGCGTCGCTGGCAGATCTAGAGACGCTTGAAGCCGGACATATCGAAGAACTCAATCAGGTGAAAGTAGAAGCTGAAGCATTGCAGCAAAAGGCGGCCGAAGAGGCAGAGTTGAAGCATACCGAGAGAGTGCGGCAGCTGGAGCACCAGCTCAACACCACTGAAGCGGAGCTGTCCAAGGCTCGATCGACGCACGCCAAACAGCTTGAAGACCTCGACAGGCGGAATGACCTGGATCAAGCGAGTGCCCTGGCCGCTCTCAAGGAGTCTCATTCCAGCATCGTCAGCGATCTCCAGGACCAATTGAGAGCTGCACAGGAGGCGATTGAAAAGGCCGAGACTGAGCATGCAGACCGACTCAAGCAATCGGAAGCACAGCTCACATCTCGCCACACCGAAGAGCTCGACTTGCTTAGAGCAAGCCATGCCCAAGAGCTCGAAAAGATCGAGAGCAAAGCCAAACTGAATGGTGAGCAAGCCCTGGAGGAAGCACGGTCACGTCTGCTCGAGGAGAACCGTCAACTAGAAGCGCAATCGAAATCGCTTCAGGGAGATCTGGACGTGACGAGATTCCAGATTCAAAGCTTGAAAGGGATCCTCCGCTCTATGGAAGAAGAGAGCAAGGAAAAAGACCAAGAGCATGCCGATAGTATTGAGAAGTTGGAACAAGATCTGTCCATGTCGGTTGTGAAATTGGCCGAGCAATCCAGCCGAATGATGCATCTTCAAATGACACACGATCAAGCGTTGGCAGAGGCAAAGAAGGCTTGGGAGAGCGAGTCCCAACAAAACTTGGAGAGTCTGCGAGCCGATCATGACAAGGCGTTGGCGGAATCGCGGAGGAATCTGGAGAACGAGCATCAGCAGTTGACGGAGAAGATTCAAGATGAACATGCCAAATCCGTCCAAGCGAGCCAGAGCAGCCACCAATCTCAACATGATGAACTTCGGCAACAGCTGAAGCAAGACTATGACAGCCAACTTGACGAGGTGTTGAAGACGTTGGAGAATCAGTGGAAGGCCCAAGTAGACCTCCTCGAGGATCAAAATGCGGCCGCTAGCGCCCGCCTCGCACAAACTCTCAAAGACCACGAGGAGGCGCTGCAAGCCACCCGATCGGAGCATGACGCCACCATCGCCAAACTGCAGTCTCAACTACAAGAAGCCCGCGGCGCAATCGAGGACACGACCCAGCTGGAGGGGGTGCGAAGTCAACTGGTCGAGGTGCAAGCCCAGCTCGGGGACATCAGCCAGAAACACGCCGAAGCGATGAGCGTGATCCAGGATCGAGAGTCCACTTTGGCTGTGCTAAAAGATGAGCTCGCAGCCACACAAACAGCATTAGAGCAAAGACGGGACTCGGCAGAGGTGGAGGAGCTCAACAGCAAATATATCGCGGCTCAAAAGGCTCTCGAAGAATCGCGCGAAAAACATGCTCAAGCGGTTCGCGATATTAAAGCTGGATATGACGCTAAACTCGAGAAACTGCTCACCGAGCTCAATGTTGCAAAGGAAGCCGCTGAAGGTGCACAGGTGCCCTCGAGCGATCAAACGGAGCTGGAAGCTGTCACTGCTCGTCTGGGCGATGCAAAGAAGACCATTGCCTCGCTACAGGCCGACTTAGATGGGGCTATGCTGGAAGTTGAAACGCAACGCAACCTGGCAGAGGAGTCTCAAAAGGAGGTGGAGCAACTCAAGCAGGTTCAGAAGCAGGCCGAGGTCATCAGCCTCCCGAGTCCCAAGCCACGACGAAAGAGCCGGAGCCCAAGGCGAAAATCGATGAATCCGTTATCACCAGGACCAGGGGCTTCCAAACTAGGTCTTGAATCTAGCAAGTGGGCCACCGAGGGGGACAAGGACAAGGATGGCGTTTCGAGTGACGCTGGGAAAGGTGGTAACGATGAGGCCAACCCGGCCGCCGAACCGATACCGACACCGACACCAGACACTCCAGGCCGGCACCCTCACTCTGGCACGATGGGCAAACGCAACGTCGCCGGACAGCTGGCCGGCATTCAGGAACAGATCAAACAATTGGATGATCTAAGCGAGGACTTTCTGGAAGACCACCAGAAGATGGCCAGCATGTTGAATCGAGTGGATGATGGCACCAGCACCAGTACCAGCACGATCCAAGTCGAGGAGGACGCATCTGAGGAGTGATGGTTTTGATGAACCGGCCATTATTAGTCCAGGAAATGATGTCGTCCAGTTGAGACTGACATCGGTTTTTCTTAGGATCGGTCAACACTATAAGGGGAAGGAGAAGGAGAAGGAGAAGGAGGAATGGGAAACCCAGTCGGCTTGACAGGAGGTTTCCTATTGTCATTCAGCCTGGTTCTTTCTGTTGGGGACTTAAGAGTCAGTCATTCAGCCTGGTTCTTTCTGTTGGGACTTGAAGAGTCAGTCATCCTTTTGTTGTTCTGGTCGTTTTCCTTTTATTGGTACAGGACAGATGCTATGGTCTGTGTGGACACAGGAGTATAGTCACTCCCTCGTATTGGGTTCCCTTTCTTTTGGGCGATTGGAAGTCTACTGAATGTAGTATCGTCCACTTTGTACTTGTTTTGTATGTCCTTTTGTCTAGTGAGCAAGCGAGTGAGCGAGTCAGCAGCAAGCAATCAATCCAGAGGCAATCAAAGCAAGTAATTCATCCAGCAAGTAATTCATCCAGCAAGCAATTCATCCAGCAAGCAATTCATCTAGTAAGTAATTAATCCAGTAAGTAATTAATCTAGTAAGTAATTTATCCAGCAAGCAATCAATACAGTAAGCAAGCAATTAATCCAGTAAGCAAGCAATTAATCCACCAAGCAAGCATTGGTTTGATTACAGCAATGCCGGTGCCGATGCCGGTGCGATTAGGGCTTAAGCTTCAGCCATTCTATCAGGACTACATACAGTGTTTCAATTCAGCACAGCAGAGCACAGCACAGCACAGCAATCCCAGTGTATTTTTCTTGAAGTAAGGTCTGGATATAGTATAGTACCTGTCTAGCTGTCTGCCTACTTGCCTCAGGTAGTTACGGCAATCTAAGTTAAGTACGGAGTACCTAGCTAGCTATGAACCACCACTCCTACCATCAAGCAACCGGCCAAGGAGCTCGCCTTCCGTAACACTGTATACTGTAGCACTCTCTTCCTCGCCATATTGCTCCGTGTTGAAGGTCTAGATCTTTCATATAGAACCTGAGTATCCGTACCTAAGTCCCTAAGTCCCTCAGTCCCTCAGTCCGGTAAGTAAGTACACTGACCTAGCTTGGGTACATAAGTTAGTGAGTAGGTAAGTGAGTGAGCAAGTAGGTGAGTAAGACCTAGCTTGGGTACATAAGTAACTACGTGAGTGAGTGAGTGAGTGAGTAAGTAGGTGAGTAAGTAACTATGTAAGTCCCTCTGTCCCTTACTTAGATAAGTACTACCTAGCTTAGGTACATGAGTAAGTACGTGAGTGAGTGAGTAAGTGAGTAAGTAGGCGAGCAAGTAGGTATATAAGTAAGTAAGTGATGAGTGAGTAGGTGAGTGAGTAGGTGAGTGAGTAAGTGAGTAAGTAAGTGAGTAAGTAAGTAAGTACGTGAGTAAGTAAGTAAGTAAGTAAGTAAGTAGGCGAGTAAGTAAGTGAGTCCTCGACCCTTAAGGAAGGAAGGAAAGAAGAAAGATACGCACAGCAATCAATAATACCAGGTATATAGGTATATAGGTATAGATATATATGTACCGTACCTACCTACCTATCTATATCCTGTACTGCTACTACTACCACCACTCCTACTATCACTCCATCTCTCCCAGGCTGTTGAGCAACCATTCCGGCTCGGCGTCTTCTTCGTCAGGATCGTGCGAGAGCAGTGATGACTGGGAGTGGGACCTGGACCGGGATTGGGATTGGGACCGTAGGCTTGTCGGGCTGGAGTTTGGGGGCGGATGGGTGTCTGTATCTCCTTCCGTATCTGTACCTGTATCTGCATCTGCATCTGCATTGGCATTGGCATTGGCATTTGCATCTGCATCTGCATCTGCATCTGCATCTGCATTTGCATTTGAATCTGCACCTGCATTCGCAATGGGATCTGCTTTCGCTTGTGTATTTGCATTTCGCTCGTCTAGTCCTGTCGTCGTCGTCATCTTCGTCCTCGTCGTCGGTGGATCTTCTTGGTCTCGCGTATTCTCTGCGACTTCTCGCGACGATCCGAGGAGATTGGGATTGGGATTAGATTTCGGATTCACATTGGCATTGGAACTCTGACCCGTCGTGGTCGTGCTGGTTGTGGCATGCGCATGTACTGCGGTCTGGCTTTGCTCTTGCTCTTCCTCTTCCTCTTCATCCTCAACAAGAAACCCGCCAGCCGTGGCGTCAATGTCTTGGTCTTGGTCTTGGTCGGTGACGAGCCTAGTTCTTGATCGAACTGGGGGAGATGCCATGTTGGCCTCTTCTGCAAAAAAGCCGCCAGGGCCGGTGTCCTCCTCCATTGTGTCGAGGGGGTGCTGCTGACTCTTGTCCTCACCGAAAAATCGCACAGTCTCAGCGTCAGCCTTAGCCTCATGACCCTCGTCTTCGAGGAGAAATCCCCCAGCCCCAGCCTCAGCCTCATGCCCCTCGTCTTCTAGGAGGAATCCCCCATCCTCACCCTCAACCTCATGTCCCCCGTCCTCGCCGAGAAATCCCCCCTGGTCTATACCAGCTTGCTTCCTTGATTCAACTCCCGAGACCCCTGGACTCCGTCGAGGAAGCCCGTGGGGAGACCTGACAACAATAATGGCCTGATGAACCACTTCCGGTGGAAGTAGCTGGTCGACAGGCCTGAGGTTCGACATCATAGCTACGTGTCTTGTATCCGTGTCCTGTTCGAGTTTGCCCTCGCCTGGTCCGCCTGACTCGCCTGGCTCGCCCTCTTCAAGCATGAACCCGCCGCCATGTTCTCCTCTGCCGCCGCCGCCACTACCGTCGTCATCATCATCCTCGGCCACCCCTCCATCTTCTTCTCTGTCGCCATAGTCCCGGTGGACTCGCTCCCGGACTCGTAACGCAGTCAACCATCTCTTCCACAGTCCCAAAATAACCTTGCTTCTGGCCTGTTCGGTTTCTTCGGTCGCTTGAGACTCCAGGCCTTCAATCACATTGATCATGGCATTGCACATGTTCATGCTGACCACCGCCCCATCAATCACCGCCGTGCCCTGACGCCCTCTGAATGAGAATCCCGTCACGGCGTCGGCGTAGTCGATCTCGAGAACACGAGCAGCCTCGGCAGCAAGAGGGTGTCGGATGTGTACGGCCCCGGCCGGGATCATTGACGGGACATAGACATCCAGATTGCCATAAGCGTTGGTGGGGATCTTGCCATCCACCACCGGCGGTGGTTCGTAGAGTCTCGTTTGGTATTCCGCGTACAGGGCCATTCCGTCACTGGCTTCATCGTCATCACCTTCGCCATCTTCGGGCGTCCGCCTCCTCTTGGACACGACTCGTTTGAGTGGCTGTTCACCCTCCTTCACGTCCCGACCGCGCCGATACCATGCATCCGCCGTCCGGCAGACATGGACATGACGTCTGCGAAAGACACTCTCGAGCTTCGCGTTTTTGCCGGACCCGGTACTAACTTTGCCGACTTCATGCTTCGGATGGATCACCTCGTTCATTCGCAGATGCCGTTCCAGCACATATACAGGGTGGCCCTTGAAATCCTGCACGTTCCTCGGCATGGCCTCGCTCTCGGCGCGCATGAGCAGACTGGCATCTTCGATCTCGTCCCTGACTTCGCTGAAAGGCTTTTGCAGAGGGCCCAGGGTGCGCACCCACCACCGTTCTCCGCCTTTGGTGCTCTCGACTCGCTGTCTCCGGGTTTTCGCATTGTACCATTGAGTGTAGCGCCTGGTGACGTCCTTGGCGGAGCCGTCATCCTCCATGGCCATGACATAGACCATGCTGTTCAATCGGTCCGACGCTGGTGGCTCGAACCCTGTCTTTGGCTTGTTGATGGTGTTGCGCACAATGGGGTCCAGCGGAATCCATGTAGACGTGGAGGGGGAGTAGACTTCGACCCAGAAGATGGGATAGGGGGACTCGACGATTTTCTTCTTTTTCGGCGTCGCTCGTTCCGGACGAGTCAGGGTTGGGTTTTGAGTGTAATTTTGCGGAGGCGCATGGTAGTATTGCGGCTTCGGTTTTTCCGGGGTTTGGCCTTTGGCGACGCCCGAGAACGGCAGCACTTGAAGAGAGCAGACCAGCCTGGTGTCCACCGCAACCGAGCGAAGCAAGGCGCACAACAGCTGCGCGCCTAGATCTCTCGAGCCGGACCGGGATTGCGCGGCGGCCTCGAAATCATCCAGGTCAAGCAGGTCTTCGGCGTCGTCACTCTCTTTGACAGCGTCGGCGTCGTCTTTCCAATAGGCTCGCTGCATGCCTTTGGCCGTGATGGTCCATTGCTGCCTCCAAATGGTGCAGACCTCCTCAATGCCCTTGATGAAGGAATGTGATCTCTGATATTGTGGCTTCGATTCATCCACGTGCAGCAGTGCGATGACTTTGCGAGGCACGAGAGGCTTCAGGACAGCCTGCACCGACTCACTCTCACACCAGCGATTCCGACTGCTTAGATGGGCCAAAAGACAAACCAGATGCGCTTTGTGCACTTCCAGCCGGATTTTCCTTTCGGCCGGCCCGACCGGTCTGCGCCGCTGGATTCCTCGTCTTGACGGTTCGAGGCTCGATTTGGACAGATCGAGCTCGAGGGACTTTTGCTCCGGTTCCGCACTTACGCCACCGTCCTCTCCGGCCGGCTCCGGCTCCGGCTCCAGTTCTACATCTTCAAACTCCACGTCGGACTCGTCTGAGCCTTCGAAATCATCGTAGACCACCTGCTGCAGCTTTTCTGGATGGTCGTTGGCAGGACCCTGGTTTGTATCCGCGTCCGGGACCGTCTCGGAGGCGCCGAACAGATCAGAGTCAAGTTCGATCTTGGAGGATGGCTCCTCACTGAGCTTGCGTCTTTTGGGGGATCTCAAGCTCGAAGACGAGTCTCGTTCCTCGGCCAGCGCTTCTGCCAGCATCTCGCCATAGACACTGGGGACGTCATTGTCGACCGCTTCTCTGCGACGCGCCGACTGACGCGTCTTTCGCGTTGAGCTGCGTGCTGGCAGGCTCTTCTTTGGTGGCATTGGACTGGAGCGAGGGGGTTTGGGGGTTTCCGCCCGTCAGTCATGGCTTCTGTCCCCAAGCCGTTCCAGATTCGCGACGACTTTCTGTCTCAACAAGGCTCTCGACGGATAGCATTACACAAAGCGAATTTCCGCCCCGTCGTCGGTTTGGTGTGGAATGTCAGCGACAGAGGCGAACTGTTTAGCAATCATAGCAGTCACATGTTGCCTGGAATTAGGGAGACCACGTGATAAGTGACGTAGCAGTAATCCAGCCCACGTGACCCACAACTCCGAAGTCTGGAGGCCTCCAGTCTCATTCCAGCGGCAAAGAAAAAAACGATATGAATCAACTACGCATGGAATAGAAATAGAACTGTCACCACCCGGACTGACTGCTGAGCGAGAGGAGATTGGGCAAAAAGCAAAAAGAAGGGCTGAACTGGGAATTGAACTAGATTGCTGTTAGAATAACGTTTTTGTATGAGGTGGATGGACGATGCTTACCCCAGGACCTCTTACAATCAAGATATCATCTCCCAAAGCAAGAATTCTACCTCTGAACTATTCAGCCGAGACTGATCGAGTTGTTTTCCAACTCAGAGTCGAATCTGAGGTAAAATTTGGCGTCTTTAAGTCATAATGTTACGTTATCAAAGGTGGCTCCACTGCGCTTTGACTCACCAATCCCTTGTGTCTAGTGCCTGCCAGCAAACATGCCAGGTCACTCACTACCTTTCACTCTGCGGCGTGGAGGATGGTCCCTGTGATTTCCATACAGTAGCAGCGGAGCCCCGGATACGTTCGACATAACTGAAGATGACACTCCATGTTGGGGATGGACACTCGCACAACCAAACTACCGCTCCGTCTCACGCAATTGTTATCAGGTTGCCGGCAAGACCGGATCGCCTCGCAACACGTTGATTTGTCCAGGTCATGGTTAAGTCCTCACCGGTGATGTCTTATGTTGCTTAGCAGCACCCGGACATGCCATGATGGAGATCGATGATCTTTCTACACAAGAGGAAATCGGTCCGCCACTGCGTATGTCGGGGGTGATTCTTAACCAAGAGGCCATCCTCCCAATCCAGGGACGGTCCTTTTACTCTGTGCCATCGCTAGAAGAGACCAACTCGTTGCTGTGATGTTCACACCCTGCGAAAAGGTCTAACACAAGTTCATTGCTTCTAATACTACAGGCTTCAATCGACCATGTCGTCTGTTCACGCCGTGGAAAGGGAGCATACCTCCAACGGGAATCACTCCAGTCCCTCGATGGAAGAGTTCCCAGATGCCATCAATTCGCTAGACATTGCAAGAACAGCCAGCCACGGTACGGTTGCGTGGACCACAAGCTGTGCCATGAGTGGAATGGCTGCCGAAGCTGTGTCCTCTGTGCACCAGTATGAACGGCCCGCATCAATGCCGGTGGCCAGTACCCTTCGACGAAATACAATGGCCGTCTTGACGATATTCACCAATCTGTTGCAGGTGAGTTCGTGTACGCTGTGCCATGTCACCGACGCTAAGGCGTGTCTCTTACCTCGAAGATGGTGGTCAATTTTGCCGGACTCGGTGGCGGGTTCATACTCGGAAAGCTGCTGGGAGCCACTACCTCCAATGCGCAATGGATTGCAGCAAGCTATGGATCAGACGCTCGCTCCTCCTATGGCCTTGCATTATGGGCTTTCTGCTAATAACTTTACCTAGCTTGACCCAGGGCGCTATCGTTCTGGTTGCCGGTCCTATCGGCGCTGTATATGGGCATAAGAACATGCTGATATATAGGACTCTCTGGCTAGGCGTTTGCAATCTGGTCTGTGGCTTCTGCAACAACTTCATTACCTTCGTTATCATGCGAGCGCTGTCCGGAATTGGCGGGGCCCTGATCATGCCCAACGCTGTGGCCATTCTCACCATTACCAACCCTCCCGGACTGACTTACCTTGAGGTGCTAGCTTTCTTCTCTGCATCGTAACGTCTCTGGCATTGAGCTTGCTCATTCCGCATGAGGTGCCAGTGAACCGACGTGGGAAGATTGACTGGATAGGGGCCACCATGGTTGTGGCGGCCTTGATACTGTTCAGCTTTGCTTGGAAGTGAGAATCACCTTGGACGCACTTGCATCAAGTCGCCATCATGCTAACCTACTACGACAGTCAAGCTCCCAGTTCAGGGTGGTCGAGCCCAGCCGTGGTAGTGTGCCTTATCGTCTCGATCGCCTTACTCGCTTTGTTTCTGGCTTGGGAACAATATGCCACCCCCCATCCTATCATGCCGCTGAGCATATTCAAGGCACCGTCATTCGGCATCCTCATTCTCGTGGCGCTTTTCAATTTCATGGCGGTAGGGATCTTCTGTTGGTACCAGACACTGTGGCTGCAGGAAATCTGGCATTGGTCATTATTGCACTTCGCCCTCAGTTGGACACCGTTCGTGATCTGCGCCATTGCAGCGGCTTCGTTGTCTGCGTGGCAGGTTCCTCGGCTGGATGCTCAATGGATCTTGGCCATTGGGACCCTGACCATCCTGGGGGCTTGTCTGCTCATGGCCACCCTATCGGAGCCTCGGATCTATTGGCCGCAGGTCTTTCCCTCCGTCGTCCTGTTCGCCTTCTCCCCGGATCTGGTCTATACCGCGGCGCAGATCATCGCCAGCAATTCGGTCAGTCGCCAGCACCAGGGCACGGCCGGCTCTCTCATCAGCATCCTCAACCTCTACGGCGTCAGTTTGGGCCTTGGGTTCGCCGGGACGATCGAGGTCCAGACCAACGACCACGGCCGGGACAAAGTTTTGGGCTTTCGAGCAGCACTATATTTCGGGGTGGCCATGGCTGCGGTCGCTGTGTTGGTCGACGTTTTCTTCATCCGCTGTGTCAAGGATGAGAAAAGGGGCTGGGATGAAGGCGATTTGAGCGCTTTGGCAGATCAGGAACTGGAGGCTCGCGCCATGACAAGTGGTGCATCGCCGCCGACTGTCACTGTCAGTAGTAGAGTGTGAATAATGGCCAGCACCGTCAAAGTTCAACTTTTGATTAGATAGAAAGACCAGTAGTGTCATTAAAATACACCAAGAAGCAGGTTGAAGAAATAAAAACACTATACCAAGGAAGCAGATTGACGGAAGAGATAAAATACCAGGTAGGGATATAGGGATATGCGTACGGATACTCCTGGCGAACAATAAAGCCTTGCTCACGTAATGTCGGCTAGACTTGCCTGTCACGTGCTGGCCCCCCTCAGCCGGCAGCAAGTTGCGGCGAGATGGTCAAGAAATTATTTAGATTTATTTCGCCGCCAAAAAGTTCGAGGCTTCCGCACCAGCAACACGCACCATTGCCGATGCCCACACACCATGAAGAACCTGAGAGAGCAAGTGCGTGGCCTAGAGCTTAACAAGGCCAAGGGTACGGAAGGACATCTCTTGATCCATGAAGGTCATGTGCTGACACGTCCTTGCAGACTTCGACCCCGAAGACGATGTCGTGCCCTCCGCCAGCGAAGCCGAGTCTGAAAACGAGGGAAATTTAGGACAAAACGTGGGCCGCGAGCACTATGAGGCCGTGGGAAAAAGCAGGCTACGCAAGCCCGAGCAGCCTACTCTTGATGCGAAATATGGCGGTGTGGCAGTCAGCCGCAGTGCTTTAGACGAGCATGACGACGATGACGATGAAGACGACCCATTCGCACCGGTGGAGGATTCCGAAGAAGACGATCCTTTCGCTGCGCGGAACGGAAATGTAAGCGGCTCTGAAGAGGGTGAGGGTTCAGATGTCAATGACGATCTTGGGGCGATATTCGATGGAGATGAAAGTGAAGAGATTGACAGCGACGAGGCACTTGGCGAAAGCGATACGGAGAGATTCAAAGACTTCAAGTTTCGCGGGAGCAAGAAGAACCGTCTAGAGCCGACGTCAGGCGAAAATTCTCAGGAAGAGGAAGAGGAGGAAGACACGACAGACGACTCAGACGTGGATATGGGCGATGAATCCGACGATGCAGAGGACGATGGCTCTTCCGTCTCTTCCGCCACGCGCTCCTCGCCGCCTGTCCGAGGCCACAAAGCGTCTCACAATCCCGACCGCGAAGAACTGAAGCGACTCGCCTTCTCATCCGCCTCCACCGCGGGCCTGGCGTCGGCACTGTCCGCGGGGGCCATGGCGGATGTGCAGAAAGGCCGGGCGGTCAAGCAGCAGCGGCAGACGTTCGACCGGCTCCTGGACGCGCGGATCAAGCTGCAAAAGGGCGTGACTGCAGCCAACGACCTCGAATCCGCGGTATTGACGGACGAAGAAGTCCAGCACGCAGCCAAACATGCCGAAGACGCCGCGCTTGCACTGTGGTCGACCATCGCCTCGATCCGATGCACACTCCTCTCCGGCGCCGGTGCCGACAAGGTGGACGCGACAGCAGCGGGCTCCAAGGCCAACGACCTCAAACGCAAACATCCCCACCCGCTACAAGCGACGCGGTCGACGCCTCTCGCGGAAATCTGGGAGCACGCCCAACTCCTCGAAGCAGCCGCCCTCCCGACCCGCCGCCAGACCCTGGACAAATGGCACGCGAAGACCCAGCCCGTGCTCGACACGGCGCCACGCTCGAAACTGCTGCCGACCAAGTCGTCCGCGACCTCGCGCCTGACTGACGTGCTGGACACGTATCTGGCGACCGAGTCAGGGAAGCTGATTGGGCAGAGTTGGACGGCGACGTCGAACGGCAACTCCAATTCCAATACCAATTCCAAATCTAATGCTACTAGTACTAGTACCACTACTACCGGTGGTACTGTCAGTGGACGGAACAGTCATCACGACAGTAGTACCGCGCCAGCAAACGCAACATGGGCCTACGACGACGGCATATTCTACCAATCCCTCCTGCGCGAACTCATCGCGTCGCGCAGTGCCAACTTGACCGCCGGCGCCGGCACAGGCACTGACGGGCCCGTTCTGCTGCCGCCGAAACTGCACCCGTCAGGCAGCCGACACAAGAAAGTCGACACGAAGGCGTCCAAGGGCCGCAAGGTGCGCTACACGGTGCACGAGAAGCTGGAGAACTTTATGGCCCCTGAGGACCGTGCCACCTGGGAGCCGGCCGCGCGTTCCGAGTTCTTCGCCAGTCTGTTTGGGAACGCAGCGGCGCGTGTCTTGGACGAGGATGGGGGTGACGAGCAAGACGCCGGAGAGGACAACGGGGTCGGCACAGGTGAAGCTGAGGCCTTGAAGTTGTTCAGGAACTAGTGACCGGCAGAGGCCTTGAAGTTATTCAGGAACTAGTTGACCGGCACCGGCGAGGCTGAGGCTAAATTATTCAGGGACTAGTTGACCAGCACCGGTGAGGCTGAGGCTAAGTTGCTCAGGAACTAGTTGACCGGCACTGGCGAGGCTGGGGCTGACGACCATAACGCCGGAGAGGACAACGATGTCGGCACCGGTGAGGCTGAGGCCTTGAAGTTATTCAGGAACTAGCTGACCGGCAAGGCTGAGGCTGAGGCTAAGTTATTCAGGAACTAGTTAGTGGTGGTGAACTAGAACTCGTTAGTGGTGGTGGTCGAACCGTCTACATCTACATCTACATCTACGTCTAGTTTTCATTATCATCTTCATCTGATGTTCGGTATCAACCACAACCACAACCACAACCACAACCACTACCACAACCACTACCACAACCACTACCACAACCACTACCACAACCACAGTGCAAGTGTGCAAGCGTGCAAGTTTCTACCAGTACCAGTACCAGTACGTGACGGACCAAGGGCAAGGCCAAGGCCAAGGCAATACCTTACCTAAGTCACATCTCCACCTCCACCAAAACAAAGTACAAAGTAGTTAGATAGGATTGTTGAAGATAGGACTGTTAGATAGGACTATTGAAGAGTGAGTGAGATGTAGCATCTAGCTTCTAGGTTCTAGCTGAGCTTCTAGCTTCTATTTAGCATCTAGCTTCTAGCTTCGAATGAGAATAAGGCCACAAGGCTGAGACTGATATCTTCTATCTGAGAATGAGAGTGAGAATGAGAATGAGAATGAGGCCACAAGGCTGAACCTGATAATCTTCTAGCTTCTATCTGAGAGTGAGAGTGAGAATGAGAATAAGGCCCAAGGCTGAGGCTGAACGTGAGGCTACTAATGATATCTATCTATCATGATTGTTGGCCGGTTTCCACTGTTTCGGGTTCCCACACAATACCACATGTGGTGTTTGTTTGGTTCTCTTGTCGCTCCTTATTCTTTCCCTCCGGTCCGATCCTATTCTAATGTTCTGCAATGCCGCACCTCATTCCCTGCTATTCTAATATTATGCCGCACCTCATTCTCCAGTGCTGCAGTGCACGGGTTGCACGCGAATCTTCCTTCATCGACCCGCGCAGAATCGCATAACCAGCCCTTTGATACTTGACTTTTGTAATGCAATGCAATACACAATACATCCCGTATTTACCACATTCGCCTATGAACGTGAACCCCGTGGAGGTTTGATACTTGACTTTTGCAACGCAATGCAATACATCCCGTACCATAAACATGAAGCCTGGGGAAGTTTGATACTTGGTTTCTGCAACGCAATGCAATGCATCCCGTATTTACTACCTTCGCCCATAAACATGAAACCCGTGGAAGCGAACACAGGCTTGTTTCATCTCGTTTCAGCAAACACAAGCTTATTTCTTCTAGTGGAAAAATACACAAGCTTATTTTCTCGTGGAAGCAAAACAAGCGTATTTTCTTCTCGTTCAGCAAACACAATCTATTTTCTTCTCGTATACCCAGGCACTTGATAAGGCTGCGGAATGAACCACTTGGGCAAAACCCCCGCCTCGTGTTTTCGGTGGATATACGCAGCCGTGACATGTCCGTTCTGCGTAAAATTCGACTGGGTCTCATTGTTGAAGCCGGGAATGGGAGAATATTGTCTCTCGAGTCGGGGAGGGTTGGGAGACGAGGGTATCGATATCGATTGTGAAGAGTCCATGGTATTCAGTGCCTGAGTTTGGGAGACGCCAAGTTCATCGTGGTCGATGTCATCTTCGGGCTCTATGGCCTTCCCCTTCGCTTTTTGGCCCCGTCCTCGTGGTTGAGGCTGAGTTGCAAGTTGCTGGTCTTCCGTCAAGACACAGTCAGGTTGTGGGCAAAGTGTAGGAGGATCCAGGTCTAGATCGCCCTCTTCCTCATCTTCCTCATCTTCATCAGTGAAGACTTTGTCAAGTCCCAGATCGATGTTGACTTGTGATTGGCTTTCGCCGGTATATTGAGGCAGCTGGCTCATGGGGATATGGCACGAACTGGAATCCTTAATCGTGATCTTTTCCACCTTGGACTCGTCACTTTCTTGTTCGCCGTCCTCTGGCGTGTAGGAAAACATGTTAAAGTATCCCTGCGTTGCTTCTTGAGTCGACATCTGGGACGGATGTGGCAGCGACGCCGGGCGGACTGATTTTGGAGTTCCAGCTTTTGTCGAGGGCAGAGATGGTGAAGATGATTGCTGCCCAATGTCGTTCAGCGGTATCTTTGTCGTCGAGACATGAGTGCTTGACCGATGCAGTGTCGCCGGTTTGGGCAGAACCATCTCGTCAGAGTCATCTTCACTATCCGGCACTCTTTTTGGTGGGCTTCTAACAGGAGACTGCTCAACTAATCGTGGAACTGGCAATGGTTGCTGCAAAGGTACTGTAACTTCGATTAGGGCGGGATTCAGAACATCCCCTTCTGGACCTGGTTGGGACTGATGAAGTGCCGTCGGAGAGTGATTCAGCAACAGACCAGCAGTCGCTGTGCTTTCCGTCTGGTGTAGATACACCAAGGGCGGTGGAGAAGAGACACGATGGTCTACTGCAACATTGAACTGTGTATCATTGGCAATGGGCGAACCAAAGTCGCTGTCTTCGACATCGAAGTCCCCGTCTTGTTCGAGAGGATTTGAATCATCTCGCATAGCATTCACGCTTTTCGTAGGGGAATAGTTGGCACAGTCAGGCGTTTGTGCGTCCAAACCTCTCCTGTCCCCAATGAACTCACTGATATCTGGAAGGGTGTCTTGAGTTTGAGTTTCGACATTGGTAGGGCTAGACTGAACACCCTGTGCCTGACTGGTTGACGGGATTTCTGCATCAGTGTCCTGCGCTTCAATGTACAATGGCGCCTGGGCTGGCGCCTGGGCGTCCGCGGGTGGCTGAACTATTTGGTTGCCTTGCTGACGAGGCGACGAAGACGAAGGTATAGACCATAGGTTTGCTTGGGAATCTTCGATACATTTGGGCTGTCGAGGGTGACTCCGCTTGGGCAGTCTCAAGGTGACAATCTTCTTCGTGGTCTTCATCAAAGAGCGCTTGGGGGCCCGACGTGACTTGCCCGGGGAAAGTTTCAACTTCGGCCCAAGTGGAATGTTCACCGAGCGCTCGGCCAACGGTGTCCTTTGAAAAGGTGCTGGAGGCTCGGATATTTTTCGACAGGTCCTTCGCGTGCTCGGAGGCAAGCTCTCAGGAGACTGACTTGACAACACAATTCCCCTGTTCTTTTTCGGTGTGTGCGGCAACAGTGTTCGACCTTGTGGCATTGATCCGGCAATATCCAAGTCGTCGACGTCAGTTTCGTTCGAGTCCTGGATTTCCAATGGATATCCTAGCGTGCCTCTTGGTTTGTTGTTATCATTGTTGTTCTTCGGCGTAATCGTTCCCAATGCCTCTTCAAAATAAGCCAGGTTCTGAACCGGATCAGAGAACACATCATTCCTCGACGCCAGCCGCCTGGAGGTGCGTCTTCGGGAACTTGAAGGCTCATAATCCTCAACTTCTGCCTTCCTTTTCCTTGTGCTAGGTTTATATTCTTGACTCTCTGCGTGCATGGGCGCAATCTTCCTCTTCGTCGATGTGTTTGCCGTACTTGGGGCTGCTTTCTGCCTGCGCGGCCTTCTCGGGCTGTCGTAAGTTCCATCGAGCTGCGGAAGAGGGTCATTGCCTCCGTCCACCAGTGGCACCCATGTATCGTCAAAGTCTGCATTGTCCGGAGGCGGAAAACTGAAGAAATCCATCTGAGTGAGAGTCGAGTTGCGCTTCTTCACGGTGCGTCGGGAATCTGTTGCCCGTCTGAGGCGCAGGCCCTCGCCCTCATCTGCAGCAAATTGTCCGTCCTCTTCCTCAAAACTCGTAGGAGGGGTCAACCATTGTGCTTGGGTCAACGTCTGTTGACTGTTTCGGGACCGGCGACTGGTACTGGACTTGCCCTGGATGCCGTTGAGTCGCGGTCGTTTTTGGGATGGTGGCGTCAAAGACTTGGTCTTGCGTTTGGTGCTTGTAATTACCCATGGCGATGCAGACATGGCGCGTGTTGTCGGCAGTAAGCCGTTCTGCATGTGAAGTAGTCGAGTGCACGCAGAGGTGGCAGTACTAGGAGCCTGCCGTCGTCAACTCGCTCTAGTCGATCGCGGGGCACGTGTTGGGCGCGTCGCGTGTCACAACGCGAGGGCACGTGACTCAACCTCTTCCCCGACAGAGAGCCTCGTTCAGGGGCTAGGACAGGACAGGACGAAGAGAACGGACAAGAACGGACCTTGCATTGGAAAATATGTTACGTCAATTTACTTTCGCTAACCGACAATGCCACCCTCCCAAATGCTGCCTGTTGTGCACAAAACGCCCCTTGCAAAACATTCCATTTGGGATATCATTCCAATGCTCTGTACAATGCTACTGACAAAATCATCGCAGGAGGCAAACCTTCTGCCAACGGCTTTACCGCCGCACATGTCGAAGTTTGTGTCCGTCTCCAAGTCCTCGCCTGAGGTGGGCCCCGAGATACTGCTTCTCGGGGGACTCTCCACGGCGGACGACATCTCCGGAACGAGCCTCAAGGTAAGCGTCGAAATATGTACGGCGCTTCAGGCCGGATGCGCCTGGGGCGTGAATTCCAGCCGGGTGGGCAGCCTGCCAGACGACGAGGCTAGAACATTCTTCTTGAAACGCTGCAGAACTGGCGTAGGGCAGGATATCCGCCGGCCGCTCGGTGAATTGGAGCGCAAGGCCGCCATCGACATGCCAAACAATGTGGCAGTGCATCACCCAAGCACCAGGGTTGTCTGTCTCAAAGCCAATCACCGTGTAGCCGGGTGGGTTACCGGGCCCAGAGGAGCCCATCAGCATGGCCGTGTCGCGCCTTGTCGGGTTCTTGAAGTTGAGCGTCGATACCAAGCTTGGCGTCCAGGTGACGGTACCCTGGCCCAGCACGCTCATGTCGTGGCCATGTAAATGCATCGGATGCGACGCGAAGAACTGGTTCTGAATGATGAAATAGACCCATTGATTGACCACATTCAGCTCGATCGGGTTCGAGATGAGTGAACGATTGCCATGCTCTGCAATGGTCTGAAGAGTCGGTTGGGTGTAATTGACGTTGATGGCGCCATTGTTCAAGAACCAGCGGACCACAACGCCATCGTCGCTGGTTGCGATCCGCGCGACGTTCCCAGCTGGCAGCGTAGAAGCTGTAGCAGCGAACTCGTCGGCTGAGCCGGCAGGCTTCTCGAGAAACGGCACCAACGAAGCGATCGGCTCGTCCTGGCAGATGGCAAAATCGGCGGACGTGCGGTTGCCAAAGGTCGACGTCGGCAGAATGGCCTCAGCGCCCTCGTAGAGGATGATGCCGTTGGCGTTTCCGAGGCCGCCGTTGTCGCAACTGCTGGGGCACCCGGTCTGAGTGACCGCCCGCAAGAAGTAGCCGGCGACGGGCTGGTTCATCTCGACGACGACATCATAGCGCTGGCCAATACCGATGTGCAGCCACTCGGTCGTGTATGGGACAATAGGGACATAGTCGGTAGCAATCACCGTCATCACATGGTTATCGAAGTGCACCGTATACATGTTTTGTACACCGGAGTTGATGAGGCGGAATAAATGCTTCTTTCCTGGTTGGACCGACCACAGAGAATGTTGGCCAGCCGAGAGGTCAGGGAGGGTGTTCTTGCCGTTGAGCAGGTAGTTTACGGTACTAGATAGAGAGGAATCAGTATCTCAAGCGTTGGACGATATAAGACAGAGCAAATCAAGGCAAGGCTGAGATGCCGGGTAGACAAGACTGTAACTCACCCAGTAGGGCCGGTCTGGATGATTCGTTCATTCATTTGAGCTGCGGTTACCTCGAAGACATCGTCGATCATGACAGTGCCCATGTCGATATCGTAGTTGGCTGTGGCAGGGCCGTGGACAATCATGGGTCCACGAATGCCGTCCCCGTACTGGGTCATGGTGTGAGAATGGTACCATCCGGTCCCGTATTGATTGAGCTTCATGGTGTACGTTCGAGAAGATCCAGGAGCAATGCCACACTCGGTAATGCCAGGAACACCATCCTGATCATTGGTCCCTTTCTGCGTGATTCCTGTGAAGCCATATTAGCTACTCATCATCCATCAAATCAGAAAGCTCCATACCATGCCAGTGGATCGAGGTAGCATTGTCCTGCAGCTGGTTGTGGACGTTGACCTGCAGAATGTCGCCCCAATTGCATTCAATTAGCGGCCCGGGAACTTGACCGTTGATTGCAAAGGCCAGTTTTGGCCCACTACCATCGAAATCAATGGTGGTGTTGGTAATTGTAAAGTCGTACGAGCAAGTCTGCCCAGTCGTGTACTCGGCTGCATAGTAGTCGGTGCTGATGCTCCTCCCATCGCACCATTTGCTTCGGTCAGTTGGACTGTTGCACGAACCACCTTGGTTACCAGTCTGAGGAGCAGTCACGTTGGAGGACAGAGATCCAGGAGCCGGTAAGGAGCCATTGTTTGGCGAGTTAGTGTATGTTGGGGCTGGCACGGAAGAGGTGGCTGTAGGAGCATCGCCCGTCCAGGTGAAGACCTCGCCATTAGTGGCTATGGTGCTCAAATCGTTTGTCGCATCGCTAGTCGCAGTAGGGTCAACAACGAGGCTGGCGATGGTGGTCGTAACACCAGAAGTGGTCTCACTTCTAGAAATGGCTTCGACAATAACTGAAACAGTCGTGCCCGCAGCCGCTGTTACGTCAGCTGCTGTTACGGCGTCAACCCGTACACTGGCGGTTGACGTCGAGGACGAGAAAGCTCCGCTGTTGCCATCTACAGTTACAGGGGTAGTGGCGCAGGCACTGGGTTCAACAAAGATGGTTGACCAGTAGATGGTGGTGGCTTCCTTGAAGATAGTCGCGGTGGTCGTCGTGGTAGTCGTCGCGGTAGTCGTCGCGGTAGTCGTTGAGGTAGTCGTTGCGGTACTCGTGGTGGTACTCGTCTTGGTAGTCGTCGCGGTCGTCGTCGCGGTAGTTGTTGCAGTAGTCGTGATGGTGCTAATAGCGCATGTAGCCTCTCCGCTCTGAGCCAACGCATATCCTGCCAGCCCGAGGGCTAGTAGGCCTGGTATCCTTGAGAACCTCATGGCGACATCCTAGGGAGATTTCCGCAAATATTAACGTGTTAGTCTTTCGAAAAGATCGGCAGGCTCTAGTTTCAGTTGTCCGCCTTGAACAACGTAGTGAGAGACTCGGGAAGAATGGGCCAACGAAGGGAACGGTAAATGCTCAAAAGTGAGATTAGGATGAGGGAGAGCAGTGTTCGAGGAAGTACATGGATCGATGGGTTTGAACTGGCAGAGGCGACTTGCTCATAAGTTCTCCAGAGAACAGTCAAGTGCCAGCCCCTTTGACGAACCAGCAACGGCCCACCTCGACAGGACAGGGGGCTAGAGAGCGACAAGCCGACATAGCGATTGGCTCTAGCACCCCATTTCAGGCTCCGGAGGGAGTTCAGGAGGATGGCGGCAGGACCCCTTGGAGCTGTCAGAGACGAGCTCTTTTCTGATCATGCCATGCATCCTGTCTTTCAAGGTCTCGACCCCAGCCTCAGAAAGGCTGAGAAAGTGGCAGGAGTGGGACTTCCAACGTTGACAGGTTGACGGTCCTTGGTACAGTACCTGGCGGAAGGGAGTCGCCTTTCAGGGACGATGTCCAGCTGACAGTCCTGCATATCCCTATATGAGGGATCCCTTGGTAGGATACCAATCTCAGTATCTTCCTCAGGTTGATGAACTTAACTTGAGTGTTTGATGCAACGCGGTGAGAAACAGACACGATCCGACTCCGTATACCGATTTCCAAGATCCCAAGGTGGCTGACAGCTTGTCAAGGAGCACTGACAGGGCGTGGTTGGTTGGTTGGTGCGCGCCCGGGGCCTAAGCCCAACTCCAAGCTCTGCGCGACCCAGCAACGCTGTGATACCTATAACCTATACGCGTTGTAACCGAGCAGCCGGCATCTACCCGTTCTCGCCCTGTGCCATGTAGAAGAATTCCTAGTGTGTCTTCGTATGCACTGTGTTGAGTGTTGAAGATGGATGAAGGGAAGGACACAGAGACTTATTAGTGACCTCTTACTAAGTACTCTGGTCACGTGGTAGCACGTGAACCCTAACCCTAACCCTAGCCCTAACCCTAACTCCCACGTGACCAACTCGTGGTGCGGAGTAGATAGACCACGTATGCCACCACGCACAGGCGTCCAACAAGTATCAACGGGGACAGCGAGCTGAACAACAAGATCGATTGCATACTCATATAACATGTCTACCATCTAGAGCCGCATCTCCAGCACCGCGCCCGGCCAATTCTCAGACTCAAAATTCCCTATCACTCTGAATCCTTGTCGCTCGTAATAACTTTTCAAACGTATTCTCCGTAAGCATGCCATGCCTACAGAAGTCGAGGAAGGATGAAGGGTTCGTTGGATCGACTTACTGCACAAGCCTGTTATCGTTCCCTCTCCAACAATCAAGGCAAAGACGCCTGATGCCGAGTTTCCGTGCTTCGTCCTTCGCGTGAGAGATCAACGCCGCTCCTGCACCTTTCCCATGTGGCGCCGTTCTTCTGTCGCTCAATAGGTACAACACGTAGATGAAGGGATCGTTGTCGTCGTTTTCTGGCACAATATCCCGGACGTAATCAGCCGACTGGCCTTGGAGGATCATGCCTGCAACTGGCAGTCGAACGGCGGCGGTCGTACTTTCACTAGTATCGGTGGCGAGCTCGAGCAATTCGGACGAGAGGTCCTCCCGTTTGATCTCAACCTCGGCGATGTAGGCTCTGACCCAGTCTCGACTCCATGCATGGTCCCAGCCTCGCTCGCTGCTTTCGACTTTACCCCGATACTTGGCCCGCTGATCTTCTTGGTCGCTTCTTGAAGAACTGCCCCATTGCGCGCTGCTGCCGATTGAAGATAGAAAGGGCAGCTGACTGTCAAAGTTTCGGAGCAGACGCAGTCCGTCATCTGTGGCGGTGGAAGCGGGACGGATGGAGATGGAAGGCATCGCCGATGGATGTGATGTGAGGTTAATGCGAATTTCCAGTTTCCCAACCAGAATCACATCTACGGAGTAACTCTGTATATGTAGGCAGTTGTTTGGGATTGAAGAAGTGTGACGCATTCGTGCCAAGAAAATTCGCAAAGAGAGACGGTTCAAGTCCATTCAAGGGGGTTTCAATATAGACGCAGGGCAGATACCAGATACCAGATACCAGCAAGATGCAAATTTCACAAGCTACTGAGCCATCTGGCGTCCGAGGGCTAATTTCTCAGATGATGTGATGCTCTCCTCCAAGTCATTCATGGGTATCTCAATCTCATGCATCAACGCCGGATTGTGATTGTCCAAACCTCCCCCACCAACCTGCCCATATCAAAGCCGGCCGAGCCATCTCTGCTATTTCATGGCAAAATCAAACTCTTCGAAATCTTCCCTCAGGCCTTGCGCGTCTTCCTCCTCCGCCACATGCTCGCTCCCGTCCTTGCGTAGGAGTGCATCCATCCAATTAACCCTATTCTCCAGCTGCAGCAGCCCTGCCATGACCTCCCTACCAAACCAGATATTGAATTTTTGATCGTTCGGAAGAGGGAAGTACATCGACTTGGTCACCCCGAAATCTGTCTCGCTGCTCCCATTCGTGTGATCGGCCATCTCGACTAGGTCGGACACCCAAGTCCACACCCGAAAGAAGTCGGACCGCTCAGGGAGCTCGCTGTCAGGATCACAGGGTTGGAAGGGAGGATACTCGTTTCGCTCTCGTGCGACCTTGAAAGCAGCTTCAACCAAGCCTTTCCTCACATGTTCAGCCTGACATGCCATCAGTTGCCAGTGGTGATGCCGGATGCCTGTGCGGTTGACTTCCCAGCAAACCGCGCCTAGTTGACCCTGACTCTTGGAACCGATCATTGTACTCAGGGCTTTACGGAACCGGTTCATTTCCTTGAACTCATTGGTCACATCCTCGGCTGCTCGTTTGCCCTGCGCCAACTCGTCTGCAGCGTGGTAGTATGGGATGATCATGACATGACCGGAAAACGAAAGTTGAGGAAAGGTTGATGGTAAAGGTAGCGGCCCTCGTGAAGCGGTGACCATGCTTTCTTCGGCGAGTGAAACCACTAGATGCGTCTTCGCTCCAGCCTTGTTGAGACACATGAAGCAATCGTTAGGGTCCTTGTTTTGGTTCCGGCGCGCACGTTTGTAGTGACGTCCATCTTGTCCACCGTTCCCAAATCGCCTGTACGACTCTTGATCTTCCAAGGCCTGTCTCTTCCTCGGCGGCGAGGACCGGATGAAGGGTGATAGACGGGGTGGCTCTATCGTCGGCGGAGGACGTGAAGTGTCTAAAGCGAATGCTGTCATCCACTCTTTCGTAGGAGCAGAGACACTTGGGAGACTTTTGAATCTGGTGACTGCAGGCTCTGCCAGCGAATCATAGCCAACATGATGCTTGAAAGGTTCCCGTTCCCAAACCCCCGCAGTGCTGCTGGAGAAATGATACCACGGTTTCAACGCTTGACACAAATTTGAGATCGATTGGGTGCCTTGGTTGCTTTCGACGCCCTCTGGCAGCGGGACAGTTGATCCATTGGTGACATTGGCCGGCCACTGGTTCGTGACCACGATATGAGCGGAATGTGCACCATGGAGCCCTCGGGCATCGGCATCCAAGTACAAGGGATCACAATTTCCGAGTTTGTGGGTGAGCGATGCTTCGTCCGTCACCAGTCGACCTCCAAGGTAGACAATCTTCACCCCTTCCGTAGTGGTCATGGTTCCCTTGCGACCGAGGTAAAAGAGATTGGGACAGAGATCATTGTCACCCTCGAGCTTTTCCTTGACAGTGTCGGGGAAGCTGGAATCACCTATTGTGAAATAAGTTGGAAGTGGGACGTTGATGTGCCCTTGGAGCAGCGCTTGCACGTCATCTGAGTTGCTCTCGTCGCCCTCCGCGCCAAATAGGTCACCGACTACCAAGGCCAGGGTAAAGTTCTGCTTGGCTTGAAGTTTGGAGATTTTTTCGAATGCCTTTCTGAGCTGGCCCTGGACACTTCCGACCACGAGTCTGCAGAGAGTTAGATCTGGACCAATCAGGATTCATTTCTGGCCTTACACTTTCGCGGCCCCCATGTTGGACCTTGGAGCCTGGAAGCAGCAATGACTAGCTTGGAAGACCAGATGAATCAGTCTAGACGCGAACTTGGCCCATAACCACTATCACCAGATGAGGAGAAGGGAGATGAGGGAGAGGCAAGCGCTAGTGGTGGATGCGAAAGGAAGGAAGGAACAAGCCCGAGTTCAGGATATATATATAGGTAGTTTCCTGCCTGGCGGACACTAGATGTCACATGTCAGTGAAAGCGCGCGAAGGCAGATTGCTTTGATCGTGCCAGTGCCGTACCTTTCAAGTGATGCTTGTTTGATGCATATGGTCAAGAGTGAAGAAATCGTGTCGCTTTTCAGGCATATGCTTCTCCGTATATCTAGAGCGGAGTATATTGCCTTCAGCTGCCGATGTCATGCGGGGAAAAATTCGAGGCCGGAGGAGCCAGTCTCGCCGCAGCCTCCACCCTCCAAAAAATAAATCCATGCCTGATCAGACATGACCATCTACATCGCTACCAATTTCCCTGTTCATCCTTTATATTGAACACCTCTGATTACGCCATGATAGCAATCCTCCTACGGTGAGCTTGCAGTCATGGGCCCCATCTCCCCCGGTGCCCCTAGCGGACTACATCGCAAGAAGAAGAAACCTGCCCCGACCGCTTCGACAAACCTACACCGATATGAACCCTTCACAAAGCGCATTTCGAGACTGAAAATCGACCCGGTCCATACGGTGGAAAAGCGAAAGCCTTCCAACAATGAGGCGGATTTGACACAAAGCTTTTTCCGCACTGCCCTCGACGAGTGGGCCGAATTGAACTTGTCGCAGACATTCACGAGTTTTCTGAACAAGGCCAGCCCGCTGAGCGAGAACCTCCCCCAACTTCTCCACCATGCCGATACCATCTTCGACCTACTCGTACAACACATCGAGAAGAAAGATGCTCTGGCGTTGGAGCCTCTCCTCGGCCTCCTCGCACACTTGGCCCATGATCTCGGCCAGCGGTTTGAACAGTACTTCTCCCGTACAGTGGAACTGGTCGCGTCGGTGGCCGCATCTCATGACAGTGCGGAGGTGATTGAATGGTGCTTCACCTGCCTGGCCTGGATGTTCAAATACCTCTCGAGATTGCTCGTTCAAGATCTGCGCCCTCTCCTTGACATTATGACACCATACCTGTCCGCGAGAAAAGATTACATCGTTCGATTTAGTGCGGAATCGCTAGCGTTTCTGCTGAGGAAGGCTGCCGTGCTGTACCAGAAAAGAAAAGCCCCTCTGAATCTCGCCATGAAGCATCTACTGGGAGGACTCGTTCAAGAGGAAGGATCCACTCAGCTCAAGTCATATCAATTCGGTGTCATGAGCCTTTGTGTTGAAAGCGCACAAGGCATAGACTATCAATTGCACTCCAGTGCTGATTCCTTGGTGCGAGCTCTTTTGGACGCCGCCGCACCCTTAAGCGGAGAAGCAGAAGTCCGATCAACGGTGGAGGGTATTTTGATTGCACTGATTCATGAGACCAACAGTGCTGGGTTCCAGCCCGCGCTAGATGTCATCCTGGATTATGTTCGAGAACGAGCCATTTCCACCGAACCAAGCCAGGTGTTTTTCGCCCTGAGACTTATCACTGTGGTCATCGCGACAAGAAGAGGGTCAAGGATTTCCAGTTGGACGGCTGTGATACAGGCTTTTCTCGACATCGCGCAGACCGCCGTCCGTAGTGCGAACGAGGACAGTCAGAGTCAGACCAAGCGAGATCTGATTGCCATCTCTGCAGGAATCTTTCAGTATGCGCCGATGGACCAGTTGCTACCGTTTTCGCAAAAGTCGATGGATTTCTTGACAACCCAATTGTCTGCGCGGGAGTTTTTCGCGTTCTGCACCACCTGTGCCGAGCTGGGGCGGGAGAGGTTCACAGACCTTGTGCTACCTCGGCTCCAGCAATACATCTTGAACAATTGGCGTGGTGACGAGGTTGGCGTATATTACTTGCTGGAAAGACTTCGGGAGGACGGTATTATCACTGGCGGACGTGCAAGTGCGGGATCTCTCAACTGCCCTGACTTGGAGGCCTCCGCGGTCCATGAACTGTCTGCAAATGCCGCCGAGGACACGACTTTACCAGTCGAGCAATTTGCGGGACGGATTCACCTGCCGGTTAACCTTCGCCATTCTTCGGATTCAAAGGTCACTGCCGCTCTTCTTGATGCTTACCGCGCCATGATCGTCGGCGTTCTCAAGGGCCATAGCGATTCAGATCTTCGTCGACGTGTACTGCTAGGTTGGGGGTTTGAGACCTATCTTGACTTTCTGCCCGATGGAGATGCTGGAATTCAAGAGCTTATTTCCTTAGTACTCCATACGTCCCCTGTGCATTTTCGGCTTCCGCTCTTCCTACAGGAGAGTATCCGTCTGCTGCAGAAGGGCGATGTTTCTGCTGAAGCGCAAGACAGGAATCTCGAGAGCGTCCGATACGTCCTTATTCAGAACTTGCTCAGTCCATCATTCCCTCTGAAAGAGGCCTCTTTAAAGATTCTTACCATGTTGGCCCCGGCAGAGATCAAAGAATGGCTTTCTGGGGTAGCAGATCTGATGCTTGAAATCCTCAGAACGCCATATACACCAGCTGACGTCAGGACAATCGCCATGCTTCTCAGGCGCCTTCCACAAAGACAGGACAAACTTGGTCCGGAATCGTCTTACCAGAACCTGATACCATTTTTCTGTCTCGGCATGCTATCCTATTACCACGATCAAACAAGAAAGGAAGTCAGCAACGTGTTAGCTCAAATGGTCGAGTCCACGGCTGTCGAGGATTCGATCATCAACGTTGCTATTCAGTGGCTACAGGCACCTCCTACTATCGAGAATGCTCAGGAAGCAAAGCCTGCGCGGGCGGTACAGAAGTCGTCAGCTTTCGAATGCACAAATCTCTACCATGTAGATTTCTTGTGTGCCAAACTTCATGATGACTTTTATCAATCCGGCGAGCGACTTCGCAGTTTAGTCGAGCATAAGCACCAATTGGAAAACACCAGGACACCAGAGAGCAGTCGGACGTTGGCTCTGCATGTGTTAACGGCAATTCCAGCATCGGCTGAGCGCCGATCTCGTTTATTGGTGCCGATATTCCTCGCAGCCCCAATGAATCGCGGACAGCTTCAGCAAAAGGCCGCGTCAGAATCCTCTACATCTTCACATACGCTCAGCCCAGATGTTGATGTTCACGAATGGTCTCTTGCCGACCGAAAAGCGTTGCTGACCCTTTTCGGGAAGTTCCTTAACCCCCGTGTGCTCTTCAGATCAGGAGAGGTCTACGATAAGCTTATCGATCTTCTAAGCAACGGCAATAGCGAAATCAGAAAGCTTGCGCTTCAAGCAGTACTCTCCTGGAAAGATCCATCTCTTGTCAGCCTTCAAGATACTTTGATCGACGTAGCTGAGGACAAAATCTCGACCACAGACCTCGGCGCTTTATTGAGTGCTGAGGAGGCCCAAAGCACAATCAAGCAGGACGACCGCAGTACGGTTTTCCCCGTCTTGCTAAGGCTTGTCTTTGGCCTCATCGTCGGTCGAGCAGGTACCGCTGGCTCACAAGAAGCAAGAAGAAGATCAATTTTGCGGACGCTTTTTCGTATGAGTGAAGGCGAGGTTACCGTGTTCCTGGACATCGCTCTTGGAAAATTGAGGGATATCAAAATCGCCGAGTTCAGACCCGAATACGTCGGCCCGGACGCCCATGACATCCCGGAGGATCAACAGTATGGGTTTCTGCGGCTGTTGTTGTCCATGTTAGAGGCATTACAGAGTCGATTTGCTCCTTACGGACCCCAAGTTGTTGATGCCGTGGTGTTCTGTCTTGCCAGGGCATCTCGACAAAGTCATGCCATTGCAGAACCATCCGCTTCTTCATCGAGTCTGACACGCAGCATCAGGCGAACGTCGTTACAATCTCTCGTTTTGCTGTTCGAGCATTGTGAGGGCGTTGATTGGCCGTCATACTTACCCACACTCTTTGCAAATGCAATCAGTCCCCGACTGGAGACATTCTCCACAGAGTCGAGCCAGGGAATATCCGGGTTGCTACGCTTGTTTGCTTCCTGGGTCCATTCCAATGCCCTGGTCGGCTGTCTGAAAGAGTACGATGACAGAGTGCCGGATGTCCTCTGGCAATGTCTGACTACGCCCTCGGCACAAACAGAAGTGAAGGTCTTCATTCTGCAGGACATCGTCATCCCTTGGGTAATGCTGGCTGACGACAAATCGGCGGAACCAAACAAGGCGGGAGAGCTACTGAGCACAGAAGCTGACGGCTTGCTAAAGGCACTCTTAGTTCTGCTTGAAAACACCCCGCCCAAAGAAATCCTCGGCGCCATTACAACTATTTTGCCTAAACTTGCGCCTTTTGCAACGTCTCCAGAGTCTCGGCGATCTACTGTTAGTCTTCTAATCAGTCTATTGCGTGACTCAAGCCACAAGGTGCCTCCAAATGTCAAAGGTCAACTCCTGGCTTCGATTCACAGCTTCGTGGATACCGGCGGCAACATCATAGATGAGAACTCACAGAAAGAGTTGTATGAATTGGTATCGTCATTGTTCAACTACTTCAAGGATCAGTCCAATCGTCAGGTTCTTTGTGAGATCCTCGACATCCTGTCTCGTTACGATGCTTCCTTAGAGCAAGCTGTTCGACTTTGCCAAGATTTGAATGCCAGCTCAACACAACGACTTGAAGAGATCGACTATGACAGGCGTCTACAGGCCTTCCACGCGATCAATGCTTTGGAGGTTGGCCAGCAGAACAAGTTGATATGGCGCCCAATCGTCTTCAACCTGCTATTCTTCATCCGGACAATGGAGGACTTCTCTATACGATCCAATGCTATAAGCTGCCTTAGGCAGTTCGTCGTCAAAGCGTCCGAAGGAGAGATCCCTGAGTTGCATGATCTGATCCGAACAGTGATTCTGACAGCCGTCAGAAAGGGGATCAGACATGAGTCGGAGCTCATACGGGCCGACTTTGTCTCTCTTTACGGTCTCCTAGTACAGCACGCTCGTGGGGACCCGGATCTCGAAAATATGAGTGTGCTTCTAGTCGGCAACGACGAGGAAGCGTCGTTCTTTGCCAACGTCCTTCACATACAGCAACATCGCCGTCTCCGGGCCATCCGACGTCTTGCCTCGGAAGTTGAAAAAGGAGCCATCAATGCACAAAACAATGCAGAGGTATTCATCCCTCTGCTGGAAATGTTTGTCTATGATTCCAACACGGATGAATCGGCTCAAAATACGAAAGGCCAGAGCATAGTAGCCATGGGGACTCTACTGCAATGGATTAACTGGAAGCAATTCAAGACGTTGTTCCGGCGGTACAGAAGTGACCTCGGTGCGGCAGAAAGCACCCAAAAAGCTGCTACCCGACTTCTGGCACACGCAGCAGATGCCCTGTTAACAGCCCGAGGTTACCAGTCCAACACATCCAACACAGACAGCCAGCAGGTCATTCCCTATTTGGCGAAGTCGATCCGAGATAGAGAAGTGGTGGAGAATGAATTGAGAACTCACTTCATCCCCAAACTTTCCGAACTAGTCCACTACAAAGACGAGACGGAGATCAGCTTCCGGATTCCTGTCGCCGTGACCACGATTAAGCTCATCCAGATGCTGCCGCCTGAGGAAGTGCAGATGCTCGCGCCACCGATCATACTCGATATCGCACAGATCCTCAAGAGTCGCACTCAAGAGTCACGAGATATTGCGCGCCGTGCTCTTTGTGATATCGTCACTCTACTAGGAGCGCCCAGCCTACAGTTTGTGCTTAAAGAGATGCGTTCTGCGCTCACCAGGGGTTACCAGCTGCACGTGGTGTCATACACGCTCCATTCAATTCTAGTGGCGATTACGCCTCACACTGAGCTTGGCGATTTGGACTACTGCGTAGATGACCTTGTTCTGGTCGTCATGGACGACATTTTCGGCGCCGTCGGGCAAGAAAAGGAGAATCAGGACTACATCAGCATCATGAAGGAGGTCAAAAGCAGCAAAAGCTACGACTCGATGGAACTACTTGCCCGCTCCATCAGCGTGGGTGCACTTTCGAAGCTGGTAGCCCCCATTCAGACCATCTTGTCCGGAAACCTGACTTCGAAGCAAGTCAGACAGGTGGATGAGCTCCTCCGAAGGCTGGGGGCAGGCGTGTCGCAGAATCCTTCGGCAAGCAAGCGGGACTTGTTGGTATTCGCTTACCAGTTGATCCAGTCGCTGTACAAGCAGAAGGAGAACCATTTGAATCTGGCCCGGTCGCAGACGCTTGAAGAGACGAGTCGCCAGAGGTATCTGATCCAGCTGAGTTCGGCAAACAAGGCGACTGGCGGCCAGACATCGCCATTGTTATACAAACTGGCTCGGTTTGCTTTGGATCTGGTGAGGTCTACGCTCCACAAGCATGACGACGTCCTCACGGTCGAGAATGTCCACGGGTTTCTTCCCGTCATTGGGGACGCCATGATCGAGGGCCAAGAAGACGTCAAGATCTCTGCGCTGCGCTTGTTGTCAGCCATCATCAAGTTGCCGATGGATGAGCTCGACCAGAATGCTCTCCTGTATGTGCGGGAAGCGGTGAACCTGGTCAAGAATTCGACCAGCACCAACGAAGAGGCTGCCCAGGCTGCGCTTAAGCTGATGGCTGCGGTGCTTCGGGAACGCAAAAGTGTCAAGATCCGAGACTCGGACATTGCAGATCTATTGCACCGCATCACCCCGGATATCGAAGAGCCAGACCGGCAAGGCGTGACGTTCAACTTCATCCGGGCAGTCATGGCCCGGAAGATTCAATTGCCTGAGATCTACGAGCTGGTGGACAAGATCGGTATTATGATGGTGACCAACCAGACTAAGGCGGCACGCGATCTAGCTCGAGGTGTTTATGTCCACTTCTTGCTGGAGTACCCCCAAAGCTCGACCCGCTGGACCAAGCAGCAAAAATTCCTCCTGAAAAACCTCGAGTACGCTTATCCCGAAGGCAGGCAGTCAGTTATGGAGGCCATCAACAGCCTAGTTGTGAAGGTCAAAGGAGAAGCCGCGCAGGAGTTTATTTCGACCTTCTTTATTCCCATCGTGCTGCGAATGGCGAACGATGAGAACAAGGGCTGTCGGGAACTTGCCGGGGTGTTGCTTGGTCAAATCTTCCGCCTGGCCGACCGAGCCCGCCTCCGAGACTTGTTGGAGCCTTTGCGGTCCTGGTCTGAACAAGAAGAAAACCCGGCGCTACGAAAAATCAGCCTACAAGCCTACAGCATCCTTCTGGGCCCGGGAGTCGCTCTGGACCAGGAAGAAGTCGCTCACATACGTGATCGTCTGGCCAAGATCCTTCAGAGCCCTGTGACCGAGGATGGTGATGAATGGGAACTTCTTTTCCATGGCTTGTTGCTCCTGGCGGGATTGGTAGAGACTCATCCCGACGTGGTCTTGACCCCAAAGCAGGCGCGGCTGTGGTCGGCGGTGTGGAAGTTGTTGAGTCACCCCAATGTCTGGATTCAAAGCACTTGTGCAAGCTTGATCCAAGACTTCTTCCGGCATTGTGGATCTGCTGATGTTGCGAAGCTTCCCCTGACGTGCGATCATGGGCTGCGCGTGGGCAAGGAGGACTTCCTCCAGATACTGAAGGCCAACGTGCGAATTGTCAAACGGACACAAGGCAAGGACAATCTCAGTGCTTCGGCGGTGCAGAATCTAGTGTTTATGTGCCAGTGTATGGACGTCAATGGGCTGACGATGGAGGTGGCCGACAAGGGAGACGAGAAGAACAACAACCACCAGGCGGGTGTGGCCGAGTCAGAGGACGACTCGGATTCTGACCAAGGGGTTACGACGAAGACCAGACAAATCCCAGCCATTCACTACCTTTTGGATCAAATGGCACGTCTGTTACGCGTCGAGACCAGCAGTTTCACGTCTGCGGCCTTGAGCCCAAAGATATGGGCTCTCAATCTCCTCTCGACCGTGCTCCCCAGTCTCTCGGAGGCCAGTCTGGCCGGACACAAAGTGCACGACATTCTACTTCCACTCCAACATCTGACGGACCCCAACACGATCCAGCCTCGGTCGGGCGACCCGAGCTTTGCCGCGACGTACCAGACGTTGATCGAACAGGCGCACGAGGTGATTGAGAAAGTGCGGAGCAAGCTTGGCGACACGCGGTACGTGCAAGTGTTGACCGAAGTGAGCAAGATGGTGCGCGAGAGGCGAGAGCAGCGGCGAAGTAAGCGACGAATCGAACGGGTTGCGGAGCCGGAACGGGCGGCGCGAGAGAAGCGGAAGAAGAGTGAGCGGAAGAGAGAGCGGAAGAAGGAGATTGGCCGAACGTTTCAGAGGAGAAGGCACGAGATGGGGATGTAGGATGACAAGGAGAAGGCAGTAAGGGACGACAAGATGGGAGAATTTGGAGACAACAAGACAGGAGAACTGAAGACATGGAAGTGATGACAAGAAAGGAGAACTTGAGTGCACGGAAGGCATGGAAGGGTATGAAAGGGACCTTCCTGTACGAACCAGGCAATCTGATCTGGTCTGATGGATGTCAGCTACGAGGAATTGTGCTGTGGTGGTTGCATGCATACATACACATAGCGACGGCGTTGATGTTTTGGTAGGGCAGTATTAACTGGTACGGCTTTGCAAAAAAAAAATGATATCAGGCCTAAGGGCGTAGGGCCTAAGGCTCCTTCAAGATATTACAGTATATTATAGTCCTAGTCTGACCCCGACCCGATGAATCCTCCTCACCCTGCCACTGATGTGATGCCTCAGCCTCCTCAGCCGCACATACGTACAGTGAGTACTTAAGGTGTCTGAACCCCTGGATTGATGGATAGCGTAGTAACGGTGCGACGGCCAAGCGTCTCAGATAAACAATATACAAACATACAAACATGCTGTATGTATGGCATATGGCATATGGAATAGGGGTTCGTTCTCGTTCTCGTTCTCGTTCTCTTCTCGTTCTCATTATCGTCTCAAGCTAAGCAGAGCGAAGCACAAGATGGCCAATCCATATCCATATCCTGGCTCTGGTTCTGTTCTGTTCTGGTTCTGATTCGTCTCGTTTGTTTTACCTCGCCTTGCCTTGCCTTGCCTTGCCTTGCCTTGCCTTGCCTTGCCTTGCCTTGCCTTGCCTTGCCTTGCCTTGCCTTGCCTTGCCTTGCCTTGCCTT